CGTAATCGGTAAGCGAGCGACGCATGTAAGCCAGCGACGCAGCTCTGTATTCCATACAAATCGACCCTTTTTAACACTTGAATATCTCAGCAACCAAAAGTTATAATAATATAAGATTTAAACAGGGTATATAATAGTATTTAATCTGTAACATATGAAACAGAGAATTTTATATAAGTAATACTTTTTTCAGTATTGAATATTACAACTATATTTTTGATCTTCTTGATTAATAGAATAAGGATAAAAGAAAAAAAAATTTAAAAAAAAATTAGCTTTAACCTTGCTTGGTCTACATTACATTATATATCAAATATTCTGTCTCTGCTGTCTCTGGTTGCTGAGATATTCAAGTGTTAAAAAGGGTCGATTTGTATGGAATACAGAGCTGCGTCGCTGGCTTACATGCGTCGCTCGCTTACCGATTACGTTAACTATTTAGATTAGCTAATCTTATCTCGGGTTTATTTGGGTGCATGAAATAACGTAATCGGTAAGCGAGCGACGCATGTAAGCGGGTGACGCGCCACCCACCATATTGAAATTTAAAATGATCAAAACACCATGAGTTTAGACTTCTATATAAACATGAGTAGTTCTATCGATTCGGACAGTGCGTAATTTTATGGCCCTGTACACCACAGCCAGAACATTTAGGTGGGGCGCGCCTAGGAGCCGATTCAGTAGGCAGAGCCCTATCTGCCTGTATGGCTTCATCTGCCTGATTTCGGCGCTCTATAAGGATTCGGGCTTCAGATACTGATGTGCCTTCTTCAAAAGTAATCTGTTTAGTAGAGCGCTTTCGCTTTCTAGCCTGCCTTTCATGTAAAGCCTCATATTGCTCAAGTTGATGCTTAAATATTGTCGCATTATGTATAGCTTGTTCAGCGCCTTTAATCATTTGATTTAGGCCAGCTTTAATAGGTGAATCAGGACTGTGATATCGATTTTTAAGCAGCTTTTTAAAGCTAGATTCTGACTTCTTCAGCTGCTTAACTGTATGAGGCGTTTTAGGCGCTGAGCTGCCTTGACTGCTAGGTCTACTACCCGGAGGTGTAGGGGTCTTAAGCTGAACTGTCAGCTGAGATAGAACGCGCTCGGGAGACAGAGGAACTAGGCCAGTAGCTCTAAAAGCACTATAAATATTGCTGCTGGTAAAGGCCTCTGTATGGGCCTCAGAATATGCCTCCAGGAAATCAAGCTTATCAATATGATTTAGCCCGCAGCGCATCTTAGATTCAACTAGACCTCCATACGCGCGTTTTAAAGGCGAGAAAACAGTAACATCAAGTGGCTGAAGCTTATGAGAAGCATGTGCAGGCATATACATTGATATAATATCATTTTCTGCGCAGATCTGATCAAATCGAGGCGTTAGATGACTATCGTGGCCATCTAGAATAAGTAAACGGTATTTTCCCACAGATCGGCCGGCAGTAAGAGGTATAAAATGATTCTGCAGCCAACGTAGGCCAATCTCATTGCTTGTCCAGCCATTAGGACTGACCTCGATCCTCCAATTAGAAGGAACCTTGTCATTCTCGTACCAGGCCTCCATATGCACCTTGCCTTTAAAAATGATGCAGGGAGGTAGAGCCCATCCATTAGAACTAATACATTCTATGGCAGTAACCCATTCCCGGTTCCCTGGCTGCAATAAAAATGGCTTGCCTGGCACATCAGACCTGGTAACAACTTTAGCCGCAGCTATTAGGCCCATTGCAAATCCCGTTTCATCGAAATTGTATATATCACTTGAAGCTATGCCGTACTTCTGAATAGCCTCATTTACCTGCTCAAACCAAGCACCTAGGACCTTAGGATCCTCTACTTTAGCACGTTGGTAGTTGTAGCGACGTGCAAAGCAGGTTTTGAGCTCAGATGTACGCCTGGTAAAGTTGTATACCCATTTCTCCCCTACAGTAGTAGGGGGAGAAGTGGTATCACGCTTTGAAAGCAGGATATTGGCCATTTCTCGTACGTGTGCAGGCCGAGGAGGTACTCCACGCTTATCTAGGGATAGAATCCATTGTTTAAGCGATTCCTCTTCACTAGTAGTCAATTTATGACTATTGGCACGAATTTCGCCCCTAAAAGAGACTCCCTTCAAACGCCTGCGTAGTGTAGGTTCAGGTATATTAAATACCTCAGCTGCCTTCCTAACACTACTGAATTCATGATTTTTTATAGCTGATATAGCAAGTAGAACCCTGCCTTCCTGCTCACCGCGTGATTTTGATGATTTAGGCATTTTCGGTGGTATGGTTGATGTTTTAATTGCCTAAGAAAATAAGGCGCGTTGAAAACACGGATGGCGCGTCACCCGCTTACATGCGTCGCTCGCTTACCGATTACGTTAGTACCTAGTAATATCCTACATAATCATCAGCTCATCATACATCACGAGAAGTTTATGATATACTCGACATTCCCTATCTAATCTGCGTAGTAATAATCCTAGTAATAGTAATAAACACTCAGGGCACAATCAACTCACATGTCCAGGGAACGTGACAGGCTCCCTCACCGCCTTGGCCCCTCCTCCCGTGGCTTCCCCTGCTGCATCCGGAAACTACTCGTAAGCTCCATCCATTCATACTCCTTCAACAAACGGCGTGATATTTCTTTTTCCTGTTCGCTGTGCAAAGGGTTCCTCTCACAAGGTGAACCTAGTCCCCCCCGATTCAAGGGCGCTCCAGCCTGTCCCATCGTAAATCATGCCCTGCGTCCTCCACATCTCTCCACTGGCAGCACTTCAGGAGCTTCACGGTGGCTGCGCTGTGAGCTGATCTCTATCTCGACTCCGGACAGGAATTTACGACGTTGCAAGTCAGTCAGTACCTTGCGTCGATCGGACAGCTAACCGGGAAGAAGAACAAACACTGTGCATTTCCATCAAGACGCTGACCAGTCGAAGCGCCATTGAACCCGACGCCACATCATGACATCCACCCCCAAAAGCTCCCTCGATAGCGAGGAGCGCATGTCCAACGTTTCCGAACTCCCATCCCAACACTCACGCATCTTATCCAATGCCGATAGTACTCGCCGCAAGTCCATCCAATTCAACTTTGGCGCGACCGAGCCACAAGGGCACCGTCGCTCCACGAGCACCGCCGGCGGACGACTTTCCCAACAAGAAGTTCTAGAAAAGGAACAAAAGGCTGCTGGAAGAGGCCCTTCGCCTCCACCGCCTCGGTAAGCTGATTCCTGTAAACCATGCAGATTACATCTCTGCTTCTGCTTGCCGTACTGACGTTTCATCTTTATCTAGGACCTATGAAAGAGGTGTTTCATTCAATACGTTCGATAACCCTGATGCGGCGGACTTCTCCTTGACTCTCAACTATAAACATAAAGGGTATCAGTGTACCAGGCGCAGCCGAACTTTTCTGTGTGGCACGGATCAGAATGATTATTCCGATTTTGCCTTGGAGTGGCTGATTGACGAACTAGTGGATGATGGCGACGAGATTGTTTGCCTTCGGGCTGTGGAAAAAGATTCGACAATCGCAAGCGATGCCGCGATCGAGGAGGGGAAATACCGGCAAGAGGCAGAAAAGCTATTTGAGCAGGTGATCCAGAAGAACACCCAGGATGAAAAGGCAATCAGCTTAGTATTGGAATTGGCCGTGGGAAAGGCCCAGGATATCATTCAGCGCATGGTATGTTTACTCTGCCAGTTTCCGGACAGTTGAACTAAGCTGGCATCACCAGATCCGGATCTACGAGCCGTCAGTCCTTATTGTTGGCACCCGGGGCCGTAACTTAAGCGGCATGCAGGGTTTACTACCGGGGTCCATCTCGAAATACTGCTTGCAGCAATCGCCAATTCCCGTAATCGTCGTCCGTCCCTCGACCAAACGGGAAAAGAAGAAGAAGAAGCGCCTTGCGGATCCTACCCGACGCGGTTATAATCAAATTCTGGAGATGAGCGAGCGGCGTGGAAGCAACATATTCGATGCGAGTTCGAGCACGGACAGTCATATCTCCAAACTTCCCGATGAGGAGGCTGCTGTGGCCGCGGCTCTCGGTCTGCCTCAATCATACGCCAATTCGCGCAGTTCTCTCTCCATGTCCGAGAGGAGCAGTGTTAGCCACGACGATCATGAGTCGCCATCACCCAGTGGAGGTTCCCCGGATATCAGCCCAAGTCCAGCGGCAGGCAGCCCAGAGAGCACTGAAAGTGAAAGCATAACGGACGACGAGCCTGGCTCGCGGACCAAGAATGCACCTGAGGGCTCGCCTGACGTAGCATCCCTAGAATCTAAGGAAGTTGATGCGTCATCAACGGATGAGTCCGAGCTCACCAATTCGAATCAAAGCACACCACGACCAGGCAGTTCAAAGGTGAACATTCCGGTCATTGTTACTGAGGACCTGACAGAGAATGGAACAAGGGGCCAGTGAGCCTACTCGAGACAGCTCTAGCAAGTTGCTACAGTCTACCACGGCAACGTTCGTACGGACAAGAGCACTAGCTCCGGTTTCCGACGAGTAAATCATATCATACCAGTCAACAAAACTACAACTTCATCACACCATTAATCACAAATACGTAGAATTTCATGACTACCACAGCATCAGAGGGAAGCAACACCCTTCAGAGACAGTGCGCTTACCAGCACCACTATCGGCAGCACAGCACAGACACGTGTATATCACCTCCCTTTCAGCCATCGATCTTAACAACACGATATCTACTACACCTAGATACAGAGGTCAAACTAGCTCTCAGAACACAGCACACCAGCGCACAGAAGCAGGCGCAAGCCGCCGAGCAATGAGTTCAAACCGTCACCGCTGAATTTCCGGTTTCTTGAATGACTACAATCACATTACAATTATACAGGCATTAGCACAAAGATAGCCAAGCAGGTCACATATCTATGCATGATAGACAGTGCATGAATACCATCTAATAATCATATCAAGTTATTGACTCAAACTTTTATACCTAGTAAATGAGAACTGATGAACATATATTTCCTTGACTCCATCAAACTCCAAAAAATATATATAATATCCACATACACTAGAACCAAACATAACAATCCAAATATTTCCAAGAATCCCCAAGAACACTAATATAGTATAGACAACGAAGCAATATAAATTGTGTTTCTATAATTCAGTTCAACCTATCCATCAACCAAACAGACTGGGCTGTACACCCAAAAACCCCCCACACCAGGATCAAGATAACTTCCATTCCAACGACCAGATATACCTGCCTAAACAGGGCTATAGGATTTCTTCCAGGTTGCTAGCTAGCTAGGTTCATTCAGCTACATATACATAAATACTTTTCAATAAGTAAATCCATACATCCATACATACAGACTATGAAGTGGATATTAGTGAATCAGTATCCAACTATATATGTACATTAAATATACCAGCAAGTACTACTTATTACTATTATAAAGAAAGAAACAATTAAAAATACCCGAATATTCTTAAACGAACAAGATTCCTACAGGTAAAGAGTACGGTACGAGTAACCAGCTAACAAAGAAAAAGAAAAGGCTAAGCCTTCAAGCCCTAAATAAATTACACAGACAGAACCCAAACCCAAACCCAATAATAGATGGTTGACTTCAGTCGGGATGTCATGACCATCGATCGATCGAGAGCGACGTAACACACTCACGAACTGGAGACATCGTATCCTGGAGGTTGGGGTGGGGGGCATGGAGACAAGGGAGAGAAGGGAAAAAAATGAAACGAGGGAAACTTTTTCTAACGAAGATTTTGTCTAGCAAAAGGGTTTCAGAAAGACATATCATAGCAGATGAAGCAGACATCGCCAGCACACACACCAAACCAGTGTAGATGCAATGCATACAAAGGGAGAAAGAAGAAGCAGACATGGGCATTGTGGTTTTGTCTTCGCGAGACAAGCCAGTAGCCGTGAGAAATTCTTGTCCTGGTTGGGTCAAACGTCGCAATTGACACTTGTCCGGGACGGAAAACTGCTGAAGCAACTCCGGGTATTGAAAATGCAAAGGACATGAGAAGAACAAGGAAGAAAAAAAGACATATCAGACATCCCTGCAAACCAACCTATCTCGCTAGATTTTTCAAAGGTCCCACCTTCATTATGGCATTTCGCTTTTGAGACACAACATTCATTGTACATTATAACGTCGGGAATGCCTCCCTCTTCCAATCAATGGATGGGAATGGAAGAAAGTATGAGCAACCGAGTACCGAAATCATGGACGAGAAGATTAGGAGGAATGAGCATGTGACATGAACGACACGACATAAGGTTCAAAGAGAGAAAAGAGAAAAAAGTAAGTAGGGAAATCTTTCCAGAAGAAAAGGAATAATTTTCATTATCATTGTCAGAGAGTCTATGATGCTTCCTCGCCCTCCTTCGAAGGAGTCTTGGATGGTCGGCGCTCAACGGCGGGTTGCAACTTGGTTAGCAAGGGAGAGGTAGGGTTCGATGGGGGGGAGGTAGCCATGTTGTCACGGTCTTCCAAGGCAGCAAGAGCACTGTTCAAGTGTCAGAGAGATTCAACGATAGATGATTCTTTAAGATTCGAGGCTTACCTGAACGCGTTGATCGACGACGCAGCCTCCTTGTCTTCCTTCTTGCCAGCAGGAGGGGTTCCAGTCCGGCTGCTAGCAGCGCTGTCATCACTGCCGCGAACCAGGTTGCCACCAGGGCCAAGGGTCTTGCGACCGCTGCTGCTGCGAGAGCCCAGCATGCTGGAAGGACCAAAGGACATGGGCTGGCTGGTGTTACGAGTCGTACGCAGACGACGGAGGTCGTCGCTTCCGACCTTGCTGGAGGCATAATCGGGGGGAGGAGCCTGGTTGCCATAGCCCGAATAGCTACGAGCATCGCCGCGACCCACGTTGGAACGCCCACCCCGAGAAGCCTGCTGGCGGGCACGTTCCATCTCAGCCTCTTGCTGGGCACGGGCAGCCTGCAATGACGGTTAGAAAGATATAGCACATAGGATGCTTGCTGAGATGCACAAACCTCTTCTCTGATCTGTTGAATAGTCTTAGGACCCTTGTCGGCATCCTTGGACTTCCACTTGGCAGCACGCAAATCAATGATGTCCTAAAATGAGGGTGGGATGTTAGATATGGAAGCCCATCATGAATGCGAGTCTGAAAACATACCATGAGCATGAACCTAAGTCGGCTAGGCAAACCGTTGATCTGGACCATGTTGTTGATGCGCTGGAAGTAGACGTCCATGAAGGTGTGGCCCTTCTCGGAGGAGTCAAGACTGGCACCGATGGTACGCAACAGACTAGTCAAGCTTTCGACCTCAGCCTCGTCAGGAACGCCCTCGTAGTCAACCAGCTTCTTCAAACACTCATGCATGATACGCTCAGTCAACATGCCCAGCTTGTACAGTTCACCGATGAACTTGACGAGACCCAGTCCGCGGCGCTTGGCAGCAGCAGCCTTGTAGTACTCGTCCGACATCATGGCAGCCTCCTCCGTTTCCCCCTCGGGCTTAGGAGGAAGGTTGACCTTCCAGCCACGTTCGAACTCCTCTTGACAACGGTTGAGAAGGTACTTGCGGAACAGACTACCACCAACAACCACATTGCCGGTCTTGTCGCGGATGTTCTCGTCCTTGATCTCCGGACTCATGCTTTCAAGCATACGCTTGCAGAACTTGGCATAGATCGACGCCCAGTGAGCCTCGTCAGTCGCCTTCTCGAAGGTCAATTGGATGACTTGACGCAAAGTGCGTCCGTCCGACTCGTCCTTGGACTGAGAGACAATGTCCAAGATCTGGCCAGCAATACGGTCGAAGTTCTCGGGGGTCATCTTGTTCAAAGCAGCCTTAACCTTGCGCTGTACCACATCCGGAGCCAGATAACCAGCAGGGGCGGCAGCCTGAGCACCCTGGACGATACTGCGGGGCTTCCAGCCAGTGGTTGAAACCTGGAGAGCCTGGACCTCCTTTCCGGCGGTCAGAGGCATCGACTTGGCCATGTCCTCGTCCTTCTTGCCTTGATGCTTCTCGCGCTTGCTGCCGGTGCGCGTGCCCGAACGGTTGCTGGAACCCGGGCGAGGGGATCCTGGCATCATGGGGTTGGCAGAATTGGTGCGGCTGAGGGCGGGCGAACCCATCGGCATGGGTCCGCGTGCGAACGAACCGAACGGGTTGTTCATCGAAGCGGTGCGAGCAGCGTTCGCAAGAGCAAAGCGCTGCTCGGAGGTGCTGTTGGGGGGCAGACTGTGGCGAGATGCAGGTTGGCCGAAATTGCCCATCTGGAATCCCTGGGAAATTCCGCCACGTGAACTGTTGCGGCCACCCATCATCGGTGTGCGGGCGGACTGGGGGCGAGAGGAGTCATTATCACCCACCGTCTCACGTACACGGGCATCCCAATCAACAGATGGCTTCTCCTTGAAGACGTTCTGGAACTGAAGCAAGAATTCCTTGTTGTAGTGGAACTTGCGATCGGCGGGGGCGTTGGCATTCAAAGCAGGGCTGGGGGACACAATGGAGTCGGGGTAGGAAACCTGGCTTAAGTCTTCGATCAAACGAGCGGAGTGAAGGGCCTTCATGGCGGCGCTCGGCTGAGGAGGCTCAACGGCCTTGCTGGTCTCCAACTTGAGCGCAGCAGGCTTCTCGCGCTTGCCAGCACTGGCGGGCTTCGCGGGAGGACCCATCGACGCATCGGAGGTAGGAGTGGCGGTTCCACTCTCGACGGGGGTTTCAGGGGCCCATCCGCCCTTCTTGAGCGAAGAGAACAGGTCCTTGTTCGACGAGTCTTCTTGCTCACCCGCCGCCCGCTTCTTCATCCGGGCTTCTTCCAAAGCCTCGGCCTCAGCCTCAGCCTTCTTCATGTTGGCCTCGTAGGCTTCGCGCTCCTCCTTCTCCTTGCGCTCCTTCTCTTCCTTCTCGGCTTGCTTCTTCGCGTAGTAGGCGGCTTCCGCGGCGGCTTCCTTGGCCTCGAGTTCGGCCATTTCCCGTTCGATGGCATCGTAATCAATGTCATCGTCGTCGGCCGGAGCAGGAGTCGAGTCAGCCGGCTTAGCCTCCTCGGCCTTGTCCTTCAGACTCAGATCCTCCAGAGCCTTGCGCGCAGCCTCTTCATCGGCAGCCTTCTTTTGCGCGGCTTCCTCCTCTTCCTTCTGTTTGCGGGCGGTCTCCTCTTCTTCCTTCTTGCGGGCCGCTTCCTCCTCTTCCTTCTGTTTGCGGGCGGTCTCCTCTTCTTCCTTCTTGCGGGCCGCTTCCTCCTCTTCCTTCTTGCGACGCGCGTCAGCCTCATCCTGCTCGATCTTCTGGCGCACAGCATCCTTCAGCTCCTTCTTCTTTTCCTCATCCGTCTTAACCGACTTGGAGTCGGCTCGAGTGTGGTCAGCACCACTGCTGCTGCGAGGGGGCGGCGTAGCGGTGGGAGTGGCAACCTTGACCGGCGACGGGGTCGCGCGAGCGGGGGAAGCCGGGGTCTTCTCGAACGTCTTCACCGCACCACTGCCAGGATCTTTGATCACGATCGCGCTCTTCTTGCTAGAGGGAATGACAAAGCTTGTCATGCCCGGAGCCGGGCTGTTGGAAGGTCTAGAAGCCGTGTGGGTATGGCCCGAGGCCGGAGGGCCGGCCGGTGTCTGGCCGTGCCCCAAGCTGGAGCCGGGTCGGTCATTGGACACCTGGGATGGCGAGCGAGACAGCGCGGTGGCCTGGGGCGGCTGCTGGGGCGCGTACTGGCCTTGCATATACGGGGGCTGAGGGGTGTAGGGCATGCCGGGGCGCGGTTGAGGGGAGGACGGAGCAGGCATGAACTGCTGCATCGGATATTGTTGGTAGTAGGCATAGTTGGGGTCGAAGTAGGGGCCCTGGTTAGATTTCATCAACGTTAGATAATGTTCAAACTGTCCACTCTCCGGCGCCAGGTTGGGCGGAGGCAGAGGAATAGAGGGATGGGAATTTAGGGATCTGGGGGAAGGTAAGATTCGGGGACCTGGCTTCCGTTTTGGAAAGGGGCCACGACGAGGGGGTCTGTTATAAGAATGGGTCCTCACAGATTGGGGTGCCATGTGTGGGGGATAGCCGCCGTAGTGCTGGGGCGGTCCCATAGGGACGGAGCTCATCTGCGGCGTCGCAGGGTGCGCCGTGGCCAACGCCGGGCTACGGTTGGCTTGAGGCGAGTTGGGGAAAGGAGGCATCGGGCGTCCTTGGTTTGGAGCATGGTATGGGGGGTTCATGTTCGGACCACCCCGGGGCTGGTTAGGAGTGCGGAAATTAGGACCAGGCGAGTAAGCCATCTGGCCCTGATAATTCGACTGCGAGTATCCGCGACCACGGCCACCTTGGTGATAACCACCACGACCGGGGCCACTGCCCATATGGTTACTCATGTCGCTGTGTGTCGACTGGGACGATTCACGGCGCAGATGTGTGGACTGCGGTCCGGGACCAAGGGGGGCTTGAGACGGGCGAATCTGCTAGTGGGATGATTATTATTAATCCCGAAAGTTTCCAGGTATGCCAAGAGAAAAATAGATCGAGTGTATATCGCCCAAAATTTTTAAAGTTCAACTTGCATACAACGAATTTGTGTTTTTTTTTTTCCAACACACATCCTCTTTCCACGCCATATGTGAAACATTTGAAAGTAGGTGGGGAGAGGAAGATAGACAAAAATAGATGAAATCTAGGAGGAGTACTTACGTTATCACCTGCATCACCGAAACTGCCAAAGTTGGGAACGTTGCCTTGAGCCTGGTATGACGACGGCGGTGGCCGGCCACCGCTCGAAGCGGGCTGAGGAATCGGCGAAGGTGAAGTCTGAGGCGACGTGACACGGGGGTTCACACTGGGGTTGACACCCAAACCGGGCTGCGGCTGGTTGGCCAGCGCGGCTGGGTTACCCATATGGGGCGAGGTCGGCTGGTTGGCCGCAAAACCAAACTGCAAGCTATTGGGACGACTATTCGGGCCCCCGTTGGGGATGTAGCCAGAGGTGCCAGCGGAGGTGATGGTCACGGAAGGCTTGCGGGAGTGATCGCCTTGCGAAGAGGCCGGAGCCGGGGCGCCATTGACGATGGTAACGCCGGGAGTCTGAGACTGCTGCATGGGTTTGCCGCTCACAGGAGATACTGAGGTCGACTTCCCATGTTGCGATGAGCCGCCCACGGTGACGGGAGCGGCGGATGAGTCCGTCGCGGACTTTTTGGTGGCGCTGGCGTAGGACTTGGACGCCGGCTGGGAGGCAGAAGGCGTAGGAGTGGTGTGAGAGGAGGCGGCCTGGTTAGAGGTGCTCTGTCCTTGAGGTTGAAGGCCTGACTTTGGAGGGATCGAGCTCATTAGACAGGTGGGGAGAAATGCGTTGTTGAAAGAAAGCGCTTTTGATTTGAGGAAAGGGAAAAAAAAGGGAAGAAAGAGGAAAAAAAGTTTTAAAGATAAGCGGGAAGGGGTTTTGATAGTAGTGTGTGGGTGATGTCAAAGCGTGTTACTACAGACGCTCACTGTTCCCACATCAAACTTGCTTTTCTTTTTTTCTAATTTTATTATCCCACGGAATATGGATAATAAAAATAAAAGAAGAAAAAAAAGAGAGAGAGAGAGATTAATATCTCGGGAAGAACCACCGACAAAAAGGATTATCGATGATAAAGAGAGAGAAGGAAAAAAGAAAACGTCGTGGGAGAAACGACGAGGAATCCTGGGGTAGGAGGGAAAAAAAAGGGAAAAAGAATAATAATTCCTAAAGAGGGGGAAATACAAAAAAAAGAAGTTGGGAGGAGATTTCGGTGGCTCCTTTTTTCCTTTTTTCCTTTTTTCCCTTTTATTTTTTGCCTTTCCTTCTCTTCTTTTCCTGTGCTCTTTTTTTTTCACAGCTTAGAGTGGAAACGAGCTAATGTCCAAATAAAAAAAATATTGTGCGGAAAACCAAAACCAACAAGTAAACAACGCAACATTTCCCTGCGCACCAATAAATTATATGATATTAGTCTCAAAAAAGACAAGCACTATCAGTAATCAATAATAACGATCATAATAGTTATATAATTATAATTATAATCCGTCATACGGAAAATTATATCCCAATATCCAACAAACAAAAAAAAATACCAGCCACAATACCGCGGAATAGTATCGATACACCAGGCTGATTACCCGATCGGGAGCACGGTCGGGTTGAGGCGGACAAGAAGCCGCCACACCCTCACTCTTTTGCACCATTCAATCCATTCACCTCACCTTTGTTCAACCAGTCAAGGACGAATTCTCTCCTCTTTTGCTTCTTTGGATTAACCAAGCTTACTGAATGATTGGCTCAAGCGCCCAACCACCTCGGTCGGAGTGGAGCCGCATCATGTGGAAATCATTCCTTCAATTGATATGGGAGACACCTCAGGCACCCTTGCCACGGCCACAGCCATCAAACCACTAGTGAGAAGTATTGTAACCCGGAGTCTACAACTCGCACACTTCACCGACTTATGATCAATAAGAAATTTTTTTTTAAAAAAAAAAAAAAAAAACATAAAAAATATAAAAAATAAAAAAAAGAATAGCGGACTGGAAAAGCAAGTTCTAGGGACTTATTTTCACGTTCCTGCAAGGATCAATTGAATTTATGGGTGCTTTGGGCAGCCACCCTTCCATTCTAGTTGATACCGCAGACCGAATATTTTACTTTGTTTATAGCCGATGAGAGCACTGATACTCTGATATTGACACTGTGGACCAAAGCTTGTTCATCAACGCAATTCATATCTGGCATTGCAAAATGAAAAACCTTAGTCAATCCCTGCGGTAACTACTGGACGCTTTTTATTGGGATTGATATCAGTAGTGGTGATTCATGACGAAGAATAAGTATATATATATATATATATATATATGTATGTATTGTCCGTCCGTGACTGCAACCATTCCAGCTCATTGTTGTAGAAACTGTCCTTCTTTACGTGCGACAACACACTCAATTCACTCTATGCAATATGCCAAATAACTATCTCTTCAGCAGAGAAGCACTAGCACTCACTCAGAAGAATAATGATACTATCCCCGAAAGTACCTCCACGTCCGGCCAGCTGCCCGTGGCATCAGAATCACTACTCTAGCCACACCCTCAACGACAGGGCGTCCATACCCACCCATCCCAGCGCTTTGGACATACGCAAAGATTCCTCGTCCAACGACAGACCCCATCTTTGGCTGTGCCCATGAAGCTGCCGATTCTATCCCATAAAGTGTCAGCAAGGGTTGTCATCTGTAAGAAAAGGACGTAGCCGGAGAAATAGAAACGAAGGACGAAAGAAAAAGAATCTAACCAGCAGCTGGCCCTAGGCTTGTAAATCCAGCTTGGCTCAGAATGGGCACAGTGATCATGCCGGGGCAGAGAACGGCCGTGACCTGCACCCCGTTCCAGAGAGCGGTTTTAGGATTCTCGGAAACGTATTGCACGGTGCGGTTCAGAGCGTTGGACAAGTCCACCTGAGTCACTTGTTCCCTCACATGGCTGAAGCATGCCTTGGAGATGGTGACAATGGGCGCGGTGGGAAGTCCGGACAGATTGAAATGCGCTGCGATTTGCCGGAGGCGTTCCATGGTTTTCGAAAGAGCTCCGCGATCACGATGCGAAGAGTTTACTACTGGGAAGCGGACTGTGTTGAAAGAGGAACTTCCTGCAGGTTTGCTTTATGAATGAGAGATCTAGTGGGGGAAGGAAGGGGCAGATGGAAATGGCAAGGCTGTTGTTTTACTGCATACGCGCCTACTCGCCAGCGTAGATGGCTGATTGACTGCGGCAAGGCGAATCCGCAGTCAGACAACGATTTACTCAACCAGTTAGATTTCCCTTCTAATTGCTGTGACTGTCTATCTTGCATATGAGCATTCATTCCATTTTTTGGGGAGAGAAAGACGAAGGCGAGAAAGAAAGACAAAAAAAAAAAAAAGGCCGAAAGAGAACAAGAGCGTTCAATGGGAGCCGCGGGAGCGAGCATGTTCCTCCGCTGCGCGCGCCGCAAAGTCTACCCCAGAAGCCCAGTTGGGCTGACCTGCTCCTGCCGGAGACCGATCACGAATATCCTCGGGTTGGATATGGTCAAACGAGTTGTCGCTACGGTTCTTCCTCAGGGAGGAGCCATACGCGAGATCGTCATCCCGTCCGTGCAGGTTTTGCTCCTCTTTCGCCAACGCGTTGCGCATCACTTCCAACATGTCCCGCTGGTTCGCGAGGTACTTGGCTTTGTCATCACGGGACATACTGGCCACTTCACGGGGCAAGAAGGAGCCGCTGGCCGAGAGTTCCTCCGCACGGGCCTCGGGGGTTTTGCCCGTGGAGGCCATGGAGGACACGGCAGAGCCAATGGCCGACAGCCAGTCGGTACCCTGAGATGGGGCGCTTGCATTGCCTCCCGCAGCGGTAGGGATGTTGAAACGAGAAAGAAGAGACTGAGCGTACGCAGCCGGGCCCGTTGCCGGAGGCGGCGCAGCTGCAGCCTGTTGAGCGGGCAGGTGAAAGACGTTTTCGCGTATCCAATCCAGCGCCTGGTAAAAGTACTGGAGCCCCAGAGCCTTGGCACGCTCATGAGAGCGACCGATAAACTCCTCGATCGCTCGCTCGTGTTGGGCCAAGAACGGATCAACGTAAGTCTGGTATAGAATCTGGGCGCCCTGGGTCTGGGGAAGGACGAGGTAGGAAAAGAAGAAAAGACGGATCCAGCTATAGAATGGAATCCTGTATGGGTCATGTTAGCGACTCGTATCTTGCTTTTGACTTTCGATCCGCGAGACATACCATCCCAGAATCCAAACCGTCCAGGACTCAGCCATTAAGATGGCCGACAGGACCACCCAGTACATCAGCCATGGCGCCAACTGAGAGGGATGAGACGAGCGGAGGGCTTTGAAAGAAGCGAAGATCGGGAAAAGGATCGTAACGACCGAGCTAAGACAGAATCCCGTTAGCATTCCAGAGGAGCGGACAGAGAATACTCGAGCGACCTCGAGTAACAGCTCCGGGATTGCCGGAGATAGGATTCACACTACTTACGACAACAGATCCGCAATGATTCCGAACATCGTGGATGGCCTGAAAATATTTCAGTTTTTCTTGAAAACCCTCAAACGTGGCCTAAAGAAGTGAGACAAGAAAAGTTGATGGAATCTTGGCGGTCAGTGAAGCCTCTTGCGGGGCAAACAAATGTGATCGGTGAAGCTTCACGCGACCAGCTGAAAACGGAACAAAAAGCGGCCAGCCGCAATGGCAATAAGAGAGAGAGGAGAGTGGTTAGGAATCTGAAGGAGAAAAGGTCAGGGGAGAGAAAGAAGAAGGCAAGATGGGAGAATGGTTGCCTTAAGGAAGCTCCGCAGCCCTACTATGATCCATCCACTATTACTTATACAAGTTTAGCAGATTGGAGCTGAACCATTAGGGCAACCCTACCGTTTCCGGGGCCAATGCCCCAGAGGGAGCGAATCACAGTGGTTGACGTCACAGGTTTAGCTTCAAATGTTGACTGTACTCCAATATATATAGAGTTGAAGAGAAGTATTTGAGAGAAAAAGTGTTAGTCGACCGCAACGTGGTTGCTGTTCAAACAATTGCTGAACCTGTCAGTGGGTTAACATTACCCAGGCCTGCCAATATCCTCAGTCATCATGGCTACGTCTCCAAGCCAGGCTACGTCGTTCTACGTGTCTTATCGCCCAAAATATTGGGAATACTTCAGGTCGTTATCGATAGCACACAAAAGTGTCAGTTGTGTACCTTGCATCTCTCAAGTAGACCTTGTGGTTATTTCAAACCACCGACGCTGAGTCATCAGCCACAAAAGTTGTCACGTGAAATAATCCTATTTTAGGCAGAAGAGGTGGGCCGATGACGGAGATACGACAGGCGGTGAAGAGTATCTGCCGGCAGTGTTGTCTGCCCGATGACTTCTAGTCTATAGATCTCGTGCTGTCTTCCCAGAAAACACTGCCGAGTTGGTTGATTTGATTGAGTTTATGTCTTTTTTTTTAATTCACCTTCCATACCCCTAATATAGCATATAGCATATTAAGGGATCAACATATCTCCAGGCTAGAGGCTTGAGGTTAGAAGCTCAAACCCACCAGCGGTGCTACCCAAACTTGAAAGCACTTGAACTGAGATTAACGACTCCACGATGTGTATTGCACTAATCTCTACAGCTCACCCGTCCTATTCCCTTATTATTATCGACAATAGGGATGTATGCGATTGGACTATCCTCCGCGTGTGCACCTGATATGCCGTGAACTAACAGTGCCCAGGAATATCTCCGTCGACCAACCTCTCCGGCTGATTGGTGGCCCGAACCGGAGTCCAATATATTAGGCGGACGAGACCTGGCGCGAGCAACACACGGAACATGGATGGGAATTACGAAGGAAGGAAAGATTGCGGTGTTGACAAATTATCGAGAAGATACAACTGAGAAAGCGACGGGGACACAAAGCCGGGGTGCTATCGTGAACGGCTGGCTTACGGAGGCCCCTGAACCTAGACAGTCCACGCGGGACTTCGCGCAGAGCATGGTAGCAAGCCCCATGGTGAGGAATGTCGGTGGGTTTAGTCTGGTGTGCGGCTATGTCAATGAGCCACTGGCTGTAATTTCAAACCGCTCTTCCAATATGGACCAGGTTACCTGGCTGGCAACCGAACAAGGCCAGACTGTGGGGCTCAGCAACACGCATTTTGATGACCGCTCCTGGCCAAAGATTATTGATGGCGAGAAGCTGATGATTGAAGCTATCCAAGAACACGTTGACGCGGGAGAAGATGAAGATGGTCTGATTGATAGACTACTCGGGTTGTTGAGCAGGAACACACTGCCTGAGCTTTCGGAAGACGCAACAGCGGAAGACTACCTACCACATTTTAGAAAGAGTATTTTCATCCCTGTGCTTGGTGCTAAAGGTGGTCCTGCGAAGCCAGCCGAGGGCGTAGCCGCAGCATGTGTCGAGGAGAAAGTGACAACTGGTGCCAAGCAGGGCGATGAGCTGGACCAGTCATACCTGCATGGCGCGTACGGCACGCAGAAACAGACTGTCATCCTGGTAAGTCATGTTGGACGGGTGAGGTATTTCGAGCGCACCCTTTATGACGATGAGGTGAACGCCGTTCCCCTTGGCAAAGGGGACCGATCATACGAGTTCCAAGTCGCCCAATAATCATGTCGAGTCACGATTTGCATTTGGCGGTCTTGTTTTCTTCGGACGAGATGATTTCATTCTTGTACACAGCACCATTGAAAAGATGCCCGGCTTAGCTCCTCTCTGCACTCTTGAGTATGCGTAATTGCACAGCGAAGTTTGTCATTGTAGCCATAATCAGAAGAATAATTACTCCGTATTGATTGAAGGAATGGCATTAACCCTAAAGTACTATTGTTCCCCCCTAACGTGAGGTTCCTTTGCACGTGGCTGCCCTTACTCATGCCAGATAGATCAGGTGCATGTCGAATCACGCAACGTCGGCGATTTAAAACCACTTTCCGTCCTTTGCAATTCTCCTACAAACTTGGTTGCTCGCCATCATTTTATTCGACCCCTGGCTCTTCCCCTTCGACCATATTCATGCATACACATGAGCTTTTACATTAATGTAAGCAAGATTTGACGAGCCTACAAGTAATTACCCACAGTTAACTCACTAAGACAGAAATTTCTAAATCCGCGCAGCGCTCAAACCCCTTTTATATCTGACGTAGTTTCAAAGACCGGGGCAAATGTCTCACGGGGGTCACTTTTAATTCGATAGTCCCGGCGTTTGATGGTCTATCCGCCGTTCATACTGTTTCAGTTTCATCAAACAAGCTTCGCTAAGACTTTCACTAATCGCGGACTTTTTCAACGTTCGTCGTTAAGGAACTTGCCGAGCACCCACAACGGATTTGTCGAGGTTCCTCCACCAATCTGCGAAGCCTCTCGTGTTTCATCCTAATCACATATTTTGCTCATCATGTGGCCAGTCCCACGAAGTTGGATCTGCAATTTGCCTGAATTTAGCCGACGGAGCGAAGAATTGAGAGAATAATCATATAATCAGTTCTCCGTCAATTGGATCGATTTGTCTGATCCTGATTACAGATGGTTAGGCGTGCCCTAAGTAATCAATTATTGCCGCAGCAGCTTCATTCATTTCCGCCGGCCCCACAACCTGTGCTTCATAGATGATCGGAAATGGCGCCGTGATTTATTTGGGTCACTCTGACTTATACTAGTACCGTCGTGGTTCTCTTAATGGTTCCTCAAGCGTGATCCATACCGTGATCCACCTGAATTAGATTAAAGCCACCACAAACTAGTGACTGGACCGAACGCCTCTTCATATCATTAACCAGGCAACAACTTGATCGTGCCACGGGGTCTTCGGGGATGTGTTCCATCTTGGGAAACGTCCATACTGTGAGAATGGATCCTGAATCAGTCCACAGATTAGCTGTCTCAGATATTCAATAGGACTTCTGGCTGAGATTACTGTGGAGACTGGCGGAATCACCGGACAACGGTCTTCCATATGCCGAAGCAATATAAAGATGTATAACCCAGAGCACCCTCTGACTCCTCCCTAGCAATCCAAACTCAAGACTGGTTCTTGTCATTCATTCATTCATTCATTCTGTCTTCCATTTCTTCGCTCTTTCAGTCATTCTCTAATTCCCCGACAAGTTCGGCATACATTCATTCACAATGAGAATCGGCAATTTGATTGTGGCAGCAAGCGCTGCAAGCCTGGTGCATGCGTACCCTACACGTGACATCAAAAAGCGTGGCTCGGGATTCACTTGTATGTCTCGTATTTTGCTCAGAACTAACCAGATCTAACAAATGAGCTTAGGGTTCGGCGTTAGCGAATCTGGCGCTGAATTTGGATCCAGCATCCCAGGAACCCTTGGCACCGACTACACCTGGCCCGATACCTCCAAGATACAGACTCTCAGGAACGATGGAATGAACGTCTTCCGTATTCCCTTCCTCATGGAGCGTCTGGTGCCCAGTAAGATGACTGGAACCCCGGATGCGACTTACTTGAAGGACCTGAAATCGGTATGTTTTGATATTATCGATGTGGACTTGGGAAGTCTATGCTGATACTTTTGCAGACCGTACAGGCCGTCACTGACAGCGGTGCTTATGCTGTCCTGGACCCCCACAACTACGGCAGATAGTAAGACCATCCATGTTAGTTTATCGTCTCAGAAAATATGCGGCTAACGAACTGCGCAGCTCTGGAAGTATCATCTCTTCTACATCCGACTTCCAAGCTTTCTGGAAGACCGTCGCTGGAGAATTCGCGTCTAACGAGAAGGTCATCTTCGATACCAGTAAGGCGCTGTCCCTACTTTACTCAACAGGTACAGGTCCTAACATGTGCAGACAACGAGTACCACGACATGGAGCAGTCTCTCGTCCTCAGTCTGAACCAGGCTGCAATTGACGGTATTCGCGCGGCCGGAGCTAAGACACAATACATCTTTGTTGAAGGCAACTCGTACTCGGGTGCCTGGAAGTGGGCGAACACCAACGACAACCTCAAGGGGCTGACCGACCCAGAAGACAAGGTCGTTTATGAGATGCACCAGTATCTCGACTCGGATGGATCTGGTACCTCTGAATCTTGTGCCAGCTCGACCATCGGCAAGGAGAGACTGCAGACTGCTACAGAGTGGCTGAAGACCAACAACAAGAAGGGTTTCCTGGGTGAATTTGCCGGCGGTGTTAACAGCCAGTGTGAGCAAGCCGTCGAAGGCCTCCTCTCTTACATGTCGGACAACTCCGACGTCTGGATGGGCGCTGAATGGTGGTCTGCTGGCCCCTGGTGGGGTTCTTATATGTACAGCATGGAGCCGGAAAGTGGAACTGCCTATTCGACATACCTTCCTATCTTGAAGAAGTATTTCGTCAATGGCACTGGCTCCAGCCCTAGCTCCTCGGCTACTGCAACCCCATCCTCAACCGCCGCCGCCAGCACCTCCATCTCTCCTATTGTTTCGACTACCACTAGTGAAGTTGAATCCTCTGCTACTACCAGCGCTGTTGAAACCCCCTCCACCACTTCCAAATCGGAGCCCGTCGCAACACCCACCCCTTCTCACCAAGCTCCCCATCCAACATCTGACTCTTCCAGTGGTGGTGCCAGCACCACCGTCAGCGTGTCCACCACCGGCACTCCGACGACTCTATCGACTTCTGGTAGCTGTGGATACCGTACCACCGTCACCGTGACAGCCAGCCGGTCGACCGCGGCCCCCAGCAGCTCCGCTAGCGTCGCTGCCCACTACGAGCAGTGCGGTGGAATCAACTACACCGGTCCCACCACCTGCGCGAGCGGATACAAGTGCGTCAAGCAGAACCCGTACTACCACCAGTGCGTCTAGATGGGAGCAGCGGTGAGGTGGTGAGTTGATATTGTTTTGATCAAATTCTTCACTTCAGAGTATATATTACCGGTCAATCTAAGTAGAGCTCTTGGGAAGAATAAAGTCATCCGACATATATTTAAACAAAACTCCGTAGTGTACAGCGAATAGCCATACCTGCAATTTCCTCCTACCGATGCCCGCAGCTTTTAGAGGGAAAGGGAACCACATAATGTCTTACGATTGCCGTATGCACTGCTTATACTTTGTCGGGCAACATGATGTAGAGTAAACGTTATTATAATCTGAACAAACCTATATCCAGTCACCACAGTACTCCACCCGACGCCTGTAGCCGGCACAGTTCGTCTCATCTGTTTACACTATTCTGAGGTTTGTCCACAAACACTGTCTCGAGGCGAGGGTATAAAATCCAAGTCAAGAGAGGGTCTGGATTCCCCGGAGGGAAGGGGGAGAGAAACGTGGAGGGCCAAAACCGGAAAGCGAGAGAATGTAGGTCTCCCGAGTCCCATAGCTGGTTTAAGCACGACCTCTGAGACCAAAGTACGAGTTCCTAGATAAATAAACACCAACATAGAAAAACCCAATGAGTCAGTGTAGACGGTAGATAATGGACGTGGTAGATATGAATATAAACTATCCGTTGTCTTGAGTCTTACTGGCCATTTATAGTTATAATCAGCTAATATATGACCAAACCAATTTATACGTAAGCAAAACAGCTTCAACGAATTTGCAATCTGGGCCCATCCATGTCCTCCCCATATGTGAACCTACCCCAACCACCCACAAACCCGTATATAGAAACTCGAAGACCAAAAAAAAAAAAACCAACTAAATCCCCTCCTTCATCCTAACAATGACATTCTCCGCCGGCGCACTCGTAAGCGTAAGTCCAAACCGAATCTCCCGATCGGGTCTAGCATCAACAATACTCTCAAACCTCTGCAAAAGCCTAACAAGCACATAGCCTGTCTCCGTAAGCGCAAACTGCTGCCCGATACAGATCCTCGGACCCCCATTAAACGGTAAATACTCCCATCCAACCTTTAGATCAGTCCAGCGATCCGGATTGAACACGTCCGCGTCGGCGCCCCAGATATCCTTCCGTCGGTGGGTGACGAATACGCTGTAGGCTACGCTTTGGCCTTTTCGGACGTATACTGGCTCAGAGCCGTCGGGACCACCGCCGCGGGGGAGGGTGGTGTCCTTTGCTGCCATGCGGCGGTTGCCCGGGACGATGGGGTAGAGGCGGAGGACTTCGTTGAGGAAGGATTGGAGGTAGCGGCAGGATTTGAGGGATGTGAAGGTGATGTTGCGGGGGTTGTTGTAGGGGCCGAAGTCTTCGAGGATGGTATTACGGAGCTTGTGGAAGATGGCCGGGTGGCGGGCGAGGAGGAGGACGGACCAGCTGAGGAGGGAGGCAGTTGTGTCGCGGCCTGCGAGGAGGATGTTGAGGAGCTGGGAGCGGAGTTCGATGGGGTCCCTGGTTGCGGCTGCGAGGCCGTAGAGGAAGACGTAGTTTCCCTTCTCTTTGTCGTGGGGTTGCGGGTTGTTGAGGGCGGCGGTGACGAAACGGTCGACGTAGGCGTGTACGAAGCTCTCGACTTCGCGGCTTTCTTTGTTGTTCACTATCCAGTAGAGCTTTTCGAAGCGCGAGCGTTGCGAGGCGTACCATTGGGCGCGGTCGAAGCACTGGGGGAATCTGTCTTCGATAATCTTGCCGCCGCTGAGGGCAGCGGCTTGGCTTTCGACGCTTTCGCCGAAGAGGAATTCCGTGGCGGTGTCGATGGTCAGACGGAAGAAGATGGATTGGATGTCAATTTCCGGTGTCCATTTGGTGGTGGGATCGGCGGGCATGCCGGCCATGGCGCTCTGAACGTGGCGTTCTTCGAGGTCGAGGTTGCTGATCTGGTCACGCGTGAATTGAGGGCGGAGAAGGGCTCTGGACCGGGACCACGCTTCGCCGTCCGTTGTGAACTGAATTTGCGTTAATATACTATTCATTTGAACCCGTACTGAGCATGAACGGTGCACTTACGATGCCAGACCCCAAAAGCGAATGCAGGGTTTCCCTTCGATTGGTCCCGAGCTCAAAATCCTTGAATTGCGTGGCTAGGATGGCTTGCATGTTCTTCGGGTCGGAGGTGAAGATGCTCTCTCGGCCCACCTGGCGGAACCTGAAGGTCGTGACATATCTTCCCTCGCGAGCAGTCATCGTCTCAACGCGCTGTTGAGACAGCACGGGGATGAGTTTCTCCTTGTCGGCGCGCAGAACTTCCTTCAGCGTGTTGATGCCGAATATGTCGCCTGGGTAGGAGGGGATGGCCCCGCAGTGCCACTTGCGTGCTTTCTGAGCATGATGAAGCCTCGTGAAGACAGACCAGAGAAGACGAAGGGCGACCGCGAGGGCCGCAAGAATGAGAAGAGGGCTCATGATGGTTCTACCTGATCGTTTTGGGCCCAAATACGGCGGGATGCGGCGGACATTGCAAAGGATATGCAGCGATATTTAGCTGTCCAGGTCGCTCGGAGTATACCTCGGAAGAAGCTCGATCACCGAGGGTAATACGTTTAAAGCGGAGAAGAAGACTGGTCTAGAGTACTGGATGGACGAGTGATACCGGTTGAAGGTTGTGTCGCCCCCTCCATTGCTGCATACTAGACAAGGGCATTCCATATCGAGCTGCAGCTATCGCCTAATGAGCACGGGTGTCCCTAACCCACCCTTCACAACGTCGCTCGTCCTGATAGGTGACGCTGTGAAGCTATAACCCACTTTGGGGATGACGAGACGCTGATCCATCTTGGCTTGATGGAGAACTGGGGGGAAGTGTCGGCAAAGGCCGCGGTTCCGTAGGTAGTCGGTGTGGGACTGATCGGGGTCCGATACATTTGCAGCAAAGACCGAAACATGAGGAGTGAAATCCGATACATTAGTGTGGATCATGATGCATGTATTAATGTCTAGCGAATGCACCCTAGGCCAGCCACAGACGGTCATGTAGGTGATGGCCTTACCTTACTGGCGGACTCAATTGATCCTGAGGCATTCGGCCGTACCGCCATCGTATTATGTCATCCCAGCATAAAACTTGCTATCCAGCGTCATGCAGCATAAACTCCAATGGGCGAATATGCAAGGTGACGACTGGAAAACCTTTTACGGGCCAATAGTGATGCTACCGTCGCAGTGCCAAGACGCAGGACGACGATTATGTATGCACGGGACCACCTATCACGCCTAGAGTATATACAGAGTTCATAGACACAGGTTCCACAATGTCATTATGCGATAAGACCATCTCACGTCACATCTAATCCATATCTAGCATTAACATTCAACATGGCGAGTCTACAGAAGCAGTAACTCGGGGTATCTTCAACATGGAGACGAGGAGGTCGTGGAGAGATGCCTCTTCATGTTCCAGAAGGATGCGACCGTTTAACAGCAGATCTCACAGCACTCGAAGCAAGCGAGGCCGGCGCAACTGTATCCAACTATGTCAGCTTTTCATCCCACTAATGGAAGGGGGTGTGTTGACAGGTTCAATGTGATTGGGGAATATGATAAGGTCACGTACATTCCACAGCAGATGCCGCCGCCGTTTCCACCGCCACGCAAGCTCATTTGCATCTGTTCCTGATTGGCCTGTTCGATTTGAGTATTAGTCAGGTTGTACAAGGGGACAGACGGATAAAGAGGAAGAGGAAGAGGGTGAGACGATAATGATAGAAGCCAAAGAAAAGATGTCACGTACAGGCTGCTCGGTAACGACCTGCTGCTGGTTGGGAGCCGCAGGGCTCGTGGGCTGCTCCATGGTGAGGGTGTTGGGGTTCCAGGTGGGCTCCTTGGGAGCCTCCTCCTCCTTGGAAGACTTGAACAGAGAGAAGCCGAACATTTTGACAAGAATAAGTATGTGGATTGGGTGAAGATAGAGCGATGAGTAAGATGGAATGTGAGAGAAGTTGAAAAGTTAACGAGCAGCGAAAGGGACACAGCGACTAATAAATAGTAATCCTGGTGCCTGATGATCACGGCACAGGATCGGCGAAACCCTAACAATTGCGTTGGTCGAGGAAATTCGAAGCATGCAAAGGGTCCATGTCACTCTGACTGCGCCCACTTCATGCAAGCCGTTGCATTGCGTATGACGATATTCTATAGCTACCATTATTCTATACTACGGGCCACGATTTTCATTGAATTTCCTTCTCCAGTTGGAGTGTTGACAAGTCATGTTGACGGGGCTGGGAGAGCCAGAGAAATAACCGACTGGATCCACACTTTCCCGCTCAGCCTTGTCTTAGGGCAGCCAAGCCTCCTTGGCGCTTGCTTGACTCAGCCTGGGACAAATATAGCAATCATCTCTTCATATCCTGTTCTTATCGAGCTGACGTCTATCGTTAATCTAGTATACCCCCTCCGAGGCCCGCGGCTACACCTTACGCCGCACCAATCCGCGGAGAAAGTCGAAACTGTTGCTGTCAGTTTGCAACTGCCATACCCGGCCGGTCGGCCGGTCGTCCCATCCTAGTTCCTCCGCCAGCAACAGTCCATAGTCTCGAGTGATGCCCTTGATCCGGGCCCGGGCACCGCCTTCCTCTTCCAACGTGACAGTTTGGTGCATATGCAGCCAGTCACGGTAATACATCTCCTCAAACTGCTTATCGAAGCCCGTCCGCAGGAATCGAGTGTAGAGCTCCTCGAATGTGGTCAAGATACGCGCCAGGAGCTTTTCGAGAGTAAAGGGCGCTGTTTTATTCTTGAGGAAGTGAGCGGCGAGTGCGTTAAGAGACGTGGTGGGCGACGCGTTGGTCGCGTTGATGCCGATGCCGACTACGGAGATATATTCGCCTGATGAATACTGCGAATTGATCAGGATACCGGTGATCTTTGTATAACGCCCCTTCTCTGCGCTTTCCGGATCCAAAGCATCTACTCAATTAGCCTGGAACGGCATCCAGGGATCCTTATAAACTTACAAACGTCATTCGGCCATTTCATCTTGACAGGCATCTCCTCGAAGCCCTTGTCGTAGCTCTTGATACCTTGCACCACCGCCATGGCGGCCAGGTATTGGATGAAGACAACCGGCGCGGATTGGAATTTCTCCATTGGATGGCGGACGACGGTGGAGAGGATGAGGGAGCCAGCGGGGGACACCCAGACGTTGGAGCCTCGGCCTCTGCCGGCGACCTGGGTAGTAGCGGTCGCGGTGAAGCCGTGCGGGAGTTTGCGAAGGAGCTTAGGGTTTCTAACCTGGTTAGGCATGGTGAGGATAGTGTGGGACGGAGGACTTACTTTTCTAGGATGGTGTTGGTGCTTGTGACAACTTCCCCGTAGAGAATGCTCGAGCCAAACTCCGACGCGCCCTCCCTCATTTGGGATTGATATTGCCGCAGATTGGAATAAAATGCATGGTGGTTGAAGTAAGGGGTAATCTTCGACGATGGCAGGTCCTCGTGGACCACCACGTGCTTTACGATCGCATTGTAATCGACGATACCATCTCCCCCCTTACCGGAGTCGTCTTTCGACTCATCTGGAAGGGCTTTCTGGAGCGAGTCCATACTCCATGCTTCGGGCTTTTCGATGCGGAACGTATCGTTTTCATCCTTGAGGAACTGGCCCTCGCCATCAGTGGTAATGAGTTCCTGCAGTGACGATAGAATAGAGGAAGTATCGGCTGGATCTAAGGAAGACATATGCAATGAGGAAAGAGACGGCACAGTCGTAGTGTTTTGAGAGACCTGGAGCCCCAACTTAGCCAAACAGGCTTTCAAAAAGTCCGTCCGCGCCCTGTCATCCGCAGCCAAGGCGTCCACCAATTTGCCGTACCCAGGGCCCCCGGCCTGCTTATCGAGGTTCACCGCAGCGAATCTAGACACATTAGTTTCCGATCTCCCACATTCGCCGCTAGGAAACATACTCCGGATGTGGTCCCGTCAAGACCGCCGCTCCCTCGCCCACTTTACAGTAGACGACGGCCGCCGCACTGGATCCCGGGTCAACGTTGAGCTCCTCCGTATAGTTGGCAAGCACTTCGACCCCCTGATCTGCATATGAGGCTGCATCAAAAAATACACCACCACCATTGTAGTATGACCGAAAGCGCTCTGGCACGACGCCCGCATTCAAAACCTCCTTGGAGACCTTCAATTCCGGTGCCCGCGCGCCGGCCTCACTATGATAGGCAAAACCAGAGAATGCACCTCCCCGACAGATACCCGGGAAAAAGGCCAGTTCCCGATCCCCGACCACCTCGTATGTCTTGTCGCCGACCTCGAATTCGCACCGTTTACTGCCGTAGTAACCCCCCGCACAGAAACCGAGGTAGGCACCACCTCTGCGGACGAAGTGTTTGATTCTCTGATTCCCGGCACCGTTCAGGGCTCGGCAGTATCCTAGATCGGCCCCTCCGGGAATCACTAGTAGGGCGCAGGTGAAGGTCCAGGGCTCTTTGATGAGCATGTCGGCGCTGACGGGGATCACGGCATAGTGGGGGGCGAGAAGGCGGCGGAGCGTGTAGAGACAGTGGCGGACGGATTCAAGGGTGGTTCCATTTCCTGGGTAGAAGTAGAGATTTATTAGGACATGAGGGATAACGTTCATGGGAGTTTGTGGCATACCGGTGTAAACCAGGACGTTAACCTTCTTCCCCGTGAGGTTGGGAGTCGCAGTCATTTCGAGCGGAGTTGGGGTTTTGGGGAATTCCCTCGGACAATTTCTCGTCTCGACAACCACTTCCGACCCTTTATTTGTCTACGGTGTTTTGCAATCACAATGTCGCCCAAGGAACAAAACCCGCGGGTAGTCGTAGATGTGGACGACGACGAGCCGGATGAGTGGTAAGTCTGAGGAATTGCGGAGAAATTGATGACTCGGTGAACTGACGCGGGGTCCGTCTTTAGGGACAAGCGGATCTTCAGCACGGGCTGCTCAGGTGGGCTGCAATGGATACGGAGAATAACTGGAGATCGATCGACTGACCCTAGTAGTGGAGCAGGATAAAATGAACGACTGTTACTTTGCCAAAAAGGACTGGCGGGCGTGCAAGAAAGAGGTGAGTTGTTGACCCTATGGAGTCGTACCCAACAACCCAGCCTCCAAACTACCACATGGACATCATTATATCCTACCCCTTATGCTTATCAATCTGAGCTATACTTCTTAATCATATGCTCAATCGTTCATTCTATAACCCATCGCTAATGTTCCGACTCTGCTTGCAGATGGAGCTGTTTCGCGAATGCTGGAAGCGTAATGGCAACGACCAGCGCACGCAAACCAAGGACGCTTGAGGCCTGCCCCAAGTGTATATCTCTTACGCCTAGGCCCCTGGACTGCCAACTCATGTACTATATAAAATAATGCAATCCCCCATCTCTCTCCTCATCGTGTGAAAACAACCTCCAAAGACCATGCATCACGTGACCACAGCCGCAACGTAACCTCCGCATCCCGTCTCCAACAAAGTTCCAACAGCTTCAAGCCAGCACCACGATGTCCTTCCCCCAGCTCGCCCGCTCGTTACGAGCAGCAAAGCCCTTCTCGACTCGAACCCGCTTCCCCCAATCACACAGAGCCCTCACCACCACGACCGCAACAAAGCAATCCCAAACCGCACCACCACCACCCGCGCCCCCGAAACCAACTTCCCCAGCACAACAACCACCGCCCCAAACCCAACCCCAGAACGCAAACCAACAAGACCGCCACTCCCGAATCCTCGCCCCAACCCCCTCCCACCAAACCACCCCAAATATCAGCAAAACAGGCCTCTCCGACAAACCCCTCTCGTTGGACGCCGACCAAAAAACCCCCGAAAAGATCGACTGGACAACCTCCTTCCACGGCCTGTCGGCGTCCCCATTCCCCAAAGAAGCAGCCGATATCCTGCTCAAAGAAACAGACCCCGAAGAAGTGGAGATCAAGCCCGATGGAATCCTCTACCTGCCCGAGATTAAGTACCGGAGGATATTGAATAAGGCCTTTGGACCGGGCGGGTGGGGGCTTGTGCCGCGCAGCGAGAGTATTGTTACGCCGAAGACGGTTACGAGGGAGTACGCTTTGGTTTGTAATGGGCGGTATGTATTATCTTTCTTTCCCCTGCGGGGGAAAAAAAAAGGGGGAGGTTATGGGGTTTGTGGATTGTTACTGATGTGTGGGGTTCGTGTGTAGGCTTGTGTCTGTCGCGCGAGGCGAGCAGGACTATTTCTCTGCGGATGGGATTCCGACTGCGACGGAGGGGTGTCGGTCTAATGCGTTAGTGCGGTGTTGTAAGGATTTGGGGATTGCGAGTGAGCTGTGGGATCCGCGGTGGATTCGCAAGTTTAAAGCGCAGTATACGCGCGAGGTGTTTGTGGAGCATGTGGTTAATAAGCGGAAGTCGAAGATTTGGGTGAGGAAGGGGGATGATGTTTCTTATCCGTGGAAGGAGTTGAAGTGATACCTTTTTCTTTTTCCTTTTGGTTCTTGATGACGGCGGTGGGGTTTGGGGTGGATGTAATTCTGTGATGTGATAGATTTTTCTACCATGTTGCGTGTATTATAGGTTTATACTGATTTGTACTATGGAATATCTCCGATTATCGCTACGATGGATGAAGGTTGAATGTAAACTTGAAGTAGATTGAACCATCTCGCTGATGGAAAGAAACATCGTACACGCATTTTCCGTACATACTGGTATTACATAACGCCCATGTTCATATCAATAATTATCATACCCTTTTTCCTGTGCTTTCTTATTCCTTTCCCTCTTCTTTATATTTTATATTTTTTTTTTTTTTTTTTTGTATTTATTTAGCGATTGTTGTTCGTCCCGTATTGGGAGTGCCGTGAGACGAATGCGCCAGGCATCCGCTCATTGGAAGAATACTGGTTGCCGGTCGGAGACTGCTGCAGGTGCGGCGAAGGGTATTCACCGTAGCCTTCCTGCTCTGTGGGCTCCATCGAAGGGAGCTCGTACCGCTGGCTGGAGTCATAGGGGGTGTCCTCATAGTAATGGCCGGGGTAGTTCTGGTACTCTGGAGCCGGGGGTACCGGCGGGAGGGGCCCGGCGGGAGCAGGGGCAGGGGTAGGGGTAGAAGTAGGAGCAGTGGAGGCATGTCGGGGTGGCACCGGGGCGGCGAGAATGGGAACACCGCCCGTGGCTGTGGGGTAGGTGGTCTGGGTGCTGGCCTTGCGGCGGCCGGTCGATGGCTCCCGGCTGAGAACGCTATAAGGGACGCTCAACTGATTCTTGCGTGGGGAGGTGCCTGGGGTTTGGAAGCCCTCACCATCATTGGCCTCACCTTCCCCGGTGGAACGGTTGGAGCCGTGATCGACGAAAGTGCCCTGACTCTGGGAGCTGGCGGAGGCGCCGCCTCCGCGACGCTGTAAGGACCCGGAATCCCGGCCAAGGTCAAGCCCGGTGGATCTGGACTCTCCGTAGGGCATGGTCGGATCATGGAGGTTGTCGGTGGCTGTGAGTCCGGCCACGGCCGCCTTGTCTGTGCTGGAACCTGAGCCGTCCTTATCACCGCCATCCGGTTTCTCATCGGTGTTGTCATCCTCAGCAGGCTCCTCGTCGGCCGCACCAGGGGCGCGAATAGGGATCCTGCGGACAGCCGCAACCAATGCACACATAAACTTTGAGCGACGGGACGCACGGACGGACTCGATGGCCCAGTTGGATTTATGGCAGATGCTGACAGCGAGCTCCAGCTTATCCATATCGCCAACACCGGCGACATCAACGTTCACTTCCGGCTGGAAGTCACGGCTATTTTCCTTGTCACGGACAAAGGCCTCCATCTCATGCCGGAGCATGGAGATGTCCTGGAAGCTCGTGTCAAATTTGATTGGAATGGTCAATGTCTCATGCATGGCATTAGAGCGTGTGAAATTGTCGATCCAGAGCGTGTTCAACACAACGTTCGGAACCTGAGTGGTTCGATGGTCGGCCACACTGCAGAAGACGGTGAAGAGCAATGAAATACGTTCCACGGTGTATGGTTTGCTGTCGATCTCCACCCGATCGCCGACATCGAATGGATGCTTAACAAACAGGAAGATGCAGGAGCCCAGGACTTCTTGGGCCGTGGTGGCAAAGACGAAACTCAGGGAGAGTAAAGAAGTAGCACCGGCAGCAATTACAGTGCCAAAGCCGCTGGTCACGAACGAGACGAAGACCAGAACGCTAATGCCGAACGCGATAGTCATCAAAAGGTTATCCAACACGTGGATCGCCTGGTCGACATCATGCATACTGTGGTTCAGGGACTTCCTTCCTCGACCAATTTCCCCAACAGCCAGGATCATCTCGTCCAAACTAATGTCACCGTTGCCATCGCGATCTAGAATCTGGAAGCACTCCTCGGCCTCCCTTTCCTTTCCAGCCCCAAGGACCTCGGCAATATCATCGAAATACAGAGCCTCTCGACCCTCAATAACGAAGGACATCCAGATCCGGCGCGCAAGGGCTTCGGATGAGCGCTTGCGCTCCAACGCGATGGTGACGATGGAGCGGGCGGAAGTGGAATTAAACACCTCTTTGCCGGTAAGCTCTTGAGCTACATCACCAAATGCCGCCGTGACTTTGTCACCGATCCGACCAACATTTTGCCCGACTTCCCGAATCAGTCGCAGGGGCGCAGATCCTGAGCGTGGCATTCCCTTCTTCTTTGCTGTAATGAAGTCGGTGATGGCCGAATCCTCCTCGCGAAATTCCTTGCAGTACATTGGAAACATACTCCGAGAAGCCTCGTACAGTTCTCCGAGAAGCGTGACATTGCGCTTCGACTCCTTGATCTTCTTATCGAATTGCTTCCGATGGTAACTGATGGAGATCAGCTGCACGAGGGCCTTCTCTCCGAGGAAAATGAGACTGCAGACAAGCAGCGCAAACAGGATGTTCTTCAAGCTCTTCTCCCACGATTTGGCCGCGGTGTCATTCTCCGCCTTCTTCACCGGGTTTAGTGTCATGATCTAGATTTGCAAGCGGTTAGCAAATTGGCTTTATAATCCACTGGGATCAGGAACATACCGGCAAGAATGTGACCAAGGATATCACTGCCCAGATCACGGTTGCGATGGGGAATTGCAGGCTGTGCAGAATCAAGGAATATTTGCGCGTGCCGGAGCTGACGATGCCGACCAGGAATTGGAAGACATAGGGAAGGAAATGCGCCGCGAGCTTGGATGCCCACAAGCTCAACCAGACGACCTCAATCCAGGTGAAAAACCAGTGGAGGGGGACGCCTCCAATGCGCGTGTCCTGACGGACGGTGGCTCCGACAATGATGGGGATCGCGATCAAGAGCGCGAGCGGCGTCACGTAAATCAAGTATCTCGTGATGATGGAGAAGTTGAAGATGGCTTGGTAGATGCGGCCCATGCGCGTCAGAGTGCCATCCTCTGGCTCCTCGAGTGACCGCCCGCGCCCCGAGTCAACTCGTTTGCGACGGCCAGGCCCGGTGACCAGGCCTGCCTTTTCCTCGGCATTGCCCCCTTCCTCTCCCGGGGGCTCGTACAGATTGGGATCGGGGCTCGCGGTGTTGATACTCGTCTTGCGAGCGCCCGTTTGTCCCCGGCTGGGGACAGGATTCAAAGGAATCTCGATGGTGACATCGTTTGGGTTGGCCATGCCGTCGCCAGCATAATCAGGGATCTGTTGAAAGCGATGGTTCGACAGTCGCTTTTCAGCGAGTCCAGGCCGGGTCGACATGGAGAGGAGCTACCGAGTGAACGGAGCAGTGGGATCGACTTGCGGTTTATATTTGAAGGAGCGGAAGCTGCCCGGCAGTGCCAGGAGGGGTAAAATTAGCAACTCGAGGGAGCGACTCCAGGGGACGGACGATTTAGGTTATCGAATGGCAAGCATCAACGATTCTAGATGTGACGCCCACTGGTTCTTGTGGGGAGTGGTGGGTCAAACCAATCACTCAAACGCTTGAAGCAGAAAAAGATCAACAGATTAATGTTCAATTGTAAGACTAAAAGGAGCGTTTTTCTAGCCGAAAGGAACGAGTAGAGACTGAACGTCGGGTGATAGCAGACAAACGAAGGACTATCAGTTTGTTTGTGTCAGGGGGTAGAATGGGAACGAGCGAGAGAGAAAGAAAGAAGAGAAGGAGGAGAAAGGTTGGAGGTGGAAGCTCGTTCACCTGAAAGACCAACAATGCATAGCGTACCAAGGATACCACTCAGGGCGGAATATGTAAAAAAATTCAAAATTCAAAATTCAAAATTCAATCTAAAAACACACTCGCCTTAGGCCATTCCAGGCACCGTCATGGGGCGTGTTTCACCATCACTTTCCCGTACTTGACATTTCCAGCTGAATGATCGGGGGTTGTTGCCTGGGGATTCCCCCGTCGATCCATTCTTGACTTCATTCCACTCGCGTAATTCTACTTGTTGTTGTCCTTGTCCAGGTTGATGTTGCTCTCATTATGGGAGGAATATGGAGTATGGTGTTCGCGATACGTAGGAATTGGGTGGAAGAGACAAGGACAACAAATCGATACTGTATTTTTTTCGCCGATGGACTCTGCCAATCAGCCCTGTCGGCGATCGATTTTTATTTTTAATTTTTCTGTTTTTTCCCGTTTCCTTTTATTATCCTCTTTCAGCCCGGGGCCTGCCAAGCGTCCCCACCCTGGAAGAAAAAATAAATCCGAAAGCAAGTCTATTGGTTGGACGGTTCAGCCCCGTGTTACTCAGCAATTCAATCACTTCCTCATTTCTGTCTTTTGTATCAACCGTGCCACATTTAGGAAGGTTGATGGCTATCTGGTACTAGGTACTACTTACATTTACCCGGTGTCACCAAAGCCTCGGAGTATTTATGTTAGGTATTATACAAATATGATATTCCCAGCTATTCAGAAAATATGACAGGTAATTTTGACGATGGGTCGTGTTCTCGACTAAGGTTGTTAGGGTTTCGTTTGTAAGAAAAGGATCCAACGTGGCGGAATCTGAAACTAATGTGGCGAAAGCCATCATAGCCGAGGATGTAACCAAACCGAAACTCATCTGAATATACGCAGAAACGATGGTGTAGAGGATATGGCCTTATTTGAGTGATCGCCATGAACTCTCCATGACATCGCCCGTTTGAAGTTGTCTCCGTCAATTCCAATATTTTGGTCAAGGGAGCATCACAATGTGTATTTCTCGATCGATCCGATCAGAACTTTGACGTAAAACGCCCTACTTCCTTGGTTTAAGCTCACCAATCGATGGGCCCCGGCAGGGACCACCAATGAGAGCATAGCTTTCCCGACGATCGGGGGGACTTGCTTTGGCCATTGCTCTCAAGATCATTCCGCTGAAAAGAATATGTTTTCTCCCTCTTCCTGATTGTGGTAGCGGGGGAAGTGGATACCGATCGTCTTCAACATCATCATTGCGTCGAAGCTCGAGATTGCATTGCGAACTGATGGAACTGATGGAGATGTTATTGTTTAAGCATTGCCGGTGCATTTAGCGGACTGATCGACTGCGGAGTTGTTCTATAGGAAACTAGTATAATGAAATCACCGAGCTCATTCGGATACGTATTCACTCCTTTGGGGTTATACTCGACAATTCCCTGCAAATGCTGTGGGATGCCGACCCGGTTTCTCCTACACCAGCCCACCATGTCTCCAGACAGATAAGACTATGATAACCATGATCTCCATTCAACATAGCAAACAGTTATTATTGCGGGGACAGTAACTGCATATCGCAATCGACATGGTCCACTAGTACCGGAAGGGATTGTTCTGAACACTCACAGCAACATTGATTTGATAGGCTATAACCAACTCTATCGTGTGCCACCTAACAGGAACCGGAGATTCTAAACAGGGCGACGAAGATATGTTAATGAGCGGTATAATAGTATGTTAGTGATGATGTCAACTACAGCGTATGTATATCGTGGATATACATCAACAGTTGATTGATGTTAAGGTACCATTCGCAAATAGTCGAGGTCGGATACCGAAATTAGTCAAGATTTCTTGAACTTCATCCGCATCTCTTCCTGCAGGGGAACTTGGACCACCTTATCGTAAGTTGCGTCAGCCTTATTGAACCCGCTGTTCAAATAAGAAGTCGAAAAGGCACGTCTCACCAAGATTGCAAAGAAGGAATTGGATCTTCAGAGATTCAGGGAGGTCTCCCTCTCTTTCAAAATTGACAACAACTTATCAAAAGCGCTCAAGAGCTTAGACGAATAATCCTGAATCCACTTGTAATTAGAATAGCGGGGATGGATGGCAGATTGCAGACCCTCAAATAATTGAACGTCCGCAGTGTGCTATCAAATTTCTCCTTGAGCGTATCCCACAACACTTTGGACGAGGTGATAGATATAATCTGATGACGAATCGATTGGGATACCGTCGAGCTGATGACACCGAGTGCCTTTTCATTCAATTCCTCCCATGTTTGAAGCTTCTTTTCTGCCTTTTCCAGAGCAATACCTTCACTGGCTGAGAATCTGGTCTCTCGAGGCAGCTCTGGTTTAGCGTAACTGCCGATTACGATCCTCCACATGCCTTGGGACCGAAGATAAGAGGTCACTGCCTCCGACCAGTCTCATACGCGTCAGCCCCAGTCAGCATGGGCAGCTTGGTGATGTCAACTTGAGGCATCGTGAGGGTGACGGTCAGTGGAATAATCAAGAAGACAGAGATAAAACAAACGATAATAATTAAATCCACGCAGGCGCATCCAGTCTAAGCGCACCTCCACGCGGATAAAACGTGAGGTCTTCTTTAGATCCTGACGACGCAAGCGTCACTCGATTTGACGATGCGCCACGAACGGACCGGTGCTCGTTCTAAAAAGCCCCTTCTCTCGCTCCGAGCGAGGAGGGCGAGGCAATCGCTTGAGTATGTCAACCGTGGGCCTGCTTAAACTGAGCAGATCAGTAGGCCAGGAGCGCTTCGCCCAAGACGAAGTAAATATCGCCCTTACCTTAGGGACGACGACCACGAGCTGCCCAAGATTGCTTAAAACACCAGGAAAAGGACGATAAGTACCACAATGGATGAATCTGAATAGCTTCAGAATAGAGGTAAGATCACGAAGTAGGCTGGCCGGGACGCTGAGACCCGGGCTCATAACCTGTAGAATATCCGGCAAGATATTCTTATGAAATGATATCAAAATGATCAGAGTTTTATGATCCCTATCGAACTATGTGAAGGCCTATCTAGGTAGGAACCATGAGGCCTTTGATATATGGCCTGATTACCACAGTATTCAAACATCCACGTACTTCCGCAGGTGGTCAAGTATCTCAGGCACCCGACATGTGCCTGAGATACTAGGTAATTTCATGGGCGTATTCAATACGTTTCGAGGCACGAGATATATATATACACTTCTAAGCGACAATATTGCTCTCCTATACTATCAGATGCTTTCTGGTAGATCTTTTCGGTGAACCACACCGCGATAAGGGAAGCCTAATAGAGATGACTGACCTTAATCTGCCATTATATTCATGAAAGACGTACTTTACGGACCGGATAACCTAGGTATAGTAGTAGTACAATCAAGTACAATCAAGTACAACTTGGTTATATACCTACTCTGGTCATACTTCTATATTAAACGGACCTACTTAAGCTAGACCTTTTCATTCATCTATCAGGCTTATTTAGACTCTATAGGGTTGTTTGTTTCGTATCACCGAAGCTAACAACGTGGTTGGAAAAGATCCTATTCCGACATGTTACACCAGCTGCTAAGGGCCTAGTGTAAGTTTTATTGGAATGCCAGATAGGTATATAATTAAGGGGTCTTATCATTTAGATATTATTATATTGAGCTCTATTATATAGATCTTATTGAGCAGGCACTTTCAAAATGAGGGCCAGTGTAAATGTAGTTCAAAGAATTCAATATAGGTGTTGCAGGATGTGTATACCATACAGGTATCTGTACCAGTCTATAATGCCTGAGTGTAACAATTGAGGCGCCTCAGCTTTGTTTCCAAACTTCCAGCTTTTAACATTAGTAGACCTACCTATCTTGATTGGTATACTTTGAGAAAATTGGAGACATGACAAATATATGAATAAGTCAGCGGAAAGGGACCTTATTCTCTCACCTGCACTTTAACGCTTAGCCCTGATCTTAATATAAATTCACCTTCTACTAAACTCCTTGAGGTTCACCGCGCGATCGCGCTCACTTAGAATCTCAGCGGTGCAGCTGAGCATATTGAGAAGATGCTTCGAGATATGGTTGTGGATTACCGTACGTGACGACCGGAGAAGAGGGGTAGAATCCTCCCATAAAAGTTGACTTGCAGCCCACTTCTCTTCACCTTCCCATCTTCCACTCTCCCTTGCTCTTCGGCATCAGACAATAAATCTACCATCATGCCTTGTGAACCTGATCCTAATAACGTCTGCTCTTCTGCTTGCTGCGGTGGGCAACTCAAGAAGATCAAGACCGGGGACGCCCGCGTTCCCCAGGCCCGCGTTCCCCAAACCCCCGACGAAGGTCACACCGAAAGCCACTCTTCCACAGAGGAACCGCAGGAAGATGACCCCAACAACCCCAGCTGCTGCAAGGACAAGCCATCTCCCTGCTGTGATGAATCTTGCCTTGATAGCATCGCCCTCCGCGAATGCGAGAAAGGACCGATTCTATCACCCTCTAGCGAGATATCTCCGAGTAAGTCCAAGTTAGCTACCTGCGAAATTAGCCCCAATGGGCTGTATTAACAACCAATCGTAGAGCTCCTCCTGAGCCGCAGCTGCCAAAGTCCCAACGGCAAACCATGCGACCAACACCGTCGCTCTGCGCGGGCGAAGTACGCAGCGAAGCTTGAAGCTCTGGGTTGTATTTGCCGTGCTTTAATAGCACTCGGGCAGGAATCTTGCTGTGTCCCGTCAAGACGCTCCTCTCTTGGTAAAGAGCGTCGCTCTACCGACTCTCGCTGTGCAGGGGGCAGTACAGGGTCCGAGAGACGCTGTAGCGCAAGCCTAAAGAGTAGAGAAGAGGCATGTTCAAGCGGCTGTTGCGGTTCTCCGAAGGCTCCTTTAGTGGCTAAGCAGGGTGATTCCTTGAGTAAAGGGAAGGCTGTTAACTCTGGTAGCCATTACAGTAGACCTGAGGCATCCGAAATTGCCGGACAGCACTCCTGCGTTAAGAAGGGTGGGTTTAGCAATACCATGGCCTGCTCGAAGGGTTGTTGCAGTAAACCAGGAGTCAAACCGACTGTTGAGCAATGTTCCTCTTCTGGAAAGGGAAATTCTGGTGGCCGCAGCGGCTCAGCTGGTTGCTGCAGTAAGCCCAAAGCGCCTTCTAGTGCCTTTCCCGGAGAGAAACCCAATAAGCCCGCCTGCCCATCTAGCTGCTGCGGTAAATCCTTGCCATCTTCATGCACAATTACTGAAAAAGGACCTAGCGACCCAATCGAGGCCATTACAGACACCGCTACCCTTGACCTTGAAAAAGGAACCGCGGGCAAGGAGCATGTCGTTTTGAGCATATCTGGGATGACCTGTACAGGGTGCGAAACAAAGCTTAAGCGGACCTTGGGCACACTGCAGTCGGTCCAGAACCTCAAAACCAGCTTGGTGCTCTCCCGAGCAGAGTTCGATCTTGACGTCGGTTCTCAGTCACTCGATGAAGTTTTCAAGTATTTGGAAAGGTCTACCGAGTTGAAGTATAAACGAGTCACAGATCGAGGATCTCACGTCGACATTATCGTCCCCAATGCCTCTGAGTTTATGAAGCAGGTCTGGCCTCGTGGCGTAACCCAGATGACCCTGGTTGACGAAGGAACCGTCAATATCGCTTTTGATGCGAAGATAACCGGGGCGCGAGATCTGGTGGAGCATGGCTGGGGCAGACCTCTCAGCCTGGCTGCTCCTCTGCCTGATCCGACGCTCCGGGCTGGAACCAAGCATGTGCGCCATCTAGGATACATGACTATTCTGTCCATTATTCTAACAGTACCCGTCTTAGTCCTGGCTTGGGCTCCACTTCCAGAGAGGCAAATCACATATGGCTCTGCATCGCTGGCACTGGCGACGATGGTCCAGATTGTCATTGCCGGCCCGTTCTACCCAAAGGCGTTGAAAGCCTTGATATTTTCTAGAATAGTCGAGATGGATTTGCTCATTGTGATGAGCACGAGCGCCGCCTACATTTTCTCAGTGGTCTCATTTGGATATCTCATTGCGGGTCAGCCACTCTCCACTGGTGGATTCTTCGAAACCAGCACATTGCTCGTCACCCTGATCATGGTTGGTCAGTATGTCACTGCCCTCGCTCGTCAGAAAGCTGTTGAATCTATTTCGCTTCGGTCACTGCAGAAGCCTACTGCTATCCTCACGGACAGCTCTGGAGCCAATGAAAAAGAGATCGATGTTAGACTTCTTCAATATGGGGACATCTTCAAGGTCCTTCCAGACTCTCAGATTCCCTCCGATGGCACAGTTATCATGGGCTCGTCAGAGGTCGATGAGTCAATGATCACTGGAGAGGCTATACCGATAGACAAGGCCCCTGAATCTGCCGTTGTCGCAGGATCTGTGAATAGTTCTGGGGTGTTGATTGTCAAACTGACGCGTCTCCCTGCTGATAATACAATCTCTGTTATTGCGGGGATGGTTGATCAAGCCAAGCTATCAAAAGCAAAGATCCAGGGTATTGCGGATCGAGTGGCAAGCTACTTTGTACCCGTGGTAGTCGCTCTGACTATTATCACCTTCGTGATCTGGGTCGCCATAGGCATTGCGGTGCGAAACCATTCCGGATCTCGAGCAACCACGGAGGCCATAACATACGCTATCACTGTACTGATTGTTTCTTGTCCTTGCGCTATTGGCCTGGCAGTCCCTATGGTCATCGTTATTGCCAGCGGCGTCGCTGCCGAGCGAGGCATCATTTTTAAGGCCGCGGACGGCATCGAAGTCGCCTGCAAGACTTCCCACGTTATATTTGATAAGACCGGAACCCTTACCCAAGGCAAACTCACCGTTGCTGTTGAGCATATAGACACTACGAGAGACTCCATGTCCTTACTTCTCAGCCTAATCGGGAATAACAAGCACCCAATTTCCGCCGCCGTTGCAGCACATCTCAAAGACAAAGGAATATCAGCATCTAACGTCACTAACACAAAGGTACTAACCGGAAAAGGCGTAGAAAGCTCTGCACCAGGTCTCATCCTCCGCGCAGGAAACTCACGATGGCTCAACCTCTCGTCCAATCCACAGGTCCAATCCGTCCTTGAAAGAGGCTATACAGCATTCTGTTTCACCATCAACGACACCCTCGCCGCCGTCTTTGGCTTAGAGGACTCACTCCGCCCCGACGCTCTCGAAACCGTAACCAAGCTCCAGGAACGTGGTATATTCGTCCACCTTCTCTCAGGAGACGATGACGGCGCTGTCCACTCCGTCGCAAGACAGCTCAACATCGCAGCTCAAAACGTCCGCTCCCGCTGCACCCCAACCAACAAGCAAGCCTACATCCAAGCACTCCATCAGCCTTCTCATCAGAGGAACTCAATAACCATGTTCATCGGCGACGGCACAAATGACGCTATCGCCCTCGCCACCTCCACAATCGGCGTACACATGAACCAAGAAACTGGCTCTGACGTAGCCAAATCTGCCGCAGACGTCGTGCTTATGCGACCCAGCCTACTCAGTATCCTGACGATGATCAACATCAGCGAGAAAGCGGTTTGGCGTATCAAGTTCAATTTTGGGTGGAGCTTTGTGTATAATTTGCTTGCAGTCTTGCTTGGCGCGGGCGCGTTTGTGGATGCCAGGATACCGCCGGAATTTGCAGGGTTGGGGGAGTTGGTTAGTGTTTTGCCTGTTGTTGTTGCAGCCGTGCTTTTGAGGTGGGCGAGCGTTTAGATACGAGGGTACAGGGTATATACGACAAGAGATAGCATTCTGTGTCGTGAGGAATGCATTGGATGGCATTAAGGACCAGCACTATGTGATTTATCTCATAATTAGACCATTGCTATACAGGACATTTTCGCTCAATGGAGAAACTTTCGACCATCCTAATATAAGACTCGAGTGTAATCACTCTACTTAGCACCGCAGAGCAAGATCGAAAGAGAATAGAATATAGATTAAGCAACCGGAATCTCCCTTTCCCCAAGGGGGTTGGGGAAGGCTTTTTTACGATTTCCGAAGCTGTAGAATTGTAAGCCTGCCTAGTCAAACTTACCCGAAAGCCAAAGGCATCAATTGACAAATCTCATCAAGATACACCGTTATTTCGACTCTCCCTTAACTTTTCCCACTTGCTCGGTATGATAAGTATAGTCCAACACAACCGGCAAATGCTTCTCTCTCTTTCTCTAGGCTCTTTGAAAATAGCTAAGTCCAACGCAATTTAGGAAGCCTTTCCGTGAAGCCGTAACCTGCGCAAAGGGAAACGGACACGCAGCGCAGCAGGAGAAGAAAGAAACAGAAAAGAAAAAGAGAACAAACAACAACTAGTTAAGCCACATATCTCGATTTCCATCTCCACCGCGCCCTCCCCATTACATCGGTATGTAATCGACAATCGGAGTCTTACCAAGGATAGTGCCTACGGGAGGATTATAGAATATCTTCGTACCGTCAATGTCCGATTGCTGGATCATAGGGGGCTCCCTTCGATAGTTCATTACCGAGAGCTCATTCTTCGGGGTGAGTCGCACTGCACCTCGAACATTGGAACAGGAGCCAGGGCAAACTCGTGTCCCAACCCCAGCACATGTCCCAGCTCATGCGCGAACACACTCCACATATGTCTCTTATAGGCAGGCGAAAAGGCATAAGTATAGACCTGGACAAAGTTAGCGTCCTTGGTGAGAGGGACGTCTTTAAACGTGACGCGGACACCTCCCTTGTTCCACTCCTCGGCGACCTTGTGCATGTGCGATGCCATGTACTCGGCATCTTCTGCAGATCTATAGCCCCTTTTCCATGCATGCCGTCCAGTTAACTACCGAACCGGGCTTCCAGCGCGGGACTTCGAACTCCGGGCCAACCACTATGGCGGCCGGTTCACGCTTCAGGTTCTTAGGCGTGGGCTTTTGAGTAATGCATACTGGTATGGCGGTGAGAGCTCCTGTGCCGGGTGGCGGCGGTTCTGAGATGATGCTTGCTTCGTCGATTGTATCTAGGGCTTCCGGTCCGAGGCGTTCTTCTGTCTCTTGGAGAAGAATCTCCTTGGTGCTTGGAGTGTTTAAAACCATGGCTGAGTCTGGGTAAGGTGTGCCACTACAGCCGCGAGATGGGTGAGCCAAGATAAAGAATTATATTCTCACTAGTGAGTAGCTAATGTACGTTTGTAGATGTGCAATCATTGCCTGACTGAGCAGAGAGCGATACGGAAGGAGACTGATTGCTAGATCGTCGGGTTTAAATATTGCGATGGACAGCCTAGAACCCTGACGATGAAATTTTGATCTCAGTTGCGAAGATTTAGAGTTGTAAACTATAGAAACGTCATCTGAACCTAAGTTGTGGATGCTCTCAGTCTCATTGAGCCTATCTAGGCCATAAGGATATCTTAACTGAACTCTTTCTCACACACCCTCTTTCTTATTTTATTCTTTTCTTTTTACAGTCGCCTACGGTGGCTAGACTAGGAATAATGGAAAGTAAAGCCAAGTAAAGTTAGCATTGATCACACCACCTCTGATCCTGAAATGCCTCAGACTCATGTCGATCTTAAATCCGTGAAAGCCCTAGGCATACAATTTCATGCGCAGCAGTGACTAGCATTAACCTTAAGAGACCTCCTGTAGAAAGAGCACGCATACACCAGATAATAGATCAGATCATCTTCAATGATCACAGCTTCTTTTTAATCAGGGGGGAACTAACAATCCAGCGAAGTGGGAGGAACTAGCCAAGGCCTGGTGACTATTATCCTACGTGAGCCAGTAGAACACCAAACGAACTGAATAGTATAGGATAGCTAATATTGAAGGCTCGCATTATTATACAGTTGATAAAACAGCGTTGCCCTTAGTATTTTTGTCATCCTTAATTTTCTCCGCCTCTTGATGTTCTACGTCTCCTAAGTTTCTACGTCTCATAGGTTTATTGTTGTAAAACAGGAGCCTAGAGTCCTCGCTCAGACAAGAAGTCGACCATGAAAATTAGTATATACTAAGGTTCAACACTTTTCTGGGCACAGCACACCCTTCCATTAGTAGTCGCACATAAGTACAGATTTTTCAATATATACTATTGGTATTACCTTGTCACGGGTCCAGAAAACAACGCTAGTTCAACAGTGAGAGAGCGGAGTATTAGCGGGGGGGATATAGAGCAGGAAGGTGTAGGAAATTATGTACCTGACATATCCTAGTCCTTCTTTGTTGGGGCAATAATTCTCTATCGTACACACGCTAAAGAATTTCTTCTTTCTCCTTCCCTATCCTGGTAGCTCAGCCATCCCGTGCCTCTGCTGAAGAGCTTCCCTGGTCGGCAACTCGACTGGGTGTGAATTAACGGTAGTTATTTTCATTTTCACCTGCGCTGTCGCTGTCGGTGGTACCTGGTTGGCCTTTCTTCGCCGAAGGAGAAAATAGAAAGCAAGTGAAAGGATCAAAAGGAACCCGCCAACGCCGACCCCGACGCCTATACCAATGCTCCTCGAAGATGAAGACGTCGAAGGTATGGATATGGATGTGGAAGAAGACGTGGTCAACTTACTGACGATTGGATCGATCAGGGTGCCCCCGGCTTGTCCCAAGGAGATGTTGAGCGGGATCTTTCCATTATCGATTGCCCTCCATTTGAGATTGAAAGTGTAACCAGGGTGGAACTCATTATTTTCAGTACCCGTGAATCCGTAGAATGTCCCGGCCACACAGTCCTCATAACCATAGATAGACATAATGCGCTCTCGACACTATCTCAGGCCAGCGGGCACGCAGAACAGGCTCAGAACAGACCCCAACATAGGCATCATAACTAACAGGAGCTGTTATGAGAGCTTGCAGAGAGGTTGTGCCTGTTCTGAGAGCACGGACGATAATCTTTAGCACCCTACTCGAGAAGCTGGTGCCATAGTGTCCTCTGAGCGGTCAGTCTCGCTTCGCGGTGCTGCGCCAGCGGATAATGAATGTTGATCTTGCGTAACAAGACCACTCGTGATGTAGATCCTTGTTAATCCCCTGTCACGGGTGCCTTGAGTCGAGGCATCCGATTTGCGAGGTACGCAATGGACATTAGTTCGTTATATGTAGCTATGTTGGACTAGGACAGCCGGTTGTGTACTGATAACAAACTAAGACGGTTAGCTTCCTGCGCCTTATCTCAACGTAGTAATGAATGGGGCGGATCCCAATTAGAGGATATAATGGCCCATTGTTAGATTCGGATACATGGAAGTAGCGGTCAGTAGGTGTGAGCACTATTCGCGACCAGGGGTTTTTGGGGCAGCTGAAGAAGAAGAGGAGAGATTAAAAAAATACGAAGCGTCTGACCTCTGTTAATAGCATTAGCAGCTTAAATGGCTAACAAGTACTCCCCACCTGTCAATAGAGCCCAGGGATCCGGCCCGAGCCACACTAAGTTGATCCCTGTTAAAAATAGTTCACTATTTATGACATGAGAGAGACCCTGCATCCTTTCCAATCACACTAGTAACCCATGGGAACCGAAGGAGCCCAGTTTCTCAAGCGCTGACTTCCTTTGCTGGGTGGGGCCTCCTCCGGCGCACATATTTATTGCTAGTTGTTTGAATCGCATGTCTGACTTCTTTCAATGTGTAACCCGATTCAACTTCGGGTTCCCTCCAAGTGAGAAGCTATGAGTTCCCAAAGAACGTAGCCTATTTCATCCCAAACATGGTTCGCTCTCGACCATACGGCCGGCGGCGTACAGCCCTACTCGCCCTAGGCCTGGTGACCATATTCATATGGCTTTTTTACCACTATCGGTCGCCCTCCGGACACAGCCATGTCAGCACAGTCGCCCACGGTGAGTTCTGGCGACAGTTCCAACCCCTGTTGACACAATGGGGACCAAACTGCAATCCCCCGGAACGGCTCGCCAAGGCAGACTCGGTTGGATTCGACCCCAAAAACACCGAACAGCCTCCCAGCTTAATATTGTTACCGGACGAAGACGTCCTGAAAATGAAACACGCACATAGCAACTTCGTGCACGCCATCGCCAAGGACCCTCCAGCACTGGCCTACCAGCCAGGCACGCGGGGGATAGTCTCAACCGCGGGCGGCTCGTATCTACCCGTCCTAGTCATCTCACTACGAATGCTGCGCCAAACGGGCTCCAATCTGCCCATGGAAGTATTCCTGGCCGACTGGGACGAGTACGACGGCTACATCTGCCAGGTAGCACTACCATCGCTGAACGCCAAATGCGTTCTGCTCTCCGCGATCCTGGATACGGTCCCGGACAGCAAAACCAAGATCGAGAAATACCAGTACAAGCCGTTCGCTATGCTGTTCTCCTCCTTCGAGGAGATCCTCTTCCTCGACGCGGATGCGTTCCCTCTCCAGAAGCCGGAGCTGGCGTTCAGTAGCGAGCCCTTCAAATCGAAGGGTCTGATCACCTGGCCGGATTTCTGGGGTCCCACTGTGTCGCCTCTGTACTATGTCATCTCGTCGCAGGAGAGACCTGCGCCGAATATCCGGCAATCTACCGAGTCAGGCGAGGTGTTTATCTCGAAGCGCACACATCTCAGGACCCTGCTTCTGGTCGCCTACTATAATTACTGGGGCCCCGGGTATTACTATCCACTCCTCTCGCAGGGCGCAGCAGGTGAAGGTGACAAGGAGACTTTCATCGCAGCCGCGACGGTCTTCAACGAGCCCTTTTACCAAGTCAGTGAGCCAATCCGCGCCCTGGGCCGTCATACGAACAATGGATTCGCCGGCTCGACCATGGTTCAGTATAGCCCGATAGAGGACTATGCCTTAACGAAGAAGGGCGAGTGGCGGATAAAGGGGTCCACTGTTCCGGCGCCGAAACCGTTCTTCGTTCATATTAATTTTCCCAAGTTTAATCCCGCAACGGTGCTCGCGGAGAACGGACCCGTGGTGAAGGAGGACGGCAGTTATACCCTGGCGTGGACGGCCCCGGAGGAGGTGATTGAGTCGTTTGGTCTGGATCTGCAGCGTCAGTTGTGGGGGGAGATTTGGTGGACGGCTTGTGCTCTTGACGGCAAGAGTATCAGTTGGAAAGGGCAAACAGGGATCTGCGAGAAGGTTGAAGATTATTGGAATATCGTCTTTCGTTGATTTTGGCGGAGGCGTGGGATGGTACCTACTTGGTCTCTGGGACTGTGAAGCTTCAGTGAAGTGAAATTGTACAAAATGAACGATTATATGGGCATGTTCTGGCATGCTTGTGCAGCACGCAGGCGACATAATTGCATTGGGGCTTATGATGTGCACTCTCTTGGGCTAGATGATGATTAACCTATATCCGTGACAACAACTTTAGAAATAAAGAGCCATTGTAAAGTCAGTCGTATCGAAATTCCAGTTATTATCTTTATATATACCATATTCTTGAATGGCTAGCCATATATAAAGTTTAGAGCCACAGTCTTATAACTCTTGGATCTTCTTGTTTTGCACGCAGAAACAGCTTTCTTATAGATACTATCAGCTAGAGGTTGGGCAAGCAGCAATACCGACCTACCTTAGTCAGATAGGGGCCCAAGGCTCACTTAGATATCAGAGCTGCCAGACACCACGGGGAACAACAGAACATCTACTAGTGGAATGCAGACAATGGCGTCACCAGAGAAAGGCCCTGTACAGGACCCTTGTCAAGGCAGGAGTTCAATCACCTAGACAGGGAGAGATAGTCCCAGAATGCCGTCTCTTTGAGGACCATAGAGCCACGAAGGCCCTAATGGCCTTTCTTAACTACAAATATCGGCTACTTCCCCGGAAAAGCGCTCGGGGAGATAGAAAAAGAAAGGGCCACTAGAGATCTTAGGGGTCTAGAGCTAGTGGAGGAAGCAGAAAGTAGAGAGGAGGGTAGCAGAAAGGGCAATCTAGGCACACCTAGATGACGCCCAGCAGGCAATGAATACCGAGGAAGGCATAGCCCCAAGGCCCTGGCGAATATAAGAGGCTCGGGCGAAGAAAAGGGCCAGAATGAATACACAAACGATAGAGGGGCAGAGGCAGTGGCCTCGGTCACTGCCTAGGGCATATGTGTCAGTTATAGCCAACGACTCAACATGCACGTTAAACTTGATTAACAATAACAATAATAATACATAGATCAGGTCAGTATTTAGTAACGGAATAGGCCAAAATATAATTAACTCTAAGAGATACAGTAGGATCCTGTATTCATTCATAAAGTAAAATCTATACTATTCTCTATGGAAATTCCGGTCAAATTAGAAAGTCTCGTTTATTTATATCTGGAAGTCTTCTTATAAGGACTTCTTCTTTAATAGGTATTAACTTATAACCATTAACGCACGTTTCTGCCCGTGGTTTTATCCCTTGTAGTCGTCGACAAAGGGTAGCTTTAGATATCTGAAATATATTAGTGGCTTTTCGATTTGATTTGATCTTTTCACTTGGAATAGCTAAAATAGCCATCTGAATTCGATTTTCACGAGAAAGAGGCATTTTCTAATGATATAATGGAATAAAGAATAGGTTAAAAGGGGTGTAAGTGTAGAACATTTTGGTGTGGCGGCCAAACCGAGTCACTCAGCCATGTGCGTCACTCGACAGTGGAATACGCTCTATGCCGTGATAATATAGCGCGTCAGCAGGGAGCAGATCATCAGTTGATAGAAAGCACCCTTCCCTCCTTGTGCTAACCGCTGTGTAAAACCTCGCCTGAGCATGCTCAAATATGAACACAGTTGACTTGCTCTAAAACTATGTATTACCCTCTGCTTACCTCCCCATAGATGGCATACAGCTCCTGAATTACCATTATCGCTTCCTCATCAGACAATGACAAATGCAGCGGTAGCAGGAAAACCCGCGAACTTGCGAGCGTCGTGACACAGTCAATCCCCAGGAAGCGCCCGTGCCTCTGGCCAGAGGGTGATGAATGCAACGTCATAAACTGTGGATGAGATTGAATATAATCCCGACTAGGGTTCATCAAGCGACGAAGGGTTCATCAAGCGCCGACCAGGAATGGACAGCTTTGGAGTTAACAGTATCGACAATACCAGCCTTCTACCCGACGGCGTATACGGTCTCTGCTTCGCGGCCGAAGAAATAGCACGCTGCATCTACCAGGGTCGATTGGAGAGTCCCGACATGCCCTGAATGGAAAGCCTGGTAATGAAGGAGATAATGGACAGAGTGTGTCGAGAGAACGATCTACGATTCCCAGAAAAGATTGAAACGTTAGAATACCCTGTAGTGTATCTTTCTAAGTCACCCTAATCCCAATATTACGATTATCCACTCGTGGGCTCACTACCCATATCTTTAAGCATCTACCCCACCGCACTCACTCCGACTACTCTCTTCCCGCCCCATGAAAAAGACAACCAGTACAGCCATCCCAACACTAACCACCCCAAGAGAAACAGTCATAACCCCCCAACCAGCCCATTCGCGAATATACCCCGCATAAAGCGGCCCAACAAGAGCACCCGCCGCAAAAGCAGCATTACTCAACCCATATGCCTGCGAATATACTCCCCGGGTACTGAAGACCCCTGGATGGTCCTTCTCAAGTGCCTCAGTCGCCATGCTGATTTCTGTCATCATGGCTGGCATAGCCATTGATACCCCGGATCCGAATAAGAATAGAAACACACGTAGTAATACCGAGAATAAAGGTTTATCCTCTTGGATCATGGCTAGGAGCATCAGGCTCGGTGCTGTCAGGGAGAATCCTACCACTGCTGGCCAAAAGGGGCCGATCCGATCGACGCAGGTACCGGCGAGTGGGGAGAGAATCATCAGGGGGAGTGAGTTGGAGAGAAAGACGGTGGCTATTTGGCCGGATGTGTAGTCGAAGAGTTTCTGGAGGTAAAATGGTAGGACGGCTTCGAGGGCAGTAATGACGGTATTCAGCATGCACAAGCCTATCATGGCGATTAGGAACCGTGGAGAGCGGAGGAGGATGATGAGGGCAGGGAGTGACGGCTCTCCGGGTGTGAGATGCTGTATTAGAGGCAAGTGCTCGTTCGAGGTATGGTGTTTACATCGGGGCGGTGGTGGCTGGAGGAGTCTGCAGAGGAAAATCTCTAAGATTATGAGTGCGAATGCGGGGGCAAAGACGGTCAGATAACCGGATACTTCGTAGATGAATCCCCCGATGATTGGACCTGCAAAGAGCCCGAGACTTAGACTCATGTTTGTGAAGCCAAGGGCGCTGCCGATACGCTCACTTCCGACTGTGTCGAAGAGTAGGCTGTAGCCGATTGTGAAGACGCTGGCTGTGGAGATTCCTTGTAGGACCCGTGCAAAAAGGAACAAACGAAGAGAGGTTGTCGTAGCCGTCAGGAGGGTAGCACCCCCCTCTGCGATCAGACCCAATAGAAAGGGGCCTCGTTTCGTCTTGGTATGGTCTCCAATCCACCCGAAGAGCACTAAGAGGGGCCATGTTAGAGTTAGATAAATCGTCTGATGGGAATAAGAGCGTACAAGATCCTAAGAGAACTGAGGCTCCATAAACAGCCAAAAAGGTCGAGGCCCAGAGTTGAATGTCGTGCTCGTCTAGTCCTATTCGCACCTTTAGGGCAAAGGGCAGCACGGGAACAATCAACCCATAGAGAAAGACGTCCGTGAAGATGGCGATACAGACAACCAAAGTAACGAACGCACTTGAAGACCGCCATCCAGCATGCGAAGTCATTTCGAATAGCGAGACTGACAGCTAGGTTGGTTTATACAATTCGGAGAAAGGAGAGGATTCCCAAATAGTTCTCAAAGCAGAGGATGGCTTATTCTACACTAAATTTTGCCTACTCAGTGATACTGTTTCAGCTCACGTTGATGTCCTGAGTAGCTTCAGGCCTACCTGCAGTTCAACTAAAGCTTACGAGAAGCGGAGTCGGCAATGAAAGTCAGATGCTGTCCCATCCGGGAACTCCTTGCTTTTGAAAGTTTAATGCATTCGCCGCAGCCAATCTCCCCTGCCATGCGATTCGAAGGTCTCACACCTATACGAGACATAAGCTGAGCTAATCGCTTTCGAAGGCTCGGAAAGGGCGTGGGAACCCTGGAATGGTACGAAACCGACAGGGCAAAGCCCCAATGACATCCAGCACAAATTGTATTCAATATTACTGCATCGTACGTAATCAGGGTTTTTGCAAGTCCCACATGACTGGCATGCATCGGATCGAAGGCATTGTGCTACCTTAAAGGATGCCGAAACTGAATGAAGTCAAGTCTCGTTGGTCTCATTATTAATTTGAATACACCCCGGCTGGCATTGACGGTCGTACTATGCGTTGCCTTGTGCAGGACACGGCCATGTGTGAAATATAGCCCCTCGAACCCAAATTAACCTGTCACAGTGTATAAGTAATATGATATGGTTATTGATTATCATGTTGTCTGAGTTTCTCTTTATATTATACAATCTGATTGAAATCAGCAGCCGACGCTGGGCATTAAGTACCCCTTCGGCACTTCGGGGTTCAGCAGGAGTGATGATGTCGACATATACTCAACGGGTCACTATGTCAGCGTGGTGTACATAGGTGATAGGGCAACACGATTCAGATATCCAGCTCCGCATTCTCATGCAAAAGGTGGTGCAGATTTCAATACCTACTGCTCAAGCGAGGACAAGCAAACCCCTTCGTCTTTTGGTTACATGACTATGTTATTATGCGAAACTCACTTGTGCTCTCTATGGCACACGCCCCGTGAAAAGCCGCGAAAAAGAATGAGAGCATGGCCTTTTATATTTTCGTTAGAGGTAAGCTACAAGCTGGGCTGGATTAAGACTAGATTCCGCTGTTTAAGCATCGCCACTGACATTCCATGGTTGGTTTGGATACTAACACATCCGCAGATGGAGAATGCCATGCCGAGAACACACAGCCCAGCGGACTGCCAGCGCTCAAGAGTATCCTGATGACTGGGTTGCTGGATTCACGTTAGGATCAACGAACACCTTCATGTTGACTTGGTAGATTGGCAGTCTAACTGATATGTTATGTCCTCAGTGGAAGCTGGTTTGTCCGCCATATGATACAAGTATACGGCGACTGTTATGATGTGGTTTGTTTGGGTAACCTCGATTACTACACCTCGACGAAGAACCTTGAGGTTGTTTGGAATTTTCGCAACTTTTCACTTTGCCAAAGGAGATGTTTGCGATTCGAAGGATGTAGAGGATGTTCTCCATACCTACCGTATCGGTCCTATTCTCCACTTCGCTGCTAGATCCCGTGTCGACACACCACTCAGCGTCCCTTTGTCCTTTACTCAAACAAATGCCACCAACACATAAGACCCGCTGGAAATTGTTTGACAGCTCAATTCAATCAAACAATTTATCCACGTATCCACTGGTGAAGTACACGGCTAGAATGACCCCAAAGCCCTAGTGCCTTCATCGAGGAGCAAACCTTCTACCGAACAAACCCATGCTCAGCCAGAAAGGCTGCGACCGAGATGATAACTCTGGCATGTCTAGAGTCGTTTCGCATCATTTCGCATGCGAGTCATCGTCACGCGATGTAATAACGTGTTTTGGCCACACCGGTATCCTGAGAGTAAGTCGACTCCGCCGTTTTGACCGCATATAATCTAATCATAACGTGACTTAGAACTGGAGATTATCACCCTCTTAAACTAAGGGCGGAAAATGCCGGTCCAACGAGATGGCCGCGCCGTTCACGCGTTCCTACGGGCGGGTGATGCTTGCTGAGGTGCTCTGGTTAATTTTCCGTAAGGGAAGCGACGGCGAAACGTACAACACCTCCTCCATTACTCATCTACAGTATTCCCAACATGCACTGGATCGATAGTTCGAAGCTGTGGGCGCTTGGATGGAAGTAACGGGCCAGCTTTAACGACGCGCTACGGGCGACGATCGATTGGTTGTGCCTGGACAGCGAGAGCTTTTGGTCAATTTTGGTTGGCTTGGATAGCGGGATCAATAAAGGCAATCATAATTGAGTTATGCAAACTTAGAATGGGCGCTTTGTCAAATTGGTGGAGCAATAGTTAAGTTTTTACTCTGTCGGCTGTGCTCCGTACTCCATAGATCATTTTCCTTACTGATATGAATCTATACGAGACCACGTGATACTAGTGGCTTGGCCGGATCACCAACTCCAGCCCCTGAAGGCTTTACCCATTAGATTAGAAGAAGCTCAAGATAGTTGATACAGTCGTCCATAGAATTGAGTATCTATCGGAATGGCATCCGGACCTCTGTAGGCTACATACGTGTAGCTGATACAGCCTCATTCTGCCCATCTTTCCCCTGAGATCTCAACACTTACGAAGGATACCTTCCGCAACTCCGTTATACGTAGGGCTTGGCTTGAGTGAAACCCTTGAAAGCTATGGTCACTTGCAAAAAGTTACATTTCCACTCCATATCCCAACAGCCCGGTTTGGTATGGGCCCAGGAATTAAACCTGGTCTACGTGATCGATCTGAGAGAACCGCTATAATATGTCGTAATAAATTAGTACTTATGTTACGGTTATTCAGGTTGAGTGACCAAGTGGGGGGGATATGCGAGAAGGCCCTTGCATGATTCGGATTCTGCACACTACACAAGAAGGTCTCTTATATGCATGTGTAGTGTGCTTTACAAATATTTGAACCATAATAGGTGTCTCTGTTGTATTCTTTCCATCTAGTATTGCAAGGACCAAAGGGAGGAAAGGGGTGACATGATTGAATTGGCGTGTTACATTCTCAAAGTCTGTCCGCCTCACTTTGAAGAAACCCTCTGGAATGCAAAGAATTGCACACCATAAGTGGACCCCAGATGACTACCGGTAGTTGGCATTATTCAGCTATTTGTCGTAGCTAATCCCCTTCAGTTAAGGATTTCCTACATGCCGTTCTTCCGCATTTACATAGTGGAGCTACCGGCAATGTCTCGGAAGACTTCCGGAAAGAGCAGACACGGTTGACAGCACTACCCTTAATCATAAGCTTAGAGCGGTCCATGGGCCATAGCCGTCGCTGATCCAGCCAAAAATGGAGCATATGCCGACACTTGGCGTGTCAACCTCAGTCCACATGGAGATCAACCTTCAAGGTGGACGAATACGAGAGGCCACACCCAAACTCTGTTGGGATTTGTGTATCAAGAGGGGAAAATCTGGAGGGGCTATGTGCCGAAGTGATGTGGCATGGTAAGTTTCTTCGGTCTATGAAATGAGCGCGACCTCGCCTAAGAATACAAGCTGAAATCCCACACCATCATATTCAAGTGCTCACACTATCAGTACTACTGTGTATTGCCGAAATGGCCGCCACACAAACTATCCAAGTTCCCCACCTGGGCGGCATCAAAGCCGGTTACGCGCTCTCAAACAATCACTATGACCCCTCCAAGCCAACATGCGTGCTCGTCAATTCGATGTGCATGACGGTGTCTCTCTACCATGATCAGTTTAATAATAAGGATTTAACTGATGCCATGAACCTGTTGGCTATCGAGCCATTAGGCCATGGCTCGACCAGTTGTCCTTCTGAGCATTTCACCTACTGGGATTCCGCCGTTATGGCCTTGCAAGTCATGGACCACTTTGGGATCCAGAAGGCGTTCGTCCTGGGGACGAGTCAAGGAGGGTGGATTGTGACCCGGATGGCGCTCCTCGCTCCGGATAGGGTAAGTTCAAGCTAATGCACCGCCGACTTTAGCGCATGCCAAGAAGAATAGGATTAACCTCACCTCACATATTACCAGATTCTCGGTCTCATGCCCCTGGGGACAAGCATGGATTACGAATCAGCTGATTCCCGGTCCAAGGGCTGCTGGGACCCTGCGGCCAGTCTCATGGCCTTTTACGAGAAGTGGACGAGTCCCTCACCTACACCTGACTTTGTTGTAGATGATGTTTGGTGTGGTTTGGTGGCCGGCATTGGTTTCGGTGCCGCAGCCAGCGCGGAGAAATCCGCGTTCTGGACTCAGACCTTGAAAGAGGTATATAAGGGCGACGAGGGCCGGAAGAAGGTGCGGATGGCGCTCAATTGCCTCCTCGAGAGAGATGGGCTGTTGTTGCGCTTGAGGGACATCAAATGCCCTGTTTATTGGCTCCAGGTGAGTGCCGGATTTATCTCCATCCGACTCTATTGTGTGATCTGTGCGTTAACGAGCGATAAGGGCACTGATGATACACCATTTGGAACGGTTGTCCCCGCCGAACAAATCGAACTTTTCACCTCTTCTAAGGACGCCAAGCTGGTCATGATCGAGAGCGGTGCGCATTATCTGAATGCCACTAATCCTAAAGAGGTGAACGAGGCGCTTCTGGAAATGGTCACGAAGTATAAATGATTGCCACGGCGTGAGCGTCGCATATAGGTAGCTTGAGAATGTTTTATATACGTGACAACCAGTTCAACATGTCATTGGAGGGTATTTTGAAATGCTTCGTCTGTAAAGAGGTTGCCACCACTTGGACAAGCGTGAAGATAGCGGGAGTGGACTGGTTTTGATATTTTGAGACCGTCGTGGAAATTACCTTGTGGGCACTTTTTTTTCCGTCTATTATGCTTTGTCCTTGATAGGTTTCTTTCTTTCTTTTTTTTTTTTTTTTTTGCAATAATTAGGCACCTATTTAAACCTCAGGAACCAATCCCACAATCCACGTGGACTTTTGACCCGCAGACCCTTCATTTACTGGCCAGCGGTTCATGAGGATGAGTGGAGCGTCGGAGCAGATGCCCAACCCGGTGTAGGTTAACGGTTGGCCGATAAACCCTAAAGATTCCAATTTCGAATAGACCGGCATGTCAGGCCAATTCCTGGTTTTCTCGTCTCTTTACGAGTCTATGTCGATCCAAAATGCACCGGATCCACCTTTGACACACCATGTTTCATTGCCGTGCGGAGAACGAGATTATACCCACGAATGAACGGTAGAACATACGATGAAGGGGGGTTTTCCCGGGCTCTGCTCACTCGGATATATTAGGCTAAGTAGTGCCTCCCTCGTTCTTCCGGCGTCTGTTGTTCATGTCTGCTCCATGGCATTTATTTGCACCTCATGGAGAATGACAAGGATGATCTTCAGCCATGGTCGATAGCCACGACGGCCGCAGTCACGGCGTTGGCCTTCGTGGCTGTTTGCCTCCGACTGGTGGCACGTTATGAAAGAAAGCAGAAGTTATGGTGGGATGACTACATGATCATTTTCTCCATGGTTAGTGTCCTATTGTCGTTGCCAGGCACCTTGATGGCATTGTTACTGATCTACGACTCTGACCATAGTTCTGGAATTTTATTGTTGTCGGATTCATCTACGCCATGATTAAAGAAGGTATGGGTCTTCACGCCAACTTCATCCCAACCAGTAACGTTGTTATGATTGCAAAATACCTCGTCGTGGCCGAGATTCTCTACGTGTTCAACCTCGTCTGGACCAAGCTTGGCATTCTGCTCATGTACTACCGAGTTTTCCGCTTCCCCTATTTCAAGACATGGGCAATCATCATCGGAGTCTTCGTCTGCCTCTGGGTTATCTGCATTACCTTCCTCTTCATCTTCATCTGCGTGCCGGTCCAGAAACTCTGGTATCCCCAGATCCCAGGCCGATGTATCAACCAAGTCGGCACATGGATCGCCAACGCCGTCTCAACAATCGCAACCGACCTTATCATTTTGTGTCTCCCAATTCCTCAAATATTGAAGCTCCAGCTTCGTCTCTCAGAAAAGATAGCGGTGCTTTTCGCCTTCAGCCTGGGCTTCTTGTAAGGCGTCCGCCACTTTTATCTCTCCATCTTTCTTACCAGTCTAACTTCCACAGCGTTGTCTTCGCCTCCGCCTACCGCTTCTCAGTCCTCTTCACTTATGACCCAATGGATTCCTCCTACACTCTCGCCCCAACAGTAGGCTGGACCGCCATAGAGATGTCCGCCGGTATCGTCTCCGCCTGTCTCCCAACCCTCCGCCCAGCCCTCCGTCTAGGAGCCCGCCTCCTCGGCTTCAACGGCAAACTACCGGCCCTCTTCCGAAGCACAAATGGCCAAATCAGCAAGACATCGAATCCTACAACTGGACCATCCCACCTGGACGACAGCACCATCACCATCATCCAGCAGACCGAGCGACCAAAGCGGCATTCCTTCTACCATTTACCGGATGAAACGGACTCGACGGCAGAGCAGGCACGAATGGATGCGTCGTTTAGGCCGGATTATGCGAAGACGTATACGAATGTGTTAGGGCCGAGGGTTAATGGGCGTTTGAGTGGGGATGAGATTCCTTTGAATGGGATCCGTGTGGATAGGGAGTTTACGCAGACCAGTAGGCGTTAAGGTCTGGTGAAAGGTTGTATTATAGGTGTATTATAATGACTGGTAATGCCATGGATGCTTTTGTTGATTGGTGTGGAGTGGTCGTTCATGTAGTATTTAATGCTGTAGGGTAGGGTATGTCTCATGACTCGGAGATATGTTTATGTATATGACCATACTCGCAAATCTGCCCTTGGCCTTGACTAAGTCCACATCGTACGGAGTACACACCGAGGGAGAAGATTTAGAACAGATGGTACTATTGAGCTAAGCATATCGATACTAAAAGAGCAAGGATACACCAGGCTCTTCCACAACGATTTCTGATCTACTATGCGAGGCTAATGGGAGCTAGGTCACAGGTAATACTTATGTTAAAGGGCCTTCCCAAAGGTATGCACACTCGCCACACACATGGAGTAGAACATACTGGGTTTAATTGCCTATATATGCACCTTGATAATTGTGGCATGCAATATTACATCAGATCTATTGAATATGACCATAGCATTACCTAGTACCACAGACATATGAATGTCTAGTGATTAGGTGTTTTGTGTGAACTCCTTTGTCATGAAGGGTCCATGATTTCTCCCTGGATAGGCCTTCTTGATCCTTCTCAGGATCATCAATCTGCTCGTTTTCTGGTCGTCAGATACGATTTAAATACAGTTCCCTATACAAGATCGAATCTTTTTATATGGAATCACAAGGTGATGAAATATGATTATAGCCATTTCTAATGAGACATTTGGCCTCATCTCATTTGAGATCCTGGTTAAACGAACCTGACTCACAGAGGGTCTTGACTTGACATACAAAGCCAACGTGAATCAGCATCTAAACTACAGGTTATATCCCTGATGTGAAAGTCGAGAAACGAGCCGCGATACACAGCTTGGCTGAAACGTAGGTAACGGACAAGCCGACAAGGTAATACGAAGTGCAGGCCCATCATTCAGTATATCTCTAGGATGGGGGGGGGGGGGGGAATCTCGCACAGATAATCATCGACGAAGCCCAAAATATCAAAACGATTCGTACCCGGCGCCACCAGGCATCAGCATTGGTACCCTTATTCATTTATTTCCGCCCTTCGATTCCAATCTTCAATCGAGTACTGAATCTTTTTGTGGGTTCTCTCCCCGAGTCGCCCCATACACACACATATCATGGTGCTTTCAGGTTGGCTCTGCGATGAGTCCTTGATGTCGCTGAGTGGCTTTAGTTTCGTTGTTCATCCTAACCGCTGAACTCATACATCGTGTCCTAACCAATCCATCAAGGTTCCATTAACCTGCTAGAGTCTAACTACTGGATGTCTAGATATGTAGACGCCTCAGTGTTGTGGCAGAATCTAAGCCGTAAGCCATGTAAAAGCCCTCAAACCCTTAATGCAGCAGACATATATGAAACCTGCGTATCCCCATTTTGGAAAGCCTATATACAAAACAACCAAGACGCTCGCCATAGCGCTGTCTCCCTGTCTTGCAACGCAAACTGCAAGCCAGAAGAGTAAACAGATTGAGCGTCCAGGCCACTTAGCAGTGAAAGATAATGTGGCAACATCATACCAAGGCCGGAGCAGAGGCCGGATTTAATGCAGACATACGCCAATTAATTAAGAGAAGGCGTCCAGCTCGGAGTTGAAACTGTTAGAACTCCGAACGCTCACTCGAATCATGTCGATGAGCTACATGAGAATAGACCGGGGTCTGCATGGGATTCCCTTCTTTGCTGTATTACAGCCTAACTGTCATCCCTGTGGACGAGACAATGCTCAGTCAAGCAGCTGAAACTGATTTGCGTTATTTAAGGATGTATGAAGTCTCCGTAGCAGTGGATGATTTGTCTTTTCTTCTGTTAACTTTCAATTCTTGGCAGGTTTTATAGTGCAGTCCATCCTAGAATTCTTCAACACACCCAGAAGGGGAGGTCTACTTCCGACGCTCGAGCCCACAACTCAACAATAACCCAGGCCACTGGAATGCAGACAGTGCTGGTTACTTCTACACCCATCGTCTGATCGAATGATTCAACAATGAGGCCATGGCCCGACAGTCTGGCAGAGTCCCCGTGCCCAACTTTACTAGTCCACGATCTCAATACATTCGCGAGAAAGGGACAGGCCTATTCTACAACGTCCGCTTTGTCTTCTGGAGACATCTCCCGGTGAGCCTTGGTGCGCACAATATAGATTTGCCGTACGTGTGGTGGTTGGTTCGCTTAATTTTCGACGCCCATCCATGGTTAAAGGTGAAATCATTAAACAAAGTGGATATATCATCAAGTTGATCAAACAACTGAAATTCTGGTCCCGGCAGAGGTGGAATACCAGTCGTATTATAGGAAATAAATGAGGCTAAATGATAGTGCGGAGAGATTCTAGAATATAGGATTCTAGGAGGTTGAGTTCGGGGCCGAGTTCTGCTTAGTACGATTTTAAGCTCACGTGACACACCGCCTCCTATAATAGAAAGGTTGGCTGTACGCAGATCGTAACCCTAAAAATATTTTTACTGTCGCTGAGGATAGCTCTCTTATCCTTAGATGTAATTCTTTAATAAATATACTAACTGTTCTTCTAGTCCCTATTCTTTGGTTCGCCTCGCGAAATATTATTTTATAGCTAGCTAAGGATAATAGTAGCGAGATATCTTTAATAAGACCGACTGTACCGAATACGCAGAACTAGACGTTGTCGTGGCCGCCGATCCTTGTCGATGTCTAACCAACCTCGCCTCGAAATAGGACATGTAGTTTACCTTAGAACAAACAAGAAAACGCACCGCTGACACGGGTGACAACAAATCAGAGTCGAGGCGAGTAAGAATGCGAAGAACCTCTGGTTCAGATGTTTGCAACTCTGTGTTTTCCCGGAATAAAGCGGGCGAACTCACCCGTCAGCACTAGACCACTTGCCGCGGACCATCTGCCGAGTGATTCTTATGGTTGCGAATCATGACCAGTATGTCGGCACTCCAGGTACATTGAAGACCTCATTCAAATCTGCTGAGCTAGGGTGGCGTGTAGGTTCCCGAACGTCCCCCGGGAATTGGAAAATCCTGCCAGAACTGAACGATTAATGCTATACACACCTTGCCGTAATTAAAGGACCTGTGAATTCAGTCTTCGGGTAAATTTTGCTGATGGTCTTCCAATATGTTGCCTTGTAATTACTGCTTGGTCAAAAGGTATTGAGGAAATAAACCTTGGTTTCATTTAGTTCGACCATATAGATTTACAGGCCTCTCGGTAAAAGATCCATGGCCATTAGTGGCTAAGCTGCTCTGTATTCTGATTCGCTTGTATTAGCCTCCCTTCCCATCATAATGGAGCCCTGGCGGGACACGAACAAGCTGGTTGACATACCCTTAATTTTGCAGACGGATATCAATTAAAGGCCTCTCTTGGTAATCATATACTTTCAACTCAGAATAATTATTGGCGAAAACAGCAGTCCAGAGTCTTGGCTCGGAATATCCTATAGATTGTGGGCAAGATGAGTGGGAATAACAGCTATGCAAAGTAGACACATACCTCTTATTGGGGGAGAGGAGGCACAGTTGATTATGATCCAGTCTTCAACCATATTCTCCTTTAACCAGGAAAAGTACCTCCCCCCCTCCTTGAATCGAGAGATATGTTCATTGACCCGATCATGATCCCTGAGCAACTCAATCGCCCACTTCTTTTCTGGAATATAAAAGCCAACTCGGCCATCACTAGTCCTTGACCATTCACTGCAGATCGGCACACCTCGGCCTGCCAAAAGATTGAATGACCTGTAAAATTCGTCCTGATATTGCGCCTCCATGGGCCTACATTTTGCTGCAGTCGACATTTTCTTGCCTTGAACAGCATGTCTCAGGTTAATTGTCGAAAATTTACTGAGAACCTCCAGGCATAATGTATCTAGCTGGTTGAATCTCGCAGGCAAAGGCCTCGTGTCCTGGCCGATGATGAATTCAAGCCATCTAAGACAGGGTCAGATTAAGACAAGAAATACCACACAAGAACTTAACTTACTTCTCATGCAGGCGTGACGGCAGGACAACAACATCATATGTGTTGATCTCTCCCACAGATATCCGGTGAACCCAGCCTCTCTCGTAACATTGCTGCATACCCACATCATCACTATTAAATCGCATATTTCCCTCCTCTAAAGTCTTGCACAGTGTTCCACCGGCTTCAGGTGTTAAGTGCCCTCCAGTAGGGAATGAGCGGAAAACAGCCTGATTCGTGAGATACTGGAAGACTTGAGTATCATCCTTCAAATTATCAAGAAGATGATCTTTCGTTATTGTACTGATACATCTGTGCTTTAAGTCATGACGATGCGCCTAAGCTAGAGTTAGTTGCGCAAGCAAGCCTAAAGCTCATCCGTTTACTTTTCTGGTTTGGGGTCAAGAACGGTACATACAGAATGAACAAAATTGACTAATGATGTCACCCCTCCGGGATGCCCATTTGTCAGCTCGTATAAGTAGCTCATAGCCTCTTTATCAATTGTGAATTTTTCTTCGTATTTATTTGTAGTCAGAAGTGACACAGCCTCATCAAATTCATCTGGTGTAAAAAATAAGCCGAGCTTTGGTGAATCTTTGCCAGGTTGAGGGGTCAGTGTAATGCGCTGCGCGGGACCAAAGGTAGCTGGAGAAAACCATAGGTGGTCTACCTCCAGGCCTGTCAGAGGGCTTCCGTAGGAACAGAAAAGACAGATATTTATATCCTCGCCTTCACCAGACCTTCGCTCTTTAACGATTGTGTTCCAGAAATAAGAGTCCTTGTATGAAGCCTGAGCCTCATCAACAACAATTACAGTCTTTGAAGCAAAAAATTCCGTGTGACTATATTCAGGATACCTTTGTTGCAGGAGCAGGGCGAATCGGGTCCAAGGGTCCTTGCCATGGAAAGACTCCAGCGGCTCCCATGTCTCGAGTAGAAATACCTTCCTATTATTCTCGACGTAATAGTCCCTTAGGAGTTCAGACAGGACCGTTTTTCCGCTCGCTGGTGTTCCGCGTATGTGTATAACATTTTGAGAATCCACAGCAGCTGCAAGCTTTGATACTGTGTCCTTGCGTAAACATCTCGTTGGATTATTAGGAGCTATCCATCGCATATGATTGTCGGCTCTAATTATGACCTCTGAGGGGACAAGATTTGACACTTACGTTTTCTGAAGTGCTCCTGTATGTGATCAGGGTTGCCGGCAGATGCTAATATTTCCGTCGGAGATGATTTGGTATGAAAATCCTGGTGCTCTGAGAGGAGATGGTCACACCTCTGGCATTTCACTTCAAGGGTTGATGCTGATGTCATAGTGAAAATCCCTTGTGAACATGGACATGGAATCGCCAATATGCCCGTCTTTATAACTGCTGTACACTGGCCTGTGCTCATTGTGCGAGAGGTTGAAGTACGCTTCTTTTCTAGGGGCAGGCTCAAAGGGGAAGAAATCATTCGAAGAGGTGAGTGAAAAAGCATCCTTGCAATTTTTTGGCGCGACGTAGGGTGTCACAGATCGAATAGCGATTCGGCCTGATGACCGTACAGGATACCCTGGCCCAGGTGCATAGACAATCGGCCACCGATGAGGAATATCAGGCCACACGACAGATTGGGTTCAACGGGATTCTGAATCCTTTAGGCATGGAGCCTTTAGCTATAAATTAGCGAATCGTTAGCAGTAGTAGGAGATCAAGAATCAGTCTCCTGTCTGAATAGTATCTACTGCCTGCCTTTGACCTCTCTCTTTCTTTTAGCCTACGTACCCTTACCTAGTTGACAGGTCCTCTACCCTGAATAGTAGATACCCTTGACATAGGGTTGGTAGGTTTGGTGGAAAGTGTTGTGAGAACTGAGGGATAGTTGATTATGAAATACTGCAATCAAACAGATCTGGTGAGAAACACCAAATGTATGGCACTTCACATTTCGTCCAGTTGATATGAGAGAGGAGAAAAGTCAGAATATAGTGAATAGTTCCAAGAGGAAAATAAAGTTGAAGAAGTTGCCTCCCTTTCGCAACCGACAGAATCAAGATGATGACAATACGGCGTATCGGGCCTCTATCCCGAAAGGGTAAAGACTAACCCCAAACAGGAATTCACTGGTTCTCGCTTTACATCGACAAAAAAAGGTGCTGAACGTCTATCATGTGACAAGTTTGATTTTCAACGTGCTTGACGCTGATGATAAAATGATACAAGCGCCCTCCAATGGTCAAGTCCTCTAAACGCAAATAGGCTTTCAATGCAGATAGTCCGACGTCAACCGTGCCTCTACGTTGGCAGCGGTCCCTGAGCACTCCTGGTCCTTGAGAACTAGGTATTGATCCTTGCTCCCCGTTGTTGGAAAATACCAAGTTGATCACCTGGGTTTCCACAACATGTATAGAGTGATGATAAGCGCTCAAGAAGGCTCTTTTGAGCTGCTAGGCAGGTACTCGCCAGGCTCAACGCGCTGTATCGCGAGCAACATGGTTAACCAGGGTCCACTCAATTTCTCCAGGCCCACCCAAATGCAAGTTGAACGCTCAACAACCTTCTTCAAACCTAAAGAGTACCCGTTCATTTGATCAAACCATTGCACCCTTCCGGCACTTTCATATCGTGAGTGCAATGCCCTTACTCTCTGATATGAATCTATACGAGACCACGTGATCCTAGTGGCTCGGCCGATCACCCAACTTCAGCCCCTGAAGGCTTTACCCATTAGGAGTGGAGAGAGAAGCGGTCGAGATAGTTGATACAGTCGTCCATAGAATTGAGTATCTATCAGAATGGCATCCGGACCTCAGTAGGCTACGTACGTGTAGCTGATACAGCTTCATTCTGCCCATCTTTCCCCTGAGAACACAACACTCTCTATAACCAGGTCTTCTGGTGGCGCTAAAAAAGTGATGAATATATGGTGCATGAACACTCGTTTACCCCCTCAAAGAGTGCTCAACTGTTTATGAATCAGTCTCTCGTTCGAATGTATTATTTTTGGAGAACGGAAGATAGTGGAATCAAAATCCTCTGTCTATCCTTCAGGCGACTCGGTCATCGCTGAGGCAAATTCTCTGGAATTATCCGTGAAACTGCCCTTATTGGCTCCTTCCCGCATTAAGCTTACCGCCAATGAGAACGCAAGTTTGCTGATGACGGCCAATCAAAAGTTGTGAAGGCGGCGGGCATACAGCTTCTAACAGTCCATTGCCTGTCAGAACACAAAGCTGGATGCGGCAGGGAGTCAGAAGCGAGCATATTGCCAGTTTGGAAAACAGTTACCTTGTTCCTCACCCTTGCGTACTGGTGTAGGGCACGGGAGATCAATTTCATACCACCCATGTATACGCTGGACAGAGAGCGTAATCACAGTGTAAAATTTCATACATAGAGTATATTAGCCCGTCTTTCTGAACTGTGTTATGCTTTCTGTTATCCTCTGGGCACTAGCTGTGTTTAGGTGTCACCCACTTGGGATTCTAAGGCAACTGTTCAGGCTTCAGAGTATGTATCATGCATGGAACATTTCCTCTTTCCCTTAGCATTAATTTAACTCCTTTAAAGACCAGGGGAAGATCCGCAAGGTCTAAATGTTATTGTATCTGTTTTCAGTAACCCAATACATCTCCATTAGCAAGACTTTACTAGACGACAACTCCAGCGACCAACCAGCACTACAAATCTCGTAAATGAAACTCGATCTAAACAGCAAGCTTATTCATCTATAAACGTAATTACTCAAATCGCTCTTGAGTTGGCTTATTGTATACGAAAGGAAGATCCCAGTTGGTACATTCGGGATTCCATGTACTAGCTACGAATGTGTTGAACAAGCCTACATGAGTATCGCGCATGCTGTTGGAATGAAAGACGCGAAGCCAGCGGAGGCAATAAAGCGCCTCAAGTCTTATTTTAGCCAGAAAAGTACTGAGAAGTGGCTTCTTTATTTTTGATAACGCTGATGATATAGATATGTGGATCAACGGCAGTGAAATGGCCCCAGCACTTAGGAAAATTTCTCCCTCGGAGCCAACAAGGCCATATTCTCTTCACCACGGCCCGCAGCCGGATGCTAGCTGTGGAATTAGCCTCTCATGCGATGACAACATCTGAGCCAGATCAGGAAACTGGATTAAAAATACTTGAAGAATTACTGGTTGACAGTAATCAGCTTACACAAAACAGAGCATCCCGATACTCTAAGCAGCATGTTGGGCCTGGCAGCTATATACCGGGACCAAGGACAATGGAAGAAAGCAGAAGAGCTGAAGGCGAAGGTGGTGGAAATACGGTCTATATGTGCAACTGCCATTGAGATTGCAGACGAATTAGAAGGTAATGTAACAACTCGGTCCTATTACAAGTCCGATCAAATATTTTCCCATGGGAATATTCCTATTTCGGGTACTGGCTCCTTGTCGATGACTGGGGAGGAGGACACTGAAACTGTATACTCGGAGGTTATGACCTTTGCTGGGTCGATCAAGGAGACCTATGTGACCGAACTCGCAGAGCAGCAATTGCTATTTCGCCCTATGAATCTGGTGATGACACAATTGGCCGTATTTCAAAGCTCCTGCCAGAATACCTACGTGCATTTGTATCTAAGACCGTATCACAGGTACAGCGTGATATCATGGTGCTTGTTCACAAATATCGACAGTAAGTCTAAGATATATTACCACCTGATGGTATCCGAGCTGATTAACCATGTGTATAGGGATATTACTGAAGAATTCACTAGTAAATACTCAAACGAAGGAGCTGCACAGCAAAGTGAGAGCCAGCACGATGGTATGTCCTTGGATGATATCAGGAGCATGTGGGACTAGTATGATAGGAGCTCGACCGACGAGGGAATCGATAAATATATGGCCCCTCATGGAGACATGACGCCGTGGACTGGCGATTCGAGGGCGGTAGCAGGCGGGTCTAGTGATGATAAAGATGGTATAACATCTGAGGACTACATCAGGTCTGTAGGCGACTCAAGGAAGGTGACCATTAAGGATGGCGAAGGCCTCAGGATGGAGCTCTCTGAGTTAGAAGAATACCGCGAGTGTATCCTTGCGGCTCCAGTAGTAGGTTTTCTAACGCTCTCTTGACACTTTTCCGTGTATTGATCCCTGTGTCTGGCTAGGCCAGCTAGCGGACGGCACCATAACTACTGCTTGGGTTGACCCATCCAAGATTGCTGAAAAGTCCTTATTTTGCGTTGAGGTTGTTGGGGCCGCATGTTCTATCATAGACTTAGGGGAGCAATTTGCATGGATTGGCGCTTCACTCCGGTCTTCACCCCATCCACAAGGGGTTTCCTATAGCCGGCCGATAGTTCAGAGCTTCAAAGTGTTCCACGATAATTCTCGTCTAGTGACAAGAACATATGTGGCAGAGATCACCTGGCGATCTTTCTTTCATGCTAACGTTGGGACAAAATTCACCATCAGAATCCAACGGTCAATGTTGGCACAACCAGTTCCGGAACCCTGTGATGGGGGAGGGGTATCCGATTGCTCGAAGGTCTCATCCTGAAGCTGCAAATGACCTGGATATTCCGTTTTATACGATGGCAATACTAGCACGCTCCCGATACGTGAATAAGTTCGCTGGCAAGACTGTTATAAAAGGGTTCTCAACAATGCTTGTTCCCACACGCCAGTATGGGAATGTGATCTTATGGCATCTGGTACATGATCAACACGGAGATCGGGTATCATACCTTGAAAGCCTCGTCATGCACACGGAGGAAATCAGAATCCAACAACGGCGAGGGGCGCGTCATGTGCTTGGGTGGTGTTTGGAAGCAATGTTTCTTGCGGGTAGGTTTTGACGCCTTGTGTCGTACTCCTCACTAACTTAGTTACCTGTTACAGGAACAATGGATGCCAAATATGACATAAGGCGCTCGCGACTCCCGAGGACCGGAGCGGACTGCCTTCTTCAGAAAACCTCCGTATCGGGCGGCCAGATGATCACAGGCGGCTTACCATTCAGTATTGGATATAAGGACTCGCCATATCATGTTTCGCGAAGTGGCTACATACGAAAGCTGAAGTGGATTTCCAGGAAATTCATAGTACTTTGGGACGAGGAATCCAAACAGGGCTGGTTGGTGAACGGCACTAGTGCTCCTCTGCATCTGGTCCGCGCCTCGTTAGCGCATAACAGCAACGACAAGTTTGCCTCCGAGTTTCTCTTCCGAAATGAGGATATGCAGGAAGCCACACAGCATTCATATAAATACGACTCAGCCATTTCAGTGCTTTTGAGCCGCGTAAACCGGGAGCTCAAAATCTACCTAGAGAAGCATGGCTATGTTCTATTTGAAGATCGAGTGGAGCACCAGTTTAACATCTTGGAGCAGATAATTGATCATCAAGTTAGTGTAGCCGGACATAATGATACTCACTATCGGAGCAACAATATCCCACGAGCACACCTCGAAGGCTGGGACTTCCATGATCTTGCCAAGGATGTTGATCCGATATATCCATAAGTAGCAACGCTAGATACATTTGGGAAGGCCTGGATAGAGTTCACAAGATCTATTCATGCGGTCACCGTGCTGGGACGGGGTTTTGGAGAAATAATGAAGCCAGCCAACACAACTTGTTCTCAGTAGGTGACAATGCCGAAGGACAGGTACTATATGGCAGCTAGCGTCGCAGATTTGATGGATATCATGGAGTCTATTGGTGATGCCACTGCAAGCCCACCAAAGCTCACGAAGAGCCTAGACTGGCAAAATCCGGAGACTGCCTTCGCCCACTGTGGATGCACTGGAGACAGTAATAACGAACATATTGACGTTGTCCAGGTAATTCTTCCTCCAGGGACTAGCGATGCCTCCCCTATGGAGCCACAGTTGGCCTTGAGTTAAGGGGCTGTAATTTTTGGATATAGTCGGAATAAACCCTTGCACTGGAAATATACTGTTGACCCTGTGAGGGGCAAACCTCAAAGCCTTGACAGGGTTTGTCTCTCACCTTCAATGGAGGTCGGATCCAGTCCGAGGGGTGCCATCCTCCACTGAAGGAGAGAGTGACGGCGTTCAGTTCCTTGAATTTTCTGTTACTCCATCGAGTCAGACATCTGTCTCCATACCCACTGCGTCGGTCACGGATAGATTGTCTGCAAAATCTAGGTTCAGGGCCGTAACAACAAATAAGTACACTGTGGGTATTGTATGCGCACTGACACTAGAGCTACTTGCAGTGCGTGCTTTATTTGACGTGACGCATACCAACAGTGACGGGATAATTTCGCATGAAGATTCAAATCACTATGCCTTGGGCGAAATAGGAAAACATAGAGTTGTGGCAGCCTGCCTGCCTGAAGGCGAATACGGGACCAATTCTGCAGCATATGTCGCAGCCAACTTGAGAAGAACGTTCCCAGGCGTCAAATTTGCCCTTCTCGTTGGGATCGGAGGTGGTGTCCCTTCTCCCGCCAATGACATCCGACTGGTTGATGTGATTGTGAGCAGACCTGCCGGATCCACCACCGGAGTGATTCAATATGACCCCAACAGAGATGCCTGCATCCGCCCCCCAAGCTCATAATGACGGCCGGGAGCAATCTGAGGTCGGATCCACATCTTTCTGCTTGCCCACTCCAGGAACGCCTCGACGACATCATCGCATGCAGAAGGGAATATAAATACCCCGGGAAGGAGCAGGGCCAGCTTTTCAACAGCGATTACGTGCATGACTCGAGACACGCTACATGCGATTCTTGGGACGTTTCTCAGGCGTCCATGCGAGCCGGCCGACCTAATAGTCATCCGCATATTCACTATGACACGATTGCGTCAGGAAATCGAGTTGTCAGAAATGCGAAGCTCCGCGACCGTTGGAGTCAAGAAAGCAACGTTCTGTGCTTCGAGATGGAAGCCGCGGGCATCATGAACACCCTCCCATGCTTGGTTATCAGGGGGATTTGCGATTACTCGGATAGTCATAAAAGTAAAGGGTTCCAGGAATATGCAGCCGCGACGGCTGCATCTTATGCTAAGCTTTTGCTATCTTACGTGGAGGATTTGAATGACTTGGGGAACGTCGGGTCGGCGTCAGATAGTAAGAAGCAATTGCTGCCCTTGCGCTTGTTAAAGAAGGGTCACTCATTTTTCGGTCGGTAGCTTTCGGTCAGGCTTCCGTATCCTAGGAATCAAAAACACAGCAAGTCGGTCTGGCATCAAGATCTAAATTACAGTAGACGCGCTAGCATTCATATAGCGAAACATAATAAGGGTCTATTCTCTTGCTCTTAGACTTCGTGCCGGAAGGGAAAGAAAGGGTTTATAGCCGCATGCAAGCTGCTCCAAGGAAGTTGGACTCTTTCACGCTCTCTACGCCTCCCTCTTGATTGCTGTTCAAAGTATTTCCTTCTTAGGTTTGGTGCTGATAAAATTCAGCCCTACTTTCTGGAACATTTATATTCTAGTTGCATATATATAATCCCCACGATTCTTCTGACTGGATTGGATTTGTATCACTCATGTACCTCGTATATGATATATAACGACTTTCTTTGAGTCTCCTTTCATTCGTAGGTTAGTTATCTACCGCACTGCTTTTAGTGAGCTACTGCAGTCTACAAAAAGACCTTGGGTGAACTAAATATACCATGTAGCTTGCGCAAGCAGTGACTATATTTCTATGCCTCTTCCGTAGTTCTGTGCACGCATCTTCGAGTGGCTTAGTGTGTCTTGGGACTTAGGGCCCGGGCATGGAAGGCGAATTCGGGCGCCATTGTATCTGTAGCATTAGACCGGATAGCCTATATACTACCTAGTATTGACATGACCTCTTCCAGACGACCACGCCCCGCTGAGTCAACTACACCCTCCTCTTTCGGACGACTTCGCCAACATATGGTTTCAGGTGGGCATCGCACCGTCGACGCAGGCCCTCCAATCTGGCTATGCCTACAATTAGTGTTATCGATTAACTCTTCAGCCTGCAAACAAGGTTGTCGCCCATCCCAAACCCGATCTGGAGCAAACCTCTCAACCTCGAGCACAGTTTTTCCGAGAAAACCCCAACGCCAGTATGCATCTCCTATTTGCCATTCCGCTCCATTCGGGAAGCTTTCTATATCCTCGTGGTCTATATATTTAACAACCATCCACGGGATCTTGATGGGCAGAATCATTCTACCTGCACAATAAGGAGACAAATATCTTGAGTCCCAGGGGAGACATCAAGTTTTTCCTTTCCGCCTCGTTCAACGCATGATTGGATCAGGTTTTGCAGCTCAGATTGTCAAATACTATGTGATGCCAGTGCTCATCCACGCTCTATGCATTTGGTGGCAACGCATGGCCTCGGAGCTATGTTGAAGATTGGGTGATTGATAACAGTCACGATATAGGGTTTTAAGGAAGGTTTACTCTATACTGACGAATACAAATATTGTCTGACTATTTTTTCTTTTCTCATGCATATCCTTTTCCTTGAGAGTGGAATTATGCCACTAATATGGGGAATGAAACTACCGAATTTTACAATCACTCTCCTCATGCTTGGCCCTTCACTTCACCTAAGGGGCTCCAACGATGAATAGCGTATCCTCACTAAGAAAACCGCGAGATGTATTGAATGGTAGTGTACGCGTATATATCCACTTCCCATCCCTCCGCCATGAAACTTCTTTTTCTCCTTTACAGGCATTATATACTACGATTTTGGCTTAAAAGCATAGTTAGACTTCATCTATCGAGACTTGGCCCTCAGCAGCCTTAGAGTCCTGTCGACGAAGCCCTGACACTTATCCTAAGCGGCAAGGCAACTTGCCTATCAGGCTCTTCTGCCAGTTTGAGTTTCAACACGATAGCCCAAAGCAAATCATGCCCAAAGACAGGGCCCGGAATTTAAAGCCATGAACAATATCCACTCTAATCAGCGCTTGCGATGTCACGTACCAGACACCAAGTCGACGAACATTGCAAATAGGCATAGTTGTTCTAAGGTGCTCTCTATCCTTGTGCCAGCTAAAAGGCTACATTCTGCGTCTGGCGGATAGTTGTCTATTGACTGTGAATATATCCCTGTACTCCAAATTCATCACCGGCTATTACCTATGTGTCTAAGCTGAATTGTTCTTAGATGAGATCCTCGGATGAAGAACACTTAGCGCTCTGACTGTCAGGGTGGGGGCTATACTAGAAAGGTCCGTGTACATCAGGAGAAGGTATTGATTCTAAGCATCCTTGCTATAGCCCTGCTTTTTCACGGAAAGTACATCACCCTACTACCAAATCCACTGTATGACGTGATATACGAATGGAACTTCATTCTAGTAGGTTAATTGGCGGGATGCTGAACTCAGACCTTTTTCGAGACAAGAACCTACTTCGCTAAAGCAAGCAGCATTGACAAGAGCTGCTACGGCCAGAGAGTCGAAATGGTCCTTTGACACAAATGGAGATCCCAAGAGCCGACCCCCGCTCCGTGGACAAGCCATATTTCCAAAGTGAGCATCGTGTCGACGGCTTTTAAGAGTGACAACGTCTACGAACAGTAGCCATTGGCATATGACGAATAGATCGTGAACAAAGCAGTGATAGAATTCCTAAAAGCTAATCACAATGAGAGTCATGGCCGTACAGATTGGCCAGGAGTGTATAGTTGCGCTCAATGGACACTATGCCTTCATGGGACAGCAAATAGCTGCTAATATCGCCATGGATTATCAATACCTACCTTGGGAAGCCAGTACTGGGAAATCACTTGGACATGGAAATCGGCGCTGTACGCTACGATCCGAATATGTATCCCCTTATGCTAGACGCTGCCCCTTAAAAAAGCATTTGCCCGCGGCATCGAAACCCACATTCTATCGATTTTGCAAAAGCTCTCATGCTGTGGTTTTAATCCAGACTGCCAATGATCCTGATCGAAGAATCCTATTGCCCAGCTTGCTCTTAGGTGTACCGTTTTCGGAGCAGGCTTGGCAGGCCATCGGTCAGGTTACGCTGGCCTCAGCCCACGCATTCGACGCCGTGGAGCAGGCCCATCTTCGCGAATTTCGCTTGACCGCCAAAAAGAGCGAAAGGGACGTATGTGCCTGACTTTAACTTTCCTTATTGGATCCTTGGACTGTTCGATAGGAGATCTTTGTCGAGTACAACGCGAAAGTTTCGCAGCGCCCACCTTCTGGTGCAGCTGGAGCCTATACCCCGAGCTGATGCCATGGAGTTACAGAATTGTTGCCGAAAGACCTGCTTAAGGCAACAGTATTACCCCAAGAACGGCTTTTTCCCTTGAGAGGTAGCACTGCGCCAGTATCTCGCCGCGGTGGAGGGTCTACAGGTTACGCCCTTCGGGCACGCACGCCCCTTGCCTCATGACCCTTGCGTCTCTATAAGATTCGATGTTTTATCAGACCTTCCATCATTGGTGGCAATAAACATTTAGTGCAGACGCACTAGGTGCGAATATGAGGCTTATGACCATTACTTGCCAAATGTCGATTAAACATGGCTCATATACTCGATTCACGCTTACGATAACCAGCTTAGTGGGATCTTGTTTGGTTATATCTATGGGACACTATGATTATGCCCAATTTACGCTTATATTAATTACTTTATGGAGTCCTGCCTGCTCAACGCAGTTATTAACTGTTGAGCAGAAGATATAGATGATTCAACTATCGTTGGAGAGAAACATGCCGATAGTGACATACGAACTCCTGACAACAACCAGGATACTTCCATGACTGCAGATCAGGAAGTCAAACCTACAAGTATTTTTAATTAATCTGTTGGCTAGTAGCTGTTCCTACGAAGGAGACGCGGACGAACGTACAGCCTGCATTCGTGGCAATGTCTTCCTAACTAAAGATATCAAGGAGATCAACATCTGCTCATCATAGAGGAGGTCAACGAACGCCTTGGCCTTTCTCCGTGAAAGAATAATATCGTAATCCACACTATTGCGGTCCGCACACACCATTTCCCTTGTGAAAGAATGACCGAAAACTCTAAGAGGCGAGCACTACGATTACCTCGCAACCACCCAAAGCGAGAGGTCAAACGCGCAAGCTTCAGCGCATTATTAGCAGGCATTACATTGTACCAACCGTGGACCGAGAGGCCAGAACAAAGGGAATCGCATTTGACAACGACCAACGGATTTCTTACGATGATGTTGTGGCAATACTAGACACAAAACTACAGTATTGGGACATGTGCCTGATTCCCACCTCCATTCTAATGATGGGACCTTGCCATGTTGTATATCATTAAGGCACCATACATGCCTGCACCCTCTTGATATTGGTTTAACAGTGAAGAGCTAAGCCTTCATTATCTCTGTTAATATGCCTACCTACACTACCAATATCCACTTGTGCGTATACTGGCAGCCCGGCAGAGTCGACACTTGAAAGCGAAATGTTCTTGGACCCAGGGGCACTTGAAGATACCATAACTTAATAATTATGGTTTCTAATGCACATAAACTATGGTAACGGGCTATGTTCGCTCTGGAACCACTTGAACTTAGCATTGATCGAAGGAGTCATAAGAGCCACTTGTGCGGCAGCCTTCTAGCTGGAATTTAAATCAAATGGCCAAGAGCAGAGCTCCTGCACAGTAGATCCATAAAGCGATGCCCTACATGAATGGTAGTTGAGACCATGCATTACAGGGTCGGGAAGCATCAATCCAACCTTATGCACAATTGTTACACGGGAGAAAGATAACAACAACACAATCGCAGTAGCTTTTCCAAAGTACCACGAGCTTCCGTCTCGTCCGGTGAATATGGAATGGATTTCTTCCCGGAAGCCTGGAAGTTGCGCCGGCCAAGCGTGATACATACCATCGCCCGGCTTGTTTAATCGACCATTCGATCGAGCTTTGCTTTTTGTTAGCAACACAGCATGATTCTGCAATACGGCTATTCCATTCGTTGTCGACTTGTGCAAGCATAAGCCTAAAATAAGAGGATGACCGGTACAGATATACGTATCTGTTCTCTGTATCACCGCAGCTCTTTCGCCACTAGCACATTATGCATTTGAGGATACCAGGTGTTTTATCAGTGGGCTAGACTCTTCAACTCGGCCTTGTATACGGTATATACTTCCTCCAGACATCAGACTCCTCAGAATTAGGCCCTCCATGATAATTTACCAATAAGGGGCTGGATATCTCGGCCGAGGGAGGGAAAGTATCTGAAAACCTGGGACTGAGGACACTGTGGAGGATAAGCTCAACTTCAAAGCCCTTGGCAGAACTATGTTCCGAATATGCATCGGAATCATCTATATATTTATAAAGAAGCGGAGGAGGCTAAACATACACTGAAGACACAGAAACCTGGATCTGGAAATGCATATGAATCTGCACAGTACGTCAGTATCAAAATAACAACAGACACAGTCCAAATATGCAGTTAAACACGAGTAATTTGGCAATTTAAGAAGACGCATTATATGTGATCGTCCTAGAACTATCAAAGTTCATTAATCAATATTGTCTTAAACAGTTCTAACATTGCGTGACTTGCACTCTCTCTTAGGCTTGTAGATGTCTATGTTTTGTGGCATTAAAAGGGGCAACTTTATGGTTGCAGTATTGATATCTAGGAGAGCTAGCAAAGATAATGTCAGAGCCTCACAGGAGTTCAGCCTCACCTCACAATCCACCAGGATTCTCATCAATGCATCAATACGCATCTGTTAAAAACTTCTACCACTGAGTTGGTGGAATTCACCCCTGACCGGATCCCAGCATACGCGATCCTCTCCCACACCTGGGAGCACGATGAGGTGCGTTTCACAGATATGCTGCATCAAACGGCGGAAACAAGACAAGCATGGCCCAAGGTCCTTAGTGCGAGCAAACAAGCGCTGGCTTGTGGGTACGAATTTATCTGGGACGACACCTGCAGTATTGACAAGAGCAGCAGTGCTGAGCTAACTGAAGCGATTTACTCCATGTTCATGTGGTATGAAAATGCAGCGATCCGTTACGCGTATCTTTCAGATTACACAATTGATAGAGATGTCAATGGTCTAGATGTTTCTAAGCTCGAACAATGCAGGTGGTTTACCCGGGGCTGGACTTGACCGGAGTTGCTAGCTCCTTCAGAGGTTATTTTCTTCGCACAAGGCTGGGTCCAGGCTGGAAAGGAAAGTACAATTACGAAAAGCCTGGCAGAGATTACTGGTATTAAAGTAAATATTCTAACTTGTGAGCACGCACTGGATTCCATGAGTACAGCTCAACGCATCTCATGGACTGCTGCTCGACATACTACCCGACCTGAGGACATGGCCTACTGCCTGATGGGAATATTTTCCGTCAACATGCAATGCTATATGGGGAGAGGCATGAGAAGGCGTTTTACGCCCGCAGGAAGTGATTATGAAGCAATCCGATGATCAGAAGATCTTTGCTTGGACCTACAAAAGCGCGCATCCGGATGCTCTACATGGATTACTCGTGTCATCCCCCGTGCATTTCGTGGACTGCCATGATCTCATAGCGTACCAAAAGTGGGGACCTACTCAGCCATATTCAATGACTAACAAAGGCCTACGTATCGACCTACCACTCGAAAAACATGGGCCAGACACTTACAGGGCGTGGCTCTAGTGCCCAAAGAACAATAGCTCTCAATACCTGGGTATCCTGTTGAAAAGCCTTTCCTCTTTTGATAACCGATATGCTCGGATACATACCAGTATGCTTTCCGTAGCGTATCAAGCTGGTCCGTCGGAAACAATTTACGTACCCTAAAAGGTCTCGAACTCAGATATACAGGACCTACTGATACATGAAGGCTACTGCTTACGAACGCCTAGTCTTTCCAACAGTCCCTACCATTTCATTAAGATTGTGTCCCGAATTCCAGAAGGCAATTCAACGCTGACAATGTCCCCGGTTGGTACAGATATATCGCACACGAGACTATTCTCAATCTTCAGAACTCCCAGCAAAAAGACCAACATCTTCTGTTTCCTTGTTTGGCATAGAACTGAGCTCGCAGGGCTCATGGTGATACTAGGAACGTCATCCGAATACTGCTGTTTGCAGATTGATATCGTCTCCGCCCCCTGATGACCCGATAGAGACCAACTGTCTGGGCTTTACTGCTCTGCGAGATAGCTACGGTACACATTTCAGACCTCATGGACTGGGACGCTGGATCCGAAAAGGGAATGTCGACGTCTGTGTGACAGCAGAGACACGAAAAAAACGCAAGCATTGTGTATCAGATGTTCACATACGAACTCTTGTGTTAGACCGCAGTAGCACAGGAATAGTTTCTTATCTCCATGAGCCATACCATAGAGAAGACAGACCAACACACGTACACATATCAGCTCCTCCTATTATCAACAACGACGTAACGCAAAATTCCAAGTCCATTAGTAGCCTTATGGATAACCATATACTCCACGACCTAAACCAAACCCCTCCTCACAACCCTCGCCGCCTCATCATGGCACCTTCCCAGCCGATTCTCCCCCCTCCAATTCCGCTCATCCTCAATCTCGATCCCATCCCACTTTAACCCAACCCCCCAAACACAATCCCTCACACTCCCCTCCACAAAACCCCTGCCCTCACTAGCAAGATACAAAGCCTTCAAGCTCCCATCCACCTCCGCGCGAGCAATACAGCCCGCCGTGACCACAGCCTCACTCGCAACGCTCCAAACCTCCTCCCGGAAGCCATCCACACGCCGTCCAATCGCCTTCTGTACCCTCGGTTCCCTAGCCCGTAAGACCTTTATCACACTCGATTCCAAAATCGCCTTCTCCTTTTCTCCCCTAGGTGCCTTAGAAGGCCCCACGACGCGTCTTAACTCGGTAAACTCCTCCTCCGAAATACCCTTATCAGAGTCGAAAAAGGGTAATCCTTCAAATAACCAAGCCTTCATACCCATCATCCACTGCTCTCCGCAGGTAAAATCCCATGAACCGATTAGCCGCGTAACGGCGGCATTTCGCGCTGGATACTCGATTCCTAATTCATCCAACTTCGGAAGACAGAGGTCCAAGGCCCTTTGACCGCGGAACGGGGTGCTGGGGTGCCAGTTTGAGAGAGGGCCGCGGACGAAGATTATATGGGTGGGTGTGGTGTGTACTGTGGGGTTTCGCTTTAGGGCGTTGGTTTCGGGGTTGGAGTTGGACTTTGAGCGTTGTTGGCGTTTGGATTTGGATTTGGGTTTGGTGATTTTGTTGGGTGTGGGCATTTTTAGGAGATTGGGGTGGTTGTTGATTGTGGTGGGTTGTAATGTAGATTGGAAAGGATAATTTAAAGAGGGAAATTGTTGAGCTCGTTATGTCGTCTTCACGGCTGGTATTTGTGACTCATTTTCAGATGATACGAGCTCGTTTGACTCATAATGGTATATCAATGGTAGTCATTGTATAGATGTATGATACGAACTGTGGCTTCCAAATTGTACAGATACATGCACATCTATATAAGATTACCTACCTAGCCTTGGTGCCTGAGGTAGGCAGCAGCGGCCTGGATATCTTTTCCGAATGCATTGATTGGCCCTCATTTCTGCCTGATACCACCGCCTCAAGTTGTCGCAACAGTGTTATATTTACGTCAATCGAGTAGATACATATACATAGCGACTGCATATCAGTAACTGGGAGCTCGAATGTAACCAGACTTACTCAGCCTGGCAAATATGGCAAAAGCAGGAGCGGAAGCAAACCATCCGACCCTGGAACGGAAGGAAGCCTTGGCCGCCCCAGAGTGGCGGGGGACATGGATCTATAAGTTCCATGGTATGTAGTGTGGAATATATATACCTCCAAATCGACAGATATATATAGATATGTATACCAGTTAGAATGTAGATTAATCACTATCTATTGCGCATCTCAGACAACCCCAACGATCATTCCAATTCCAAGACTCTCTCTTGGGCCTCTACCCGCACCATGTCCTCCAAAGTCGCCAACAAAAACATCCTCCTGTTAGGAGGAACAGCCGGAATCAGCCTCACAGTCGCCAAGGAAGCCCTCCAAAGCAGTGCCAATATAAGTGTGACCTCCTCATCGGAAGATCGAGTACAAAAGGCCCTGAAAACCCTCTCCGCAACTACACCAGACGCGTCTTCCAAAATCCGCACCTACATCGCAGACCTCTCCGTCAAAAAAAGCTGGGAGAAACAATCGAGAACCTCCTAAAATTCACCGCCGAACTTAGCCCCGTCGACCACATCGTCTTCACCGCGGGCAACATACCACCTCTGGTCCCGTTAGCCAACGCCTCCTTCTCCCACTTCGAGATATTCCTTACCGTCCGTTTCTTCGGTGCCATGGCTGTGGGCAAATATGCTCCGAAGTACATGGCCAACAACAGATGTTTGTCCATCACTCTGACTACCGGGGCGCAGAGCCAGAAGCCGACCTTTTGGTTAACCCCCTGCTATTGAGGGGGCTGTGGAGGGGTTGATGAGGGGGTTGGCTGTTACCGTTGCCCCTGTGCGTGTGAATGCTGTTTCACCGGGTTTTATTGATACCGATTTACATCAGGGGTTGTCGAAGGAGATTCATGATGGTGCAATCAGGAAGTATTCTGAGCAGTCTTTGACTAATGATGTTGGGTATCCGGAGGATGCAGCAGAGGCGTATATTTACCTTATGAAGGATTATTTTACTACTGGAACTATTGCTCATACTAGTGATTTTGGCGGGGGGGGGGGTTTGTTGGTTTGATCGAAATAAATAAATTCAATCGATCCACTGAAGAAGGCTAATATATACTCTCTTGAAGGAGCCTCATAGGGGAGAATTGAACCTGATTGTCGACTCTACAGCAGTGGTTCTACCATCCACAAACAAAGAGCGCACAGGCGTTAGGCCTATTTAGGAAGGCCGGGTCAACATACCCTATTATTAATGAATAAAAGGGCGTATATGCCGCTATCGAGGTCTGTGGTATAGCAGGAACTGACTAACTAGGCTAAGTAATTATCAGGATCGGTGTTATATGTGCTTAGACCTTATAGTTTCCTTTTGGCTGACACTCCTTGATACCGTCTAATTTTCTCCTTCAATCAATGCCTGTCGGGTGGTTTGACAGCCAGACATAGAAACACTTAAACGTCTCTACCGAATACCCATAGTTTCACGTATTCACCGTCTGCGTCACATGAACGATAGAATCCAAGGCGCGATATATCACGTGGTCAGATCGTCCCTTCCATCCTTCACACACTCCTTGACCATCGAACTCATCTCCAAAAAAGCAAAAATGAAATAAATTTGTTCCACACATCTTACAACCTGACTATACCTGGCCACGGACAGTCCCTTACACAGTATCCGAGACCACACCTTCAAAAACTACCAGGATGGTCTTTGGACTTCTCCATAAGGCATTATTTATTTTTCTCAATGGTGCTGCTTGTGGTTTCAAATTCGTTTTGACCCTGACATCATACAACTACCCTTTGGACTCATCATGAAATGGACAGGTCGAACAAGTATAGAGACGATTGCCATGAGAATGGCAGAAGCTGCTGGAATACCTGCCCGCAAATTCCTTAGCAGCGGAGAATATCAATCCCATCGGAAATTGTCAATATGGATGACCAAGCTACCTGGCACACCGTTAGCAAACACGTTTGATATACTGGACATTGTCGCTGAGGAACCGTGGCTACATGAACTCATGACGTACTTAGACTCCCTGTGTCAATGGCGCGCTCCTATCTCAACATCTGTTCTTCGGCGATCGGTACCTGTCTGCAAAAGCCAACAAGTCCCCTGTCATATTATGGATCCGTTCTATAAGAAAGACGATTTTTACATGTATCTCTTTAGCCCAGTTTCGCCTTATCATGGCATTGACTCAGTGACAGAATACAAGCTGGCCTTATCCTACGCGTAGAAGATTCAAGAGCGTCCCCATCGAATAACATTCACGCATGGGGATTTAAACGTCCCAAATATCCTTTTTGACGACAACGGGCATTTATCTGGACTATTTATTGGGAGTCTGCAAGCTGGTATCCTGAATATTGGGAGCTCACGATAGCAGTTAGATTTGGGAAAGGGAGTTAGTTGGTGGTGGCATGCAGCTTCTTGGATGGGAGGGTGATCAGTATTCTGAGTAGCTGGCTGCTGTTGTCGCTTTGAACTTATTGACTGTTGACTCTCACGTAGCGATGTAGAGTATCTTCGTCTAGCGTTTTACTACCGATGGGTCCTAGCTAATGTGTGCGTCTGAATTCTAGGCGGATTTGACTCTCTGTATGTATCGAGGAGCTCATAGTGTTGTGCTTTTGTGGTACTCACGTATGCTACTGCTATGTTAGGATCGGAGTACTATCTGTGGAGCCTTTATTTAAGTTTAAATATAACCTTTCATGCCTGTATCTTGATTGACCGGTTCGTAGTACCTATTAAGACCATTTTTGTCCCTCAAGAATGATATCATAACGTTTCTTATATCCTTGTATATATATTATATCACCAATACGCCGATCCCCAGTAGAACAGGTCAAGCACAAGAATCCGCCTTCATCTTCTTCAACTCCTCCACAGCCCTCTCCTTCCCCCACCCCTCCTTCAACCCCCTAACCATAATCTCCTGCTCACTCTCCGGCGCCATGCCACTGGGCGCAGGAGGCCGTCTATCCAGATTCGTCGGAAATGGATACCCATCGCCAACAGCGAGGACAAAATTCTCCAATTCACCATCAACCACCCCACCAGCACCCCTCACCCTCTCCACCAATATATCCCAGCACCTCTCCACAATAGGAACAGTATCAATACTCTCCATCGTCTTCCCTAACCCACTACTGATCTGCAACAAATTCGCCTTCCGGTGGAACCCACCCTCTGGCACCGTCTCATTCGCCCCCGCGGCATGAAACACAGCCGGATTAAAAAACAAACCATCCCCAAACTCCAACGGCAAAGCCGCATAATTCTCATTAAAATACGCCCGGAACTCCTCTCTCCGCCACGCAAGATACCCCGGCCCATACATCTGGCTGAAGGGCAAGAACCTTGTCGGCCCACTCTCCCTCGGCATATCGCTGTGCGCAACCGCACCCTGCAGCGTAAGATGCTGGCTAGCGAGCTGGATGCTCCTTGGAAAAGCGGCGCAGCGAGCCAAATCCTGGAAGCCGAGGTGGTAGTCGCGGTGGGAGTCCTGGGCTGCGCCGCCTGGTTTGACTACGTTAACTTGGGCGGTTATGCGGTATGCGGGTCCGAGCCAGGATTCACTGATGAGCCGGAGCCAGGGGTTTGAGTAGTAGGTTATGAAGGAGTGGGGATCTTCCAGGGCGTGTTTGCTGAAGGAGTTCCAGATTCGGTCGTTTTTGCCGCTCGCTGCGAAGTGGTCGCCTTTTTTCCCTGGATGGGTTTCACTTTCGCGGGCGATGATGGTTGAAAAGGCGCTGTTTGTTGCCGATAGGGTTGGTGCGTATTTGGCGGGGGTGTACATGCCTTTTAGGACGAGGATCCCCGGGCCCGTGTGTAGGATGTTGTACCATTCGTCTTGGAGGCGGATTGTTTGGTCGTGGTTTTGGGGGTCCAGGGTAGTGAGGTTGTAGATTGGGATGTTTTGGTCCACGGATGCGGCTAGCGGGTAGGTTGCTTTGGTGGTAGTTTGGGAGCAGATTTGTTTGAAGTCTTCTAGGTTGGGGTGGTCGAGCTGGTATAACCGGCTCGACACGGGTTTGGGGGTTCCGTTTGGGATAGTCATTGTGCTTTAGGGGGGCTGTAGGACGACAGTTCAAGTTGATGTGAGAGGTCTTTTCGGTGTACTGCCTGGCTGGTATATATATTTTCGGGAGGGAGTACAATTCCGAAGATACCACTCAGTCTCTCGTTGTGTCCTTGAATTTCCGAGATTCGAGATACTCGATGAGGTAATGTGGAGAAGCAATTCAACACCGACTTCCGCCCACTAGAGATACACGACAGCCAATCGTTTCTATCGCTTAAGGGTGGGGATCCTGGAGAAATGGAAAAGCAGACCAACTAGTTATGTGTGACTTCAGGCACGTGGAGCCGGAAACCTTTATCCGGGATGACTAACCCGGTATACCTTCAAGATCGTGAAGCAGTCATGGTGACAACAAGAGCTGTGTAGAGGAAGGATCTAGCACACACTCATCCACTAGCGCAGGGCAATAGGACACCATTATGTACTTCATCATGCATTCCCGTCATCATCATAGAAGTATTAATACACATGTACAATTAATCCATCCATGACACCCCCAAACAATTGACAGAGTAGAGAAGATTGGCTGCCAAAGACACGGTGTGCAAACAGAAAAGCAGAAGATCGATCAGAATGTCCGCCGCAAATGAAGTAGAAACGCACAAGGAACGGTGCAAAACAAAATGACAGAGAAAGGAAGATCCGGAGCACCTTAACAGAAGAACAAAGACTGAGCTATATCTGTTCCAAGCAATGTTATATTCAATGGAATATCCGTCCCGTGCAGAATTCTATTAGCGACCCTAATTTTCGCCCGAAAGTCAAACAGCACTGCAAAAAAAGAAAAAAGCAAGATGAAAGTAAGGGCTAAAGACGAAGCAAAAGAAACTAACGACCAGGCGATAGAAGAACCTACAACGCAAGATTGCTCGCTCGTGTCTAGGAACAAATTATATTTTCATGCATTCATCATCACTATCCCGACGTCTGCATTCAGCGCTTGATCCGTTGAAGTCACTTGGCCGACTTGATTCGATTCGCTGAGGGTCAGATGGTTCTCGGACAGGGTTTCCACAAGTGTGTTTGGTCGTCCAGCGACGGTGAAGAGAACCTTGAGTAACACATCCTGACTCTGACTCCCATCCGTCGCCGGGGCTGCCTGATGTCGGCTGTGAGTCAAGAGCGTTCGAACGAAGGACCGAATCGCTTCGTCGGTGGACGAGTCTTCCAGGACATGGAGGCCGTCAATGACGCAAATCAGCACGGGTGGGGCCAGATACAACAGGATGTCGATCAGCGACAGCACCTCTTTCCAGCAGGTCATCGTGCCGTTCAAGGGGTTGAAGCGCTCCGTGTTCAGATTGCATGCGGCGTGCCCCTCCAATACGGGCGGTAGGTAGTCGATCAGTTGCCGAATGAGGCTATACGCGAGCGAGATGAGACCTTGTTCGTACAAGGTCATCCCACTTCGTTCTTCGGTGGGCAGGGAGCAAAAGTGGGAGATGACGGGGAGTCTCGCTTTTCGAGCAAAGGAGGCGTAACAGGCAGAGATGAGGGCGACTGGACTGGGAAAGGCTGTGGATGGAGGTCCCCCGATGGCGAGCACCTGGGAATGGACATTGGTCGCCCATTGTTGTAAGGATTCCACCACACTGTCCTCGGCGATCACATCGACATCCGCAGCGAGATCGGCCACCTGGTCATCATCCCGGAAGAAGTCCTGTAGGTGTTTAGAGGCCAGCTGTAGCTCGACCCGAGTGTACTTGTGCTTGGGCCCGGAGGACCATTTAAATCTGGAGGTTTCTTGTGACGTGATCAATGTCAGTTCCGACGGCAGGTCTGTCCCGAGGTCACCACCCTGCATACCTATATCCTGTGCGACCGTTGTCGTCAAACAGGCGATGCCACTATTTTGCTGGGTAACAGAGCGGAGCCGCTGACTTGTCGAGTCGAGCATCTGCAAGAGGAGCAGGTGGCTGTCCGCCCTCATCTTGAGTCGCTCGGCCGCATCGTTCTGGATTTCCCAGATTAACTGACGAGTCATGGCAGTCTGAGCAATGGACCGACGGTCCCACTTCTGCCGACCGACTTGGTTCAATCTGGTCTCTTCCCAGAGGTACAGGTCGCTCATCTGCATGATCTTGCGCTTCTTTTCATACTTCGGGTCGTCCATGTCCATCCCGTCGACAAGTCCGCCGATGATGTGGATCGCACTGCTTCGGATACTCCAAATGAGGTACCGAAAGTTCAAATACACGTCTTGATGCAAACTTTTGAGAAGACGGCATTTGGACCGTCTGACATACCAGTCCATCAACTCTCCTAAAAAGAAGAAGGTCAAAGAGTAAAATGTGGCGATTGGCGTTACTGAATCTTTAGTGAAAGAGACCCCGTCACTTCCCGGTGGGAGACAAATGGATTGATTGACTTTAACCAGGGCCCGGATGACGCCTTCCATGATACGAGGATAATTTGCCGATGCCTAGCATGTTCAGTTATACGGCTTCACACAGAAGGTCAATTGACACAGCGCTCACCTTTATTACCGACTGTAAGACCCCATAGAAAAGGGACCGGTAAGATTCGTTCTTCGGAAGGATCGTTAGGAGCACTGCATGGGGATCTAGGGTATCTATGAAAGTATCGCAGAGAGTCATTGAACGGCTGAAGACTTGCTGTCTCGGGTGAGAGAGCCAAGCCGTCTGCACGCTGCGAACTACCGCCAGGACATCTTGCGCGGTTTGCGGCCGTTCCTGGAATGTGACTTGATCCTCAGGGGGCAAATTCTCTTGAAATCGCTTCCAGGACTGAGTTAACTCATTGTACTCGACGTCCAGTGTTCCGATTCCCGGATATCTGTGCCAGTATTAGCTATATAGTGGTCAACGAATGAGGATACACAGCGGGGGTTTATGTAATCCAGTCAGGTGCATTTTGGCTATGAGAAAAGAGGGGAGTCGAAAAGGCATATGTCGATAATGCACATTCTACACGATAGGAGCGGAGGAATGAGGGGGGGCGAGAGAAGTTAAGGGGCATATGGATAGGAAAACGAAGAAAAGGAGAGAAAAAGAAGAGGGGGAGAGAGAAAGAGAAAAAAAAAAGGAAAAAAAAAAAAAAAAAAGAGAGAGAGAAAGAAACAGCAAGGGAAGCCTTACGGTGAAAGAAGCCTCTTCTCAAATCGTTTCCTCCATATACTCGAGTTGAGATGATCGTCCTCAGCAGTGGGAGGGGCTGCTGGGACGAGGGATGTTGGAGGCGGCATTCTGCAGCGGTTCGGTTGCCGTCAAAGCGTCGACTTCTCCCTGTTGAAGGCCGAGAGCACACGAGGGAGATTGTCTTGCCAACTGAATCGACGGGTTCATGTCAGGGGGGTTGAAGATTAGGTGAAAAAAGGAAAAGTTCAAACAGACGTGCTGTTCAACCATTCAACGAGTGTGAGATGTGTGTGGTTGGTTGATTGCTTTCAGGGGTGTGGTGTGATGTTTTTGGGCTGGTTGACGGCCTTGATACGGAGATGATTTGTCCTGGTCGGCTTTCTGTTTCTAATCCTCTTTTCTCTTTGTCCGTGTTTACCGATTCATGATGCGCATGGTCAAATCTGAACACAACGGGGTGGACCCGCTAAAATGGCACAACCTATCTCTTTTCCCGCTTCAGGACAAGGGGAGACGATGCTGGAGGGAGGAAAGGAAAGAGGGGGGACGAAGATGAAGAGGTAGAGGTAGAGGACAGGAGCATTCCCGGAAGAATAGATTAAAGAGGGAGAGGGAGGGAGAGAGAGAGAGAGGGAAAGCAAAAGAGAGAGAGAGAGAGAGAGAGAGAGAGACGTAAGCCTGAGAAAGTAAACTGCTTGAACTGCACTTAGAATGGGAAGTGAATTAACATCGTGATTTTTTGGTATTTAATTATTTTTTTCCTGATTCTCTCTCCTACTGCTTTTCCCACACCCACACACACACACACACACACAACCAACCGTCTGAAATAATAATAATCGAATAATAATTGAATATTTTTTTCCCTGCGTGTCTCTCTTTTATTTTAGAAATTATTGTTCACCTTTAGTTTCACCTCTCAATTTGAGTTTGTTTTTGATGTGATCTCTTTTTCTTTTTTTTTTTTTTTTTTTTTTTCTTCTTTCTTGCGTTTCGACTCGGATTTCTAATTAATAGATTGACTTACTCCCCTACTTTAATTCTAGTGTCGTAGCTAGACAATAACCAACCCGGTAGTCTCCCTGACCTATGTCCAGTGATCTAATATATTCTATGTATATATTTCTATGTCTTTTTCTTCCTCTCTGAATTTGTGTAGATAAAATGAAATAAAAATGGGGGGAAAAGGCCGGCCATTGAATGCGGGAATGAAGACTGACACTCTCAGCAGGAAACCTTGCACGCCTCCCTGTGCCTGAGAACCAATCATTGCCCTAGGTGGAGCGGAGCCATGACCGTCCAGTGTTCGAGGCCTCGAATAGAAGCGGGGATGCACAGAAGGGTAAATATTCCAGGCCCTCGTAGCCTATGGAACCGTGCTACTAATTTTGGCCCAGTCCCGGTATGGCTTTTTTTCCCTTCTCTTTTGCGACAAATTGCCCTCCTTTTTGATTTTTACTTATCTAATTTTTTGGGGATTTCCCTTGTCTTTGCTTTTTCTTCTTGTTAACACTGGGGTGGATACCACATTCAACGCGGGCCATGCCTGGCTCATTGATGGACGGGTTTTCCATGATTTTTTCTTTTCCTTGCGGTTTGAGATATGGTTGTGGGCCACCCGATCTGTCATCTCTTCTTCTTTGTCTGTGCTCTCCGGGTTGTTTTTATTTATTTGCTCTACTTTTATTCTTATTCTTATTTTATTTATTTATTTATTTATCTATTTAATTTTTTTTTTCCTTTTTTTTTTTTTCGTTATATTTTTTTTTTTTTTTTTTTTTTTTTTTTTTTTTTTTTTTTTTTCGTTATACCTAATTTTTTTTTTTCTGAATTTTTTTCTTATTTTCGGATATTCCTCCCCCCTTCTTCCCTCACCACTTTCCTTTTCGCCCTCTTCATCGTCCTGCACAACGCTAGTCGGCCATGATACCCACCCTCAGGAATGTTAACCATGTCGCTTCCCCTGCGCATCTCCCCGAAACAGAACATGACGGGCATCTGACCGAGTCATCAGTGGCCGATGCCTGCTGATCCAAGGACGTAGTAGCATTGAGATCAAATAAAACAAAGCCAGACTAAACCCCCCAGATTGGTTTTAAAACCCTCGCAACCACTTTCTTTGTTTAGTTGCATGCATCCCAATCTTTTCTCAGTTTTATCCCTCTCATTTCTTTTTCCGCTTAGCCTTGACTTGCATATAGTAGTGACGATGGTTGGTTCGTCTGGGGTCCTGGAGGCGTCAGACCTCCATCCAGGTAGTCTGGTACCTTACCTTCGGTCCTAACCTTCCCTCCTTCCATCCATGCACGAATACCTCTCCCCGTTGTTGCCCATCATCGCCGCCACTATGGGCATCTCATCCTGTCATCCTATAACCGTTAGGGTTTGAAGATTGTGTCGGAGTATAAGGAAGCAGCCTACACACGGACCAAGCGTTGCTGTCATGGAGGGCCGAGACCCATGTTGTCCCGCCAATAATCATCATCTGATGGGGAACCCATCAGTCCACAGAAAAGCTCGTTCGCACTGATGCCGAGGCTGAGCCGTGTGGATAGCCCGTACGGCTCTTATTGCAGTTGGTGCAGCTGGACTATCAGACGCCTCATCCGGACGTCTGATGTCCATGGCTGCGTCCGCCATCGTTCCCTTAAAAGACTGCCATAGTCCCAAATACGAAGAAAACAAACGCCTGGTCGCCTCCACATCAAACCTGCCCTTCGTCTCGCACGGAAGAAACACACTGCTCGCATCAACAACCTCACCCCGACATCTGGCGTTCCTCCGGTTGTTCGTACAGGTTCGGAGGCGCCGCCGCTCTGGCCCTTTCAGATAGGTCAACTGTCAGGTCTGCATACTACATCAAGATGTGAACTCCCTTTCTGTTCTTTCCCTTTTTTTTCTTTTTTTTATTCTTTATTCTTTATTTTTTTTTATCTGATTTTTTATTTTACTATTATTTTTATATCGGTGAACTAAACGAAACCCTGATCACGGGGTTCCAACAGACCATAGTCGGCAGATAAGGTTCAATGTGTAATATCCACACGGCCTGATTGGGAACTGGCTGGCGATTGGGATGCATAACAGGGAGCTATATACAGGGTATGTGCGGTCGAGACGAATATACGCGGTGTCCTCTACTCCGGTTTGATGATGTTGGCAAGATGCCTTCACCTCACTCGTCCGGGGATTAGATATTACCTGAAAGCCAACAGAATCTGGCTCTATGACTAATCTCGACAGCAGATCCCGAGGTTTTACCATTTTCGCGGCATTGACCCTATGCGCCACAGCCCAAACCCGGGCTGAATTAGGAGGGAGAGAGGAATGGTGGGAAGTATCCTCGGACATAACCAGTTCGACGTGGCTCTTTTCTCCGAAGCTCAGCAAGACGACTTTGCTAGACCCTAGCCAAGCTTTGGATATTCTGGGGTTGTTGGCACGGGGGTGATATGTCGGGCGGCATGCAGAGGGTTAAGGCTTTTGTCACACATGGTCTCGCTGTGTGGCTACTCTTGCGGTGAGCAATGGAATTGTAAGGGCAGGCAATGGACCCATTCCCGTCAATCGGTTTGTACTGCAAGGTGTGGCCTTTGCGTAGACTCAGTCGGGGGTACATTTAGTATTGGGGCCTCTTGTATCACCCTGTAAGCGGTATTACGATCCCCCTTTTGACTTTATTTGAAACGCCATGTCTTGCAGATGCTCGGGAGAGTGACTACTAACTACGGCTACTCGTGACCGTTTCGTACTACCTACAGTACAGTACATCCCATATATCCAAAGAAAAGAGGATGTGTTTTCCTTTTTCACGACGACACGCGAGCCTTGGAAGTCGTATGGGCCTCTGCGAATAACTGGATTACTTTTCTCGGTCCAACGACGAAAGATGGGATCGTCGCGCCGATCAACACCATCCCTATCGGGGGTAATCCCGGTGCACGATGAAGCGAACAGGGACAAGACGGCTAGGCGACCGAATCAAATCGGACAGAAATAATCCCCCAGGAAGAACTAAGAGATCCAGCGACTTGGGAGTTGGGACGCTGTACAATACTCATGTCGGATGCGGCCGGATCGATAAGCATGACCGACTGCGGAGATTAGCCTCCGATCCCGGCGCCTCCACATGCGGAGATGATGGTTTCTTTACCTAGCGATGAATAACCATGTAGGTCTCACGGTAACCTATAATTATGTACATAAAGAATACCTAAGTAAAGAGAGATGGAGTGGAAGGAATTCCCGCGATATACTCAAGTCCGGCACCGGGGGTGGTGGTGAGGCTGGCTTGAGTAGGTATCGGGATTATCACTCCGTTTCAGGGCGTGGGTTTTCCGTATCAGACCTATCCACGTTGGTGAGGGCAAACAACACGAGGTTCCATACATACGGGTAAATTTATCTGCCAGTTGGCCTTGTCGTCAAGCCATGGCAACACAAGCAGCATCCCATGGAACTGACATGGCGACAGATGGTGGGGAGAGCTATCCCTCCAGAGGATCAACGGGTCAAGAGGTTCAAATGGTCATGCATGACGCAACTTTTCTCTTTTTTTTTTCCCTGCGTGCAATAGACTACTTTGCCCCCCGCCTTTCGACATTTCAATACACATTGTTCGAAGGTGTATATCTTTCGTAGGTTGAGAATCCTTTCGCTTGGCCTTAAAATTGAGGCACGATCGGCCACCATGTGACGCTCAGGGCCCTAATTAATAGAAGTGCTGCTTTGGAATTTCCCCCGCACTCGTGGGATTGTCTCATATCATATCATATCATATCATATCATCCTCCTTGACAATCTTCATCGGGACCAGGAAGAATCCAAATGACATCGAAACAGAATTTGAGATTGTTTGGATGAGAATGAAATCCTATCAGACGACCTGGAAATGATTGGACTAGGCTGAATGCAATCTGCTGTACCTCGGGATTCGCGGCGGGCAAATCAAGTCCAGCCAACGATGATCCTCTCTGATCGTTTTCGTATTGTCCAGACCGAATTGCTGACTTCGACGAATCCATGGAATCTCTATCAGTCACGGTTCCTGTACTCTGTGGTCATTCTCATATTATCTTCTAATATATCAACAGGGTCTTCGATACCCTTTTGTATTAAGGAACCGCGTACTCTCTCAACTACTTTATAAAATATTCTCTCACCTTTCTATTATTCTTTTCTTTCTTTCTTTCTTTCTTTCTTTTTTTTTTTTTTTCCCCTTCCGGGTACATCGGATCATTATCCAGAGTCCTCTAGTTACTGACTCTTCCTGCAACCCTAACAAGGCAACTCCACCGTAAAGTCGGTGGTTGGTTCTGCCTTCAACCCCCCTCCCTTCTCCACCGCATCTCCAAATTTCTTAGGGGGTGATCATTGATTATTCTTCTCGTCCCGTTGTCGGGCTTCCATTTTATCCTTCTGCTTATCGATCGATTCCCACACCCCCCCCATCCGCCCCAAATCTTGTCCCCCCGTTATTTACCAGTCATTCATTCATTCGGTTTCCCAACTGTTGTCGCTGCACCCCCACCGTCACGGTGCAGCCGATTGATCGTCCTGCCGTCCGGTTTTTCCAACTATACCTGTCTTCGGTCCTTCGGCGGTCGGTGAGCAGAGAAACATCCGTTGACTTAATGTGATCTACTGCGCCCCATTACCTCCGCCGTATCCGTAAGCCTCGTCATCGTGGGGAAGTCCGTCCGTTCCACCTTGGCTTTTTCTTCGATGGGGCCCGTACAGGACCCTTCTCTCTTCTTCTTTTCCTTTTCTTCTTTCTTTTCCTCCCTCGTCCTTCTCGTGTCTCTATCTACCGTCGTCCTCGCGCAAGACTCCTCCGGCTGGTCTGTGGTGCCGTCCAACAACTCCCGCGATCTCTCATGGGTCGGAAAAGCGAAGTTCCACCTAGAAAGCGCCCAGATCCAGTTGCCGTTGGGCGTCAGCATCGCACCGCTAACCACTGCCTTGGTCAATCTCGATCACAGTGAACTGACGGTGCGTTCCGGGACAATACTGCCTCTCCTGGTTTCATTGACGAGCTGACGGGCTTCCAATTAGAATTTCGATGTTGCGGGGAACCTCGTGAACGTCGACGCTACCAACACCATCTCGCTGAACAGTAGTGATATCGCCCTGATCAGCTGCGACCAATCTGCATATCCCGGAAATTTGGATGCCAGTGAGACCGTCCACGCCGTCATTACATCGCCGCAGCCTGCATTGGCTGTCCTTCTGTACAGTTCCGAGGTGCATCACTGTAATTACACTGCCGGTCCACACTCCAACGGGTACATCAACGTCTTTACCCTCGTCAATCAGGCTTTCGCGAAGGCTGTGCTCAAACTCTCTCATTCGTCGGCCGGGAACGGGACGACGAGCATTAAGCCCAACATGTCGTTCACCATGTCAGGGACGCCGTCCACCACCGCCGGCGATTCCGGTGGGGCCACGGACAGCCCCAATACTGGTATGAACACATCATGCTTGCGCCTTGCACTGTTCCACTCATCACTGACCACGCATCCAAAGCGATGATCATTCTGTATAGTATTACGGGTATTATCACGGCGCTATTCCTAGCCATCATCATCACCGGCGCGGTCCGGGCCCACCGTCATCCGGAACGATACGGACCGCGATACACAGCCGGGCGACCACGACAAAGTCGGGCGAAGGGCATAGCCAGGGCGATGCTAGATACCATTCCGATCGTGAAATTCGGCGATCAGCACGACCCGAAACTGGACGCCGTCAAGGGGGATGTGGAGATGGGGTCAGAAGATGAGACGGGTCGTCAGCCGGACACCCAGGAAACAACAACGGTCCACGAAACGAATCCCCAAGCGACTCCGGCTCTGGCGGCGGCTCAAACGACGACCGAGCCTAATTCAGAACCGCAAGCCAAGACTCCCGCAGATGCCACCGATCACCCGAACTTCTCTTGTCCCATCTGTACCGATGACTTCGTCAAGGGCCAGGATCTCCGTGTCCTACCCTGCAACCACCAATTCCACCCAGAGTGTATTGACCCCTGGCTAGTAAATGTATCGGGCACATGTCCTCTTTGGTACGCTCCCTTCTCCATCCCTCCCTCTCCCCCCCCCCAATGTCAACCCTAAACCCCAACCACTAACCCACCCCCAGCCGCATCGACCTCAACCCAACCCAAGCCGAAGGCGAATCAGAGCACCCAGAAGGCGAAGAGCACCTAGAAACCCAACCAGAAAACCCAAGTGAACAAACAACCGAAGAATCGCACCACCGCCACCAACACCGCCGCCTATCAAGCTACCTGCACGGCACGCTCAACGCGCGGCGCATGCGCGACGCAACCGTCGAAGAACGCCTCGCGGCTCTGCGCAGTGTCCGCGAAGAAAACCGAAATAATGCCGCAAACGAAAACGCGGAAGAACGCCAACGCCACCGCAGTCGACTTACCTCCCGTCTTCGCGACCGCTTCCGCATCCGCACCCGCCGACACGGCGATGATCCCGATCGAGATCATCGAGAGGCCGCGTCGTCCGCGTCGTCTACATAGCACATATGCGTACATACATGCACCTTGAATTTTATGTTTATATTACGAGATGGTCTGGTTTGGCTTGGCTTGGGCTCTTGTACAGTTTCCCTTTTTTTTTTTGGCATGTTTGCTATGTTGCCCTTTTTTCACCTTTTTTTTTCTTCTTCATACCATTCTTACATTCCTTCACGTCCATTATGAATCACGATACGAACCGGCACGAGGCGATAAAGGCGTTAGGGGCAATTTCAAAAGGCAAGAAAAGGACCCATTGTACAGAGTACAGAGAGTGTGCAAGTGGCAAACTGTATATCTCCCATCTACTTCGTATATAAAGCTATACAAAAAAAAAAGAGAGAATACAAGTACAAATTTCAGAAAATAAGAACAAATCCACCCACAGCCGTAATCACCCAACAAAATCAAGGCGAAAACAAGGCTCATCCCAGCCGTGTCTTAGTACTACTACCGTGTCTAACCTAGTGGGAGAAAAAATGAGAAAAGAAAAAAGACTAGTCAGGTTCCGGAATCCGTCCGGCGTTTCGCGTACATTGCCCGTTTCGGAACTCCCCGTGGGGTTTAACTGCGGGTTTGGGTAGGTGTTTAGGTACATAATTTTTTAATTTTTTGTTCTGAGGCATGTATTCCGTACATGAATGGGGAAGGTTTGGCTGGTCTTGGTCTTCTTGGGTCATTGGCGCTCTAGAATGAGTGGTTTGGGGTTTATATACAGTTGTTGATGCTTGTTCTTTCTACTTGGTTTGTATGAGTACACAGTTATTGGTTTTTGTATTGTATTGTTATTCTATCCGGCTGATAACCCAATAGTACACATTAAAGGGCCTAGATTCGTCGATATTGTTACACGGCAATAAGCGTCAAGGAAAGAGGGGAACTGGAGATTTCGGCAGTGCGGAAGATAGCTAGGATGGCTGGGTGTACGGATACGGAGTGCCTTGCGACACGGCTATGAGGGGGAGAAATATGTTGTTGCTCTTTCGGCTGTGTTGTCGCCGCTTTACCCAGCCAGTTTTTGTCCACTTTACCGAGTTAGTCCTAGCGTGCCATTCCTGGGCATGAAAGTAAATGAAAGTTTTGTTCAACCCCAGTGTGTATAGCATGATTTTGACAGGAAAGGGAGACTCCTCTTTCATTCATATGCCTTACATTTGTTATCGTCTGGGCTCGCAGTTTCTTCGAAAAGGACGGGTCGCAAGTTTGTATCGTAAACCCTCTCCACCAAGCCGAAAGGATCCATCCACATACCTCTCGTCCAATGACTCAAAGCACAAGTCAACAAGGTCAGGTCAGCTCGACTGGGATAGTTCCGCTCACTAACTCGATGTGTCAGTTAACAGGTGTTTACTGAAGTGACAAAACAAGCAGTGAGCCTCGTCGAACGCTATTTTCAGGTCAGCACTATCTTGCGCAGAATTGATTTGTTGGTCAGCACGACCCTCACCGGCGAATACGAACACGATCTGGGAGTAAAGACACAACCGGCAGTTGATATCCAGGACCTCCTCTCCACGAACAATTACAGGCACCATAACTATCATCAACCCGCGTGGTCGTGAACTTCTAACAACCAAATCACTCCCCGGATGGACCATTGACATTCTGACTTGTTTTATCTGTGACCGACTTCGCAGCCGCTGTAATTCTCTTTAGCCTAGGCTTGATCGGTCTGCTGCAGTTGCGGTGCAGGTCAGCAGCAGTGGGTTACAAGGAAAGGCGGCGTCTTACTTGTGGCAGGTTTTCTATTGATTAAGGGGGCTTGGATATTGTTCAAGGCCGAAGTTGGTATTTTTGATTTAACATAGTATTCAAAAGGTGTCGAAAGTGACCGATTTGGAGTAATGTTGTTTAATGACACAGTGGTTTAGATCATTTGCCCTCGATAGTTTCGGTTACAGATGTTCCTTGCCTTGCAGGGTGATCTTATAGAGAATAAGTCATTGGGCTTAAGTACTTCAGTAACAATATTCGTCCATACCACCGACCAGTCAAAAAGACAACTCCTTCACAGAGTCAAGTATCTTGAACATGGATAAAAGAAAGGATAAGAAAAGTAATGACTGCGTTGCGTTGCGAAACGAATATGAATTATACAGTCAGTTCCCGAGAGACCAGCTCCAGGGGAGGGATAAGTGACAAAAGCAACGCATCGACAATAATAATATATACAAAAGAGAAGTAACAGGTACGATAATATATGAACAAGAAAAAGATGTGACAGGAAAGGAAACCGAGCCTAACTAGAGGCATGCCGCATCCCCGTACACCCAATTCCATCATCGAGCCCCGACAAAACGTTCACTACTTCAGTCCTCCCCGTGTACGAGATCACTGATCAACATGTCGGCCAGCTTCTAATCTAATGAGTAGTATGTGATAGCTCACTGACAGGTATGCATATGCATCGCGTGCGCTGGAAAAGAAGTCGAGGGAAAAGTGCGTAGATTGTTTCAACGAGTTCGTCCTAGTTAAGCTGGCCTTGCTTTTTTAGGAGAGACTGACTCGATCAACTAACAGGGCATATATCCGGTTGAATCGAATGGTATACCAAACCACTGAGTAGTCCACTTTGAAGGTCAGACTGTGTTCTTGTAAAGAAAGGAGGGTTGGGTGGCATGTAGGGCTGACTTGACTTATCCACTCCGCACAGACCACCTCCTACCGTCAACTCCAAGCTTCCAACCACTCCACACCTGTCAACAATACGACAAGCAGGTCATGTCGTAAGCTTGTTGGCAGTTCAGTAACCCACCTTTATCGAATCGCTCACCAGACACCCCCAAGCATCTCGCGCTTGAGGGAGGTCGGTGGGCATGCCGAGGCAATTGGGGGCGGCGCGCTCCTGGCAAGGGAGTACGACATGCGTCGTTACCCTTGGACCAGGACGTCCTCTGTTCGAAGATGTCAGTAACTGAAAGAAAGATAGGGAAACCCTCGTACCTTTTCGGTGCATGCGATGCAGCACAAATACCTCAGCAAGGCTACGCGGCATCTGTAATCTGTCAGCAGCATATGGGAGGAGAGGGCCTACCTAGAGCGACCTTGAACAAGTTCACTAAAGAAGGCTAATCGGAGGGACTGGGGGGCTGGCGCTCCTGACAGGGGACTACGAATCCTCCTTCCCGCGTACGGGTGTGCGTCATTACCCATGTAAAGTATGGAACCCTTGGTCCAGGACGTCCTCTATTGATGGTTAGCAGCTTGACCTGAGAGGTGGAGATCAGCTTATCTATTCGGTGCCTGCGATGCGCCACCAATCCTACAACAGGACATTGCGCAGCATCTATGGCCAAGTCAGCTGCACCTGGAGGGACCTTGACCCTGCACAAAGCACTGCCGGGAGTAAAACCAAGGGGGAAGACAAAGAATGACAAGACAGGAGAAAGAAAAAAGGAAAAAGAGATACAAGAGCGAGACAGGCATGGAAAAGCGTGTTGGGCAAAGAATATTGATGAGCGATGTTTAAAGGAAGACATGGGAAAGAAAACAGGGTCCTTATAGAAAGTCCTCCCCTCTTTCCCTTCGAATCGCTCGGAGTTGCTGCCACTTTGCGAATACCGTTGAAGGGTTGAAGTGAGGCCAGCGGGCCTGTACGCGGGCGAGGGCGTTCCAGGAGCAACGGTATCGGCCGCAAGGGCCTTGGGCGTGAGCGGAGGTAAGCATGATATAGGAGTCGGAACCCCAGTATGACACATACTTCTCCATCTCTCCATCTTCGTCGGGCGTGGCCAAATGAGTGACAGACCAGCCCTGAAGAGTGCCCATAAAGGAGGGGACGATGTAAACATCTTTGGGCCGTTCGATCCAACGAGAGACTGACTTCACCGACACTTCCCCAAAACGAACACACTTTTTAACCGGTGGTTCCATACACCGGCCACAAGGCTTGGTATGGACTACACCGACAGTCACCGATGGTTCCATACAGTGGCCGCGAGGCTTGGTATGGACTACATCGACTGGTGTGGACGCCTGGCGAGGTGGGCGAGGAGTTGGCGACGGAAGAGGCTGTGCGATGGCGGCGCGTTGGCGTGGGGCGGCGGCCAGCAGGTGTCCAGAGGACGGCTTGCGACTGGTCGATGTGGGCTGAGCCCATGGTCGAGGTCGGACCTGCCGTGCTGCCCTTCTTTCCGCAAGGAGCTGGGAAAGATTGCCGGCGGGCGGAGTAGCTGGAGTAGCCGCACATGACGGAATGGAAGGTGCCCTGACGGGCAGATGCGAACCCTGTCGCATCTCGATAAAGGAGCGGCTGCCGGAAGTTGAGGAGTTCGAAGTCGGCGGAAAGGAGGGGACGTCAGTTAGGCGCGGAGGCTTGGCTGGCACAAAGGAGCGTGGCCTAACCGGAGGGTTGCGACGGAAAACGACGGCGAAATGAGGGAATGGCGTGAAAGCTGGTCGTGTCGTGATACGTGCACCGGACTGGTTGGCGCGTTGAAGCAAACCAGGTAGATAAAGGCGGGCCATTGCAAAACCTGGTCAAGGAAAAAGCGGGAGGTAAAAAAGGTCGCTGCTAAGCGGAGGCAAATACCAAAGGCTGAATGACAGGCGTAACTTTCTAAAGGCAGGATACTAGCATCAATCTACCAGAGGTATGAAGAGGGAAGAAAGGGAAAAGGAGGAAAACGGGGAAGACCGTAGTTTTATGCACCTCTGGAGTGACAGGACTCATCAAGAGGAAGGTGCGTCTAACACGAAAAACAGCAGCAGCGTTGCAACGAAACACTCGATGATTAACGCATGTTACAGGGCTGCTTTCACAATATGGCAGGTACATCTATCACGACCGTTGCTACAGGTGAAGTTCAACTAGGTGGCAAGTGTGTCAATCGAGCGTCACCATAATGCCATGGGCTTGCTCGCAAGATGGCTCCACCGGGCGTCGCCATAGAGACGTTGACAAGGAGGATGTCTGCAGATGTCATAAGCTGTGCTATTATGATATGGCGATTCTAGCGTTTGGTGAGAAATCGACATGCTAACGCTGACTGGACAACAGCAACCTTTGCAGCAAAAGTGTAGATTAATCGATATATTGATACTGGACTAAACTCCTGAGCTAGTCTCCTTGTCGTTAGATCCCGCACTTTGGCTTCGGGTGGGCCCGGAAGTAGTCGTTTTTGGCACTAGGTATAATCCACGTAGTTGTTGATTTTATATCAAGAAATATATTTCTCTCACCTTCGACTATCCAAATCCCCGGCAAACACCCTATAACGCCCTCGAAAGCCCAAGCCATACCCATGTACCTTCCTCACATGCCCACAACCCATCAAGAGAATAGAAACGATGAGCACATGACCTCATCACGGAGTTCTCCGATGGATGTCTGCAGCATATCTAGGAACGGTAAGTACATTCCGTCTGGACCTACCAGCTTCCAACTTAGAATATCAAAATGTTTACGAGAAAGGCAAGGACTTGGACACTTGAGTCACAATACGAGCAGTACCAGGAAACCAAGACGTCGAGTCATCCGGCTCTGATGTCCGGAATGAGTCACGAGATGTAAACAATGGTCACTTCGGTCATTCCGATTGTTGTTTTGCAAGAGGATGTCGACACTTTTCGGCGTTGGCTAACGACTCCTTCTATACAACGTTTGTTTACATTTATCGTTATGATCTCTTGTGTTTTCTGCTCTGTCCTAGACCTCTGAGTATTCACTTTGATGGTTTTGGTCCTCCTAGTCGGACCGGGATTATGCCTGACCCCTCAGTGTATACAGTTAGTCCACGTGATCATCTGTATACATCACCCTAAATAGACATCATACTAAGTCACTAGGACAACCGTGGATTTTTGAACAATGCAGTTTTAGTCATATGGGATGACTATAGAGACTTTATTTAAGTATGTAGATTCGCAATGTAGAGAGCCAAAAATTGTATTAAATGAAATGTGCCACCACTCGACTAAGCAACACAAGTAGCGACTGTTCTAGTATTACACTGAATTCCAACAAATATATACGAGAAATAAGAGAGATTAATTATTACAGCTATATATCAAGTAATCTAGAATATCTAGATGGAATTCCATAACTGTTAACGATTTGATCCATGTTTCATGGCTTGTCAAAGTCAGATGTAAATACCCCTATACCCCTCTCCCGTTCATCATACGAGCCTCGAGATAAGAAGATGTAATATTTTGTAGATTATATGGTCCTTGAATGGGCACTACAGAAGGTATGATTGTTATTTGTAGTTAGTCAGAGTTGTTAGGGGTTCTGTGTAAATACACTCTTGGTTGATGCATCTCGAGGAAGAATTATAGGAACAGCCACGGATTGCCGTGATCAACCTTCCGCCACATTAAGTACCTATAGAGCATAAGGAGAGATGTACCTTCAGGGCGGATAGGCAGATGTTGGGTATTAGCAAGCAGAAGGAGTCCGCGTTGCAGGAGGTAAAATGGGCGATAAAACTGACGGCCCTATCGTCCGCACTGCTGCTGTAATGTTTTTGATTTTCATAGATCGTGCTCACCGTCAGGCAGCGTCACTTTCAACAATGCATACAATGCAATACTGTAGTACCCTGCGTCTCGAAGGAGGATCGTTATGTTTTAAGGCAGAGTGGGTCTCTCTATAGTAATCCGAGGTGGTGAAAAGGTCAGGATGGCATTACCATAAGAGGCGGGCAGATCTGGGTTAGAATCCTGGCCTCGAGGCTGTTTCTTTCTGCCCGTTATCTCAGGGTGATCCTCAGTCAACAGTACGGTTCCATTAATGCCGAGTGAGGTCTTCGAAGGAGCCTCGAGCCAGGGGACGATGAGGACCTTCTTAATACCTTCTCGCTTAGGGTTCTACCTGGTCTAATTCGATTGTTCCTAATTAGTTACTAGCCTTAGTGGATCGTTTGGTCAACGTCCGAACGATTTGATTCGTCGAACGCGTTCGCAGCTATAGCGAATCACGCAGAATCACACCACCATAAACGACCCCAATGAGGAAGGAGGTAAGACAAACGTAAGAGTAAGGAAACACAAGGCCGAAAGAAAACATTAAAAACTTTTATTCTAATATCAAACATCGTTTCTAGTCGTTTCCGATCCGCCACAATCTGTGCTTCCCTCCTCCTTCGCCATGTACTGTCCACCACGTCTAAATATCAGCAAAGATGCCGGGATCTGCACTGCCGCAAAGATAATCATCGCCTGGAATTGATGTGTATAGCTCTTGGAAAAGACCTGCTGTACTATAACCTGAAGTTGCGTAGGTAAGGTCTTCACCATACTGGTGTTATGGAACAGCTGCTGCAACTGTTCCGGAGAAAGTGTCTCCGCGAGCTCACTCTTCAAGTTCGCATACTGGATATTGGATGCAATTGCGAGTCCGATTGCCCCTCCAAGGAACCGGCATTGATTTAGGGAACCTGTTGCTGTTGCTGTTAGGTGTCAGTATGTTTATTGGAAACAGTGTATGATTGATGGCCATACCGAGGTCCCTCGTTTCGACAACGTAAGGAACTGCTAAAATGCAAATCCCGATGCTGATTCCAATACCAACACCTGCGATTACTTCATATCCGTAGCCTGCACTGGGGAAGGAGTCGGACTGAGGTAGCGTAGAGAGGAGAACCATCCCCACAGTATGTAGGATGGAACCGGCGAAGATTAAATAGACGAAGGGTATCCGCCCACGAAGACAGGCAATATTGGCGATGCTGGTGGACAGAGTAGCAATGGCGGTATATGGAATTAGCCGGATGCCAGCGCCTAGGGGTGAGAGTCTTTCTAGGATCTGGAAGCGCTGTGACACATAGACAACTACCACGTTCCACGGACAGCCACTGACAAAGGTAGTTCTGCAATAAGAGCTGTCAGATTGGCAACCCAGTGGGACCCCTATCGACTCACATGAGAATCCCCACCCAGGCTCTGTTGAAAATGAATCGCTTTGGAAAGATTGGTTGAAAACCAGGGCGGCCGTCGATCAGCCATTCCCAGGCAAAGAAGGCCATCCACGATAGGCCGGACACAACGAGTAGTGCGATCGCAGTTCTAGAAGCCCACTCAAACTCCAGGTTAGTTTCATTTAATACCGTAATGAGTAATAAAGAGCCGCTGAGGAGCAACACAGCCCCCATGACATCAAGCTCGCGGAAAAGTGTCATTGTTGGCCTCAAATGGGCGATTGATTTCGGGGGCCGTGAGCCAAGGGCTGCAGGCATCGCGATGAGAAACAACATCACAGCCACTGCCCCGGGAGGAAGGCTATTGTTCGGTACATCTGTAAGCGAACATCCGAAGTCTGAAAAAGGAGAGTATAAAAAACGCACCTCACATAAAAGACCCATCGCCAGGTTGACCTTTCTGCAAGCACGCCTCCTATGAGAGGACCCGTCAAAGAGGCACATGCAACAGCTAATGAGACCATGCCGCCCCAAATGGGCAGCCTGCGCTTGGGGACGAGCTCATAGGTGCACAAGATAGTAACCGGGTAAACCCCAGCACCACCAATGCCCTGAAACGCTCGACATACGATGCTAATTAGTGTTTAGCAGGGAACGATCCAGGGTTCGCCACATCAAGATATAACGTACAGTGTGTTTACCGACCGGGATAACCCACATCCCAATGAAAACGCCAAGAAGATCAGGTTGGCAGCGATCAAGGTTTTCTTTCTACCAATGATATCGCTAATTCTTGTCCAGATGGACATGAAGCCTGGCCGAAATTAGCGAGACAGGGCAGAGCAAGGAACGGGAACTCTGACCAGTGTATGTAATTAGGAATCCAGTAATGATCCAGCTTGTTTTGCTGAAACCATTCAGGTCCCCCGTGATGGATAAAAGCGAAGTGCTCACGATCGTGACCTCCAGGTTGACTAAGTAAAGGCTGATTACCAGCCTTCGACCAGTCAGTGTACAATGTGACCTGCATAAGCGAATACGACGTACCCAATTGTGGTGAAACACAGCCTCCATCCATGTGGATAGAGGATCTGATACTCGGGAGGCTTCTCAGCCACGGGGTTAATCTTTTCTTGGCTGTCCATCGCACAAATTCTTCTTTAGATCCTGGGATTATTTTACTCCATCTCTTTGGTTAAGTCTCTGGGAATGAGCCTTTCCTTATAAGTATTTTAAAGAAGCTATGGTATGCTTCCTGATCTTACTGTCGTCCGAAATAGGAAATAGCCGCAAGTTAGAGTATAGTATACAAACATACGCCGAACAGATGAACTCCACATTGCCACTGACGCATCTCGCTCAGCACGCAAGGAACAACGTTTCCATAACCTGGGCATACTCAGGGAATAAAGCCTCAACCAATCTTACCTTGGCTTCCATTTTTCTTTTGTCCGTACTCCTATTTCTGTGCTCCTTCCATTTTAAAGTGTAAAGCCTGGTAATTGCTTTGTGTAAGAACTGGTTAGCTTAGCCTGTACCACTGATACCTCGAAAGCTTGAAACGCTTCGCCAACTAGGAATTAGGTATATGTATGTGCAGCCCTTTACCGGAACAAAATGACTGGTAGCAATTGGTGCACTCATGTCATCGACCTCGTGGTGCTACCAGGATGTTGCTTCCCCCTAAAACTTCTGACTGACCCTAGTGACTTCTCTTGATTGAGCTGCTGCTCTTAACCGGTTGGTGAAAACAGTAACCGACCGATAATAGACTCTACCATCCTTGTCTATGATGTCGGCTGTGAAGATGGTGCACCGAGGTAAAAGAATCCTATTTCTTCTGGACCCCGATGACCTTGATTGGTGCTACTATAAGGGGCACTGTTAATTGGTGTGCGGTTGAGCGGGTTTCGATCACTGAGAATAGTCTTCTCACCCGCTGTAACGGCAGGCTGGATATAGGGATACTACCCTACAGCGCTTCTACGTGGGACGGCTGTAGTGATCCGTAACTCTTTCAAAGGTGGTCATGGACTTGAGATTGTGGCCAAAATTAGGGCATTACGTCAATCCAGATGCATCCCCTAAACTTTAAACAGACATGCTTTGTGAGTTCCTGGAAGTAAATCAAGTTTAATCATATGGTGTCTGAGCGAAATTTACGCCATGTAAGCTTTGGCCCGAGACTTGGCCAAGATATTGCCGTTTTGGGTTCAATGACTCAGTTTCTCAAACCCACCCATTCAATGCCTTGGCAAGATATTATTGGTTGTTGTGTATACGGAGTTTCTGTGCCCTAACGTTCTCTATCCCAATCGGGGAAATAAATTGTCATACTTACATGAAACCCACCAGGGCGATTAGGTGAGGTCGGCCCACAAGATATAAGATGTGTGCAGATCCCCGAAGACCCCGATAGAACACATTGAGTCTAGAGGCATCGCTCTTCAAGATGAAGTTGGCATTGGAAAAGCCATTCTCCTTGTCTCCGGAAGAGCCCAGGCTTGATTTGAGTCACCGATCGGCGGTCGACGGCTTGACGAAAAGAGTACTCCGTAGCCTGCATATCCTTACCTAGTCGGCAGGTCTTTTACCCTGTTTAGTAGATATCTCTGACAGATAGGATCATTAAAAAAGAAGAAATCATGAATAGCGGTCAGCGGTCAGAACTCCTATCCTGAATGGTCTCATATCCTCTTTTTTCCTTGATAGAATGATGGAAAATAATGAAAAATAATACACATAATCCATCACCTTCATGAGGTTGATGCGAGGTTGATCCTATGCTATTTATTAAGGTAAGACCCTTACTTTACTAGCGCAGTTTGAGTACTTTGGGAACATACCTCCTCATTGGAAGCTTTTTCATTCCCAGTCGACCTGGCCAGTGGGAATTATTCTCGCAATTAAGAATATGAGTATAGTGAGTGGGCTGTGTTAAGATCGCATTCAATTATTAGTTTAGTGTCGGAATCCGAGGGGTCCGAAGAGTGACTCGTATCTGATAGTAACATCCCTCGTATTAAGTGGAATTTAAGGACTTTCCTGCCTAAATTTTAGTCCCTAGCTTATGACCCTGCAGAAGAAGTAAGTGGATCTATATATTCGCCCTACAGGTCGGTTGAATGAGCATTCCTTGAATATGTCCGTACGCATACTCTCGCTATGGCGGCTCAAGATGACCCTTTAGCGACAACGAACAATGAGACCTCTGTTACACTCATGGACGAAAATTGCCACAAGCAAGACAGCTCGGGTGAGATCAGTACGTCAGCTCAGGGTGGATTCAGGAGCTATCTCAGGATCTTTTCCTACACCGACGCTGTCGGCTGGATTCTCAATGTTCTCGCCTTGGTGGGCGCCATCGGCGCGGGCGCAGCTCTGCCCCTAATGGACATACTGTTTGGGAAAATGATCACTAACTTCAATAACTTCGCGGCTGGTTCCAATACTCAAAGCGAGTTCCGGTCGTCACTGAACACTTTCACGTAAGTGTAGTCAAACCAGGCGATACGTTCCTAAGCTGGCTTTGGATACTGATAACGCGCCATAGACTCTACTTTGTGTATCTCTTCATCGGAAAGTTCGTGTTAGTGTATACGTGGACTGTAGGTCTTATGTACCCTATTAAATTGAGCCTGTGTTGAAGGTTAATTTTCCCCGGTCGTAGTTATGCCTGTCTGTCTCTGCCGTGCGAACGACCAAATCCCTACGGACGACATTCTTGACCCACCTGCTGCAACAAGATATCGGCTTCTTCGATGCCAACGAGAGTGGTTCCTCCGTTGTACAACTAACGGCCAATGGCAATCTAGTCAACCAAGGGATCTCAGAGAAGCTAGGTTTCGCGGTGCAGGGCACAGCGACCTTTGTGGCAGCGTTCATTGTGGCCTTCGTCGTGCAATGGAAACTGACGCTGATCACAATCTGCATCACCCCGGCCATCCTGATCGTGACTACTATCTGTGCCGGTATTCTTGTCAAGCAAGAGAATCGAATCCTCCATATTAACTCGATCGCCGGAACCTTGGCTGAGGAAGTTCTCGGCAGCATGAAGACAGTGCATGCCTTTTCCGCCTTTTCCAGGTTGACAACTAAATACGATGACCACTCCAAGGAAGCGAAGCGTCTGGGTCTTGCACAGTCGCTCAACGTGGCGATTTTATACTCAACCGAGTACTTCTGCACCTACGCCGGATATAGCCTTGCGTTTTGGCAGGGAGTTCGTATGTATGCCAGGGGTGAGATTAAGGAACCGGGCAATATCATCACGTAGGATTTGAACCCGTTCCCTTTCCCAGCCGGTCTAACCTTGTAGCTGACTTGCCTTCTTTGGCTTTTCTAGTGTCATATTTGCTATCATAGTAGCCGCCACAGCCATGACGCAGATCGCACCGCAAATCGTCCAAATCACCAAGGCAGCCTCAGCCGCACAGAGCTTGTGGGAAATCATTGACCGCAAGTCTCCGATCGATGGGCTGTCGCAGGAGGGCAAGAAGCCCAACGCTTGTGAGGGGAATATTGAATTTTCCAACGTCTCATTCTCGTATCCCACTCGCGCTCAGATCCCAGTTCTCCAAGACTTCACACTCTCCATTCCTGCCAACAAGACAACGGCTTTGGTCGGACCTAGTGGCTCTGGTAAGAGTACTGTGACCGGGCTGTTGGAGCGATGGTACAATGTCCAGGATGGGAGAATCACGCTTGACGGGGTGGATATTACAGAGCTTAATATTCAGTGGTTGCGGACTCATATTCGCATTGTTCAGCAGGTTAGGCTCATCAGTTTTCTGCGTGCTTTCTTGTATGAAACTCATGGGTATTACACAGGAGCCCACATTGTTTAACGCCACAATCTTCGAAAATGTAGCGTACGGTCTAGCGGGAACAGAATATGCCGACGCTTCCCAGGAGGAGCAGTTACAGCGAGTCATTACAGCGTGTAAAGCTGCTTATGCCCATGACTTCATTGAGGCTTTACCGGAGGTATGTTCTATTTGGTTGCATATGTATTGCGCTGCTAACGCTGAACATAGAAATACGACACCCAAGTCGGGGAACGCGCCACAATGCTGTCTGGGGGTCAGAAGCAGCGTGTCGCGATTGCGCGGAGTATCGTTTCTGATCCAAAAGTGCTGATTCTCGACGAAGCTACGAGTGCTTTGGATACACAGGCCGAGAAGATTGTGCAAGAGGCCTTGGACAACGTATCAGCATCGCGAACTACCATCACGATCGCACATAAACTCTCGACAATCAGGAAGGCGGATCAGGTTGTGGTTCTGTCGCAGGGAGAAATTGTGGAAATTGGAACCCACGACGAGCTCAATGCTGCAGGAGGAACTTACCATCGTCTTATCGAGGCACAGGATCTAGGTACCGTCGACGATGACGGAAACCTATCCGAGGAGGAGAAGGCTGAAGCGAACAATGCTATCACAGCGGTCATTTCAGGACAGCAAGACCGTAGCAAAGATGTCGCGCGTGTGGAAAGATTGAAGGCGCCATCTGCCCGCAGCCGCAGCCTAATTCAGTGTCTGACTGTCCTACTCTCCGAACGACGCGAACTATGGCCGCACTTTATTATCTCACTGTTAACCTGCATTGTCGGGGGTACGTATTCGCCACTGGACCGTGACCTCCTCGCTAGTCTAATGCTCAAACAGGTGGCATTTACCCTGCCCTTGCGGTCATTTTCGCTAAGGTCTTGGATGTCTTTCAGATCACACCTACGAGCAAGATGGTCGAAAAAGGTGATTTCTTTGCACTCATGTTCTTTGTGCTTGCTCTCGTCATTTTGTTTGTCTATGGGATACTTGGGTGGGTTTCGAATGTGATCTGCAACGTAAGTGCACTCAGAATGGGTTATGGTCGATCGCTATACTCATAACTAGGAAGTGTATAGTGTATACGTACCGAATGGAGATGTTCCAGGATTATATCCGACAAGATATGACCTTCTACGACCAGCCCCAGCACACCACCGGCTCGTTGATCTCCGAACTCGCTTCGAAGCCTGCCAGCCTGCAAGAGCTGCTAGGCATTAACATCAGTATCGTTATCATTGGCATAGTAAATGTCATCGCTAGTTCCATCCTCTCCATAGCGGTTGGATGGAAACTTGGATTGGCCGTTGTCGCAGGGGTAGTGATCCCAATAATCTCCTGTGGCTATCTCCGAATCCGTCTCGAGTTCCGCTTAGATGAGGCGACATTGCATAGGTTCTCCGAAAGTGCAGGTTTGGCCGGTGAGGCAGTATCTGCGATTCGAACCGTCGCATCATTGGCGATTGAGCGAGTGATCCTGTACAAATACACCGACAAGTTGGCGGGCATTGAACGAAGATCCATCAAGTCGTTGACCTGGACGATGTTCTGGTTAGCCCTTTCGCAGTCTCTTTCATTGCTCGCTATGGCGTTGAGCTTCTGGTATGTTTTCCTCATGGTATTGGCTTCATATGTTTACTGGGAGAAACAGGTATGGAGGTCGCTTGTTATCGACAGGCGAGTACTCCAGTACGCAGCTGTATATCACTACCATTGGAGCCATCCTCTCCGGTGAATCAGCAGCGCAATTCTTCATGTTTAGTACCAGTGAGTCACCAACCCCCACGTTCCCTGTAACTACTGACGGCGAGTAGGCTTTACAAAAGCGCAGGTAGCATGCAACTACATCTTCTGGCTACGTTCTTTGCAACCAGATGTCCAGGATGGACCATCTGATCACGCGCCCGGGGAAAAGGGCCTAGCCGCCCATGTGGCATTGCAAGAAGTAGGATTCCGATATCCAACACGCCCAGCTCGACCTGTGTTAAACGATATCAATATTGAAGTATGCATCACTTACCCAAGATCCTCTTCTATGAGTTATCCTAATAAAACAACAGATAACCCCCGGCCAATTCGTAGCTTTCGTCGGACCCTCCGGCCACGGGAAGTCAAGTCTCATCGCCCTCTTAGAACGATACTATAACCCGACATCCGGGCACATCCGGCTCGACAATTCAGATATAGGCAACATGGCACTCGCCCCCTACCGAAGCCAGCTATCCCTGGTCCAACAGGAACCAGTCCTCTATCAGGGGACCATCCGAGAGAACATCGCTCTAGGACTTGAAGAAGAAGCAACAGAAGACCAGATCCATGAGGCCTGTCGCCAGGCTAACATCTTCGACTTCGTCTCCTCCTTACCAGACGGACTGGGGACATCGTGCGGTTCACGAGGGACTCTATTCTCCGGTGGTCAGCGCCAACGCATAGCCATTGCCCGGGCGCTTATCCGTCAGCCGCGTTTACTTTTGCTCGATGAAGCTACGTCCGCGCTCGATACCGAGAGTGAGAGGATTGTTCAGGCGGCTTTGGATCAGGCTAAGGATGGTCGGACGACTATTGCAATTGCGCACCGTTTGTCGACGATCAAGCATTCGGACCGGATCTTTGTGCTTGTAAGTGGATGGATTAAGGAGCAGGGGACGCATGAGGAGTTGCTTCGTCGACGGGGGATCTATTATGAGATGTGTCTGGGGCAGGCCCTGGATAAGGCTACATGATTGTCCTTATGAGTGAGCATACGACTTGTACATTATAAGTATTGGGCTCTACCTGAGGTGGTGGATACCCGGGGTGTGTAATATTAATCTCCACTCGTCATTTGTATACTATGAGATATGAAGTAAGTGGGTAGCTCCTCAAAAGTTACTACGGGGCCAAGTACATACAATTTCATCAGATGTCTATATCCACCTCTCACCTTACCATATTCGAGCAGATACTCAAACCCCAGCTCCACCTCCCAACCTCACCCCTCAGCAATAAACACACACCACGAAGAACGAGATAGAACCGCCAAAACGACCACTATCTCCCTACCTAAATCACCGCACAACCCCAAACCAAGCCAGCCCCAGCAATCCACCACAAACAATCGCCCCAACAGCAGGCAGCTCAAACCACCTCCCCCCCGCATAACTAACAGTCGCAACAACAACCCACCACGGCTTCTTCCCCAAACTACCCCCGCTACTCATCTCCTCCGTCAAAAACCCAATCTCCCAAAGCCTGTAAACAGCCGTAAACACCAAGCCCACAGCCGTAGCATTAACCCCCCTCAAAAAATCCACAAACCATTTCCTCCTCCTCAACACGCCCCAGAAACTCTGCACCGACACCGCCAGTGCTAGACCGGGGAAAAATATCCCCACTCCACCGAGTACCGCGCCGAGGATACTCGGGTACGCGGATCCCTGAACCGCGAGAGTGGAGAGGAAGATTGCGAAGTTGAAGTTCGGGCCGGGGAAGGCTTGGATTAGGGCTAGGCCGAGGAGGAAATCGCGGCTTTGGACCCATGTTTCGACGGAGGTGCGGAGAAGGGGGATTACCACGGGGCCGCCGCCGAAGATTATTGTGCCTGCTAGGTACATGTTTGTGAGGAGGGAGAGGGGGAGGGGTGGGGGGAGGGTTAGGGATTTGGTTAGGAGGAGGGTGGTTAGGATTGCTTTTGGTTATTTGTTAGTTTGGTTTCTTCTTTTATTGCTGGTGGGTTTGGACTGGGGGGCTGAGGAAGAGACTTACCGAAGACGAAGATTGTGAGGAGGATTCCTGTTAAAAGGGGGACGGTGTGGGTTTCTTGGTGGTGTGGTTCTATGTTGTTGTTGGGGGAATCTGCTGAGGTTTGGGGGAGGGAGCCGGTTCTAGGAGCGACGTTTCGGGGCCGGATTAGGTTGTTTTGAGAAGAGGTCGTATTGTCGAGGGCGACAGTTTGTCCTTCTTCCATCGGGATGCTCTGTATGGTTGATAATTCTGTGTCAGTGGCAGGTTGTGAGCTGTGTCTTCTCTTCCACGCCAGCTCCATCTTCCGGATGCGTTGGCTCATCCATCCGTTCCAGAGAACTGTCACCGCGCCGCCGATAACTAGTAATAGTGGGAAGTACCACAGGGCGTTGTAGCACAGTCCTGCACAGGCCCCGAATATCACCAAGATACGGGTCAGCTTATCATAAATTGCCTTCTCAGCTAGTTGCACCGCGGCAAGGGCGATGATGCCCACAGTTGAGGAGTTCAACCCCGATAGAAGCGCATAGACCATTGAAGGAAGGGTATCGCCGATCTTCTGGACCCCGATGGCGAGAGAATACATGCCAATTGCTCCCGGCATACTGTAATTTGTAAGTTGCAAAGGGGCTGATTAACGTGGTTATCGATGCCTACCTCCAAAGTAAGAAGGCTAGTAGTGCTGGAATGAATCCAGCATGTAGCAAAGTGAGGCAGAAGAGCATCTTCGTGCTGGCTGGGCCAGGCAAGCCCTGGCATAGGGCGAAGAGCTCCTGGTACTGCAATAAATTTATTATCAGTGAACAGATCGGAATATCCACAATCAAAACGTCTAACCTACGGTCTGTTCATCTACCCATTTCTCCTTCCCCCCCTTTCCCTGCACAAATCTCTCGTGCAGAATGCGAAAATGTACCGGAGGTCCACCGAAGCTGGTGAAGCCCAAGTCCCACGTGCGCAGGAACACATCCAGCAGGCGGCTTGACAGTCTGTTATTGTTTCTGTCTCTTCTCGTGGCGAAACCTCTCCATCTCCAATGCAGCGATCGAAGGGAGGAGATGGGTCGGGAAAAGCAAGCGGGCAGTAACATTTCTTGAGGTCTACTCTACGATTTCTGTCTTCCAGGTCGACATTCTACGTTTTTAGACCTGCGAACCTGGCCAATTTAATGGCCGAGGATTGGCGGGGCTGCCAAGATGGGACGACTTGGCGGGATCCTGTTTGAAGATAGGTTTCATGGCGCCGAGTCGGGGAATTTTGTACCCAAGATGAGTAGGGATTTTTTAATTCATAGCTTACTACTTCCTATGGCTGCCATTGTCCAGCTATGCTAAGAGTAACAGACATGGCTAAACGAGCATCCGTGGCTTTGACTTCTGGAATCCCTCCAGTTCCGCTATGATTTGCCTTTTGGTGCCAGTAGAAGCCCAGCATATATCGACCGCATTCCTTTGAAGCACTAAGAAGTCCTCATCCGTGAAATGGCATAATTCACGGAGCAGGTAGAGACTATGGTTAAGCCAAATATCTTCCATATAGGCTGGGTCGTCACTGCCGATCGCAATCTTGATGCCTTCATCGTGCAGAATACGAACACGTTCCAGAATTTTGCTCTCGCCCGAGTAGCACAGGTACCCCCATGGGCAGATCGTCATCCCCAGGTCCTTTTCTCTTACTCTGGAGAGAAGAGAAGGATCATCCGCAGCATGCAGACCGTGGTCAATTCGGTCTGCTCCGGTGCCACCGAGCTGGTCGAGCACTTGGGCAATATGGCGGAGAGAGTCCTTTGCGCCGACATCGCAGTGACAGGTGATCCTGAAACCGTCTCTTCTCGCGCGACGAAATACTTCCTCGAACAGTAGCGGTGGTCGGTCTGTTTCCAGCGAGTCGAGCCCAATTCCGGCAATCATATCGCGATACGGAAGGGCGTCGGTGTAATGGGACATGGCTGATTCCGGGGACATGTCTCGCAGAAAACACATGATCCACTGGGACTGGACCTGTCAGTAGCATCAGTCTAGTCGGATTTCTCCTGAAAGAATACTCATCTCTACATTTAATTGTTCCGTCGCCTCCAACTGAGCCCTCCGAAAGCCCTTCATCATGGTTTCCCAAGACACACCCCTCCGCGTATGCCCTTGGGGGTCAAAAAACGGTTCGCAATATCGAACGTTCATCTCCGCCGCACGGTGGAAATAATTCATCGCAAGCCGGTAAAAGTCTTCCTCGTCCCGCAAGACTTCAAATCCGCCATAGTAGAGATCGAAAAACCGGAGCATTCCGCCCTCCACGCCTCCTTCTTCGAGGTCATGGAGTAGTTCATACATGCTTTGCAGCTCCGATAAATCCCGGCAAGGCTTTCCGGTTCTGGGGTTGGGTATAGGCTCTTTATGGCGCTGTGCGAGCGACCACCGCAGGTCTGGCATCATGGTTCCCTCAATGTGGACGTGCATCTCCACCTTGGGCATCTTTTTGATGAAGTCGTCGCCATGATTTCGGATCAGATTCCTATATTCGCGGATCTTCGCGTTTGATAGAAGTGGTGAGCTCATGATTAGATCTTTGTCAGAGTCTTGCAGCGTGTAAATCTTTCTACATGAAAGGGCGACAGCCACGCCCTTAAAAAGGCTAAGACGACGTGATAACCCATCGTCTGGACCCCGCAAGATCGGGTGGTATCTGCATCAGATGTGTCAAATGCACCCCACCCGAGGGTATTCTCGGAATATATATGATTGGATGGAAGTTGGAAAAAGATCAGCATTTCCTTGCATTCTTGACCGGTTAGCAAGGTGGGGGAAACCTTGACCATCTGGACTCGAAATAGAGCCGTTGCGAACCTTTTTGCTCCTCATTTTCTTGTGGTCTTCGCCGTTGACAGTCTGATGCACTTAAGCTATGTAGCTACTCTTCCGGACCTATTTCTGGGCCCAGGCACATGTCACAGTGAACATCGCGATTGAAGCATCCTATTTTATACAGATAAATTCAGAATATGACTCTAATGACAGTTGGTAGTTTTGAGATGTTACTCTTTCTCCTCATGAACCCATCCCAGAATCCTGCGCGCCTTCTCCGTTGTGAAGAATGACTGGTTGGCCGGGAACTCGCCGTGAATCTCGGTGTCAGGATAATACTTCTTCGCGAGCTCCCGTGACGGTGTGTCCTGGGTCGTCGTCGGCGCAACAATATTGAAGACCTCGCACCCATTCAACTTCTCACTCTTCTCCACCGCCAGCAAACACGCTCTCGCCGTGGCCTGGGCGCTCACCCACCCCCATAGACTCTTCACCGCGGAGTTATCCCAGTCCTCGGCGTGTCCCTTCTGCGCTTCCGACCGCGATGCGACCGCGTGGATGCGCACGCATGCAATGTTCATCCCGGGGAACCATCGCGCAAACGCCTTCCCCTGCATCTCCGCTTCATCTTTCGCCAAGGCATACGCGTCCGTCGGACGTTGCGTCACTTCTTCGTCAATGGGAAAGTAATCGAACTTTAGCGGTCGCGTAGCGTACTCCAACCCGATCGCGTTGACCGACGAAGCATAGCAGAACCTCTTGATCCCAAGCTCGGCGGCGGCCCGGAATCCGTTGAACGCCGAGTTCACGTTGTTATTGTGCACGAGATCATCGTCCTTATCGATCGGGTTCGGAATGGCGGCCAGATGGATGACGGCGTCGCAGCCGCGAAAGGCCTCGCGCGTGGCCTTGTAGTCGTTGGCGGTGTCTGCGGTTTTCATCTCCGAGTTCGGGGTCCCGTCGTACTTGGTGTCGGTCCGGTCAACTTGGACTGTTGCATGACCGGCGTCTGCTGCGGCCTTGACAACGGCACTACCGACGGTACCGCGAGCCCCTGTGATCGCGATCTTCATGTTATGGTGCGTGGATAGGTTTCTCCGGTGGAATCGGGGACCTTGACGCGCGAGGATGTTAGCCAGAGGACGCAATGACATGTTTGTATATATTTTATAAGTTGTATGAAGCTGACCTTGGATTCGGCAATCTTTCTTTTCCTGTTCGTTATCCGAGTCCATGACGTGGCTATGATGCCCAAGTCCGTCGATGTTCCATGACGCCAAGGTGATGATGTGCACTCTCTTGAATTCCCAGTCCTTTTGTGACGCTGCCGATACTCTGCCGTATCTACTAGAGAATCGACAAATGCTGTCGAAAGAAATCAAAACACTCGCCGAAATATCATATCTCGAGAGTTGTTCTGGGAATCTGCAATGACATCAGTCCCGGTTGATAAGAGTCGCAACCCTTATCCGGATCAATATTGGTTCCGGTTCCGGCATATGGCCGTGTGGTCAGTCAACTTGATTCAGGCCTCGGGACTCTTCTGAGTATACGCATAGTACAAATTCATGTTTTGGACCGCATCTCGTGGCGTTGATTGACAATGAGAAACATGAGAGACAACCATTTATAAACCTTGTAGCTCTTGAAGATCCGGCGTGGCCAACTCACACCACACCAATGAGGGACGGCCACGCCAGATCAGGTTTTATTTTGGTCGGCATAAGTACTGGTAGTCTAGGATTAATACAATATAATCAGGAGAAGCCAAATTCAAGGAAGGATCCAGGGGAGTTTCTAATACGAAGCGGCCGTCGGTTCAATGGACAGCACCATCCGGAGTGATCATGGCATCACAACTTATCCACGCAAAGCGGTTGGTCGGAAGAAGCGTCACAAATACCCGGAAATCCTGCTCGTATCTTATCGGTCGTCTTGTATTCCATGACTTGTGCCCTGCCAAGCCCGAACTAGTGGCGCAGCTACGGTACGTCCGGGAGCCCTAAAGAACTGCCAACCTTTGCCTCTCGGACGCTCAGCAATAGGCGAACAGGTCTGAAACTAGTCCAATCCCACTTCTGAGACCATGGGTGTAATGCCCAAGGTTGTCATCAGAAACCTCACCTTTGTACCTCGTCAGGTATTCTATATTTAGTGTCTCCAGTTGTGAATTGGGCAGTGTGTTACTCCGTGGAAGAGCAATGTACTGCACGTACAATTATAGTAACGCTCTCTGACAGTGGATCTTGAAAGCTTTTTCTATTTTCTTTTTTCTTTTTTTTCCTGGCCGATCCGTCAATATCATTTTATAGATTTTCCAATAGACTGAGACATAGTGATTCCCTCATTCCGCTATTTAAACGCAACTTCCTCCGTCGTAATCTCATTTTCTTCACTCCGTCTTTACTACACTCATCCAACTTTAGATTCCCTCGTTCGGTTTTATCAACCCCATATTTTAATATTTCCATCCTTTCGGACATTTAATCAGCCACCATGCGTCTCTCCTACGCCGTCTCTCTCTTGCCTCTGGCTGCTTCCGTTGGAGGTTTGTCTTCCCCAAGTTGTACTATATTGGTGAAACACCAGTCTAACCGCGAATAGCGCTCCAGGTCACCGAGCCCAAGAAGGGTGAGGATGTTGACCTCTCCAAATCCTTCACTGTGAAGTGGGACGCTGTCGAGTATGCTCATCACGGCTGTCATTTGCTGTCCTGTATCCTCTACTAACACGCCCCAGTACCGACCCCTCTTCTTTCGATCTTTACATCGTCAACAACGCCGTCTACCCCAGTGTTGAGCAGAAGATCGCCTCCGACGTTGACAGCTCCAAGGGCTCCTACAGCGTCTCCGGCCTCTCCGACCTGACCAACGGGTAAGTGGCGACCGGAATACTTTTTATTCCCACACGGTAGACTGACCCCCCGTGCAGCAAGGGCTACCAGATCAACTTCCTGTCCAACTCCGCCAAGAACAGCGGCATCCTCGCCCAGTCCCAGCAGTTCAACGTCGAGGGCTCTTCCGACTCCAGTTCCTCCGCCTCTGCCAGCGAGACCAAGACCGCCTCCTCCACCACTGGCACTGCCACTGCTTCCTCTACTGGTACTACCTCCTCCTCTGAGACTGCCTCCTCCAAGACTGCCTCTTCCACTGGCCACATCACCACCGCAACCCAGTCTTTGACCTCCGGTGTGAGCACTGTCACCGGTACTAACACTCTGTCGACGACAGTTTCCTCCTCCGCCCGTGCCTCTGCTTCCAAGAGCGGTTCCGCCAGCGGTACCTCTTCCGGCAGCGGCCCCATCTCCACCGGCGCTGGTGCTTCCCTCTCTGCACCCGTCTCCGCCGCCGTCCTCCTGATGGGCGCGGTCGCTCTTAACCTGTAAGAGTTCGGTTTGCTCCTCAGTTCAGTCGTTCAGACATCGTGAAATCTTGCACGGGGGAACGGACACGAAAGCATATTATGCTTATGCTAGGTTAAGGGATAAGGTTACTTCGATACATGATGTAATACGTGGCGCGGGAAAGATGGGGAGATAGAAATGTATTTTATTCAATTCTTAATAGCATTCCTTTAGAATGCTACCTACATATCGAAAAATGATCGTTGAACCTCTGGGGTTTTTGGACACGTATCTACAAGTAACTTGTACGTAGGAAAGGATGGATGGATAGAATATGTGGTAGCTGCGCTTCCCGAGCTCTCGGCGAACTCTTATATGCCGGATTTTCTGTTGATCGGGATCGACCAGTGGGTCTTCTTCTCTTATTTTATAGTATTTGGGTGATATTGGACATCGTTGAATAGTATGTAGGAGTACCATAGATTATTTTGGTAAAATATTCTCCGTATGTATATCTACGCATCCATAATAAAGTAACGAACTATCACCACACCACAAAAAACCAATGAAACCCACGGGGAAAATTCAATAAGATAATAACCGGTAACAATGCAAGACCCTAACTGAGGTGCTTCAGTCCCCACATGACCAGACCCTGATTCTTGATAATCCGTCAAGATTACCCCAATAGTCCGTGACGTATTACAATAACAAGTCCACCGCTATTGTGACTCCGAGACAAATAGTTAGTTAATCAATTGGTTATCGAAGACTGGAAAACAAGTAAGACCCATGTCTCAATTATTATTGGATTATTGATCTGTGTCTTTTTTATCAGGAAAAATCTTCGATTGAAGAACAGAAGACCCACATAGTTAGTGTATTATATCGTACCCAGCGGTACCGTAAATACCCGTCCGACCGATTTATAATGTATTCCAACTGTCTAAAACATGGAAACTGACTAGTGGGTGGATTTGATTTCGATTGATCCAATGCATTATTGAAAAGCGGAGGGAGCCGACTATGAATTGCTGTCTTCGGGTTCGCCGATAAAAGCCCTTAATTTACCCTTTTCGACACTTCCTGCCGAGCAGAAATAGAATAGATTCGATTAGATTATTATACTAGAAAGATTTTTAGGTTTTGCCCTCGTTTTCTGACAGCCTTCACTGATTGGATATGTATCTGGTGGTTTTGATGAGGTGTCTGGGAGTAATTTGACATGGTCTTAGATAGTAGTCGGGTTATAGCCTTGTCTGGTCTTTTTTTGAATTATCTAAATTAGAGACTGAGTGTCTGTGTGTCTACTTTGCCAATGCCAACTTCGAAAAGCAATCTATTACACGAACAAAAACAATAAAAATAAAACAAAAATATTCGAACCCCGGAAATTATTACTCATCATAGATTTTATCGTCACTATTTTTTTATTTTTTGTCTCATTGTTAGTCATGGGACGCACGCCAATTCTGGGGGTAATGTATCACTTACAACGGTTGTAGCAGACTGTCTCGGCCGGGAGCCGTTGAATTCACCCACACGCTCACGCTCATCCCTGTGACAGGGAAGACCCCGTACCCCGAGTCGTCGATGGTGACGGTGCTGGCGTGGTTTTGCATCACGTCGGTCCATTCTTCGTGAGCGTGGTTGGGGCCGACGTACATGCGTTTTTGGTTGTCGTTGCTGTTGCTCATTATGCAGGCTAGGCCGGGGTGGTGGGCGTTGCCGTAGCGGATGAACCCTTTGTTTTTTGCATTTCTTGTTAGTTTGGTAGGGTTTTGTGTGGTTAGATAGGGGGGTTATACGTACCGATGCAGTTGGCCTGGTCAAAGTAGTCTTCTTGTTCGCCGTAGGCGTATAATTTGCGAGCCCGCGTCAGGATTGGGAGTTTGCCCTTGCAGGCGCGCTTTAGGGCCTTTTCGCCCAGTGTGCCGTAGAGATCGCCGTAGAAGACGCAGGGGTGGCCCTCTTTGCGGAGGAGGACTAATGCATATGCCAGTGGTTTGAAGTATTGCGCGACGGGGTTCTTGGTTGGTTAGTTTGCGGGTTTGAGAGTGTTAGATAGTACGTCAACTCACTTCTAGCATTTGGCCCGGGACCTGGACACGTCAGTACGATACGTTATAGATGGATATGGGTATGACTTACTGTGTCGTGGTTCGAGACGAATGTCTTACCAAGTCAAGTTAGCATTTCTTCGCGCAACATTACAGGGTAACATACCAAAGCATTGTCCGGCTTGTTCTGCACCAACGTGCCCTTGAAGATCTTGCGAAGATCGCCGCCCTTCGTGTACGATGTCCGGCACAGGTTCATAACCAGAGGCGCATCCACCGCCGTGATGGAATACTCCAGTTTCTCCAGATACGCGAGAATATCCTTTAAATCGCCCGTCCAGTACTCACCGATGACGAACAGATCCTTATTCGCTGTCTTCCGGACATGCTCGATGAATTCCTTCTGGAAGCCAGCGGAGAAATGCTTCGCGGCGTCCAGTCGCATACCACTCAGCGGCAACTGCGTCGCAATCCAGGTGCCCCAATTCAGGACATCTTGCCGGACCTCGGGGTTCGAGTAATCCAGATTCGCAAACATGAGATAGTCATAGTTGCCCTTATCCTTCCCGACATCCTGCGCCCACTCCTTCCCCTTCATCCTGAAGACGGCGTTCTCCTTTCGCGACTCGTCCCAGTCCACGCCATTAAAATGCTGCCAATGATACTTCATGGCGCTGTACTGATCGCCCCGTCCCGCAAAATCAAACCCAGTCCACCCTTCAATCTCCGCAGCCTTCGACACCTCAACATTTCTCCCTGTCAAGTAAAACCGTCAACAAACGGGCCAATCAAACCCCAGACCATCATCCAAAACCGAAAGCAGAGAGAGAAAAAGGAACATACGATTAGAATCTACTTTAACCGCCTCAAACCTCTCCGGATAATCCGCACCAGCCTTATGATTAAGCACCGCATCCCAGTAAACCCCCACGCCCAGTTCCTGCGCATTCGCAATAAGATCCTCGAGTTCCTTCCGCGACCCCCACTTCGTAGTCCGCGAGCCCTTCTGGTCGAACTCGCCCAGATCGTACAGATCGTAGACGTCATACCCGTTTCCGTGGGAATCCATCCCCTTGCAACCTGGTGGAATCCAGATATTGTCGATGCCGATGGACTTCAGCCCCGGGAGGGCATCTTGCAGTCGACGCCAGTGGCATGTATCGGCGGGGATGTGCCATTCGAATGCTTCCAGGAGGAGCGTGTTATCTGGTGCATTCCATGAGGGGAGTGAGGATAGGTTCTTCGCTTTTTCTGTGGATATTATCAGTATAGACTGGATATACACCGTAAATTATATAAAATCGAAAACACAGAAAAAGAATTACCTTCAATCTCCCTCCACCGCTGAGCATCCTGTTGTCCGCTCTTCCTCCGTCGCGAGAAACACCAGGCGAAGAATGATCCCATTGTGCTCTCTCTCTCTCTCTCTCTCTCTCCTCTCTCTTTCTCGCTATCCAAACTAGGTCACAAATAAAGCACCAAAAAAAGGTCAATGCGACCAGAACCGAGAGTATAAGATTTCACCTTGAACTAAATCCTAGTAATCTGGTATAGATAGTAATCATATCATGTCATATGTACAAGCGCAAACTGTCGGGCAGAAATTAGTCTAGTGGATCCATTGAAATCTTTGGTTTTTTCTGCTGGTGAATCATTGTGGATCCCCGGGCTGTGGGCTATTTTTACCCGCGCCACCTGGGTTTGTGTCTGTCTTAGTTATTAGGGAATTATTGAATAAGATTTTGTAATAAATTAAATTTTAAAATTTTGAATTTTGAATTTTGGGGGAGTCGCATCATAGATAGTATAGCTTCGGTTTTTGTTTTGTTTTAGGAGATAGTTATCTTTCTATCTAGTTATCCATTTAGTGGGAGTTTTTGGATGGGGTTGGTGTTAATTGGTTTATTATGTACTAGGCGTGTTGGAGTAGGTAATAGTCACTGAACTATTGACTTGGTACCAATATATATTTCTTAGGCTCCTTGTCATGGTACTTTGTACAATACCGCTACCAACACCACCACATATCAGTTATATATATTAACATCACGTACATACATCCGACATCCAACATCCAAGCATTAAGTATATAAGAAACCCACAATAAAATAAAGTATCAGGGTATCGTACGATCACGTATCAAACAAGAAAGAATCCAAATATATATACAAGAACATCATCAAACCCAGGTAAACCGTACAAAGATATATTATTCACCCCCCCCCCCCTCCTCCCCCCATCAATAGGGACCAGACTACAATGCCGCAAAAAGACTAGTCAGAATCACCGACAGCCCAACAACAACAACAACACCACCGGCCCTAGTAGCAGCAGCAGCCGACACCGCCGCGGCCGCCTTGGTCTTCAACTCCACGAAGCTCACATTCTCCGCCGGCCACCCGCACAGCCCACTCCCCGGCATCAGCCCGGTGGGAAAGAACACACGCGGCTCACCCTTATCCATCGGCACGACAAGCTCACTCTGCTGATTAACCGTGTAATTAACGCAATTAAGCACGTCCGTGATCTCCGTCCCGCCGTTAAAACTAACCGGCATGGTCAAGTTGTACGCGCTGCTATTCGACCCCTGCGTCGAGAGCAGCATGATCACCTGCCGGCCTTCTACGCCCTTCCGGAATCCCAGTTCGCTGCCGCCCCGGAAGATCGGGTACGTTTGCAGGCTGATGTAGCCTGGGTCCAGCTTGTAGGCGTGTTTGCGGATCGTGTTGAGCTTGGCGATTAGTTTGTACAGTTCGGCGTCGGTGTTGTAGCCTGTTAGCCAGATTGCTTCGCGGTTGTCGGGCGTGCCGGGGCCGTCGAGGTGTTGTTCTTGGCCTTGGTAGACCATGGGCACGCCGTCGAAGAGGATGGTGAACGTTAGGACGTTTTTGGCGAGCTGGTTTCCTTCGAATTAGTGTTTTTTTTTTATTTATTTATTTATTTATTTTTTTTTTGGTTGAATGAAAGGGGTGGGGTGGGGAAAAGGTGCTTGTTTGTGGTACGTACCGACATGTCCTTGGTCATGCTGGCGAAGCGGGCCATGTCGTGGTTCTCGGAGAAGGAAACCAGCGCGGTCACGTCGTCGCAGCTGTTCTTCATGATCTCGACTTGGTTGGCGAGGTCGCTGGTGTTGCCGAGCGTGAAGGCCTCCAGCATAGAGTAGTAGATGGGGTAGTTGGGGACGCTGGTGATGTAGTTGTTCTGGTACTGGCAGATGGTGTCGACTTCGCGTTGGAGGACTTCGCCGGTCATGAAGGCGCCGATGGCGTCGCCGAAGTTCTTGAGAAACCCGGTGTCCACGTGCTTGGCGGCGTCGATGCGCAGCCCGTCGATAGAGTACGTGGTCATGATGTCCTTGGCCCATTTCTCCAGCATGTGCTGCACCTCCTCGTGCTCCGTGAAGAGATCGGGCAGGGCGACTTTGTTGTCGCCCGTCTGGCAGAGCTGGGCGTTGGTGTAGTTGTTCCAGTCGGTAATCTTGCAGTACGGGTGGAAGTAACTCGAATCATTAAAGGGGGTGAAGACCGAGTAGTCGATGTTCTTGGCCGGGTCCTTGCCGTTGGTCATATAGGCCATGTTGTTAATAACGGTGTCCATCATCAGGTACATGCCGCGGGCGTGCAAGGCCTCGCTGAGATCGAGCAGATCCTGGTGGGTACCAAACTTGGAGTTGAGGGAATAGAGATCCAGCGGCCAGTAGCCGTGGTAGGCCTCGCCGTAGGAGACGCGCCCGTCGATGTTCTCGATGACGGGGGAGATCATGACGGCGTCGAAGCCCATGCCCTGGATGTAATCGAGCTTGTCCATGGTACCGCGCCACGTACCGCCGCAGTAAAGGCCCTGGGTGGTGTTACACGGGGCGGTTGTTGAGCCATCAGTCCGCGCAAAGCGATCGGTCATGGTTTGATAGACCGACCGGGATTTCCATTCAGCAGTGGTTGCTGCCAGGGCCGATCCTAATAGGGTGCTGACAGCAGACCATCGCCCAAGTGACGAAAGCATGGTGAGTTAATTTCCGGTGGATCCTGAACTCGTATAACCCCAGTATGGATGATCGACTGTGAACGGCCTGGGGAATTAAGCTCAGATGGCGTACATGAAACAATTGCGTATGCGTTTGGTGGGGATTCCTTTTTCCACACAACAAACACGGGACTGTTGGGACTGAACAATGAATGGCCAAAAACAAAAAAAAAAGGAGTGACGTGAATCCCAAAAAGAAAGCAATGAATGAAGGAGTGACGGGTGGAACGATATAGACGTTCAAAGAATGACAGTGGTCAGGTCTCAAAGGATCGACAGGTCGAAGAATAAAGGAAGGACAGCGAGAGTGATCGAGGAAAAGGAAGGACGGGAAAGGAAGGGAGAGAAGAAAGAAAAGCGCGAATAAGGTTCCTGGGGAACGTTGCACTCGAGGAATATTCACTAGGGATCTATTGAAGAAAGGTGGATCTAAACATGCCCTAAGTAGAGAACGATATACATGCAACACGCCCATACCCGCAATAGAGGGAATAGTTCCGTTAGCTACTCCATCGGCCCTGTACAGTATATAATTATATCTCCCCCCTTGTGCTCATGAGCGGAGTGCAATTTCGGGGTCACTCGATGATTACTCAAATTTTGGTCGTTCCATGAATCAATCCATTTCCTCCCCACGGGAAAACCCCCCTCATTTTTTTGACAAGATCAAATAAAATCCTCGGCTATCGAGAAAGCCAAGCGAACTTCCGTCAGGATCCGGTCACATGCCCCTTTGTTGAATAGGAGAGACTGGTGGGAAAAAGATTTCCCCCGGGATGGCTTGCTTGAATCATGAGTAGAAACGCTGTGGATAGTCGGTCTTCAAACGCCTCCGGTGCTACCGTCACATCACGTTTTGCCCTTTTGGGCCAGGCAGGAAAGAAGATTCCTTTTTCAGGACATCAAGTTACCCCTGATTTTCTTCCGGTGGCGACCTCGGGACTCTTTCGTGGCTTTTAAAAGGGCCGTCGAAACCCCTCCCGTCCTGCCCTAAGAAGCTGTGTGATAAGGCTACTGCCAGGAACACAAGGAACAAGAAGCTGGGAATACTCGGGAAGGGCCGATGAGCCGAGACAATGGTGGTGGAACAGGTAATTGATCGACCGACTCACCAATAGCATGGCAATAGTACCTGACCTTTCCATGAACTTATAACGCTGTAGTATAGCGGGGTGAGCTGTGGACTGGAATGTAAGACAAGTCAGGCCACTGTCAACCTCCAAGTGGGTGGTCACTATCACGCCGTGGGCCTTTTCGCATATATATTTATGGGGACGGGGAGTCCTGATCGCACGTTGGAGTGCCGGGAGATCTTATGGGACCACGATCAGGGTGTTTTTTTGTTTTTTGTTTTTTTTCCCCCTTCTTCCATTTTCTCTCTCTTGGAGTGTTCCGTCTATAAAAAGAAACAAGAAGAGTAATGCCCGTCCAGCGAGTGACTCGGGCTTAAAGGAAAGACTGCCCACCTGTTTAGGTGATGGCATCAGGACTAGTTATGATTCTTGTGAATCAGCGTAGACTTGGCGGAGAAGAAGTAGCGTCCTCGCTAGTTTCTCCTCAACCACCAATTGTTGTCGTTGACGGTGAATGGGAGAGCATCCAGACGAGTCAACTAATGACGCGGGAGGAAGGGCTTTCCTGTGGGGTGGGGACAATACGCCTGTTCTCTGATTGGTTGAAGCTCGAGTAAATACACTGGATTCAGTCTAGGCAGCTCGATCCCGGGAAAATGGCATGGTTTACCTCATAGCTTAACTTTGCTCTTTGTGTCTCTACAGACCTCGTATTAAGGGTTTGAATACATTGGGTGTCCAATCCGAAAGAATAAGCATTTTGGGATCGGACAGTAACCGAATAAATCAAATATCAAAAATCCAAAATACAGAAAGTCTTTTTTTTTTGGGGGGGGACAGATGGTATTTATTTCCGGAATAAACTTCGTTTCGGCTATTGACAATGTGGTGGTTATATATAGCCCTATAAGACCAATATAATAATGATAATTGGGCGGCCGGTAAGACATAATGGTCAATAATTAATAGACATTTTTCGATCAGACCCTTCCCAGTTGCCTCTCGGTCAGACACCGGAAGTTGGTCTAAGACAGAAAAGGCCCACCGGGAACCCGACAAGAAGATAAAAATACGGCCAAGGACGCTTGATTCTTCTCATCGATTGGCCGAGTCCCACTCCCGAGCCGTGGATCTGAAGCAAGTCCAGTACAAAAAGACGAACCCTAATGCCCTAAAAGGGTTAAATGTAGCCAAGAATAACGAGGCAGGAAAAAGACCCGCCCGTGACAGTGTTCTGGAATTTTGATCTAGTCCATTCAACTTCTCCTCGGCCTGGTTTTGCCTATTCTGGTTAAAAATCCATGCCGAATCCCAAAAAGATTTTTCCTTGATGCCGTCGGATTTCCAACGCCACTCACTCGTCGGGTTTCACCCGGTGGATGGAAATAGGGCCAAAAGGACAAGGCTATATGGATCTAGGAACCAACCAGCATCAGCATGGCGCGGAATTAACCTCCCAAGGACTCCGTAGCCAATCGGGAGACCCCGTTCTCATCGAAATGGGAAATTTATTTTATTTTTATATTTTTCTGTTCGGAATATACGGTAAGAGTAAGTACCTTCCTCCAGTGCGAGATTTAGTAAAGACCAAGAGAAGAGAGAATTATTACAGTAAGACATATCATGCATTAGCAAGACCAATTAAGTCTCACCGTTCCCCGTTCCCTGCAAGCCACCGTATCGTATCTAATCAACGGTGGTCGGTTAATTTCGATTTTGGGTGTCAACACGAGATCTGCCCTGATGGTGAGAGATAAGGCACTTTCAATGGTCCACGACATGTTCGTTTGAGGGGCATCTGGCACTCCTGATGTGCAAAGGATCCGACCTGGGGGAAACAGTCAGATGCTGGAAGCCGAACGGTGATTGACTGGGAGTGGATGAATGAATGTCTCAATTGGTTGAGAATTAGACGAAACCACATTTCCATGGCTGCCCCATTAGGCTCCACCCAGCTCCCGGACCTAACGGTTCTCATTGTATACGAGGATGTATCGATATGTATGGATCTCTTGTATCGATTCATGGTTTTTTTTTTTTTGACTGGGGCATTCTCAATATTTTTTTTGTTTTTTTAATTTTTTTTTATTTCTTTTATTCATTTTTTCTTCGCCCTCGAACCAGCGAGATGCCACACCCTAACCCAAGGATCCAATATATCTTCTACCCTTTAGAGTCAAGGAGGCAAAAATGAAAAATGGAAAATAGAAAATAGAAAATAGAGACAAATCCCAATCCAAATCTGGAGAAACTAGAGTAAAACCGTGACACTAAAAAAGATCCCCAAACCTCCTCGTCGTCCTAACTGATAGGGGACAATAGTCGTCTCTTAGTGAGCTGGCACTTTTGAGCAATACATCTGAGCCTTGTTTTATTATTAGCAGACACGAGACGTCTCTGTTACATTTGATCCACTATCGCTAATGTTCATGAAATCCTGCCAGCCTTTTATTGCTGAGGCTCAAGACGTCTGCTAGTCACTTAGGTTGCTTTCATTCATCTTTTCTTTTTTTTTTTTTACCCTTTCTCCTTCTTTGACTCCCCTCAAGTTTTGTATTATTTTTTGCCCGATTGTTTTTTGTTTCGTTTGGTTTGGCTTTCTCTCGCTTTCCTCCCTCTCTCGCACTTCCAACACAATAGATTCCATTCGTTGAAGACCGATCTGCTCGTTATCTGATGTCTATCGCTCGTTATCAGTATACCCGACATCATTGACCGAGCAGTTTGGTGGAAACAGCACAACCCAGTCCTTGTGACGGTATCTATTGACACAACTGGAAGAATTATATGATTGTATCATAGCGGACAGTTTCTCTTGTTTCCTTTGACAAGCATCTGTCTCGCCTACTGCCCACTCGGGCGTGCCCGACGTCTACGACCCATTATGAAGTGGGCTTTCTCCAGTACCTTGTTGGCGCTTTTCGCAACAACAGCAACCGCCTGGCCTTACGATGAAGCCTTAACCAGGTACAATCTTAACGAGAATAAATCCGCCACCAATCCGGCGCAATATTGGGGAGAATGGCCGAAACACAAGGGGGAATACTTCCCGTCTCCGAAAAATTGGCGCGCTCCGACATACACCCTGTTTATGGATCGCTTCGTCAACGGTGATCCAACAAATGACAACATTAATGGAACCCTCTTTGAACATGATATCTCTTCGACCCAGATGCGCCATGGTGGCGATGTCGCCGGTCTCCTGGATACCTTGGATTATCTTCAGGGTATGGGGATTAAGGTTCGTGCTTGTGTCCTCGCGGGACTGATAGAGGATAATATAGGCTAACCAATTCTAGACCCTGTATCTCGCAGGTACTATTTTGATGAACCAGCCTTGGGGTTCGGATGGTTATTCCGCCTTGGATACAACCCTTTTGGACCAACATTTTGGTGATATCCAAGCTTGGCGCGACGCTATCACGGAAATCCACAAGCGCGGGATGTATGTCATTTTTGATAACACAATTGCTACGTAAGTCCCTCCGCGGTCCCCCATGGTTAGGACGATGGAGGAGAAGGCTAAACTTCGAGCGCAGGATGGGTGACCTTATCGGTTTCGAGGGCCATCTGAATGACACCACCCCGTTTTCGACTGGAGAACATAAGGCGCTTTGGAAGTCCAACCGTCGCTATGTGGATTTCGATATCGGAAACGAGTATAACAAAACTTGCGATTATCCTCGTTTCTGGTTCGAAGACGGTTATCCAGTCAATCAGTCCTCCATCTCATCACTCGTGGGTTGCTACGACAGTGATTTTGATCAGTATGGTGATATTGAGGCTTTCGGTGTGTTCCCCGATTGGCAACGCCAGTTGGCGAAGTTCGCCTCCGTCCAGGATCGTCTGCGAGAGTGGCACCCCTCGGTTCGGGAGCGGCTGATCCGTCATTCGTGTATGATCATCTACTCGCTGGATATCGACGGTTTCCGCTACGATAAGGCGACTCAGTCGACCGTGGACGCGCTGGGAGATATGTCCATGGCTTACCGCGAGTGCGCCCGTGCTGTCGGGAAGGAAAATTTCTTCATTTCGGGTGAAATCACTGGTGGTAACACGTTTGGTTCGATCTATCTGGGCCGCGGCAGACAGCCTAATCAGTATCCCAAGACGACGGAGGAGGCCATGAAAATGACCAACGAGTCTGAGTCTCAGTATTTCCTGCGGGAAGCTGGCCACGAGGCGATCGATGCTGCTGCCTTCCACTATTCGACTTATCGTGCATTGACCCGGTTCTTGGGTATGGACGGTAACTTAGCTGCCGGTTACGACGTGCCCGTTGACTGGGTGGATGCGTGGAATCTGATGCTGCAATCGAATGATCTGATCAACCCGAACACGGGCAAGTTTGACCCCCGCCACATGTTCGGTGCCACCAACCAGGATGTTTTCCGTTGGCCAACGGTTGAAAAGGGAGTTGAAAGGCAGTTGCTGGCATTATTTGTCACTACTCTTGTTTTGCCTGGTATTCCCCTGCTTCTCTGGGGTGAGGAACAGGCATTCTATATTTTGGATGCGACGGCATCCAATTATATCTATGGTCGTCAGGCAATGTCGCCTGCAACGGCCTGGAGGGACCACGGCTGCTTTTCTTTGCAATCTTCCCAGTACTATCAGTGGCCGATCAAGGCTGGTCGCGAAGGTTGCCATGACCCAACTGCCGCCTACGATCATCGCGATCCCTCCCACCCGGTGCGCAACATCATCAAGCACATGTACCAGATGCGCGAAGACTTCCCAGTCTTGAATGATGGTTATTCGATCCAGAAACTTTCCAACATGACCGAGGAGGTCTTTTATACTGGTTCCAACGGTACCGCGACGGAGACTGGTTTGTGGTCTCTCCTCCGTGATGTCAATGCGGATGTGCAGGATCTAGGCTCCGATGCGAATAACCAGCCTGTTTGGCTCGTCTACCACAACACCAACCGTACCGTTGACTTCAAGTTTAACTGCAAGGACAATAAAACCGCTCTGATCGCCCCCTTCGCCACCGGCACTAAGGTCAGGAATCTGTTCTACCCGTATGACGAACAAACCTTGATCGAGGGCCCCGTCAAGCTCGGCCTCAACGGATCTACCGCCTTGAACGGCTGCCTCGCTAACTTGACTTTGGACGCCTATGAGTTCCGCGCCTACGTTCCCAGTACCCGTCACTCCAAGCCTCGGCCCATGATCACAAAGTTTACTCCTGGCCATGACTACCCTGTTCAATCTACTGTCGAACCGAATCTCGACGAAAATGTGAAAATCGAGTTGTATTTCTCGGAAGAGATGAAGTGCGAGTCTGTGACTAAATCGATCTCGTTCAACTCTTCCACGGAAAGTAGAAAGATCCCCACCATTGATGAGAAGAGTGCCAAGTGCGAGAAGATCACCGCCAGCAACACCTCTTGGACCGGTCAGCTCCCTAGTATGTTCAAGTGGACGGCGACTCTGACGGGAGTCTACAACGGAATCCACCGAATGACGGTTAATAACGCGACCAATAAAGATGGAACCGCCTCCACGAATGCCGTTGACCACTTCCTCCTCCGTATTGGACAAGTTGACAATCCTATGGTGTTTTCCACTGCCAATTATTCTAGTAGTTTGCTCCACGAGGAATCGAATGGTACCTTGTTCATCCAGCACCACGCCGCAGGAGCTGATATGTTTCGGTATTCCACAAACTGGGGAACCACCTTCTCGCCGTGGAAGGAGTACAAGGGTGGCAATGAAACCATCGACGTTCTGGAGTGGTCGGGGACCAAGAAGCAGAAATGGAAGGGACACCATGTGCGCGTTGAGTACTGGAGTAGGTGGACCGGTAGCAGTGACTACGTTCAGGAAGGCGATTCAGGCTTAGATGGGCATCCGCCGCGACGCTTCCCCCACATCTTCTTTAACGGCCCTTACAACCAGTACGGATATGACGGTGGTTTGGATAACGTGGTGAGACAAGATCACAAAGACGGAATCTGGAAATACCACTTCACTCATGAATGGCCCGCGCAAGCTCAGCTGAACATCTGGGGCATGAACCCCGACGGAAAGCCGGACCAGAGCTGGGTCCTGGGAGACGCTGATAATGACTCCGTCTTGGATCGGATGCCCCCCTCTTCGTTGTCTGCGACTCTGATCAATATCACCGAACACCCACCCCATCCCTACCTGGCATGGAATATCTACATCAACGATGCCACCATGAGGTTCCAGCTCTTCCCCGTTGGACACCAGAACACGCAGATCGCCATGTTTGTTCTGTTCTGGATTATTCCCGTCTTTACCGGTGCGTTGTGCGTGTGGCTCTTCATGAAGTCTTTCTATAAAGTCAAGTTCAACCAGATCGGTGTGAGCGAGAAGCACACCATGATCCCCCTGGCTTTGCGCAGAAAGTTCAAGAGGAATCGGGGTGGCGATGAGGAAAAGATGAACCCGTTGATGCGTCTCGCCAACAAGTCCGGATTTCTGCAGACCAACACTGCCATTGGTGGTGGTGCTGGCGGCAAGAGGCGCATGGTTCTCATCGCAACTATGGAATACGATATCGAGGATTGGAAGATTAAGATCAAAATCGGTGGTCTTGGTGTCATGGCCCAACTCATGGGTAAAACCCTTGGTCATCAAGACCTGATTTGGGTCGTCCCTTGTGTCGGCGGTGTCGACTACCCAGTAGACAGACCTGCAGAGCCCATGCACGTCACCATTCTTGGTAACTCTTATGAAGTCCAGGTCCAGTACCACACCTTGAACAATATCACCTACGTTCTGCTAGACGCCCCTGTCTTTCGACAGCAATCCAAGTCAGAACCCTACCCGGCCCGTATGGACGATCTCAACAGTGCTATTTACTACTCCGCTTGGAATCAGTGTATTGCCGAGGCCTGCAAGCGATTCCCGATTGATCTCTACCATATCAACGATTACCACGGCTCCCTGGCTCCTCTCTATCTTCTCCCCGATACTATTCCTGCTTGTCTGTCTCTGCACAACGCTGAATTCCAGGGTCTCTGGCCCATGCGTACGCAGAAAGAAAAGGAGGAGGTGTGCTCCGTGTTCAACCTAGATATTGAGACTGTCAGACGTTATGTGCAGTTCGGCGAGGTTTTCAACTTGCTTCACTCGGGTGCTAGTTATCTACGTGTCCACCAGCAGGGTTTCGGTGCCGTCGGTGTGTCCAAGAAGTACGGAAAGCGGTCCTACGCTCGCTACCCCATTTTCTGGGGTTTGAGAAAGGTTGGCAACCTACCGAACCCTGATCCTTCAGATGTTGGAGAATGGAGTAAGGAAAAGGCTGCTGGCAACACTGACGAGGTTCGCGTGGACCCTGAATTTGAAGCTAGCAGAGCAGATCTTAAACGCCAAGCCCAGGAATGGGCCGGACTTGATGTCAACCCGGAAGCTGATCTACTCGTCTTCGTCGGTCGTTGGTCCATGCAGAAAGGAGTTGATCTGATTGCTGATGTGATGCCCGCCGTTCTTGAAGCCCGCCCTAACGTGCAGGTCATTTGTGTTGGACCCGTTATTGATCTTTACGGTAAATTCGCCGCCCTGAAGCTGGACCATATGATGAAGGTTTACCCTGGACGTGTGTTCTCGAGACCTGAATTTACCGCGCTGCCACCCTATATCTTCTCCGGTGCTGAATTCGCGCTTATTCCCTCTCGTGACGAGCCCTTCGGTCTAGTTGCAGTCGAGTTCGGTCGTAAGGGAGCGTTGGGTATTGGTGCACGTGTCGGTGGTCTTGGACAAATGCCTGGCTGGTGGTATAACGTCGAATCTACTGCCACATCACATTTGCTTTACCAGTTCAAGCTTGCTATCGATGCGGCGCTGAACTCAAAGCAAGAAACCCGAGCCATGATGCGTGCCAGATCTGCCAAACAGCGATTCCCCGTCGCCCAGTGGGTTGAGGATCTGGAGATCTTGCAAACTACGGCAATTCAGGTACACAACAAGGAACTAGTTAAGCACAATGGCCGGCCTTTTACTCCAACTGGAACCCATACTCCTAATGGCCTTATGACGCAGCCTGCGAGCCCACTCATGCCGCCGGGTATGCAGACTCCGGGTACGCAAACTCCTCTTGCCCATTCTAGGGAGAGCAGTTACTCGAACCTCAACCGCCTGAGTGAATATGTTACCCAGCCCAAGACCAGCTATAGCAGAGACCCCAGCCCCAGTGGTACGGAAAAGCCAAAATCAGGACTCCAACGCCAGCTTTCGCTTGGTGTTCGCTCCGGTCCTGGTCATCAAAGCCGTCGTGGTCGCCCTCGCAATCGCGACAGCATCCCAGAGCACGAGGATACCCATGAATCCCTTGAAGCTCACGGTGGCGCCATCACTGATGTCGAGGAAGAAAGCAGTGACGACGATATTATCAATTCTTATGCGGACGACGAATACACTCTTACTCCAGCGCAGGTCGAAGAAGGCCGCCGGTTACAGGCCCAACAACAACAAGGAGGTATTCGAATGCCGTTGAGTCCTGGCGGCGCCAGGCGTTACAGTCAAGACTCTCTGCATCCCAGATCCGCCCAACCACCCCCAAGTCCCGGAACGCCTCCAACCGCTTCCCAGACACTCCTTCCTCCCCCCAAGCTCCTTGACCCCGGTAGCCGCCTCAGTAGCGCGTCTGTTCTCTCCCTTGATTCTGTCGTGGGTGGAAAGAAGGACTTCAAGCTGCAGAAGGTCGATCCCTTCTTCACGGATAGTACTGGTGAATATTATAAGGCTTTCGACAAGAGACTTGATGAACTCAATGGATCAAACTCGGAATCGCAACTGTGCATTGAAGAGTATTTGATTAAGAGTGAAAAGGAATGGTTCGACAAGTTCCGCGATGCCAGACTCGGTCGCAGCAAATCACCGACGCCCTCCGTGTACCGTGACAAGCATGGTGCATCTCCCATCGGCTCGTTCTACGATGATAATGGTTCTCGCATGAGTGGTAGCGATGGTCAACGCTCCAATGACACTGAAGATGACGAGTTCCTCCTCGGAAAGGACTATGTTCCTCCCACCGGTCTCAAGAAGTGGATGCAAATCCGCATCGGTGACTGGCCCATCTACTCCCTGTTCCTCGCTCTGGGTCAAATCATCGCTGCCAACTCGTACCAGATCACCCTACTGACGGGTGAGGTCGGTCAGACTGCGGAAAAATTGTACGGAATTGCAACCACATACCTGATCACATCGATCCTGTGGTGGCTTTGCTTCCGCTACTTCAAATCCGTCGTCTGTCTGTCTGCGCCCTGGTTCTTGTATGCCATTGCCTTCATCTTTATCGGTTCTGCGCATTTCGAGAGCAACTCGTTTACTCGCGGTTGGATTCAGAACGTCGGCAGTGGATTCTACGCCGCGGGATCGTCCAGTGGTTCTCTGTTCTTTGCGCTGAACTTCGGTGACGAAGGTGGTGCCCCTGTCGAAACATGGATCTTCCGTGCGTGCCTCATCCAGGGCATCCAGTCCGCTTATGTTATCGCTCTCTGGTATTGGGGTTCTACTCTATCCCAGGCACAAAGCGAGGGTATGTTGACTCCGACAAACAGTATCTCCAACTCCTGGAAGATGAGGTATGTATCAGTGATAACCCTATTGTCATTCTTTAACATGCTAATTGATATCCTACCAGCGCCATCTGTTACCCGATTGCCTTCGCTCTTATCCTCATTGGTTTGCTCATGTCCTTTGGTCTGCCCAACTACTATCGTCAAACTCCCGGAAAGGTCGCCTCCTTCTACAAGTCCGTGTTCCGCCGTAAGATTGTTCTCTGGAACTTCGTCGCGGTCATCCTCACGAACTTCTTCCTGAGCGCGCCATACGGCCGCAACTGGCAATGTAAGTCAACTCCCGACTCTACTCAAGCACAAACCACACCAAACTAACACTATCTCCCCACAGTCCTCTGGACATCCCAGCACGCCCATCACTGGCAAATCGTCATTCTCTGTGTCGTCTTCTACGGCTTCGTATGGGCAGGTTTCCTATTCGTCGTCGCCCGTTTCTTCAATTCCCACAGTTGGTTCCTCCCCGTGCTCGCCTGTGGCCTCGGAGCCCCCCGCTGGGCCCAGATCTGGTGGGGCGTCTCCGGAATCGGCTACTACCTCCCCTGGGTAGCAGGAGGGTACACCGGCGGGGCGCTCGTCTCGCGCAGTATCTGGCTCTGGCTAGGCGTGCTCGACTCCATCCAGGGTCTGGGCTTCGGTATCATCCTCCTCCAAACCCTCACCCGCATGCACATGCTCTTCGCCCTCATCTGCTCCCAAGTCCTCGGTTCTATCGCTACGATCTGCGCCAGAGCCTTCGCCCCTAATAACGTGGGCCCGGGACCTATTTCCCCGGATCCTACCTTTGGTGGTAGTGCCGTGGCTAATGCCTGGTTTTGGGTGGCTTTGTTCTGTCAGCTGTTGGTCTGGTGAGTCTTAATTTTTCTTAGAAAGTGTGTGATTGATATTTTGGATGAAGGCTAATAAGGATTTGATACAGTGCCGGTTACATACTCTTCTTCCGGAAAGAACAGCTTGCTAAGCCTTAAGGGATGGGATGGCCCTATGGCTATGCTTAACGGGGCGGTGTTGTGATGTGATGTGGTGTTGGTTATGATTACCACTGAATGTATACTTAGTCCAGCGTTCTTTCCTTTGGCTTCTGGATATCACTGTCTATCTTAATATAATTCCTTTGTATATAGATGACCTCAATCTGAATTGCTCAGATCTATGATTTATGGGATTGGTTAGATTGTTGTCATAGAGATTCTTGATATAGGTTTCATCATTATAACCCTCGTTCTTTGGAAGGCTTTGCAACTCACAGTTCAATCCTTTGTGCTGAGAAACATAAAAGTATATAATGGGCTGACTGGCTGTATTTATGTTAGAGCAACATGCACTACTATAGCCACGCTACTTGCTTCCAGTATCAACGTGCAGTCCATCTAGTATCATCTCAGGAATGGGTGTCTTTCTTGAGTTTATTTATTAAACCAGTGAACCTGGGTGTAGTTTTACTTGTACTCGTCACCTGCCGACCCTACTCAAGTAGTCTGGTGACGAGTATAAGACCACTCCTTTCTGAGAGCTAAAATTGCAGTGTTGCCCGTAAGGTCGGTTTTTCGTCAGATGCCAAGGCCATCCATAAGCCGATATTATCTGAGGGATACAGCTCGGCGTGGGTAGAAATTATAGAGCTTAGTGCCTTGGGGGCTATCTACACTAAGCTTATATGAAATGGTATTTCTACTTTGTTTATTGTAGTTATTTCTACATGTACTGATTAATGTTACTATATTCTAGCGCTCTTGACCATAGGGAGATGGGATCTCGCTGATATCCCTAGAGAAAACCGGAGTTTGGCAAATAAAATAAGTAGAGGTACTATCTATATAAACTTTAGAATAAAAGCTATCTATGGAAAAGATAAGTAATCCCTGTTCTTAATAATTTCTACCCCTAATGGTCGAATAGGCAGACTTGTATAGATAGATAACATAAGTCCACTGCATCCATAAGTTAGCGCTAAAATTGCAGTGACGAAATGTTGTGTAGCTGTTGCCAAAGGAGTATAGTATTCAAGGGCCCAGCAAGTAGGTTTTGATGGACACGATAATGTCCTTGGGCGAGCTAGAAAAAAATTTAGTGCAGCTTATGGGCCTTTGGTTTATGATCTTATTGGGAGATGTCCTCTAGAGAGCTCATTGTAGTGAAAAATGCCTTGGGGCGCGCTATATGGACGTAGTATGAAAAACGTCCATAGTACACAGAAAATAGTGGAACATTTTATGGTAGCGGGGGCATCGAGAACATGCATGTGTAGTATTAACCCTTTGGTCTTGTTGAATCTTCGCCCCGTTGCCTAAAGTCGCATTGATGTGCTTCTAATAAGACATATCCAGATCTCTTCATCAACACCAAGGTCTCAAGCAACGGAGGGTCTTGATTGATCTCTTTCTTAAAGTAGGTCCAAATTAACCTGATTCGACGTCTGTCCACCTAGACTGTGGCAAGTTCTTCAGGTAGTTTGCATGTCAGGATTTTAAGCCTCGAAGAATGAGTCCAAGCTCTGTCGTATTTTATTTTCACCTCTTGACATAGCCCCCAGATCCTCCTGCGATTCGCGACACCCAGGAAATTGTCGGCCTTGCCAAATTTCGGAGTTGACACATGATCCAGCCAAAGGTAGAATCCTTTATAGTTCAGATATCCGGGTAGTTTGTTGTATTTTACAAGCCTATGGACCTCCCAGAACCACGGCATGTCAGACTTGATGAAGAGTTTCCAAAAGGAATTATAGTGCGTGGCAACAGAGACTTCAAAAGACGCTTGCAGAAGAGCCTTCATCGAATCGCCCGAGAGATAGGAGCATATACTGTGGACTATCTTCACAGGGAGTCTACTGAATGGATCGTGACGGACCCGTGTTTGACGGTTGGGGTTGGGGAACGGACAGTCAAATTCGCAATAACTCGCCACGTCTTCGATATAGCCAACGAGCTTGGAGTTGATCGCTGACTGCGTGACGCAATACTAGATGGGTCGAGCCGTCAGTGCGCCGATCTGCTTTTTATGGATTAAGAGGCCTGCCTGCCTCTGCGCCGGGAATACATTTCCAGTAGTCCTCTTGTTCGCGGATCACATCGACGCCGTAGTCCAAATCTAGCGCTTTGCCGTCGGCCCGGATCATTTCTACCATCGTGTGATACAGGAGCTCCAGGTCAATCTTATGCGCGCCCAGTCCCGTGAGTGCAAGGCTCAATATCATGTGGCAGTCCGGATGCCACGGAAAGGCTGGGCCGGCGTATCTATCCTCTCCATCCTGGTAGCTTCTCAGCATTAGAAACTAGACGAAGTCCTCTACTACAGGGGAGAACCAAACCATTTGAATTTTCCACTTGAGCTCTTATAACCAACCCCCACATCTGTAGATAGGTTACCTCTGAACAAAAGGTCGGTTCTGGTCTACATACCATGGTAAAAATTCAAGATATACCTCAGCCTGTGTCATGATCACATCCTAGTAACGCTATCACGATAGATTGAGAACACTTACATTATGGCCGTAGCCGTCTCCTGGACCCGAAACCGCGACTTTACTGGGTGGTTAGTTAGCACACAGCCGACAAGAACGCCATAGATAGAGCTCACCTTTCTATTCCAGTAGGAACGAGGCAGTGTGCAGTACTAGCCCAACGAATACTATCCTCATCAACTAGATACAGATCATAAGCTCCGGGACAGTCTGAATCTTCATAGATAGTAACTCTTCGCTCCTCGTCCTCATCCTCATCCTAGCTGGCCTTCTCATCCGAATTTGAATCCCCATCCTCCGAATCAGATCCCCTATCTACACCGTCATTTCCCCCCCCCCCCGTCGTAGTCTCCGCATGGGTGGAGTCCTAACTAGCATCCTACCAATCCCAACCCACAAATAGCATAAAAGCACGCGAAGGTCATGATAGTCTCGCCCCCTTCCCAGAATTCATGGCTACACGAAAAAAGGAGAAAGTTAGAAGAAAAGATGGATGCCACCGCTGACTCAGCAGCTGCACCTGTTCGTTCGTTCATGTCACGTGAACACGCGTCTTTTTTTAGTGTGCGACATTGATTTGTTTGTTGGCATAACTTGTGGCGTTCTGATTAGTTTATGGAAACATCCCAGGTATAGCTGTGAGGAGTGAGCTGTGATGTTGGATACTGGATATTGGATATTAGTGTAGATATGTATGTATTGTCGGCTATAATACTACTTACCGAGGTATATATAATGCAGGTCTGCTTCAGCACCTTTTTTCCTTATTTTTATTTTATTTTTTTTTTGCTTCTTTCTTAAAGAATATGCTGCGACAGAAATTGCTATGCACTAGTACATATCTCAACAGGCAGAACACTCATAGAAAACTCTTTTTAACTACTTAACGACTATCACCGTACCAAACTTCTCCCTTGATCTTCATGTCAATCTGACGATCCAGACTCTATTATGTGGGTATTATATGTTGATCGAACTAAGATAATGTTAACGTTAATCTAAATGCCAAACAAGAGCTCATCTATAGAAATAGAACCAAGCGCATGCATCGCGGTATTATCAAAGATAATACCCACCCCTTCAAGAATCAAAGACGCACCCAAAACAAAAAAAAAAAAAAAAAAAAAAAAAAAAAAAAAAAAAAAAAAAAAAAAAAAAGAACCGACAAAGTAAATTGATATACAACCTCTCCCCCACCACCAGGCTAAGAAAAAGAAAAAGTTAAACCCCACAACCCCCCAACTCCATATCCCTCACCAAATCCCCAGCAACAACATCAACCCCCCCCGTATCCTCATCCTCGCACCCAAACCCTAAAAAGATCACGTCATCTATATACCCATGATACTTATTCCCGTGATCCTTCCAGCTGATTGAGGTCACGTAGAGCATTTCCGTCTGGTTCCATGATTCTGCTTCTTGATTGGTCAGGGACTGGGGCTTCTTGCCCTGGCCCGGGGTGCCGCGGCCTGATATCCAGAGGGGTTTGGAGGAGATGGAGTGGATGGCGAAGGGGGGAGAGCGGGAGAAGAGCATGGCGTAGGGTTCGTAGACGCTGTGGAAGGAGTAGAAGGTTTTGTGCTGGAAGATGGTGAGGATGAAGGTGTTTGCGTCCGTGGGGTGGCAGGAGAGGTCGGAGCGGGAGCAGAGGGTGATGGAAAGGGAGTTTGTGGCTTGGTGGATTGATTCGAATTCTGGGTCTTTTAGGGTTGGGAGGTGGTGCTGGAGGCAGATATTATCTGTACTGGACGCCAGCGGGGCGAGGTCGGGCCCGACTAAGCCGGAGGGGTCGAGTTTTGCGAAGACGCGGTTCGGGGATACGTCGTAGTGGACGTAGGCTTGGCCGGTTGCGTCCCAGAAGAGGAACCAGTTCTTTTCGACGGCGCTGAAGGGCAATGGCCGGTGGAGTTCGGTGGCCTGGCGGAAGCCGTGGTCGTACAGGAGGTCCATTGGGCGCTTCCAGTCGACGAGCGGGCGGAGGTCTTGGATCCATTGGCCGAAGCAGGTGAAGTGGGAGTTGGAGCCGTAGATGGTGTAGGGGGCGTCTGGGCCGTAGAAGACGCGGGCGTCGTGCGGCCCGACGTTCAGGGCGAAGAAGGACAGGTCGCCGACGCAGTTGTTGCTGTCGCCGATGGTTGCGGCGATGGGGAGAATCAGCGGCGGGTCAATGCAGCCGAGGGTGCGTCCGTCGTCGCGGAAGACGGCGTCGCAGACTAACTCGGCGAACCAGACGGAGCTGGTGCGCTGGTCGGAGGGCTTGTGCAGTTGCGCGGTGATAATCCATGTGTTCGGCTGCTCGGGATGGGGGATGATACTGGGGTTGATGGCATGCCGGCCGCCGAAGTCAATGTGGAACCATTTCTTGTCCGGGGTCGAGACGGACGACAGCACCGTGTGCGTCGCGGACATGTCTATCTGGGGCTGGTCCTCATCTTGACGACCCCAGCGGTTGTCGCTGGGGGGTGGACTGGGGCTCTCATTGGAATTGGGATGGGTCGGACTGAGAGGGAGTCTACTATTTCCATTGGAATGGTTGCGATGGTACAATTGAAGGGCTAGCAAGATCAGGACCAGCAGCGCACCGACAACGGAGGCGATGCGCTTCAAGCCTTTAGCCAGCATGACTAACGGAAGAGGGGTAAGAGGGAAAACAACTCCGATCGAGCAAACCCCAGCCTATTGTACGCGCTTTGTCTCTCGAGCTGACCGGAGAAATCAACCGGCGAGAGATAAATTTGAGCATCATGCATGTCCCGTGTGCGCCATTTTTTATTTTTTTTATTTTTATTTTTATTTTGGCGTGGATCCAAATCCCCTCACGTATTCCAGGGACAGGAGTACTTTAGCTTGGCTCTAGTGGCGCAAATTAAGATTGGTTTCCCCAATCCCTCTCTTATTATTACCTTACTATAGGTCTGGGGTCTGGGGTCAAGATCCACTCCGTGAGGAGAATACATGTGATAACGGCAGGTGTACGCAAGTCTAGAAGGCTAAGACGAATTTAATTTAGTTATTCCTGGATTTTTGTATTGCTTTCCTTCCCATCCTTTCAAATGGGCAAGTGGCCCGGGTGGAGACACGAAAATCTTACGTGCTACAAATATAGTCCTGGTCACAAGGAATGATAAGGGCGGAAATAATTCTACAAAGAATCCGTTATGATCATGTAACAAAAGAAAAAGGAAAAGTTTGTTTCATCTATCATCTATTACGATTGGTTTGCCGGTGCTAAGGTCTTCCGATAGAGCCATTGCGCAAACCGCACGCTCGGCTCGTCTACAAATTTCGTCACAATCTCCGCCAGCCAAAGCGTCATCGGCAGCAGGATCAGGTGTGGAGCGAAGAAGTTCAGCTCCAGCCCAAGTGGGCCGACCTTGGGGAGAGGGAATCGGTTGATCCAACCAGGACAGGTCGTCGCATGCGAATCCCGCACCCAGCCTACCGCCGCATAGAGGCGATCCCCCAATACCCAGAGAACGGGTCCGTGAACCAAATAGAATGCAAAGGAGATGCGGCCAAGATATTGGTTGAAGGGTGTCTCAAAGAAGCTTTTCAGCCAGTGGATCCGCGAGATCGAGGCCACCAGGAAGGTCGCTGCCCAAAACAGATAGAACCATTTGAAATCAAACACCGCCTGGGGCTTCAGGTAGGACAGGTAGTGCCACCCGGGCGAGTCGCGTAGGAATTGCACCTCCCACGTGCGGGACGGGACGCCTCCCAGGTAAATGCTGATGCAAAGCATTCCGTAAAAGATCGCCTCCTTGAAAGGCTCGAGCATGAGAAACACATCGGGAAGTTCATCACGGGCGGCGCGTAAATCCAGGTCGCAGAGTAGCATTCCGGCCATAAAGAGCGAGCAGAACCAACCGTCGACAATGTACATAAAGTAGACAATCAACCCGAGCTCACACAACAGTCGCGCGTTGGGTCGACATTTTTGGAACGCCTGCAGAGCCGTGTAGATGACAATGGACCCGCGAAACTCGACGGGGATAGACCACGAGTGGAAGTTGTAGGTAAACCATGGCTCGCCGCCGGTGCGGAAGACGAACGAGAAGTTCTTCAGCTCGACATACCAATTCCAGAGCTCCTCTCCGTAGCTCGACTTCATTTCGGGGGTTGCGTGGATGCGAAACAGGTGAAGGTAAGTCATGTACACGAAGGTGGTGCAAATGACAGGTATGTGCAAGCGTAGCCAGCGTCGGAACAAGGCAGAGGCCAGATTATCACCCAGTTGAAGATAATCTCCAGCTCGTATCAATGAGAGTGGTTTCGCCGACAGGACATAGCCCGATAGTACAAAGAAGACGCTGACGGCGAAATGCCCACCCGAAAAGAAGATGCGCAGGCCGGGGAAGGCAACCAAATAATGTTTCTTTTGGTAGCCATAGGCATTTTCAAAAATCGCTTCGGCGCCAATGCCATCGTGAGCCCATAACTCATGATGACCCCAGTATACTAGAAAGGCTGCGAAGCCACGGAGCCCATCGAGGTACGCGGTGCGCCTTCCCTGGTGGCTGCTGTGCCCACCTATCCCGGTCAGAAAGGCCGGCCGGAGATGATCAACGCACCATTGAGCGGCCCGGATAGGAAAGAATCGGAGGCGGGTGGTGGCCCGTGACTTCCAGTATCCCTTTTCTAAAGAGTTCTCAAGGTCTACTGTATGCATTTTGGGGGCCTCCCCAAGCGTAGTACCGTCGAGGGAACTGGTCATCGTGGAGACTCGATGCCCAAAGAACTAGGTTTGCGCAATCAACCTCTGGGGGAGAATGACGAAACGCGATATTTGAGAGCGGAAATAATCCTAGTCCGGCCGGACTCAGAGACGGGGGATCTGACCCGGCTCGTGTGGGGACTGGGGAAATTGGGGAATGAGAAGAGGTCAATCGGTCCGCGATAGATAAGAGGACGCAATGTCAAGTAGGGCATCACACATCACATGCAGCTCTGGGGGATGAGCATTCCGAGGAAATCCTTTTGGACCAATAATGGCTGGCCAGCTTTGGAACTAAATAGAGCAGTCGTCAGCAAGGTGAGCTGTTAGTCAAGTCTTATCGACCAAGACACATGCGTCGGGGGAAATATTTGGTTCTCAATGTAACCCTGGGCCGAGGCTTACCCCGGACCCCCGGCACTGTGGACACTGCCCGGACCCAGTGAAGGAAGGGAGCCACCAATGGCACTATGGATAGCGGCTCCAGTGGCGCTCTAAATGGATCTGGACTTTACCCCAAATGAGCTTAATGTTGCCCTTGTATGCACCACGGACAACATGTAGGCTAAAACACAGCCACTCACTGCCAATCAGACCATGGACGCTAACATGGACGGGCCAAAGGCTAGCGAAATTAAGAGAAAAGGCGCAGGGTTGATCCAGCAAAAATTCTTGCTGAGCGGCGGGGGGAAACGAGATAGCAATCTCCGCATGGTCCGTTACGCGGAGCTCATAAACGTGGGATGACATCCTTCCTTCCTTTTGTCCCCCCCCCGTCAATTGAATCTTTGGGTTATGCGTCTCCGGGAGCAATAACAACAGCCTCAATGTCCGGAGTTTGCCTGCCGAGACAGATCCGCAGGGTCATCCCCGGATGCCTTGCGGCTATCATCTTCATCTCTTACCTCTCTATGACTGATACATTTGGCGAGCTAAGCGATGGTCTATCGTACCGGTCTTGTGAAACACACCGGTTTTTCCCTAAGAAGATCTGGCAATCATGGAAAGTTGCTCCATTCGAGTTCGAGGAACGAGATCTCGCTGTGGCGCGCAGCTGGACCTCCAAGAACCCCGGCTATCGCTACGAAGTACTGACAGATCAAAATGATCTCTATTACGTTGAAACACACTTTGGACCCGACGGGTTTAACCGTCCGGACATTGTGGACACTTATCGTTCACTCACGGCGCCAATCATTAAAGCCGACCTACTGCGGTATTTGATCATGTACGTGGACGGTGGTGTGTGGGCCGACATCGACGTCGAGGCCATCAGACCCATCGAACGATTCATTCCGGAACGCTACAATGAGCACGAGATTGACATGGTAATCGGCGTGGAAATCGACGAGCCCGACTTCAGCGACCATCCTATCCTCGGGCAAAAGTCACAGTCGTTTTGCCAGTGGACCTTCATGGCCAAGCCACGTCAACCAGTCATGATGCGGTTGGTCAATAATATCCTGGAGTGGCTAAACGGCCTCTCTATCAAACAAGGGAAACCAATCGCCGAGCTTGAGCTGGAGTTTGATGATATCATCAGTGGGACAGGGCCTTCTGCCTTCACGGGCGCGGTCTTAGCCGAGATGAGCATCAACGCAGGACACGAGGTGTCATGGAAGACGTTCCATAATATCCCCGAGTCAAAGCTGGTCGGAGGCTTTCTCGTCCTCACCGTGGAAGCCTTTGCCGCTGGTCAAGGCCATTCAGACAGTGGGAACCACAACTCGCGCAGCGCATTGATCAAGCACCATTATCATGCATCTGGGTGGCCATCGAAGCATCCACGCTTCCACCACCCGGTATTCGGCGAGGTGGAGCAATGCAATTGGAACAAGGAATGCGTGGCGCAATGGGATGCCAATACTGCCGCTTTTGCGGCGCTTTCCCCAGAGGAACAAGAGCAGCAGATTGCTATGAAGAAAGCTTTGGATGGCGAAGCTAACCCCGTTGACAATCAAATAGCTTGGGTTAATCCCGAACCTGAACCGAATTGGCAACCGGAATGGCAGCCTGAATGGAAATAAGTCTCTTCATGAGATTGACGCTATGCACTACAGAAATATTTTCACGTCGAGTTCGCGTGAGCTATATATGGCTATACACTAGTGGACCAAGGCCAAGGAAGTCCATTGTTACTCCACTGCGGTCTTTGTAATTCGGCTTCTCTTTTGTCATCCTCCATATAAAGCGACGTGTTAGAGCATTGATAAGGATCTGGCACCTTTCGGCGTTAGGGGATGGTGGTTAACATTTGCATGTCGCGTTGGAGTTTTCGGCTTTTTTTTTTCTTTCTCTTTTCTGTTTTCCTAATGCCCAGTTTCCTTCTGGTTGTCTCCTTCTGAAGAGGTTCAGTACTTAATTACAACCTCATCGGGGGATTCCTATGATAGATGTGTGGCTCTCTGCTTAATAATTTAGTCACTTATGTTTCATGAATAGAAAAGCCTCTCAGCTGAGGACATAACGCTAGGAAGTTATACAATGGCTTTACAAATGCAATCGAAGATAAGTTATATTACTCGTATCAGAAATCACAACTCATACCTTTACTTTATACGAATTCGCGTTGAACCTCCGCTTGTGTATCTGGCAATATCTACATACGGTGTTGGACGGTCCAGCGATATAGTCAAGCAAACTCAAAGCCCCCATGCGCCCTCTACTTCGTTCAACCGAAATTGGCTGCGGATATAGTCGTCATCCACCAATTCATCGAGCATGGCCCAGAAGTCCTCTTGATTCATAGAATCGAACCCTGTTGGTTCCGGAAGAGCACCAGTGGGAAGGTTCTTCTCCTCGGTCACAAATGATGTGTCGCCCAGTTCGGCCAGAGGGTTAGATGGCAGGGAAACCAAGTGTATCATGCGTTTAGCGAGTATCTCAAATATGTCCCGAAACCTTGTAGCCGTCGACCATCTTTCGGAAATTGCAAAAAGAACATTCGAACACGCCCGAATGTCCTCAAATCGACCTAGGGTCGGATGCTCCTTGTCTGCCCAGATACAGTATAGCAACGTAAGACCGGCCGTGAAGATTGAATGCAAGGCAAGGAGGTTCCACCCTAGAGGCCTTCTTTGATGTAGGGTTTTATAATATTGACAGATGTCCCCGGCGGCTCGAGCGCTCAAAGTAAGGTATTCTTTATCTTTTGATGGGTCTGTCTCGGAGGTGGCCAAATGGGTGATTCGGTGTTGGAGGAGCATGCGCAAAGCTTTGCTGTATTGGATGCGAAAGAACTCAGGGGTATCATAAAGAGAATAGTCTTCCTGTGACTGGCCGTCTGGACTGAGGTGGGAGGGTACGCTGTTTAGCCATTCGTCAAGTTGGTGTCGCAAGCTCTCGACGGTTGTATCATAAGAATGACCCTGCGTGGTTGGCGACGTGCTAACACTGTAAAGCTCCTGCTTGATTCTGCTTTCTAATCTCCTAAGTCGACATAAGTGGACAAAGGAGGAAAGATTCCGCGTGTTGGATTTGGTATAGACCGGATCAGTCCCATCGGGCTGGGACTCTTGGAAGCAATAGATAGTTTCTCCTGGGGCGGTGCTGTATTCTAGACCAACCGGCAACTGATAAGGAGATTATTCCTTAGCAAGACGAGACTGTAAAACATTTTCCTGAACGCATAACTTACATCGACATCAATATCGCTCTCCGACAATGCGAATGGTCGGCCCAAAGTCAGGGACACAGCACGGTCAAGGACGTAAGCACTCCAAAAGACTCGTCGGCGCATCTCAACACGGTATAGGTCCTCTGCCCCGGGGACACGAGATCGTATATTACGGTGCATACCTAATTCCACGGCGTATCGCACTGCGATTCCAATTATGTGCCAGCTGCCAAGATTCGATGTACTACTTGGGGTACGTAGAACATATAGCGCTAAGAGAAGTAGTGATTGAATTCTCTCCAGTCCAGGGACCTGCAGTGCTCCATCAATGTACTGAGTCGCGTTCGAATAATAGAACTCTGGGCTGATAGACCCGCCCATTTCCGGATGAAGCTGCATGATCCTGGCACCAATTGCAAACACCATATGGAGCTGGAACAACTTGGATTGACTGGAAGTGCTGGCATTGATGGAGCTTTGGTACCAACGATAAAACTCAGTAAAACACCGTTCATCCAGAAATGGGTACCGCGGGTGAACGCGACCAAAGAAAATCTCCACCAGCTTCCGCTCAAGCTGGGGATTGTATTTATTGAGGTTGCTTTCTGGTAGACCTCTTTCATCGTCAACGTGTGCGGTTGATGACGAGACTGACGCAAGCACCAAGTCCGGTATCGAAGCCTGAGAGAGTATACCTTCAACCACTTTTGACAAAGAAAAGCCGGCGGTTGCGCCAACAAAAAATGGTTCGGCGGCAGCATTCATGCTTAGCAGGGCCATATTCGTCGAGAGCTCCGCCGTGACCGAATATGTAGATGTTATTTGGTCGTCCGGAACTTGAGCTGTGGTGTTTCCCTGAGCACGATGCTCCAGCTCCGCGAGCTTGCTCTCCAGACCCCTTGTGTATTCCAGTAGGTTGACATAATCCTCACTTATGTGACCTCCGACCCGGGTTAGTCCTACCCAAGTGCACGCTTTACACGTCAGTCCGACAATCCTCGATCATTGTAAAGGGATTCATATATGTACAAGCTCTCGCCTTCTGACACGGCGCGCATACTGGACGCATCCCATTGCACTACGCAACTTTAGTAATTGGGATTTCATGAGCCTGCGATAAGGAATTGGAGGGTGTACCTTGGTCTTTCTCCTCTTGCAGCGTTCGCAGGCGATCGGAGCGCGAGAGCGCTTAGAGGATGAGGCATTCCCTGTACTGTTCATCGATAAAAATTCGCCAAATAATCGATAGGCATGAAGAAAGGTAGTAGTCCGCTGAATCCGACGTGATGGATAATCCCATAAGCCCGGACCCGAGCAAAGAGGGAGTGGAGAAGGTGGTCAACGATCTCGTTTAAAACTAAACAAATCACCTCTCACACTCAGGGGTCCAAAACCCCACAGGGCCTCCACTCGTCAGTGCAACCTCATTTGGTAATATTTGCTCGTCACAGGTAGCTGAAGAAGATCCGCATGTCTAGTTGCAGGTCGCATTTCCTAAAAAGGTCAATCGACTGACAACGCTAGACCGAAATAGTCAGGTGCGATAATTAGCCCTGAGCCCTGACTCTTGCATAGGGATATCATGTGACACATCTGTTGATGGCTTGGATCTGTGTCAACTAGAATTACTAGTACTTTAGGTATAAACTCAACTCTAGCTTGCACTGTTTGTGCTCTAGCGGTACAATTTCTGATATGATCAACCCATATGTTTTCCACCACAGCTGCCGCCGTCAGACCGTCGCCTGCAAAGTAAACTCTTGAAATTTGCCCATGCATGGCGGCCCTTTACAAACCTTGATTGACCTCTTTGACAGGTTATAAACTACACAGCTCACCGTGCAAGTCGGGCCTGAATAAGGGCTTGGCCGACCCTTTTGCACGAATGGAACTGGAACGGATTTCCTTGCCGATCGAGAATGCTCACAGAGGCTGTGAGGGTATCCAGCGTGGTCCTTGAAGGCGTTCACGATGTCGGCTTCCGTAAGGAACCCAATGAGCGCTTTCCTTCGGATGCCAACCTCGAGTCGGTCGCCACGATACCAGGAACTACCTCCCGCTAGAGTGTCTTGGATCTCGGATTGGCAAAAGAATGCCTGAGTTTGAAAATGGTTGCTATGTAGGATATAAGGAGTGTCGGAACCACCTGCTCCTGAGATCCTGAAAATCGTTCTTGGAGTGATTTCCAAACAGATTCCAATGTTTTCCGCGGTGGATAGCATCAGATTGCAGGAGACGTGGCGCGGCGTCCTTGCTATGCGTTTCAGGCCATCAGCATAGCTTGGACTTTCAAGGAATAGTCGCCGAAGAGCCGTGGATGGGGGAATAACCGGGATCTCTGCACTCTGGTGAAGTGAAAATGGTAATTCATCAATCGAACTACAGAGGGAGTTTGCGCATAACCCCAGCCCATTCGAGTTGATACCTGACCGACACAGCTGACCCGCCTCAGTCACGATGAACAATGACGGGAGATTCTCTGAAGGGTCCGGATGGACTTCCAGATAGATGACACCATCTTCAGTGACGAGTCGATCTGACATGTCCCAATTCTGGGCCGTGTAGACTTCTCCCTCGTTTGTCGCTTCCGAAAGAATGATCGCACTGGTACACTCAGAAGGAACTTCTTTTTCTGACGGAGAATGCGCCCCATTCTGTCCGTTGCAGGAGACCTTTTGGCCATTGACACATGCGTCAGAAGGGACGCTGATGTGCGAGAGGTCATATCGAGAATTCAGCATAATGATGTCCTCAAGGTCTACTCCCGCGCCATCTGCAACCCCACGCATTTCTTCCAGACCTGAGTACCAGTACTTTTCTAACCCCGGTATATAGCATTCCCGAATGACCTTGAGTGCGACGGGCCTATGACCGTATCAGTATAATGGAATAATGGTTGTTAATGAAACATACCATGGCACGAGCTTGCCCGGCTGTTTGTAATGGGCAATATTCCGTAGGATCTTTTCCTTCACTTGCTCTCCATGAGAGAAGCCGCGGTCGTAGGGCAATCCGTGAACCACGACATGCTGATAAAAATCGGCGGTTGGCTCGCTAGGCATGGCGGTGTTAACGATCAAGCTCTGGGTAAACTAGGAAGTCAAGATAGGGAATATCACATAGGCGGTCTTTTTTCCTATCTGAAGTAGATTCGTAGATTCCCTCAGCCAGTAGAACCTAACCGCGACAAAGTATACAGGTTTTATAAATGTATATGTTCATCTGCCCAATCGTGGTATCGGCATGGTCGCGTATATCGGCAGGCTGCCGACGTTTTCAGGAACTATCGGCAGCTTCCCGATGTATCGGGAGGACCCGAGGACCGTGCACTGTCACCCCAATTTTTTTTTTCTTCAAATCCCCTATTCATGCCGAACCATTGGCCGACAAGGGACAACGAGGATATACCTGCTTGAAGTGGACTACGTCAGCTCAGCCGTTCTCCACATCAGATAAGTAGATCTGCCGTTTAAGGTGTGATACGAGTCCTAGGATGCTATGGAAACAGCGCAGGAATAGGCTTCACGATTGTCCGGGGTATATGACTGTCCTGTGCGTGCGATAAAGAGAGTCAACGAAAAATTATAAAGTCCTCACTTTCCACACCGTCCTAACCCCAAGTTTGCCTTAGATTGGGCTTCCAATGTCGACAACCTCCGATCCATAACAAGTCGGCCGAATTGCAAGCTAAAATGGAGTCTAAGAAAGCTGAAGTCACTACTTCCAACGGTCCAGCGATGGACGCGGAGGGTGCCAAACACTCCCATGGATACGACGACGCCATGGATGTCTTTGGCGGGGAGAATGGAGAGACTACCGTCGAATTTACAGACAAGGAGGCTTCCCGCGTCCGCTGGAAGATTGACCTGATCATTGTCCCAATGGTAACTAATACATAGCCCTGAGTGTCTGGCTAGTTACTGATGAAGGGCATCTACAGATGACTGTGAGCTATATCCTTTCTTTTATCGACAAAGGCATTCTCTCCACTGCCGCCGTGTATGGAATGAGGTCCGATCTGGTGAGTTATGGGACAATTTCTGTGGACATTGGCTAGTAGGACTGACAATCCACAAATAGAACCTGAAGGGGCAGCAATATAGCTGGACATCGTCGATCTTTTATTTCGGGTATAACTCAGTAGTGCCCAGCTATCAATACCTTGTCCCCTGACTCCAATCGCAGGTACCTTTTATGGCAATATCCGAACTCGATTTTCATGCAAAAGCTTCCCATTGGCAGGTGGATAGGATCAATGATATTCATGTGGGGGCTCACTGTCGCGACGCATGCCGCGTCAACCAATTTTGCTACCCTTGCCGTGAATCGATTTTTTCTAGGCCTCTTCGAGGCTTCCAACAATCCGGCATTCACCCTCCTGGTGAGCCAGTACTTTACCAAAAACGAGCACGCTCTTCGTTCATGCATATGGTGGGCTGGAGGGCCCATTGGTGCGTTCATTGGTGATGGTGTTTCGAACGGTATTGGGCATTTACATGGGAAGCTGGGGCAATGGCAGGTACGTTCGGTGAACCTACCTGTTTAACCGGCACAAATGGTTTTGCTTAGACCTCTGCAGTATCTTTATCTTATTTTTGGCCCGATCACCATGCTATGGGGAATCATTGTCTTCTTTGTCATGCCAACATCGCCTATGACGGCATGGTTCCTAACGCCTCGCGAGCGGAAGATTGCCGTTGTTCGGGTGAGAACTATCCTTCCTGAGCTGCATAACCTCACTATTAACCTGGAAACTACTAGGTGCTTCATAACCATGCCGGTCTTCAAAATCGCCAGTATAAGCTTTATCAAGCAAAGGAAGCCCTCCGGGATCCCCAAGCGTGGATGTTGTTTTCTATTGTATTTTTACAATGTATACCTGGAGGTGGGTTGAACGCATTCAACAAGATCATCCTTACCGGCCTCGGCTTCTCCAGCGTGGAGTCCACCGTCGTCGCCATGCCCGAACATGCTGTCCAACTTGTCAGCGTGCTGCTTTCGTAGGTCTCCAATCTCCTAGCGTTTGTGATATCTCGCTAATCGAAATAGGGGTATCGTGTGTTCGTGGCTTGGTAAAGGACGATGCGTTGCTATGATACTCAGCAACGTGTGTGTCCTCGTGGGGAGTGTTTTACTTTACAGTGAGTTCTTAGTATAATGTACCAAAGATCAACCGCTTACGAGATACGTATCTAGCCTTACCAACAGACCGCAAAATGTCTCGTCTAGGTGCAGTATATGCGCTGCTTACCTGTACGGTGTCATATATTATGTGCATGTCTCTTATATCTTCAAACATTGCTGGCTTTACGAAGAAAATGACAGTCAGTGTAAGTTTCAATTCTCCAAGACAGCTCTGGGTATTCTTGATAGATTTCTGACTTTCTATTACCGCAAAGGTTATGGTCTTCGTCGGCTACTGCATAGGCCAGATTATCACACCCCAATTCTTCATTACGAAAGAATCACCGCATTTCCCAACTGGTTTCCGTGCATACTTCGTCACTTCATCCATGATGATTGCTGTGGAAGCGGCTCTGATGTTCTATTTGCTCAACGAGAACAGGCGTCGGGATAAACGTGCAGTCGAGGCGAATGTCTCGCAGGAGGGCAACGAGCATCGTATCCTGGAGACAGACCTAATGGATCTGACTGATTGGGAGCGGGCTGAGTTCAGATATGCCTGGTAGCACCCTTGGAATCTGAACTAGATCTACGTGACGGGTTCAACTTGCTGGGGTTGCTCCATGTATGTATCCAGTTTTAGTATATAAATAGCACTAACAGAATGGTTTATAGTCACAAATATATCCGACAGAGTCTTAACATGCTAATGGAAGAGTCGCGTATAAGCAGTAGTTCGAAAATGAATAGGTTTTAAACCAAATTTGTGTCTCATTGGTGAGTCACTGGAGGCTACTCCCAATCAGACACGGCTCGTACTTTCGTAACAAGGCATCCATTTGATCCTACCTTGCATAATAAGAAAAGAACGGGAAGTAACAGTAGAACCCAAATCGACAAAATGCAGCCCTCTATAATTCTTTTTTTTCAACATCGTGAAGGTATATTTTGCCACGTTCTGGAATTTTTTGGTATCCGCACGGCTTGTTGGCTTGTCAGCGACAAAATCCTTCACAATAGCCCAACGGGCATCATTCCAATACTGGTCGTCCGTCCTTCTCGCCCACTTACTTTTCCAAGCTGCTGAGCGGAGGGTCAGTTAAATGCATCTATCCATGATACCGCAGCGCCCAGTGGCCATTTTCATGTAAGTCGCATAGGCGGGCAAATTCACGAGATTCACACCCGAAGGGGCTAATGAATTGTTCGGTGTCTTCGTTAACCAGGTCTGTCGGTTCATTTTCTATAGAACTCCGCATCCGGTTATTAAAAACCACTCAGATGATTGAGGGATGAGTCGCAGGTGGCTTCGATATCTAAAGTTACTTCTGACAAAAATAGGCGGCATAACTGTTGGTAGTGTTGGTCCCGTTGGATTTCGTTCATATCTGCAGAAGCTTGAATTTGTAAGGCGCCGATGAAGAGATTCCCTTGGTCAGTATGCTTTCTAGAGTCGATAAAATGAACTAGGTCCTTATAAATTTGTACTTCACCGGTGATGACTAGTGGGTAAGGAGTGCTCTCTTGACACGTGATATGATTTCTTGTTTCAGACGGCCTTGCGTTTTGTTTCATTGCCTTAGATGTTCAGAAAAAGGGTGAAATAAAATAATCAAATCAGCGAGTACGGCCCGATGGCCGGTATTTCAGTGTAACTGTAGAAGCTAGCTTGAACCCCCGACCCAGCACACATCTGAATCCTTTTTCGCGGAAGAGGAGGCTTTATAGCTTCGATATTATTGGCCTCTGAGCCTACATCTTCTCTACTGCGCGGTATGCAGACCACCGATTATTTGTAACCTCCTTTTATGTCACATAATGCAACCTACTATAGTCCAGCGGGCATCATTCCAATGTGGGTTTCTTAAGTATTCTACCAGTAATGACCATTGGGGGTTCTCAAGGCAACTGCTAAAGCGTAGAACGTGGTTGTTGGCAAGTTTACTTGTTATCTTCCGAGTGGAAAAGCAGGTGCCAGTACCGTACAGGCATATTTGGGATGAGGCTGACCCTACTATGGTGATAATTTACATTGATAAAGTGATATACTTACTACCTCAACATGGTATCATACTGCATACGATTAAGCTGTCCCTGACTGGTAAAGAGAGAAAATATGTAGCATACCAGTCAGGAGAGACGTTATTCCATATTTCTTGATGAACCACACCAATTCTTCACTGATTTGAGATTTCCTGGTCCTCGAATGATTTCTGGAATCTTCGAAGAGGTTAAAAACACAGAGATAAAAAGCAAAGAAAAAGGTAAAATAAAAAAAGGCACTTCCTATCCCAACATCCTACCTAAAAGCAACCGCTGCCACCAAACTGCATGCAGAGACCCTATGAGGGGACAACGCAGAAGGAGCCCTAGAAGATGCGGGCTAATATGACAGGTTCTAAGTGCAAGCCTTCTGAGTCTTGTGTGGCTTCGATTGCCGCTGCCACAATATCGACCTTTTCTTCCCCGCTTGCAACATAACTGATAAGACCCCGTAAGAGTTCCAAAGCCTGGACCCTCTGCTCAACATTCTTGAGATCGAAATGTGCAGACCTTATCAATATATAACCCACCATACTATAGATCTTCTCCATGTACTGGATATACTCTGGGGAGAAGTACGCCGTGCTAATGTAGAAAAGCGTGCGGTGCATGCTGATTAGAAGGGTCTCCTGGTCCCTGTACCGGTTTTCAAGAAAAGACTTTTGGCCTTTGGGATAGCTCCTCGGGCTAGACTTTTGAGCAGCTATGCTCCCTATTAGCTCTGCAACTTCCTAGGCGAAGACTGCGTGAATAAACCTTTCGGGCTGCCCAGAACCGCGCTTTATGCCACCTGTATTCCTTTGCTTACCCTGTTGTATTCACGGATATGTTAAAAAAGGCAGAACTCAGTAGTCCAAGATATATAATTTACCTCTAGGTTAACCACAGGCTTCGCAGATTTTCTATTAGAGAGAGAAACGTTGCCGGGAAAGTTGACGCCAATGGAGCCGTCGTTTACCGCCACGTATTTGACTCCTGCCATAGTCCACTCAAACCGGACTGGAGCGGTATAGCTATTTAACAGATTAGGAGATAGTCCTTGATTAACTGGCAAAGTCCGAGGCTACTCACCACATAAGGAATGGCTTTACGGACCCTTGGACCGGCAATTTTGCAAGATCACCCATACAAAACAATGTTGCCTTGATGAGATTATGCAAACAACTAACGTTAACCCTTTCACTTTTGCTTTCGCCACTAGAAGTGGGAAAATCGGTTTCAATAGAACTGGTGCTGAGTTTCCTTCGGTAAGTTTTGCTAATTGGTTCCTCTGAAGTCAAGATTGTCATTAGGTCTGCAAGCCCTTCGAAAAAAAGATTGATATGGATTGTCGAGAAATTCAGCTCCTCTGTATGCTTTCAGATCATCTATCTTTGCTGCTTGGATATACCTGCGCATTCTTGCAAAGTCTAGAGCCGAACAAAAGCGTTAGCAAATCATGTCGGATGGTTTTTAACTCACCTTCATGTTCGCTTTCCGGGAAGATTCTCTGGGTAACAATGCGTTTTGGGTCGACATCAAGTATAGGAACCCCTCGAACAGCATTATTTCAATTAGAGCCTGAATGAGCGTGATTCTCAGTGGGCGATTGAAGATCCGCAATTGCGAAGTTCCCGGCGTTACTGATATAACTTTGCGCCAAGTAGATCTGTTGATCCGTATAGGTTGGAGTAAAAGGTAGAATGGACTGCATCCTAAAGGAACGACAATAAATGTCTTTGAGAGGCTTGCAGTTTATGACATGTAATACAAGAGTACACTGGCCGCAAGAGGGAAGCCCGGTTTTATATAACTCGATAGTAGGTGCTTACAGTCTGATACATTTTATGTGATATTATCCTCTGGCTTGGGCATTTCACCGTGAGCAGGCAAATACAAAAGCATAGAGTAAAAGTTTTTCCTCACCAGACCAAAACGAGGCCCTAAAGGCGTTTCTGGGCTCCTTTTGCAAGACAAATAGATACTTAGTTGTTGTCTAATTGATAGAGAGTTAGTATGGATTGGGGTACGTTGGAGGAGCAAGTCACATAGTTTCAGCTGGGAGATTAATGCTGGCCCCAGATGATCGATTGAGCTGCTTTGAAATTAAATATTTTACAAGCTGTCATCCAATCATAGCAGAACCGAGAGTCAGATTCGCAGGCTCGAAGTCGTCCCTGCAAGTCTGCCTGATTACGCTTCGCATCCTGCCCTCGCCAAATCTAGGTCTGACATTGGACAGTCCTTACAGAGAGAATTGTGCTTAGTATAGGTAATGGCTGAAATATATCTGTTCAGGGCTTAATGGCGCAGGGTAAATGGTCTAAGGAGAAGGCTAAGAATTGAATCAACGCTCCACAACTTTAACCAGAGCTAGCAGACTGAAGAACCCGTCTTTCTCATTCTCTGTGTACTCTCTTATTATGCCAAATCCTTTCTCCGTCCAGTTATTCTCATCATCTAGTAGCTGGCCTCGCTATATAGGTCCGCTCATATTGCCATCTAGAAGAAACAGTTGTTCGGGCTGCTTCACTATCCAAATGTAGTGGTGGCCAACTTCGTTTTCGGCGGGAGGCGCCTCTGACCGGCTGCTTAGGGTAGCCTCCCTGTAGGCCTCTTCTATTTGTTTCGAGTTGTTTAGGTACTCAACATGATTAGGAGATTTCATGAATCCATCGAGAGTAGATCCGGGCTCTACACAGGTGAGTCCTATGCAAAGTAATTTAAGGGAGAAGGGTGTTTCTCTTACGAATAGCCCTGGGGATATTACACACGGAATGAAGGAGCGCATAGAGGCCACACGCATTGTGAATAGTTTGTTTCAACCATACAAGTTCTCCATCGCCTTGGCCGACATGCGTCGGTTGTTTGGCTTATTCTCTTTCGTAGGGTTGACAGGATAGGAAATTCAGAATCAGCGCTAAAACTAGCCCTAGAATAGGATCGAGAGACGGCACGTCAACGGACCCCGACCATCGGATACTCCTAGTTTATGCGATAGGTCGGTGAAACCTGAGGGTCCGATTCAAGGGGATGAAATGCTTGGGGTATTCCATTTCGATCGCCTTGACGCGGTATCACTCGAGCAATAAGTGCCGACTCCATGGAATTATACTTGTAAATCTACCCCGCCGTCGATTATTATTAATTTCATACTAATTAAGGGGCAAATAAAATAGGAGCACGTATCTGACCTACAGCATTCTACTATGACCCCCATGAAATATAGTAATTAACCACCACTTAGATCACGTGGCGCTAAATCCAGTTTGATTACTTGGAATCAATCAGCCCCTCGAGTATAGCCTTCTGGATTTCCAATTACCTTTTCTCGTCTTTCCAATTATCCATTTCTGAGAGACGGATTATATGGATTGAGAACGTCCACTACGGTCTATGAAAACCTATCAGAGGGCGCACAAGAATCCGTTGAAAAGATCAGAAGCACCATCAGGAAGAAAATAGTCCCAATCAACCAGCATAAGCCTGGTGTTTGGACTTACGGTGGCGAGGAGATCTCTGACATAGCAAAGCAACTGGCCAAAGAGTTAGATAATGATGAATTTCGGTTGAGTGAAGCACTACCAGACATACAAATTATCCTCACCACCGTCCAGTTGACCAAGTACCGCGTATTTCATGTCGCCAAACACGTAAAAGTACAGAATCAAACGGGCCACATGCTTATTATTCCACTATTTAGGTCTGCAGGCTTCGGAGCAGACCAGCCAGCCTATCCTTCAACACTACCATGTCGAAAACACAAGTATAATTTACGGCCGGAATATAGATTTTATGGTCGTGGCCTTGGCAAAGAAATGATGTCGAAGAACGGCCAGTTTGTGCGATGTGGGACAAGCCAGTGTGACTTCTCGATGTAGTCGAAATCGTGTTGTCAATGCGCACCGGGACTTTTAGTTGCGCCCAAGTAGATAAATTGCCTTCCCGTCTTATGGTGTGAGATATATGCATATTGTCTTGATTTACAGAAACGGGCTGGTTAGTACCCTCCAGCCTGGCGAAGGAATTGTGATGCTACTGTTTACCCACCCCAAACAAGGATTATAATCCGGCATTACCAGGCTAAGATAAAGTGCGGAGTATTCATACCTTTGTAGTATCTCACTGATTGACGCAAGAGAGGTTATGTCTAACATTCCTGGAGAACTTGTCAACACGAGACAACAATTATGGTATTTTAGGGTCTGTTGGCCGAAATTTACGAGCCTTTGTGTCACTTCTCAAGGTTGGCCAGAACCTCCAAGGGAGGCTGGGAGAATATATCATCAGTAGACAGATCCAGGAGGCAGTTTGGTTCGCAGAGTATGTCACAAAGTCTCATGCTGAGTATCTGCTGATTTGATAGAAATCAACGCAAAGAATCAGTTGTGGTGAAAGGACTTCAGAACCACCTCCCGCATTGTAAATAAGAGAATATTCTGCAACGATTCCGACGTTTGACGCCACACCTCAGATCACTACCAGATGAGGTTCAAAAGCCTGCCGAACCTCCCATCATTGTCCTGAAGCACCTTGATATCCACTTCTATATTCTTCGAAAAAGAATACCCCTAATCAAGAGGAACTAAAGCACGTGACAAGATGTATATTAGAGTCATGGAGTGTACTCCTCACAGATTCTCCGACACCATGCTGCTAATACCCTCGAACTTTAGATGTCAAACTTGACAATATCTTTGTCAACTACCGGAAGGGCGGACAATAGACTCTCTGAAGACCAGCTCGGCGATCTTCGTGGCTGTTATAACGTTGATAGTGAGTTCCCAAAGGGAGGTAAGCCTATTGGAACAGCTATGTGGTCCAGCCCGGAAATAATCATGGAGACGCTTGGAACACAGCAACCGATATATGGTCTTTCGGCGCTGTGGTAAGTTCAGCAAGTCTCCCATTTGAGTAGGCCGCCTAACACTTTATTACAGTTGATCAGCTTGATATATAGAAGTGACTTCAACCTGTTCCGGTCACGCACAATTCATTTTGGCCACAAAGAATACAACCTGGAAGTTTTGAAAAAGCAGTTCCGTGATTTCGGATCCTTTCCAGCAAAGTACGAAGAAACTGCGAGCCCCGCAGTTGTCACGGCAATCTTATACCTGATGCCTGAGATTTCTCAATCACAAACAGATCCTTTTCCCTGAACAACAGGACGCGAAGTCCCCTGGAAGACAAAGAATTCATTTCAAAAATAATGAGGCTGGATTGGAGGGATCGCCTCACAGCACAGGAGCTTCTGGATGATAGGTGGTTTCAAGATATGTAAAGATTTACTGAAGGTCACCCTCCCAGAGCTTTAGTGCTGACTTAGTCCCATGGGTCCTTTTGATAACTCCGAGTCCCATTTCGGCCCACAAAATTCAAGTTGCTAAACTATACAAGGCTGTCTGCTTAGAAGGCTTCAGTTGTTGGCGACAGATGGGATATACGGGGCTAATATTTTAGAAAAACAATTAGAAACAGGAGGATTTATCAAAGAATCTCCTAATCTGATAATGTTTCGGCGGCCCTAATGCGATATAAAAGGGTCGTGTGACCTGCGTACACGATATACAGTCTATAACTAGTTAGAGAAGGTAAAAATGACTTACGTAACCAGATCCAGTCCTCAGCAAAGTGGCTGTAATGCAAGCCTGTGCTGGGGCTGAATCAATCTCCCCTCCTTCAAATCCCCGACAACTCTCTTGTCGCTCAACTTGCCCTTCACAAGGAATATCGACTGCCAGGTTATGGATGTAGGAACAGGTGTTACTGGGCCACCTGCCCGTCAGGGAAGTAATTCTTACCCCCAAGAGAGCCCCACCAATCTGTGGCTTTGAAGACGATGATGGAAATACGATCCTCTACGAACAGTCCCTGGAAAGAGGCCAGCTTCAGATGAATGGATACCTCCAGCAACCTCCGCGGAGTTTGCGATCTGTGTTGAGTGAAATGCAGTCCGATCCTCGGCTCGCCAGCGCGGCTCTTCAGCCATACCTGCAGCAACTTAGCATGAATGAAGAGTACCATTACCTTGGGCAGGAACATGATATTCTGCATGCATCAGACTATCTGCACCCAACGAATAAAGAGACATGTGATGATTGTGACATGTCTCAAGTCCAGGCAAGACCGAACAGAGTGTCCAGCGAACCACAAATTCATTATGGCATGATCGCATCTGGCAATCAGGTGATGAAAGATGCAACAACGAGAGATGCCTTAGCAATTGAGCACAATGTGCTCTTCTTTGAAATGGAAGCAGCGGGTTTGCCCTCTCTTATTATTCGGGGGTTTTGTGATTACTGCGACTCCCACAAGAACAAACGATGGCAGAACTACGCGGCAGCGGTCGCTGCCGCGTATGCCAAGCTCCTCCTTTCTCGTGTACGGCCGGAGATGGACCCGGAGTACCCGAACCTGACGAACAAATGTAACGTAGGCTTTAGCGAGCTTGCAGATAATCAATCGTGGCTGCCTGGACGTGTTAGTTCTTCAGATGAGCCGGTCCCCAAGCGGCGACGGATTCACGGGCTGACTGCGGAGTCACCATAAATCCCTGTAACCGTACTAGGGAGATCTTATTTACGCAGAGTCGTTCACTACCTACCCTGTCAAGCGGTGGGTCTATTTCAAATCTCTGGGAATACTAGCTATGCATGCTCGGACAGGCCGAAAGGAACCTTTCTACCCACAATGCTAATGAGAACTCTCGGTCAATTTACCCTCGTTCTTAGAATAGTATTTTGTAATATCTTATATGTCAATATCTTACAGCTTCAGTTACAACAGGCATGGAAAAAGAAATCCGTCCTTCGGGTATGTTCCTGTGGCATAGATCCGCCTCTCAGAACTCTAGCAGACGAGTGCTGAGGGCCGAAAAGAGCAATTAAGACTTGTGATAACAAGAGACACCATCCTTACGTTATAGAGATATAGAAAAGGCTTCTGAGACCCACAATCATGCCAGAGCCAACGAGTTCCCCGATGCTAAAGCGAGATGGCATGGTTCATCCATCCTTCGCAAGGGGATTCCAAAGGAAAAAAATATTAGTGCCAGGCTAAACCGGTTGTCAAGAAGTATGCTTGAGACCCAACACTCCGAAAGGGACCTGTGCAGTACAGTGGCGGACAAGGCAAGCAAGTCCCTTCTCTGGACGACGATGAAATGGCCCCCTAATGCGCCTTTCAAACCGCTTCTTTTGAATTTGCAGGACCGTACAGCTGCGGGGGGAAGACGGCCATTTCTGCAGAATTACAGCGTTCCCGGCCCTGATGCATGAACCTGTCTACCGTATGCCAACGAGGGTAACTTTCAGGAACATCAGAAATGCTTGGCTGAGTCGGAGCCAATAGGTGGGAAAACGCGGATCCCTGAACGGCTCGTAGGACGGGCTGTTCGGCCCGAAGATGGTTAAAACCTCCGCCGTTTTTTCTGCTCCAGCCGCGCGTATAGATAGAGCTGAACCTGCAATACGAGGCTCACAGGAAGACTCTCAATATGTCTCATATTGAAGCCAATCCCTGTCGTTTTCTCAGACAGAAAAGGTCTGTCAAACCCGTCTCTCACAGCAAGCCTACATATATAGATACTCGACTGCCTAATAGTCTGTCGTCAAGTTCTAGAACAACATTGGTGATAACTAATCGTCGCCTGTTAAGGGTTGGTCGAGGAAAAGGGCTTGGCGTTGGTTAAGTGTGCATTGAACAAGGGAAACGGAGACCGACACCCGCAAAAGGCGCCACTAGATCTATATACCGTGTCCCTCTGAACGAGATTGGTTGGATACTGGTCCTGTAAATGGCATGGGCTAGTAGAGAAAAAGGATGTGTTCACCACTTACAACGTACATACATACCACGCCCCGTTATCCCGAGAATTCGTCGGTACGATATTCGAGAAGTTTCATTGAACGTGTTCTCTTGGCATGCCGGCCAAGCCGGTGTGAAGTTAACCCTCATGTTTGGGAACGGGATGCGCTTTGGGATGCAGCCAAGACCATGATTTTCCCTCCCGATGGTGGGCTCACCGGTCCCTCATTGTGGCCTCCGAGAGAGAGACTACGGACACAGGGCGCAAGGGAGACAGACTCCTGCAGATTCCCTTCGGAACACTAGTTGAGAATTCCGAAGAAAAACAATGTTGTGGTATCAGTTAGTCAACAAGCTTCTCGGACCGCACCTTGGCATTACGAAGCAAAATGAGCTCGTGTTGATCGTCTTTCCACCAGCCCGAGGCCCCCAGGAGCAGCCTCACATGCCCGAAAGTGTCGTGGAAAATTCTCAGCTCAGAAAACCAATACCATCCCCACGTTGTCAGCTACACCTTCTTTACCATAGTTCGCGCACATGTGAACTCGGCACATAATCAGGACAATCCCAGCTTGTCACTCTTAGTCCTTTAGATTAAGCATAATATCGACAGGGGTTCCTCGTGAAGATGCCAAACAGAGGGGACATATCTTTCCACCACACAATGTGATCAAGTCGTAGCCCCTCAACACAGAAGGCCACAGGAAGACCATCGGAGTTATACCGGCGTTACCAAGGAACATAGTGCGGGATTTTTAGTCCGACGTCAGTAGGGGATCTATCTGGTCTGTGTCTCCGGCACCCCCGGGACGGAGAATTTCCCGGGTGGATTCGAAGCTTTTCTTCACTTGCTTAGAGTATAGTTCGATCTTCAAACGGTGGGTTATCTCTCTTCTTCCTCGATTGCTGGTGCCTGTTGAAAATTTTTCGGCATGCGAGGGGATCCGCGACGGGTAGAAGATCGGCCACAGGAGTAAGACTATTTGCACGCTAAAGGGAGAGAGTCACGAGGGGACGGGAAACCCTCGTGGGAGTCCCCTTTTTACCATTCGAGCAAGTCCAATCGTCAGGATTCCTCTGTCCCCACCCTTGTGGGGGCTTGTGCATTGAACTAGCGACAATGCGGGGAAGACGGCACTCAATTAGGGCCTTCACGAACGTTGTCTCTAAGCGTAACGGCCACCAAACTGCCCGCATGACCGCGCGGGCGCAATTTTGCACCATCTTCTTATGACGCACGCAACGCGGGGTCCGAATACGAGAGACACCTTTATTGGGTTTGTCGGAGATTCGCCCGAAGCCAAAACGCGCCCTTGGCTATACTTTGAACTGCCAGGATTGGCCGTGGACGAGAGAACAAAGAACCCCCAGCCGTACCAACTTACGATTTGCTTCTTCTACGGTTCAAGATAAACAACCCAGGCTCTTCATGATTCGCTCTGTTCTATCGGTCCACTTGAAAGGATGCAACGCTGATATATTAATCCATGGCCTTGGCCGAGGAATCTCCTGAAGAACAGCATGTGGTTATCGCCGACTGTCTTGTCGGACAGTCCGAATGTCGGGCTTCGCTCAGCGCTGGATCCACGATGGAGTCCAAAGGTACCGGCTTAGACAATTCCTTGAAGGCCTTTGTTGTATAAGGAAGTTGTACCGGGTGAACGGACACGCCTTTACGATGTATATAATACCTGTTTCCCTCCCCCAGGAGAGAATTGTTCCTCAGACACTTCAGCTGTTCTGGATTCACTCCCAAAGTAGCCTCGTACCGACTATACAACGCTTCAACGGAGCCCTTGCACTTTGGTCACCATGCATCTTGCTATCAAGACTCTCTTTGTCTCCCTCCTTGGCGCGAGCGTTCTCGCCCACCCTCTGCCTACTACATTGGTTGAGAGGAACGCTCCTCTGAATGAATTCCTCAGCGTCCTCCTGTCTCATCTGCCTGCCATCAACGGACCTATTGACGCGGTATCGGGCGTTATCACGGACTTCGATCAATTGCTCGCAGACATCACCGGTGCTCAGACCACCCAGAATGGGTTTACTGGTACCTGCACCGACTGGACTGTTCTCTTCGCCCGTGGAACCAGTGAACCAGGAAATGTGGGTCTTCGGTTCAGCCTATTTTTCATCCCAATGCTAATTGAGCGCAGGTCGGTGTGCTCGTCGGGCCGCCTCTTGCTGAGGCATTCGAGGGAGTCGTAGGTGCTTCCGCCTTGTCCTTCCAAGGTGTCAACGGCTATTCCGCATCCGTTGCAGGCTACCTAGCGGGAGGTGAAAAAGCCGGTAGCAAGGCGATGTATGTTTCCCTTTTTGTCATTGTATTCTAATGCCTGGCCCGAACAGGATCTGACTATTTCCGAACAGGGCAACCCAGGCCAGCCAAATTCTCTCCAAGTGCCCCAACACCAAGCTCGTCATGAGCGGTTACTCGCAGGGCTGCCAGATTGTCCACAACGCGGTTGAGCAGCTCCCTGCCGCAGATGCCAGCAAGATCAGCAGCGTCCTCCTCTTTGGTGACCCATGTATGTTCAACCGTTAATTGCGCATTAATTAAACATGATACAATACTAATTCCGACTCTAGACAAGGGCAAGGCTCTTCCCCACGTTGATGCTTCCAAGGTCCACACCGTCTGCCATGAAGGTGACACCATCTGCAAGAACAGCGTCATCATTCTTCCTCCCCATCTGACCTACGCTGTGGACGTCGCTTCCGCCGCCGACTTCGCTGTCGCGGCTGCGAAGTAAAGGAAGATCAGGGCTCCGTTCTCCCAATCGAGTGTTGTCGGTCGGGATCTCCCGTTCCCGATCTGTGATCCGGGTTGTCTCTCCCTCTTCTTGAAGCATAGTAATGGGCGCAAGTGTGGCGTTTGCATTTACAAGGTGATTTAATAATGTATTTTAATGTGTGATGTAGCATGTGGTAATCTTCAAGAGCAGCATTCTATACTCGACTCGAGCTGTGGTTTCAACGCCCTTGTAATTGTTGACGTGTAAATGTGCTTATTTACGAATAGTATTTCTTCCCTTCAGATATTAGCGATATACTTGCTTTAACCCCCCGCCTGGAATGCTCTATTTTGTGCCTTGCATAGGAACCCAGGTACGCGTAGACAGGGTGGGTCTTGTTTGTTCCAGTGACTATCACTTGCCTTTTCTAGCGTTTACATTACCCATCACACATACTCCCACGGTCTATCCCTGTTCACAACTTAAATGTAACAGGAAAATTGCCTAGAATGTAGGGTAGAACAAAATTGAAGATTTCAACACTACAATGCAATACTACTCTCAATTGTGCATATAGATAATCTATTTCGTAGCACTGCATTCTGCCAGCGGCATATGTACTACTACCTGGTAGGTACCCGTGAAATATATATTTCGCCATACAATTGGGGAGACAATTCGGGCAACAAACACACGCACCAAAAAGTATATAGATAAAATAAAATATAAATAGAGCGAGAAAGATGGAACAAAGACGAAAAGGAAAAGAGTTCCATAAAATGTGAATGGACTCAAAATTATGTCTTTTCATCCCCTCATCTCAGATCTAGGCCTGACTGAAAATAAAGGTAAACACTTAGGGCCACTCATTGGCCAGGACCAATTTTGTCCGGTAGTATATGATTGGCCCATAGAATGCTTACTCAGCTGACGACTGACTTGCAAGGCCAATCAACAACCGTGTCTGGGGCTTTAGCTTAACACTACTAAACGCTAGACAAGGGGGATAGAATCCGAGAAAAATAAAAGATAATATCAAGAATAAATTATGTCGCGCAGAATTGGACTACGCTTTCTAATATTATGTTTTGAAAGGCGACGCTGTGAACGCCATACGCATCTGCCATACAACGCTGCCAACGTAATAGCACAATAATATGCACACCCATGTCAATTGCGAGAGAATATCAAGACGAACTACAACATGGAGTTGAGGGTGACATCGGCCCGGGAACAGCGTGACATCCCGAAGTCACCTGTCCAACAGTCACGGGGATTTCGGAAAGAACACGACAATTTCACGTTTATATTTATAATGCCACACACTGCCACCTCATCGTCAAGGGAAGCATGTCGGGCACCGATCTCAGGAGTTTTCTCCAACCCCTTCGGATTGAACCTGATACACTGTATGATCTATCATATCGCCTGTCCTTAACGTACAAGAAGTTGGCAGCTTCGCCGGAACAGTTCTTCCCCACCCCCATCACACAATTGCCCACCGGCCATGAAAAGGGTCGGTATCTTGCCGTCTATGTTGGCCTCTCGTATCTCCGAGTAGCCTTCATCGACCTGCTGGGAGATCAACAGACGGTACGCCGGACGTTGGAGAAGGCCTGGCCGATTGAAGAGCATCTGCGAAGAGACCAGGCCCCAGCGCTATTTACCTGGATAGGCGATTGCTTAGCCGAGGTTGTCAGGGATGGTCTGAACAACCCAAGTGAAGAGGCTCCCCGCGAACTAACGATAGGCATCTCGTTCTGTTTTCCGATCAGGTAAGCATGACAGCAATTCCCATTTAGAGGGACCGTACTGAGAAAAGGCACTAGACAAAAATGCTTGGATGAAGCCATCCTCATGCCGACAGGGAAAAGGTTTGCTGTGAAGACCGACCTGAACCTGCACAAGGCATTGCTTGACGGCTATGAGCGCCATACCTGGTCGCCTGGCGAGGATGAGCAGCGAGTGCCCACCAAGCGGCGAAAGCTCTTTAGTCTACCAAAACTCAGAATTGCCGCGATGACAAATGATACGACGTCAACACTTTGCTCACTGGCATACACGATCGGCTCCTTGCCTAATACCCGCGTGGTGATGGGCCTCATTGTGGGCTCTGGCTCCAACGCGACGGTTCCGATCAAGATGACCGATCTGCATGAATTGAAAACTCGCCATATCCGCGAAAGGGACCCAAATGCACGAGAGGCTCTCGTCTCGACTGAATGGACGCTATCCAGCGCCGCAACTCCAATATCAGAACTCGACATCCGGACAAAATGGGATGCGGAGCTAGACCGGTTTTGTGAAAGACCGGGATTTCAGCCTTTCGAAGAGATGGTGGGTGGCCGATATGTGGGCGAGCTAGTACGCCTCATCGCTATCGATTGGTTCCATGGCGTGCTCAACATCCCGTATTCGGAATTGCCAGTTAAACTCACCACTGAATACGCCCTTTCGACCGATTTTCTGTCCCTTGTGGTGGCAGATAGTCAGTGTGATGAACGATTAGCAAAAGATCTATCTCAAAAGTTACATCCGCCATCGGAAAGTGAGTGGCAGTGGACGCCAGACTTCGCTCGCGATCTTCGTACGATCGCAAGTTTTGTGCAAGACAGAGGGGCTTCCTTGGTAGCAGCCGTGGTTGTAGGACTTCTTGTCTGCACCGGCGAGATTAGCCTGCAGCGTCCGGAAGGCGTCGACTTAGGAGATAGCCTAGAAGACTCTTCCGCGCCGGCTGTCGCGGGAGCCAAAGCCCAGGCTGGCTCATCCACGACTGGGTGGAAAAACGGCCCTGAAGAGCTGGCGGTGGCTGTCTCCGGCGGAGTTATGCAGCTCTATCCAAACTACAAGGAAAAAGTCCAACGATACATTGACCAACTTCTGATTCATGCTGGCCCACAGAAAGGAGGAAAAAGCATCTTTCTTCGAGACGCCAGTGATGGAGGGTTAATAGGGACCGGTATCCTCGCGGGGACCGCAGCTGGGGATATTGGGGGAATCATAGGCTCGACATTTGATTAGTGGAACTTACAGGCTAGGCGTTTACGGAATTTGGATCTTATAAGAATATTAGATGACAATATGAGACTATATCCTCTTAACGAGATGCGTGTTTTCCATCGTTGGCATTCTCCCTTGTCTTGAATACTTGATTAATCATGATAGTAATAGCGCTAGTTGGCGCTGCAAGCGTACACCAGATTTGAATGTGCCCCAGTAAAGAAAGATCACAACCGTCGAACTGATGACCTTGTATGCGTCGCTTTCTTCCTGCGTCTGTCGATTTGTATTCGGTGACAAAGTACAAACGTATATCTGAGAATATCTCCTGAAGTCATTTGTAATCGAATGGCGGATTGATAGCTACCAAGTGACCCGAAATCCTTAGCCTCCTGGTTTCCACTGTTGAAACAATTAGGAGAGCGTAGCTCTTTATAAAAGCGAAGTAATCGTGTCTACTGGGGTTGGCTGTTCCTCTAATCTCGTTTCAGCTATCTCAAAACATGGACATCGGGGCACCTCGTCAGACCAAAGCCGTTCACACAAGGAGCGCGCTGGCACCCACTCATCGTTCCAAAGCCCGTTAGAACTATACAAGAGTCAGCCTACCGCAAAAACTACACCTGGACCCGCCGGAGAGAGTATCACTCACCAAACGTAAAATGAATTTGAGGCCAACATGAACGCTGGCAGCAATATGCATGTCACAACAACATCGTAAGGCTTACGAGCAGTATCAGAGGAGTGCAAATTCACACCTTTCTTTCCCAGAATAATAAACTCTGCGTGCGCCTTGCGACTATGTAAATCCCGCGCTCTATGTCTACAAGCGGTGCCCTCCGAGACGTGGGATCGTCGCAATACGGGCCCATGATGGGAATTCTCGCCATGTTGATGATATGAACGACATCTTCGATTAACCTCGGCCAGGCGGCCTTCCATTCTGGGGATTTCCCGTCATAGCGGAGGTGGTAGTAGTGTGTATGTGTATACCTGTGGCTAGTCAATGATGATCGAAGTGAGGAATGTTCAAATGAGAGCTCGCCCATTTACAAAGTGAAAGGGTTAATATGTAGTTTTCTGATTACTGTACATGGTATTTAAGTGTGTTGGAGAGGAAGACTGTACGGGATGGAATGTTGATGGCCACAATGGTATCGTCCAATCACGCCCCTGGGGGCAGCAAAGATATCCTTCTTAGTCTGTACGGGTTGAGCAATTTATTTTGATGTATGATCATTTAGTTAGAGACCGCTGGTCTGACACTACGTCCCATGCTCTCATCATACTGTTTCGAGCATATTCTAGGGTTGATTGCAGGGTTCTATTTGGCTGATACTTAACCCTGCGCAACCTACGGTATGTGTCCGTACTGTCCCAAGCGTACAGAATCTAATATTAGGTAAGTACTGGCACGAGAGAAAGAAGTCCTAGGCAAAGAATCGCATTTGATTCCGGCCACCCGGTATCTTATATTACTGTACAATCTCCTCCCTCCGCCGGATCTCGATTTGCGCAGTCGGATTCAAGTTCAATGCTATGCCACTTCGTATAGGATGTGGACTACTGCCCGTCGTCAACCAGAAATTGTACTTCAGCAGGATATGACATAGGGCTACCTTAATTTCCAGTGCAGCAAAGAAGCACCCCGGGCAGGCATGATCACCGAAGCAAAAGCCAACGTGTTCTACGGAAGGGGTCACAACTGGGCGGCCGTCTCTTTTCTGGGTATCTCTCACGATCTGAGGAAGCGATGGCCCCCGAACTGATCTGATCTGGGGTACATAGCAGGGTCCCGCATCTACTCGCTTGGGATAAGGAGAAACGTGCCATTGGAGATCGCAGTGCTGTCGGACAATGTCATGTCCTCCATGGCTTTCCGTCGAATGGCTTGGATAGGTTTTAGAGTCCATGAGGATTTTTGTGATTGGAGCCTACCGGGATAGTATTCGGTAGTAAGTCCTCCTTTCCACTTCTCCGGCTTCTAGCACCGGAGTAATTATTTCGCGAGCCCCCTGGAAGTGAGACCCTGCCTTCCGACACTGTTTGACGAATGTCGTAACGACAAGACGTAACTGTCTAGGCCAGAGACGTAGGACACCCACAGCGAGCATTACGTCCACGACGTAATCAATCATAATCGTTAGCCACTCTGGATTTCGACATGTACAATCACCGACGAGTACCTTGGATGACGCTTGGACAGCCAGATGCAGAACGTTTTTGCTTTCAAAACCAATGGGATGCTAGTCTAGCGGTAGTAAGCTCCATTGCCCCTATTCTGTGCTTAGGCTTGATGCTTACCACCGCTGTCCCTGCAATATTGTCTGAAGCACAAGACTCACCTCCTCGGACAATGGAGCCATCATGTTTCCTTAAGGTTAAATCTCTCTACCATGGAGCATCCTCGATATGAATTATCAGGCTATACGTACCTAGATTGTGCGTAAACCTGGTCCGCACAACCTCCTGGAAGATCTGACCCGGCCCCGCTCTCTACAGCGAGGCATCGAACCCGGGGATATCAGCGAGAAGATCCTGCATCAGGGCCTGTATAAAATTTAAATCTGGGTGACTTCGTATCTCGCTCATGTACTTCAGGGCTAGGACGACTTGATAACCGGTTTCGGTGACAAGTCGAAAGACGGGTGCCTCGTGATGAGGTAGATTAGTTAGCCTTCACGTCGTTCCTGGAATGGAAGAATGATTATTTACCTTGCTTAGTCCTAGCTTGGTGAGGTTCCGCGCATCTGTCATAAACCGCCTCTGTAAATGGATGTCGCGTGTGCGGGAGCTCCATAAGAGGATACCCTTTAGCAATAGGAAGCAGATAATCTAGATAGGACCGAGGGAAGAAAGTATATCATCGGCTAGGAAGATCATGCTTGCCATATGCTGTGTTTTTGGGTACCCGTGGAGGAGCGATGCCCCCGGTCCCTAGTGACACCTGGAGTCATAGTGGATCGAACCACTACGAGGGGTATGGATAACGTAAACGAACAGTTGGAGTGCCTTTAAAGTATCTGATTTGTGACATAATAGAATACCTGGTGCATTTCAATTTAGACGTCACCTTCCTCACCTTAATCACGTAGGCTTCAATAGACCCCCAAACAACAGGCCAGATTGGCCCTCACACCTGCCCTTCACTTCCCCAAATAAGATAGCTATAAAACACTGATATACCCTAATAGTCAACAGCCCTACCATACCCAATGTGACCACACAGGCCCATTCCCCAGATCCTTCGGAAAATGACACTCCGCGGTAGGAGACTCAGGCGGCTTTGGGCCTTTCTTCTTATTGATGAAACACACATCTTCCCTGAACTAAGGTACCCGTACATCCCAAACTAGCACAGATGAAAATAAACAACCACCGCAATCAATCCTCTTCCCAGAGTGTTAAATTTTACGCCCGGTGGAACTCATTTTGGTTCTTTGCTGTAGGCGGGATTGGCTTGCTGCTTATCCTCGTGCTGGGGTTTGGCGTATGTTAACCTAACAGGTCTAATAGGTGCTATGGCAGGGCTGTGATTGGGTGAATGTATGGAGTGTAGTGTAGATAGTTATTGGATACAATTTGTCATGGCCTTGGCTGTCTGACGTCTTGGTATGGTTACATGTTTGGTGGTTAAGATCTGGCGGTATGTACTGTGATGCGTTTAAAATCTAGATGAATTATGGTTTGGTTTGATGCTATACCCTCAGTGAATAGTTGAGTACTCTGGTTTTCACAGGCAGCGATATTAATTGCAGGCATTAGTATATTCTCATTTTTTGTCTCAGCAAGGGACCGTTTGAGATTACGGAAACTCATGTATTACTCTCTTAATGTAGCAGTGTGGCTATATTTGATCTGCGTGGTGTCATGGTCTTCAACGTGGCAGAGTTGGGTGAGTTGGGTGAGGTCTTAGGGCACGGCTTACTATGCTGGATGGGCACTTACATATTGTTTTGTAGAAACTGCGAGAAATTCAACCTGGGTGAGAATTGGGAGGGATATAACGCCAGCATGGCTTCAAAGTCGAGTTATTGTCGTTCCCGATTTAGATTTCTAGCCGGCGTCACTTTCATGTAGCCCCCTACAGCAGGATGATTTCTGTACCTTGCCTTTCTCAAGATCCGTATCATGGTGGGTGACCTTCGCAGGAGTTCGACAGCCACCTAGCATGGTACTAGCCTTGCTTATTCTCTCTGGCCTGCCATATTCTAGTGATCCCGGACATAGCCGGGACCATTGTGCAGCAAGACCAAGACCTCCGAAACAAGCCAACGGGATGTCTCGCACGGAAGCGGCTCGTCTTAATGTGCGTATCGATTCTAGGTTTGCATAAACTCTCACGTCAATGTAGTCTGAGAACAAGTGGAGTATCACCTGATCGTGGAGAGATCCCTGCAATTAATGCTAACTGTCATCCTCCCACAATGCTGCTGATTGTAAAAACGGTCGGGAATTACTGAGTTCTAGGATAAAACAACGGATCCACTGGGAACTTCCCTGTGCCGTGCCTCGGCTGTCACAGAATTAGATATCTCTGGGGCTTTCACACGGAAGATTAAGAAGTCATGGAGATATTTCCGTGCTCAATCAAGTACGCGACCCTGGAAATAAATCGTGCACCCGTTTTTGTAGTTTGCAAGCTATCTTAGGGGGCTCCCTCTGCTACCCTGCGAGCCTATGTCCGCATTTCTGGGGAAGCGTATAATGCCACCAATCGACCGCTAGTACGCTTTGGAGACGGAAGGCTGCTCCGGGTCGTGGGATGGAGCGGGATACGGGGTCGTCGGAATCCTCCGCAAACCTAACTGGTAACGAGGAACTGGGCACGTCTCGGATATGCGAAGCACCGTCTGCTGTGGGACAATATGCCTGAGGCTGGATGAGCCCAGCATTGACGTTGAAGATCGCTTCCAAGCCTGTAACGGAGGAGTGTCAAGCCTGATCCGAGTCAAAAACGTTTGAGATACCTGGGCAATAATATGGCTACATGAATCAAGCCTCAAATCTCGAATATAAAAGGATGTCTTGTCGTGGTACTCTTTGATTCAATCATACCTTCCCCACAAAGCTTCGTTCACACAGCTGGACCGTCCCTCTAATCCTTTGGATTAATAATCTAGTATACTCCTCCACACGCAACTATGAAGTTCAACGTCCTCGTCGCTATCACGCTTACCATTTTCCAAGGTGGCTTGACATCTGCCTTGCCCAACGATACCAGTCTGGCTGCTCGAGCTGACAAGCGTGGCTCAGAGCAGATCAGCGGTCTGGGAGCCCGCAAGCAGCAGGTCACCGGTGCTGGAGGCAATACCATGGACTTGGCAATTGCAATGCTCGAGACGAAGAACATGGGCACTGATTACCCGTACGGTATGACATCCCCTTGGTAGTAGATACTAGTAAAACATCTGACATTTTCCAATAAATCAGGGGACGGTAAATCAGGCGATGCAACCAACTTTGGTATCTTCAAGCAGAATTGGTACATGCTTCGGAACTCCGCGTCCGAGTTCCTGGGACAAAGCGTATCTGACGTTAGAAATGGCGCGATCCTGAAGTACGTGAACGTGCATATCCTTTCTCACCCAAGGGTAACCCACACAGAGTAACACAACCTATAGCAGCGATCTCGGTAAGGATATCAGGGCCCGCCACGACGGTGAGCATAAGTATGGTTTTGATATCTGGTTTGCTGGGCATCGCAATGGTGAATCTGGTGTTAATAGCCCTAATACGGAAGATATCAAACGTAAGTGATGGCATATTTAATCCTGTCCATTGTGCTATGGATGGATTAATGATGAGAAAACCATCAGGCTACCGCGATGCTGTTCAGTGGATCAAGTCTCAAATCGAAAGGGACCAGAAGTATCAGTCGGATGATACTCGTTTCTGGGTCGATGTCACTGCCATTTAAGCAGTCTGATGATGGTGAACTGATGCCATATGAAAGGTAGGAGGAGGTCTTGATAGGCTCTATACCTGGATAGCCAATCTGAGGGGTATTTAACATTTCTCATCCAGTACAGATTTTCTATAGCCAATGTATCGTCCAAGTGGCTGTCATTGTATGTTTATGAGTTAGGAAACTAGGAATGCAGGCGATTGAATGACTGTGACGAACCATAGTCGTCAACGAAGGACGCGCTTTTAAGTTAACAAGGTAGCCAACGTCAAGCCTAGATGATTTCAACATAGCCCAGGTGAATGTAAGGCAGACTATTAAGTGAATCTTGTAGATACAAAGAACAAGAGATATGTACTTCCAGGTAATAGAGGTGATTGTGGCCTAGAGTGAAGGGCTTCTTCCGCCTTCCACCGTTAGACAGGTCTCTCTCTTCTTCACCTCAACTGTAGCGAAGAAAAACTGACATAACCAAGTCAAAATGGGGTGAGTTCCTATTCCACAACTTAGTATGCCCACTCACCGCTGACAAGTAATAAGATATTCACACTACCACACTATCCTTGACTGGGATAGTCTGGAATGACAAGCTCAGAAGCTTCCTTGGTACGGGCGCGAGACACTGACACTATGGATGGCCTATTTCGTAATGAAAGGCCCCCTGAGTATCTTTGCCACTAGGCCATACATGATCCAAACATCTAGCTACAGCTACTGTAAGGGGGAATCAACCATAGCTAGCTCAGTGCACCCCGCGCCCATGGACGTGGGTGGGCTTTTGAGCTCGGGGTAAATCTGTCAAAACGCCACACAGTAATGGTGCTTGTTATGATTCGGGATTTACTGGCATGGCACCCAGCATTAGAAAAGAGAGGGACACTATAGGAGTGATCTGCTTTTTGACAGAATATATGATGCGAGGTATGACTACGGATTCAGAATGCAAAGCAACTAGATAGTTATCATTAGAATCAGGACAGGACCAAGAACAAGGATAGAAAGAAAGAGATCCTCTACACAATCCTCGATCAGTCCAGGATTCAAGAAGGAACAAATCACTATTATAAGCTTGATCATGACCCCAACATTGCTAGGGGGAAATTAATCTGAAAAAAGGCAAGCCAGGCCTCGTGTTCGTAGATCCTCGCCCTTTGATCGGATTTCAGGCAGCTCCTGGAATATTCTTATCCAATTCCATTCAGAACTTTTCTATTAGGGATGCGGTCTCTCCTTATGAAGATCAAAGACATCCATGTCTAAAGGACATCTAGAGACCCAATTAACAGCAGTAATATAGCGACGGATACCATCACTTAAGTCTAGTGGGCATCCGTCGAAAGTCGTAGAGCTCCATAACCGCGAACTGCCGGGTACATTCATGTCCAATCTGATCCATGATATCGGGCTCCAAATGCCGAACGAATCGTAGGAATTTCTAAATTAGACCGGTACTCTACTAAGCTCAACTCGTTGATGCGTATTTACTGGATCTGAAGACATCTTGTCCCCACACAGAGCCCACGGTTCCTTTATGCAGTGCCGTCCGGACCCCGCTAATTGCCGAACTGCCAAACCGGACAGCCTTTTCATTTGCTTGATTTATTTTAATATCTTCTTTGGTACCTGTGCCGGTGCGTGTAGTCAAGACAAGTGGTCACGGGGGAAACATGACTAGAAAAGCCTGGCATTTGATCTATCAGCTCCTAGCTTTGTAAATAGGCCGTTCGCATCCGAGCACCCTGGAGGATTAACTATGAACTTCTCGTACCTGATGGAGGAATTGTCATAGGCCCTTAATGGATGACACTGCTGGAGCTTATACGCACTCGCTGATGACATTAACACGACCACGCTGACAAACTACAACTAGTCAGGGTAGGGGTACCGACGCATTTCTAGTACAAATGAGTTATTTATTCCAAGCCTAGACTAGGAGTTGAGGAATCAAAATAATCCTTTCCGGGACAACTTACACCCGATAAACCCACAAACTAAGTGAATATTGATACCTCAATATCACCAACCACCCGCTCCGTCTCAACAGGTTGCAAGGGCCATCTGATTGTTAGGGGTCCCCATCTACTTAAGAGCGGTTTATTTATCTTGGGGTCAACCCTGCCGCTCAGCCTTATAAGGGTAGAGGAGCACTGTATAATTTCACCGAGCAGTTCTTGCGACTTGACTAGCTTTGAGCCCTCTGGTTAGTGAAGGAGCCCCTTGACACGTTCGAGTCGTTCGGAGAGATTGGTGAGTTCGTAGAGCAGTTGGAGCATATCTCGCGTGCCAGTCGGGGTTTCCTCTTCAATGTGAACTCTCAAGACTTTCATCACATTCTCCATCTGGTGAATGAGTGTAGTAATGACTGATATACACGGACGGGATTCCATTAGATGTAACGTAGTTCCAAAACCGAGCACCGTACCTCACGCGTTTCTCGTGCGGTTGAAACTCTCGCTCAGTTCAACCTCTTACCATGCCACCAAGAACGCGTACAAGTGCAAATAATCCAGCTGAGAAGGAGGGGAGCGCCTTACTTGCAGTTTCCGCTATCAAAACGCAAGAAATAAAGTCAATTCGTGAGGCTACACGCATCTTTAATGTCTCCGACAGAACAATACGTCGTCGTCAAAATAGCACTATATCACACACTGAAAAACGCGCATATTGTTATAGATTGACTGACATACAAGAGAATTCGCTTGTACAATAGATATTATCTATAGATCAACGTGGAGCAGCTCCCCGGCTATCTCAGGTCTAAAATATAGCCAATATTCTTCTTATAGACTCTGATTTTGATATATCTCAATCAATCGGTAAAACCTGGATCAGCAGTTTTATTAAACGACTTTTCCAAGGTCCATGTGACCTGTGTACTCGTAAAATAGGGCCGCTTCCGCAAACATGCCGATCACTCAGACTTATTGCCAAGAACTATACCTCGTACTCTCCTCAAACCTCATTGTGGCTGGCAAGAAGCTGGTGCCTTTGGCCACTCATGGCCTGTCTTCCACCCATAGTACAGAATCCCATCTCACGCTAATGCAACAGGGGTGGTTTTTCGTCTGCGCGGGCGATCGCAGGTGGAAAGGAGAATACACCCGCCCTGGAAATGTAAATAACAACGGTGAGTTGCTATTTATCAGCTAAATAATCTATGCGAGCTCTTTCTCTGTAATAGAGTACTTGGGGACCTGGATCTTTTCCAGTGATAACTGCACGGGCTCCTACACAAGGAAATATTGGCCTTTATAATAAAAGTCTTTAAGGAGGGTAAGAAAGCTGTGGTAGAAATACTGGTTGATAGTCTAATCTAAAGACTGTATTTAGAAAGGTTCTAGAAAGTATCACTTGATATTGATATAACTTATCTTTATCTCTTTAGTACCGTGTAAGGATGACTTGTCATTCTCAATAAATAATATATGCTTTTAGTTTATATATATCCCAGGCACTCTTCTCTACCACTGGGCGAATAATCGAGAATAGAGTTATTAATTATCAGGAAAATCCTTTTACAAGGGAGGTCTTTGCTGCTTTAGATAGGCCTGAAACCAATTTAGAGCTACTAAACTACAGGATTTTGGGACAGTCTTTTTTCTCCGACGGTATTATAGTTAATGAAGACTGGGTAAGGGTACTAAACAAAGGATTCTCTTATATCTTTATACAGTTCATATAGTACAGGAGATGGTGCGTAGTTCTATGATATTGGCAAGGCATAACTTCTCGGACTAGGGGGTTTTTGTTTGGTATAAGAAGGGCTAGTTGCCCTTTCTTCTTTAAACCTAACCACCACTGTATATTTACAAAGAAAAAGTCTAGTGGTGGCCTATCAAGTCCGAATATTGTTCAACCAATTATAATATTATAACTATCTGTCAGGGCCTAGGCCGAACCCTACCTGAGGCACCAAGACCGCTCTATTCACTGTTGATCTGATCCTACAACATAAGATCACACAGTTCCTGTATGATAGAATTCTTTCTTTCTTTCTCTCTCCCTTCTCTACGTTTGATGTATCGTCAGCTGCAAGCCATGAAAATGCCTTTATATAGTTCCACTTCGCCCCACGAAACGAAAGTCCTATGCATTGGTATGTACCCACATCAATAAATTTAATGCACGAATTAAGTCATTATCCACATCCCACGACAACGCGGAGACACCTTAACTGAGTTCCTCACACTATGCACACTTCTCCTTTTGGTAAACAACCACAGTAGTCCCATCCGACAGAACCGCATGTTCAGGTGCAAGCCTATACCTCCCAATCGCGGGCAGAACCCTCTGCCAGAATGCCCAGTAGACTACGCCCAGAAACAGAATCACGATTCCAACCACAGAAGATAACCAATATGGCAACGATGTATCGCCTTTCCCACCCGGGGGTCGAATGAATGGTGCGACGAGCTGGAAGGCTTGTCCTACCATGAAGAATAGGGCCACTGGCCACCAGACTTTAAAAGGGCGTGGTATATCCCGGGCTGTGTATCGAAGCCAGAATAGGCCGAGGGCGACGAGGAAGTTGATTACGCTGGATGGGTAGCCTTCCAAGTCTAGGATGAAATTGTAAGCGTCACCGAAGGGGATTGCGACGATTATTATGAACGATGGGATGAAGTGTAGCAGTAGACCGGATGACGGCGATCCGAAGGGCCAGCTCGAGGCCCAGAATTTGGGAAATGGGATGACGCCTTCTTTGGCCAGTTCTTGATTCACTCGAGCTTGAGCGAAGGTCACCGTCATTACGTTGCCGAATGCGGAGATGGCTATGAGGACGCTATCGGGTGGTTTAGTGGGAGTCTTGCTGTTGAAAAGTAGGGACTAGACTTGCCTGAGGGCTCGCTTGGCTGCAGTTCCGAACACCTTACCCATGAAGTATGAAGCCACTGTCACGCCACTATTGGCAATTTCCTTAGGCGTTGCTGCTGCATAGTATGCCACATTGGCCAACACGTACAGGGTCCCACAGATGAATAGTCCAATGGGCGCCGCGATCTTCAAGGTGCGAACGGGGTTCCGGATTTCATTTAGGACATATGCTGCATTCGACCAGCTAGGACACGGATTGTTCAGTTAGTCAAAGTAGATCACCGTCGCTAGTCTCTCTCTTACCCAGAATATGAATTCAGCACCTTGAAGAGCGCTGTCGCATAGAGGTTACTCGATGTCGCCGACCCGGCGAATGAGTTATGAAAACTAGCATTCGGGTCAGGGACGCTCGAGACACGACCGCTCAGAACGACCCAGCCTGTTACAACAATGAATAATAGAAGAATAACCTTCATGACTCCGATGACGTTCATGCCCCGAACTCCCCAGTTTGGTAAAAAGGTATGCACTAGAGTGATGAAGACGATGACCGCGATGGCCCCTCCTCGTTCTTGCCATTCCGTTGCCTTCTTTCCGGTCGCGACAACAATATTCGACACAAAGACGATACACCCTTGGGCTGGTCGTACATCCTTATTAGCAAACTGCCTACCAAGATCCAACAAATCACGTACCCGTGAATCCCAAAGCGACGGCTTGCACCGCAAATACAACGGTAATGAGTAACTTCGGCTGGCGATAAACCGCTTCGAGATACACTTTTTCTCCTCCACTGCGTGGCATCATGCACCCAAACTCGAGCCATACGCAGAGGCCAGCCCCGGCTAGGAGAAGGCCCAATACCCAGAGGAGTAAGGCCGCACCAACACTACCAACGCTGTTTGTGACTGACGACGGCGTTGAGAAGATGCCAGTCCCGATGATACGACCGACACTGATCCAACAATATCAGCGACGTCGATTTGTAGGGGTGGAGCGCTCCAGGGCGAATGTGAAAGGAACCATACATAAGGAAAATGGTGGAGAAAACACCCAAATGCCGACCGAGTCCGCCTCGAGTGTATTCATCGAAATCCAACTCCCCCGTTCCAGGAGTACACTGGACTCCACCCTCTATTTTGCGACCATCATGTTCGTCTGGGGTCGGCTCAACGACCTGACTCGAAGTAGGTGCCATTTTGCCGGCTCTGAGCACAAGCACTGGGGTTGAAAAGTCTTACTGTCCATGTACGGCGTTGCCTGGATGGCTTTTAATCTTCCCTGCTTCTCACCGGTGCGGTGGTCATTGGAGCTATAATTGCGTGATTGAACAAGTCAGATGTAAGCAACAGGAACCATCCTATGATAGGGCTTAGCAAAGCTTGGTAGCGGGAGGCCAAAGCTTAACCAGAGTGAATTATAGTCCTTATGAAACTATTAATGCATTGCTTACTACGCAGCGCAAACGGTGGTGGTTCCGAATGCAGTTGGCTGGGAATGCGCCGATCCTTGCACACAGAGCCCGGCAGATCATGAGCCGAGGAACTGGAATGTACGTACTGACGACTTGTCTTCTTGAATCCCGAAGTACTGTATAACAGAGGATACATTTATCAATGATCGGGGTAGTAACTCTTGCTATTCATATCACAAAGTCGCTTAAATGCACTTGAACATGGAAGTAAACCTAGCAATCTTGGGAGATAAGAGATAGCGAAAATAGATCTGCCTGAGTCCTCAATCAGCCGACCAATCTGTATCACTTGAGGTGCAGGAACGGATCAAGTCACAAGAAACTACTCTCTCGCAAAGAAGGAAGGCTTCAAACTGACGATCTCGAACAGCATATATAAGGAGAGGAAGCGGGCTTGTTAAAGATAAAAGTCCGTTATCGAGCCTTACAGCTCATCTCTCTCATCTACATCGACTCTATAACCCAAAGCACGGAAGAGCCGTTGTGTTTTCCCTTCCTGCCGGTCGCATAACACAACTCCGCGGCTCGTTAAGTGACGTGTAATTGCCTCGTAAGCCTTCTGCTCCTTTTTCGGCGGTACCTTCGCCTCGACTTCCATCAGGTGCAGTGGTCCTGCAGCGACATCATCGAACTTCGCTTTATGTCCTTCAATCCGAATCTTCCACTTCGCATTGTCATACGGACCAAAAGCAGTAAGCTCCGTCCAGTTGATGCACTGATATCGCTCGGCGAGCTTGATCTGTTCGTTGCACCAGATGCTTGATCCGTCTTCGGGCAACGGACATCGTTTCTCGCAGGTAAAGGTGGCATTTTCTCCGTAGCGATCCCAAACGCACTCCGCCCAGTCTGGTACCTCGGAGGGTTTCTCATGAAACCGTACTTTCACGGTGGAAATCTTCTGGCCTTTCGAGGTCTTTTTCCGGAACATGATCCCGTTAGAGATGTATGTCGGAGGTTCGGTGTCATAGTATGTGATCGGATTTTGCTTGTATGGATCGGGGGTTCCCATTCCCAGTTTGCGGAGCACCTCTTGGGGGCTTGAATCGCAGATTGCCCATTGAACGTTCACTTTCTTCTTTGCTGCCGCGAAGGGGGTTGCCAGAAAGGCGAGAGCGTAATATATAAAGAAAAACAGCTTCATGATGGTGCGAGGTGATGCGTCAAAATTCAAATATATCACATCTGGGTATGACGATCGGATATTCAGAACAGTGTAAGATATATCTCCTGTATATGTTATGTTACGACAGTCACGGGGGCGGTGAAACGTGGACAGGAATAAAATCCGTCGGGATGGTGGTACACCAAGGTGCTTTTAAATGGTCTCTTTATTCAAACCAAAAATAATGCAATGCATTCCTCCAGTTCTTACGGATTGGGAATGATCGGCCCACCGGGATCCACCCCTAAGAATGACGGAAGTAGAAGCATCTCGGAAATAGTACTACTTCGCCTGGAGTACCCAGGTAAGTAAAGCGCAAGAATCGCACGGAGACAACATCTGGATACCGAAAATTGACACCGCAGGCTGGGTTTGATCTAATCTGTATATCTTAATAGAATGTTGACATCCTCTCAGTGCTTTGTCTGACGGTCCCTTTTAGGGATGCACGTGGCACGTGACCTGTGATATTTTCTCGGGCCGACTCTCCGACCACCCTTCTCACTGCTGTTGTTGGGACATACACGCAGGTTATTTGTATACGGAGACAAAATGGGTATCATCGACTTTATCAAGGATATCATTCGCCCCGGGAACGGGGTAGATTACCCCAAGAATGGCGATATGGTCACAGTTCATTACCATGGCTATCTTTACGACCCGACGCGATCGTGGAACCGGGGACGTCGGTAGGTTTTCACATCAATAAATTTTGCACTATACGTATAGCTCAAACGTATTCCACGTTGTTATCTAACTCTGCCCTTCGTCAATCAGTTTTGACAGCAGTATCAAGCGAGGCATCCCCTTCAAATTCCAGATTGGCATGGGCCATGTCATTAAAGGTAAGTAGTGTGAATCATTACATGAGGTTGTTGCGCACTAACCGCCATACTAGGGTGGGAAGTGGGCATTCTGGGCATGAGCCTGGGCGAAAAGGCTCTCCTTACCTTCGGGCCGTAAGTACCTCTCTATTCACGAACCTTAGCGCGCTTCTACTAATTGAACATTGCCGACGCAGTCATTATGGATATGGTGATAGGTATGTCATGTTTACATGATTCGATTCAATCCAATGTGCTTATAGAATCATCAAGGGGCGCTCCGCCATTCATCCCGGGTAATTCAACCCTTGTCTTGTAAGTTGTCCACTGTCCTCATCCCGAATCTGATAGGCTTACCATATCAATAGCAACGTTGAGCTGCTTGCTATCAATGGGCGGACTCTTCGGTCAGATGACTCTGATTAGGTGAGGGAACAAAAATACTGTACTTTTATGTTACTTGTATATCAAACCGCTGGATGGATTTAGAAAACGTTTCTATAGTGTTGTCCCAGTAGCAAAGCTTATCAGCGTCCAAAGCACAGATAACCATGAAAACCAACTAAACACAGAGTTGTTGGTCAAGGTGCTGTTGTAATACAACAACACAATGACCGTACGAAGCTTACAGGTATAGATATACATCATCTGCACCTGCCTTGAATTCCTAATCCTGTGAAAAGAACCGACATCCTAAGCAGTGACATATTGCGCCGAGCAAATAAACCAAAGTTCAGGCTGATATATCAAAACCCGCATCCTAGCAATGACAATCCCACAGTTCCGTTGATCATGATATCCTCGCTGCTCCGGACGCTGTCCCGTCGCAATGGAGACCTAGAGAGCTCCATCCAGCCTACATGGCTATTAGAAACGTGCTACAGAACCCCTCAACCTAGGATTCTATACACACCTCTAATTCTCCTTCTCGTACAGCGTAGCGAACCGGTCAGTACAGGAAGAGTCTTGGACCAGGCAGCCTGATCCAAGTCAAGAGCCTTGATCTCCTGACGTTTCTTGTCGGTCAATTGGTCTTTGCTGGATACCTACTGGACCTGACTCTGCAGGAGCGGCAGAGTAGCCTTGAAAGCACAGACACCATAATAAAATACTTCACACGGGTTGTTGCAGAGGGGTTTGCTGCCTTCGGCGGCGCAGTTCTTTTTCACCGGCGCGATGAGTTGAAGATTATTGCCGGTCATTAAGGAGCCCTAACAACACGAAAAGAGGCATATACAACGATCCACAAATCGGAGCTTCCCCATGATATCGATGTGCGATGGCCTCAGACGTTACATAGCTTCCGTAAAGCCTTATATCATGACAACGCCCCATCGTGATCGGGATAAATTTCTGCCGGCCCTACTATATAACGCTCTGACATGAATCTCGGACAGAGAAATAAATGGACTTTTCTAGCATGTTCAACACCTCCAGAGCTCGAGCACAACAATAAATCCCATATATACTGCGTTGCTGTGCACCAAGTGTCCTGTGCATGTAAGCAATCGATGACGCAGGGTGACTGGTAAGTGTCACACTCCATGATAGCAGCTAAAATTAGACCCTGACCCTACTTCAGCAACTCGGAAACCCTGCATTGCCGTCGTCGTTTGAACCCGACTCTCGGGTCTTCCGGACTCTATACATTTCCAGAATCGTCAGATGCCCCATAATGGCATACGTTTCCAAGGAAGACAGCAGACTGGCGTCCGGCGTGGTGGACGAGGTACACCTCCGGCTCAGCTATGTTACTTTACGTCTTCGTGAGTAGGCTGATTGCTCGTGGGATCATCCTATGGTCTCATACGTTATTCCTACCGATTATAGTAGTGGTGGACGGCGCATAGGTTGATCTGAGTTTTACTATCAACAACTCCCAAAGCTGTCCTCCCCGGATAGCAAAATATGATATGGGTCTGGGTATATGTCGGGAACAATGCGTTGGTCGCCACAATACATCTTGGTCAACAGCACGGTGTAGCTTCCTGCCATCCTTTCGCAAGGGCTTGCCGAGGGATTGTTCGTCTAGTATGGCACCTACCGGACGAAAGGTAGAGGTGTGTTTCGGCTAAACGGACGTTAAGCCTCACCTGAAGGGCACGGAAGATTCTTGCAAACATACCGGCGCCCTTTCTGCCTAGCGGAGATTAACACCAGCCATTGGTTGCTACAATGCTTTTCCCTCTATCGTATGTCTCTTAAGCGTGCTCTATCTCGTACACTGTACCCACTCTCTAACCTTGCGTCTACTAGCCATGATAAATCGATTGAACTGTTCATCTTCCGGCACCAACCGCGCTTAGCTTCCCTATCTACTGAGCGGCCTATCTTTCATACTATAATTTATGCTGTGGCAGAGCATTGACTAGGTGTCACAGTTTCCCACAATCCCTCCTACATACTCGTATCTACGTAGCAGCAAGGACTGGCCACGGCTAGAAGCGTCAACTCACGCATCTCATAAACAGCATGGACAAGCCCAGATCGAGCACTGCGGAGGTGGAGAGTATTTTAAATCCAAATCTAGGATGCGCTTCCATGAATTAGGTCATTCATCCCCATGGAAACCATATTGCGGTCATGACAACTGACGAACTCAGGTGCTCTGATCACAAGTCAAGAAGCGTAAGCTACTAGGATATTGACATTATTCCTAAGTTGCTACTACCGAATTAACGATCGGAAAGTCAATCCTTACTAGTGAATAGAACATTCCCTCGCCAAATACTTGCCCGGATGATCGTCATCAGGGCAGGATGATGCCATACTCCAAATCTGCACTCTCCACATTTCAATCAGCGAAGAGTCTTAGAATGGTATCGGCCGCAAAACCAGTGCGCCGAGAATATCTCCTAGCCCTATCAGCTGGTCTCTATATTTTGCTTTGCTTAAGCGTAACGGTGGATTGTGTATACCTCGTTAATATAGCGACTGCGTACTTACAGCCGTACCACGTCTATTCATCCAGTTCAATCGTCCTGGCGAGAAACATTGACAAATCCCAATCCTTCACAATAAACCTGTCCAACAGCCAAATATGCGCACCCCCAACGTTATCCTCCCCATTCTACCCCTGACCATTATGGCAATGCCCTCTACCATTCGAATCACCTAGATAAACGATCCATAACCTGTCTGAAAGTCGGCCAAACAGCAACAGAAACCTGGACCAACAGTGCCGGCAAAACCTGTTCTTTCTCGGTATAGTCGGCAGCAACTACGGTATCAACAACGCAGGAAGTGGAGAGTATGTTTCACCTTATCACTAAATATCCATATCAACCAACTAACCCACTTGTTTCGGGCAAAGTTACTCCTGCAACAGCCGCTGCGGCGCAGGATGCACTGGCAACGCCTCAGGTAATGTGTATACGCAGGACTGCTTTTCTCATGATATATGCTCGTATTTTAATAGTGTTAATGGGGGGTTGAGGTAGGTTTAATCCGTTGGTTTACTAATTTTCGAAGTGTAGTCTCTTATGAGTTGTCCTAGTGATCCGAACTGTGGTAAGGCATATGATGCCGCCGTGGATGATTTTGTCGGGGGAATGTTGGCGGGTTGCTCGCAGAGTAATACTATCAGTGCGATGTCGAAGCCGGGTTCGAGTCCTATGTGTACTTAGGTAGGGATTCTGTTCTTGTATTAGTCGACAATTGGGAACGGTGTACGCAACCAACGCATTCTGCTCTATACCTAGATATGAACTAAGTACATATGCTATGATGTAGTACTAGCTCACGCAACGTATGCCACTTCTATATCCCTGGCTTAAGCCTCTCTCACAGCTTCACCCGCCCATCGCTTTCTAACCTGGAAATATCCAACTCCAATCACCCAAAGCGAAATCAAAATCACCGCCTGAACAGGGGCAAACACTGCCCCTCGAACGACTATAAACCCACTAACCAGCGCGAAGATTATCGGAATCAGAACAAAGGGTTTATACGGGCGGCGCAAATCCGGTTCTCGAAACCGCAAGATAATAGCCCCTAACACGGTCAAGAAAAAGAACGAGTACTCGCCCAGTCCGTTGAGTGTGAGGAGGGCTCGGAAGTCGCCGAAAAGGATGTAGAGAATTGGTAAGATTGTGGATAGGGCGATGGCGTTGATCGGGGCGTCGGATTTTGGGGTTGGGGTACGTGAGTCGGCCGATGATTCAGTGGGTCTGTTCTCGTCGGATGGGATTCCTAGTTGACCGAGGAGACCTAGAAATCTGGGGAGCCAGTTCAGGTTAGATGCTGCAACGACCATGCGGCCGGCTACGAAGGAGTTTCCGAGTAAGGACCCCGCGACGACGAGGCAGATTAGGATTGCGGCGATAATGCCTGCTGCAGGGCCTAGTAGATGGGTGATGGCGGTCTTGTCTATAGTTAGCTGTGATTGGATCGGGGAGAAAGAGCACATACCACGGCGACACTATCGGTTGTTGACACCACGCTCCACGGGAGTAGGATGTAGTAGGTGGTATTGGCAGCAAAGAAACACAGAATGACGATCGGAATCGCGGTATTGATGGCGAGGGGGAGCTGCCTGGCCGGTGCAGAAAGCTCTGCGGTGACATAGATCGCCTGTCGGTCAGAATGTCAGTATAACGTCAAGAGTCATTCTCTCGGGGTGGGATACACACCTTGTCCCAGCCGGAATACGCCCACAGGGCGCCATAGAGAGCGGCGGAATAGTGACCGAGCATCGTCCATCCGGCCAAGTCGCTCCAGTGAATCTCTGTTCCATCTGGGGCGATAGTGTCCCGGAACCCAAACCACGACTTGGTGTACCAATCTGTGGCTGGCGCCTCCCATTCTTTGCTAGCTAGGTGAACGATCACAACTAGAAGGCCCGCGATCACAACGCCCGCAATTGTGAGGAACTTCGTCGTCACGAAGAAACTACCTAGGCGTGTGCTAACTTTGGTGCTGATCGAGTTGGCCACGCTAATCGTAACCAACACTATGATGGAGAGAAGCTTGTGTTTGATCGTGTCGGCCTCGTTCACTACCCCAATGGCGGAGTAGATGCTTTCAATGAACACGATACTCAAGATGGCGAGCGTCGCGGGCATAACCGCGATAATCCAGGTCCATGCAGCGAGAAATCCAAAAACATCGCCAAAGATGTATTGCAGATAAGGTTGCACGCCTCCTGTGTATTGCGTTAAGCTGTCTCAATATCGAATAAACAAGCTTGATATGAGAATGCCCACCTTCCCCGGGGATCGCCGTGCCGAGTTCAGCCATAGTTGTCGCCCCCGTCCACGCCAACATTCCCCCCACTAACCACACAATGAGAGCAACGCCGGGGGAGGGAACATTGGTATCAATCGAGCCAGGCGAGGTGAAAACCCCACTGCCTATCACAATACTTATGACGATGCCAAATGCTTCAAACGCGCCGAGGTTCCGTGTGAACGTGGCGCGTTGCGCTCTATCCGCCGGGCTTCTCGCTGCGGATCCATAGCCTATCTCTGATTCATCGGTGAGGAGCGGCCTTTCCGCGCCATCGTGTGACTCGGGATTCGGGGACATGGTGGGTGATACGTAACAGAATAGTTTGATGGAAAAGGTGCAAGCAAGGGAGGAAAGGAGACGAGAGAAGGCGGAAATTGAGATAGGATAGATCACGCCATCAGCCGATAAAACTCCTCATTATTGCATGAATTTCCCCGCATCGCTTGGCTCACCGCATAGTAGAGATCTGGAGTAGATCCATCTTGGATGGTTGTGGAGATACAATTCGAATACAGAAAAGATAATAATAGTAACAAAAACAGAGTCTGGTAACTTCCCGCAACCCTAAGCTTACCAGAGAGTCTAAACACCAACCCCACTAGGAATCTCCAACGGTAATCGAGATATATCTCCTATCTGTGGTATGATTTTTAGGTGTTATCAAAGAGAGTACAGAATGTAAGTCTTCCAGCCCTTGACCATCTGGTGATAAATCCCGCGCAGACATATTAAAAACAAGCAAAGGAGAAGAGAAATTGAACCTATCTGAGTATACTCCTGTAAAAAGCATAATCGTCTACCTGATATGTGGGAGTTTCCCAGTCCGTGTCGCAGAAAATGCCTCCGGAGGTAAAAATGCCAGTAAACGGAGGGCCTCGATAAGCGCGAAGTCTCTCGCAGCGAAGAACACCGCCATCAATATAATGTTCATGACACCCGCGACATTCTCGTGAAGTCACACACTGTTTCCATTTTTCACAACCTTCTTGGTTACCACACCCGTTGTGTAATTCAGCGCATACATAGCCGGGATGGCCATCGCGGTTACGGTGGAGCTCACCTGCCAGAGCAGCCTCGCGACTTCAGTCGGGAAAACAAAGTCCCAGGTGACGCCTTGCACATGGCTAACTTGGCTCGCAAGCTGCCCAAGGCTAAGTGAATCACCAGCTGGACTACACCTTGGCTTGTCCAAGCATTATTGTTGGTGTCCAGTCATACCGTAGATTCCCAAGCGCATGTATCGTATATTGCTTCGTAGTATCCCCCACGTATGTGTATATTTTCAAAATAGCCCTATGAACCATGGTTATCATTGGTCAGGATAGATTTAAAGCATACAACGCAGTCATCCACATCATATCTGATTGTACCTGGATTATCCCAAGAGCATCGGCTCATGAGATCAAGTAGCTGTGACCAGTTCGCGTAGCAAAGATATTGTTGGTGTAAAGCAAATGCATTGCGGCCCGAGTACAGCTTGAGGCAAATCACAGAGGCTAAAACAGTAGGTGATATGCTTACTTTTCGAAACGAGCGGTAATTGGATAGGGCTTCATTTTTTTTTTTTTGTCGCGGACTCAGCCTAGCAGCAACCGCACAGGCCAGATTACGCAGCGAAATAGGCTGTAGCATGTCGGCATGTCGAAAGAACTATCGCATAGTCAGATTAACGCTCTGCCTCTGCGCCCCCACTTCTTGGACTATAACGTTTTTAATAGGCTCCTTTACTCCATGTCCTTGAGAGTGTGTAGAATAGGATATGAGACCAAAGCTAGATGTCTAACTTCCACTGTTTACTTTATTACACTTTATCAATAATAATTGCCCGCAAAAGGTATATCCTACCCTCTATTTACTTGTGTGCATGGTGTCTGCTTCCTTATCACCTACTAACAATTAGGGAACTAGATCGGTTCTCCCTAAGTTAGCTCTATCCTTTGTGTTTGTTTGCCTTCCAGTTCTTTCTTTGGATTTTAGAACTGTATTGTACCTTAGATTATCTTAATATGGTTGGATCACATTGTCCTTCGCTTAGACCATGGGATGTTAAAGCAGACTTCACTGGGTGATATACATGCTGACCAGAAGTACGCGGGCGAGGACCTAAATGCGCGATAAGCTGAACTAATAGGAATGGTAGGTCCCGTTCATAATTGCCGCAAACCGCGCATGGGCAGACCATAGTGCCTGTAAATCATTTCATATTCCAGAAGATGGTGAAGCGTGAATGGCTCGAGTAATTATCCTAGAGAACCAAAGAAAATGCAGAGCGAAACATCGCTAGCACAAATCGGCGTAGTTGGTTTCACCAAGATGGAACAGTTGATTGACGATAATCATGAAGCAGGTAAAACTATCCTCATTTCCTCACTGAGGACCTGCCTTATTCCACCTCTTAGCATTCCAGGACATACTCAGTGCTTCTCCGCTCACCACTTTACCCTTCACAACCCCCCTCCACCCTTTTCAACGCATCCTCCCAAGCCTACCACCGGCAAACACAGTGTCCCCTGTTGACGCGACAGCCACAAACTCGGAAAGGTTGGCAGATACAGTGGTTCTCTTCACACCGTCCCACACACATTCTCTGCTGTAATTACAGTCAGCAAGTCAACTAAAGATGTGTATACAAATTGAAGAGAGCACGACTCGCCTGCAAGCCGTCGCTCGCCAGAGAATCCATTTGGTTAGCAGGACTCATATTCTCCGAAAGTGCCGCAGACATGTCGTTAGGAATTGAGGCGGCCTGTGCGATCTGCGAGAAGAAGCTCAGAAGGGCAAGGAATGTAGCGCTGGATTTCAAGAACATTTTTGCTGGAACGCTCGATCAGGATATACGGTAAAGCGAGCTTTGTGGCATTCCAGTTGCTGATAGTGGAAATATGCGTATGAGGAAGGGGCAATCAGAAGGAGATATTTATCCTCCTCCTGAAGTTATAATTCTGTAATATTCACTGCTATGGCCTCGGCATCACCGTGGGCAGCCATAGGGTGAATACATGCTGGTTGCCTTGGTGTATCATGGCGTGCAATTTTTCTCCTCGTCGATGGAATATTTTGGTTCGAGACCTTCAAAAAGTGCATGAATCAGTCTTCCATGCTAATGTGTAATGCAATGACAGTTACTCGGTACGATGCACCAAGACGACATAGCTGTCGCTGATATCTAATGACCTATGCAATGGCAAGTGTGAAAGACAGATGCATAGCCCCAAAGTGTGAATAGAAACAGTATGAATATTGCACCGCAGTCAGTCCAGACTATGCGTGTGTGTGTGTGTGTGTGTGTGTGTGTGTGTGCCGCTGTGATTGAAAACTCCCTCCAGCCCGTCTATTCCTGCCAGTCCTTTAAACTATGCCGTATTTGTGTGACCTCGAGACCCGACTCCTCCTTTGATGTGGAAGATGTCTTGGATATGGTAAGACTAGCCCCCACGCCTACGGTCTGCTGTACTACCCTCTAGCCTAATTATATACACGGGTGCACCCTTCTCATTGACTGTCCTCCTTGTCCTAACATTTCGGAGCCCATGTAGGGTCCAGCCAAGAGGCCGGTCGACGTTCTAAACCAGGTCAAGTAGCGTTACCGTTGCAGTACATACTTATTTGTCTAGATTATTACCCCTCGACGAAAGGTAAATTCGATGGTTAGACTTTTGTAGTGGCATTATTCATGAATGATATACCGGAGACGATCTCTACCATTGTACTAGTAAACTGACCGGCAGCCCGTGTTCCTTGATGATGCGGTGGACTTTGATTTCCACATGCTTTCACGAATAAACTCACCGTACGAAAGTCACTTGTTTCCTTTTTAGGTTTGGGGACCTCCATCTGCACGTCATCTTTCGGAGGGTTTGTCACTCAAAAGGCGTTGACAGAAAAGGAATAACTCAGCTAGCCAAGGGCATGATGATTTCGTTGAAGTCGGACAGTCGGCTGTACTACAGTGAAAGGGGCTCATGTGCCGAGCCGTGTGTTCAGCAGCCACCGGTATGTCAGATATGATTCAGATGGTACATCGGCATCCCCGCGGGGTATATCGACGTTTACTGGTCAGCTAGTGATGGCAGTGAAGAGGCTTTAGGGAGTACGAGGTAACTTGAGATGTCTCATACCCCGCAATAGACATGGATACGCTGTCAACGGAAGGTGTGAGACCTGATATCCGGCAGATGAACATCGGGTGTACTTCAACCGTACGCATCAAGTGATGCCCTTTAGCACTTGACCGTTTCGCGGTACGACCATACTATTTCAAGCCACCCCAAATTGATAAAGGGTATTTCGGTAGGGGCAGAGGCTGTCGTAGAAACGGCGATAGGGCCTAGGTAAGAAGTAGATGCCACCGGACCTACGACGACCTAGTGCAGCGTTCGATGTTCTGGAAATCAAGAGATGATAATGGTGGCAGCTCCTATGAGATTAGGAGCAACTCAATTTCAATCGTAACCTAAAATCATGTTGTATACATGATTATTTTCGATTTATATGATCTTATACTTTAATACCACCGCACAAGTACTGCAATGCAACCGTGTCTACAAAGTTGGCGCAAGGGGTACATCACAAGACCAGAACAATGTAACATTGGCCTGGTCTATAAACCTTGTCTGCGAGACACATTGGAGATTCACAGCTAGTCTGCGCTTCTGATGTAAATGATATCGTCCGTTGATATTATGGAATGCGCCTGGAAGAGCGGTTTGGAAGCCCGTGTGCCGCAGCCTTCGACTCGAGATGCGGGCAGTGCCTCTGCCATCACACACGATAGTGAATCCATCGGTGGCTGTTTAAGCTCAAGTCGAACTCAATCACATTTTTTATCCAAGACCAACTATGCGATTTTAGGTTGGATGGGGGGTTAAGTTATTCTGGGTAGACTCTTCCCCCGCGGTGGAAGATAGTTTGAAGCTTCAGGATGTATCACATCAATATCCATCACCATGATTCGTAGAATCGAGCTTTTCACTTTCTACACGGCTTCGCTTCAGGTTGGCACATGCACTTGGAGGACATCATGATCGAGGTATAAATATGGCACTTATCTCCCGGGAAAACACATCATTCATACAATCAGCCAAAGTACTCAGTTCGACTCAATACTTTCTAAAGAATTCCTCAAAGCCAACAACTTCTCAAAATGAAGATCGCCTTTATTCTCGCCGCCTGTGCCGCGCTCTCCGCAGCTGCTGTTACGGAGTCTCAGAACTTTGCAACCACGGAAGCCATGTCTCTCGTCGAGGATGTCTTCGCGTTTAGCACCAGTGAGCCAATACGATACATTCCATGCGTGTACTGTAACTGTGACTGACTGATTCGAATAGACCCCGATGATGGGTTGCAGCGCCAATGCGGTGGCCTTACCCCGAGCCAGTGTAGACGGATTTGTGGCCAACTTGGCTACCGATGCTGGCGCTGCACTGGCTCTGCCTGCATCTGCTCCAACACCGGCTGTTAAGCGAAACGAGTCAGGAGCATATCGCTCAGCCTTCCTGGGCTATCTCCGGGACCTTTTAGCATGGCTCGAGGCCAGCTACACAAGTGAGAGGAGTATTTATGAGGCACCCACCTGGGCAAAATGTTGCAGCTGGATAGTTTGTTTTCTGTCACTCGTTCTTCCATCGTCCGTCAGTTGTAAGTAGTGGAACATTCCTTATTATTCTTTGAATTATAGTATTACGCCCAATACTGTATGTCTCATGTAATATCAAGGGCCACCTATGTAAAACACGCCCTTTTCGGTAGCTGTCATTGCTTTCTACAGGAGCATAACTTAGGGTTAGAGGTTAAACCGTGGCTTGGCCCTATCTTGCTTCCCTTCACGTAATACAAGGTAATATATAACAATTTTGCTTGAACTCAGTACTCGGTCGTTAAAAAATGACTATTATACAAAGTTTTATGATACCAAACCCACTCTGGTTTAGACCTTTATTCAAGTTACCGTAGTGACCTGCTGTACAAAGCTTGAGTATACGAGACTATACTTTCACACCAAGTCTCCCATTTTCACCCAGATTGTTGCTCAGACAAGTAGAATAGTGTGGGCAACCATCACATCTCCAGAAACACAATTCCGTACGAAATGGTGGAAGCTGCCGCACAGACTGAGATTATCACTACTGCCATGTTATGTTGCACGAAGACTATGAAGGCATTATAAACGTGAGATCTGGGGATTAATTGCGAGATCTAAGGCTTAGTCTCATGTCCTTCCTCAGGGGGATGTTATTATCGTGCTAAGTTCCCACCTGACATGCTCTGGTAAGTCACCAGATATCAGTCCGTACTAGGGTATGCGGATCCCGCTTATTCGCTTCTGTCAACATCCCTATACCAAATCTCAAGGCTGCTGGCTTCTGCTTAGGAGTTGGTAGATTTGGTGTGGCTCCCGATGGCGATTCTGGTATGCTCCGAATAGATGCTTTGGGCACTGCTCGCGATTTAGATCTCGACCAGCATTCTCGTGGCTATATTACAGGCCTGGCTATCACAGGTTAAGTGTTGTTGATACCCTTGCAGCGACTGGGAGCAGTGGCAATGGGTCTTGTGACTCCCTGTTCTGCCTCGTCTCAGCTGGCCTTTCAGCTGACTTAGAAGAGCTACTGCCTTGGTCGTTTGACGGAGAAGAAGCAATTATAGTACGTCATCGAAACACGAGAACGTTCTACATCACCTGGCAATGCTCATCTTGAACTGTGTTCTTGAGTCGGTTTCCCTAAAGACGTTTGATGGTTCCCTTTAGCTCGAGCATCAACACAAAGCATTTCAGAACTCGACCCATCTACCTGGCCGTGTACTATTCTTCTTGTTGTCTTTCGGGATGCCCTTGGCTACCACGGTTCCTAATCAGCCGCTGATGGACGAGGTGCGCCAGTCTTTAACACGCGCCGCTTCTTATTCCCTTAACCGAAGACATGATGATGGCCACTGGCGTGGAGAGATGATGTCCAACGCGACCATCACGGCGGAGTATGTTATGTTGCGACAGGCACTGGGTCTAGACATGTCCGTCGATCGCGAAGCACTGATCTCCTGGCTCCTATCCGAGCAGAGCGACGACGGATCGTGGGCACTTGCGCCAGAGTCTCCTGGCGATATCTCCACGACCACGGAAGCATACTTTGCGCTGAAGCTTCTCAGGGTTTCGCCAGACACGCCTTCCATGGCTAAAGCCCGCCGCTTCGTCATCACTGCCGGTGGCATCGCCAAGGTTCGCATGTTCACCCGTGTGTATCTGGCGATTTTCGGTCTGTTCCCTTGGAAAAGTGTGCCGGAGATGCCCGCCGAGCTTATCCTTTTTCCTACAGCTGTGCCGATCAATATTTACAGGTTGGCCTCCTGGGCCCGCAGTACGGCTGTCCCGTTACTGATCATTCGCCATCACCGTCCCGTATATCCTCTTCCCGACAGACATCCTTTGCCCGCCAGCGATTTCCTGGATGAGCTGTGGCGTAACCCTGCGAACAAACTGGTCCCCTATACCCCATCACTCTGCGAGCTGCTGCGCACTGATCTTGTGGCTTTTACGTTTGCCTTACTTGACCGTGTGCTCCATTGGCTAGGTGGTCTAAGGCGTTTCCCTTTCCGATCGTGCGCCAGGAAGAAGTGCATCGCGTGGATCCTGCAACATCAGGAACCCGAAGGAGACTGGGCGGGGATCTTCCCTCCCATGCACTTGGGTATTCTGGCCCTGGTCCTAGAGGGTTTCGGGTTAGGCCATCCCTTTATCCGCCGCGGCCTGGAAGCGATTGAGCGGTTCGCATGGCGTGACGATAAAGGGAAACGGATCCAACCCACTGTCTCGCCGGTCTGGGATACCGTCTTGACGACCATTGGTCTCTGTGATGCGGGCCAGAAAGTAGACCTCTCTGCCAGTATGCAGTGGATCAAAGCGCGGCAGCTTCTCGGGCCCCAGGGGGATTGGCGAGTTGTGCGACCCAGAGCTACTCCTCGGGGATTCAGCTTTGAGTACTTCAACCGGTGGTATCCGGATGTGGATGATACGGCTGCTGCTATTTTGGCGATGGCTAAGTGTGATCCGGACGGTATAGAGTCACCATCCGTTCGGAGGGCAGCAGAATGGGTCCTCGGCATGCAGAATGCCGACGGAGGCTGGGGTGCCTTTGATGCGGAAAACGATGCGCTCTGGTTGAACAAGATACCGTTCAGTGACATGGATGCACTGTGTGATCCCTCCACAGCGGACGTGACGGGTCGGATTGTAGAGGCCTTCGGCCTGCTCATGCAACGCCGTGACTCTGCTGCAGGATTCGAGCTCACCACGGAGTTAGTTGGTCGGATGAGATCGGCCGCTGACCGCGCCATCGCCTTCCTTGTTTCAATCCAGGGAGCAAAGGGGGCGTGGTTCGGCCGCTGGGGGGTCAATTATATTTATGGAACAAGTAATGTCGTCTGTGGCATGGCGTACTTTCTGGACGAGGGCGCGGAATGTATTTCACGGGCGATCGAGTGGCTCAAATCTATTCAGAACCATGATGGCGGATGGGGTGAGAGCGTGATGTCTTACCGAGATGACCAGCTCGCTGGCCACGGTCCGTCCACCGCATCCCAGACCGCATGGGCACTCATGGCACTGCTCGCTGTGCTCCCGGCGGAGGATTTGTCGATCACTGAAGGAGTTCGGTATCTCCTCCGTACGCAGACTTTGTCAGAGCACGCCGGGGAGGCGTCGTGGCCCGAGTCGCTGTTCACCGGAACGGGAGTCCCCAAATTCTTTTATCTGGGATATGCGCTCTATCCACATTATTTTCCCATGATGGCTCTTGGGAGATATTCTCGCGCCATCTAGTCGTCGCATAATCCCAATGGATTGCACAGGTTCCGACCAAGTAACTCGAGCATAACACAGATAAGAATGGAATAAGCATGGGTATATATTAATTAGATGCTATCATTAATTTTACTTCTTGCAACTAAGACTATTATTGAATCATTTGAGGGTATAGTGCTTTTATGGACGGAAAAGAGATGAAGACGTATTACCAATACCCTCCCGATATAGAAGGGACGCTCTAGGTCTGGATGGGCAAATTTGACTGGCGAGAGAATCAAGATTCCCTGCGCGACCCAACGGTTTCCGCGGCGATTTCATTCTCATCGTCCCTTGGGTCCTCGGCCCTCTCATAGATGGGCGCGAACTTGCTCTTCATGCGCAGTCGCTTGCCAAAGAAGTAGAAAATCACCGGAATCGGTACCAGGATTGCGGCGACACACCCAAGAAGCGTCGAGGCCCATTGGATGCCCATGTTGTTGAACATTTGGCGCGAGAATAGCGGGAAGCTAGAGGCCACCAGGGAACGCACAAATGTGTTGGCTGCGATGGCCGACGCCGCAAACATCAGATACGTGTCAATCAAATAGTTGAACAGTTGGATAAAGATGATGAGCAGGCCGAATCCCGTGAAGAGACCACTCAGCGTGGGCACGATCCATGGGATTTTATCCGTAAATCCGGTCCAGCCAAACCAGAACAGTCCCGCGGCAAACAGAGCTCCGGCCGCGATCACCGGGGGAAGTCGCCATTCCGGGATGGGAATGCCCCCGTTTGCTTCCAGCTTCTTGTTGTAGGAGCGGCTGGACACGATGATGTATCCCGCTGCGATGAACAGGCCCACTACCATGCCGAACAACGGCAGTCCCCCCACGCCAGGGTTCATGCCATGGACCCCTTGGAACACCAGGGTGTAGGCCGTCAGGAAGCAATAAAGTAGGCCATAGATAAAGCTGAGGTAGATGGTGACGGCTAGGATCAAGGGCTCGTTAATCAACAGACGTAACGGACGGGAAAAGTTGTTGACGAGCAGGTCGCGCAAGTCAACTTCAATCTCCTCCTGTTTGGCGTGGATACCCCAGTTCTTCGTCCGACGACGCAGTTCGGCGGCCTTGGCGATGAGCACGACCGGGGGATACGACTCCTTGAGAAAGAAAACATTCAGCAGGAAGGCGAAGAACCCCATGAAGGCGGGAATATACGCGGTATATCGCCAACCCAGATAGGACATATTAATGAAACCACCAATGAAGGGGGCTAGGAGCGGACCCAAAAACACGGTGCTCGAGAAGATGGCGATCGCCACACCTCGGGTGCGATTATTATAGATATCAGAGAAGACGGCAGCAACGACGGCCAGGGGACAACTGCCAAAGATGCCGCAGAAGAAGCGGCAGATCATGAGGGTTTGCAAATCTTTAGCGACGGCGACGGCGATATTGAAGATACCGAACCCGAACATTGCAATGATGATTGGCAGGCGACGGCCCTGGAGTTCCGACATAGGAGCCCAGATCAAAGGTCCGGACGCATAGCCAATGATGTACAGAGAACTGGACAGCGTCGAGACTTCGATGCCGACACCGAACGCCTGGGCGACATTGCGCGTGGAGGCGCTGAAGACGGCTGAATCGAATGTGGAACAGATACTGGTGAAAGCGAGGATGGCGCTGGTGTAGACCCTAACACACAACGAGACTCATGAGCACATGCGCACACGGTGCCAGGGCCGGGGGAAGGGACATACTTTCTACCCAAGGGCCAGTTCTGGGGATATAGAGGATCCTCTGTCCCATCGAACTCCACCACGTAGTCCTCCCGGGCCGGTAACGGGGGCGGATAGGGCTTGCCGGCGCCAAATGGGGGCAACGGGGCTCTGGATGGGTGCGACTTGACGCTTTCGCCGACAGTCAGGGCATGCTGGAGTCGTTGGGTGTTGATGCGACTCAAAGCATCGGACGCTCGGGTAGCATGGCGCTCGAGATCAACCTCGGTGGCTCGGGAACGAAGGGTATGCAACTGGGGATCATAATCAATAGAGCTCGAGGATGTCGAGCCAGTTGTATCTGACGTCGGAGGTCTGTCTGTGTATTCGGAAGACTCCAAACGTTCTTTGCTGTGACCCAAGGTCTCATCGCCGTTCCAATCATTGACCATGGTGACCGACGGCGCAAATGAGAGGATTGTTGTCTCTTGACATGGAGAGCGAAAAGGAAGATCTCCCAGGCTTTATGACGAAAAGCGACTGCCTGGAGATTAGAAATGGGAACAGCAAAGAAGCTTTTTTTCCTTTTTTTCTTTTTTCTTTTTTTTTTTCCTTTTCTCTTGTGCCTGCCGACTTATCCGTTCCAGACCCACTATACCACGTTCAAAATTCTTTGCCTCCCAATTGTTGCCCGGAGGATATCGTCAGCGAAATGGTTGCGGCGGCGGAATACGACACAGAGGTATTTGACTCATTGTCTTTTCTGATTTGATACTCGTTGATCAGCATTTGTCCGACCTGAATCGCGACGATGTGATGCATTAGTGATGGTGTTTTGCGGGGAGGAAGTCCCTGACGTCATGCACTCCGTCCTCATGCCGTTTTTGACTCTGGTTAGGAAGAATTTAGGAGGAGGTTCCATGGTCCATTACTAAGTAGTAAGGAGGTGTGGATACTCCCCGGCAGTGGCAGTCGGAACAATTCCCGTCCCGTGCTAGATGATCACCCGCAGGATCTCCGAGATAAACATCAGATCAGTCAAGAGATCAATCATCAGTAGTACTAAAAACACTTCCTATCAGCAGTTGAATGCATAAAGCATTTTCATTAACCACGGTGAGGACAGGGTTGCAATGCTTAGTAAAACCTCGCACTGTTCTTGGGTCTCCATCCACACATACATAGATTCGCGTGTAGCATTCTTTTACTAAGATATATATCGAGAAAGAGCAATATATGGTAATGTACTTCGCAACTCATCACAAGATGGCACAACCAAACGATGAATGGAGCTAGAGGAAGTTGGCAGATACATGCGTTTGAGTGAGACAGACGCATGTCGTACTATCAATTGACAATTACAAGTCAAACGGTGAGGGTCACGTGGGGCCTGGCATTCTGGTCACATGGAGTCCCATTGCAGACCCTTCCTCAATAGCGACTTTAAGGAACAACAGCGTATTACCCCCAATGGTCGGAGCCCCGGACAACGGGTCAACAGGGTGTGTATATCTCCCGGTAAGTGGGACGATGATCCCTTGCAGTTGTGCAGTTTACATTTAAAGAGTCTAACGGGTAGTTACCTATAGACGCATGCATGTGGACAGCCCACAACACGAGTCAACGCAGCGCAGTGAAATACTAGTAGCCGTGGAAAGATAAAGAAAGCGCTTATATGCAATGGCTAGTGGCATACACATGAAGATCTCGATCGGTAGCCCGCTTAATAAGGAAAGAGCGAAGTTGGATGGATTCAATATACAAGGGAGATACAAGTTGCTCCGGAGCATGCATTGAGGAATCGAGGTGAGCAAAAGTAGAGAGGCGTTAATGGAAAGTGACTAGGCCGTCCAGGCCAAGCTGGGCGAAGAGGGCTGACGACTGCGTGTACTGTCTGCATTGCCCAAACTTAGACGCTCGTACTTTTCGAGCATGTCACGGACCCCCGACGCTGTGTAGTTCCATGGATCGCTCGAAAAGCTTCCCCGATATCGCTCAAGCCCATCGGTATAGTCGCCCCGTCGATCCGGCAGGTGGGATGGCGGCTCTCGACCAAACAGCTCTTTAATGTCGGCGGGCACGGCGTCCGACTGCAGCACCCGCTCGTCTTGGTTGCGAGAATGTACAGACTGCCGGAAGATATGAAACAGAAATCGGCCGACCTGTGAACGGTTGGCTGAAGTGGAGAACGCACTCGTCAGGGATAAGAAGTCGTGATCGAGGATGTCGAAGGAGGGGTGATCAAGCATGGTGAAGAGCGCGAGCACCATTGCGTAGGTCGCGAACTGATGGGCGCGGTCCATGCCGTATTCTTCTCGATGTATGCGTGCCAGAGAAGAGATTTCTCGCGCGGCTACGAGACTAATCTCGTGCGCGGACTCGTCCATGGTCCGTCGCTGCTCCTCTGAGTCGAGAAAGAACGACTGGACCCCAAAGCCATCCCGTGACAAGCCGATGATGAGTGCCTGGTATCGCATCCTGGTACAGGGGAGACCCGTGTATTTAGTTATTTACCGAGGAACAGTGGCAAGGAAGAGACGAACCTCAGTAGGATGATATGGGGTGGTGGTCTCTTGGCTTCGCGCAGGGTTACCGGAAGGCTTCGCTCCCATTGGCGGAGCTTACTGTAGAACTCTTGTTTGTGTCGATACTGATCGGCTTGGCTGGTAGTCTCTTGGTACAGGTGTCGCGAGATATCCCGTGCAATATACGATAGCTTACAGGCCTCATCGAAGTACTGGCTCAGCCATGACTGCCGGGGCCTCTTCTCCGTCGGATACGGAACCCACAGGTCTCCCGGGCCGGACTCATTGCGATCGATACGATCGAGACTGACGCTGGTGACACGGTTCGGTTTCAGAAAGTTCGTGTGAACGACTCTGGAGTTGCCGGGACATTAGTTACGGTGGGATCCGAAAGATGTCGCAAGCACAACCAGGTCGCGCCGATATGAGCTGGGCTATACGTACGTGTCCACCTGAAACAACCCCCACGCCGTTCGCGTTACGGATGTGATCATTTCATCTGATAGCTGCATTTTGCTTAAATCGAGCGGGTCATGGTTGATGAGCCCTAGTGACTCTCCCATGTCGATTGCAAGATTGAGCATCGTGTAGCCTAGATCATCCTCGCCCGACATGGCATACCTGGAAGAGTGAGATTGGGCTTCTGACGCTTCCGGGAAAAGTATACTGACGGGCGCTCACCTTTCATATAAGAGCAATGCGCCTTGCAAGGAAGCCAGCCTGACCCCCTCACCCTTTTCTAGTTGGTAGCTTGGTAGATACCGCTCCGCTTCGGCTAGAAATTTGCGGCCAGTGATGGAGACATCTCCAGGTACCGCATACGATTCGGAGTACTGCGAATAGTACTGCTCAGTTCGCGACGATTAGTATGGTGCAAACAGCCTCAGAATGGAGTATTCGAGTCCATACGCATGCGTTGGCGAGGAGAGCGTTCACAAGGAACGGGCTACAGAGGTCCGAGTCAACGTTGCCAGCTGTCATATGGCGAAGGAATGCTTTTGAGTCGACGAAGGCGTAGAATGGATAATCCCAGGTAAAGTATAAGGAAACCAGGTGGGAGACTAGGTTGTCATCATCCGTCACGGTGGTCCATGGTTTGGCTGGCACACGATATGGAGTCATGTCGCACAAGTACTGAACGTCCATTACCCTTGGCCGAGATGGGGGCCCTCCATCTTCCACATCAATCCGGGTTCGGAGACTAGAGAGATTCCTGATCACCTCGCTCCCCTGACCTGAAACTTGCACCTCGCTCAACGTCCTGTCAAGGTACGACCGAAGTTGTTGCAAGGAAGAATCCTCCCGCAATAACTGGAACAGCCTTCGGGCATGTGGTTCGTCCACGGATCGTATGGCCTTGAGTAGATCAAGGAGGAGGTCCTGGTGAAAGCTACGTTGGTCCATCTGTCGCGCCGTTGCCGGTCATGGGAAGTGTCCTTCGAAACTACTCGTCGAGAATGGGGAGATCGATAAAATGCTTTGATCGACCACTACAGCCATCAACACGCACGAGTCAGTTTTCTCTTATCTAGTACTTGAGTTTTAGAGCATAAACATCCGGGCCAACTTTATGCCCAGCACGGCTCGGAAGCCGAGCTATCGTTGGAATCCTTCCCAGTTCTGACTTACCGGGGGTATGTCCCTAGCCGCTCGTACTCTACCAGATTAACAGTGGGTCTGACATCGAGGGGTATTCGAGAGAAAAGAAGAAAAAGAGGAAGAACTAGGATATACTTCTAGGGCTTGTTTTCGTGCCTGGGGCATGATGAATGATGACGTCACTTAACCTCCTTCGACTTTTTCGGACGTTTTGTCAAGTTTGATCACTTTGTTTTCAACTCTCGTTGCAAACATCGATTAGTCATTCTATAGTCCGATATCTCTCTCTACATCTAGTACAACTGATGATCCCAGCGACTATGCCGTGTACTCCAAAAAAGCAATTGACCCAACTTGGGGGGAATTTCTCTTCTGATAGTCTGTGGGACAATCGGGTCCGGTTCAGCCAACCGAGATATTTACCATGGAGTACACTCTTTGTTTGGGAGAACCGTCATTTAATAAAAAAATAAATAAAGGGGAAAGGAAGAAACCCGGTATGAGGAAACGTCTTCTTCCATCCCATGCCGGAACGTGGCATGGATGAGTAGAACGGCTCAATTGTGACCGCGCGATGTCGCATCTGGCACAAGGTGGAGCTTTACAGCCCAGGGCAAAACGCTGCATGATGCTGCAGCCCAGGGACCTGGCGCTAAAATTAGAATGAAAATTTTGACCTTCCCATCACTTTGGGAATATGCTCCCTCGGTCGGACGACAGTCACCGCACTACTGCAACTAATGGGTTGAGCATCACGGCCTGGACCTCGTATTTGATTTCCAGTCCTTTGCTTCAATTGCTGAGATAACTGTGACCAAGCTTCGTGCTGGAGACCTGATGTATCCCATTGCCAAGACCCGGCTTTCGCCCCGGTCGCGCCAATGGTTTCCGTGGCCCAAAGACAATTGTCTCGCCCCCTTTTTCTTCATTCGTTCGGTCTCAGCGCAAGAGGGTCTTGCAAGCTGACATGCATCCCGCAAATTCCTCTCTCCAAACTTGAGCCATTCGCTCGAGACTTCTAGATTTGCCGCAGCTGGTTCGATGCAACCATGGATATCTATAAAGGGCGTTCGGGTTGCTTCTCATTCATGCTCTTCCACCGCAGTTCTCTCTTCTCACTTGCACACTCAGCTCCATTAACCACCTTCGTAGAGAATCTATCATTCTCACCATGTTCTCCACCATCTTGACCAGCTTTTTGGCTCTGTCCTCCTCCGCGACCGCCCGGACTGTGGAAACACGATCTCTAGCGCCTCGCTCCATCACTCCCCCGGAGGGCTGTCCCATCCCGACCTGGAAGATCGATAACTTTCGCTGGTTTAACGGCTCCCATAGCTTGGACTGCATCCATAGCGACGTCGACAGGAACGCCAAGGGCTGTCTCTGTGGCCGGGGATGGTGCGAGCCCAACCCAGACACCTGCAACGGTTCCATGGTGAATGTCTGCTGGACAGGCATGCCGAACTACGAGCCCTGGGGCTATGGCCCTGCCCAGACACTGGACATCCATTTTGAGGACGGTCTGCGCTGCGCCGACACCTACATTGGTTACCGTATTCACGATATTGCACATGGCGAGACCAACTGCGGATATGCGGACCGCGGTATGGGCCGGATCGTGTCCTTCTACGGCAGCTCCAACGAGGCCACCTCGACCGGTCATATGGACTACCAGTTGGGCAATGGCCATGCACTGGAATGCGCCAATGGCAGCAAGATCACCTATTCGGGTAGCACCGATTTCACCTTGAACTGTATCCATGACGAGTTCTTCAATGCCACTTGCACGGCGGCGCCCTTTGAGATCCCCATCCTCAGTTACTCCTGGGCCAATTAAATCACGGTGAAACCCACTTCGGTTGGGCCCGTCTGTGTGTAGCAGCGACGTTAAGTATCCCACTGCGGCGGGTGTCGAGATTGTCCGTGGACGCTGTCGTTACGTTACCTTCGCTTGAATGGTTTCCCGGTCCCTTGGGGTGACCTCCTGTACTAGATAATGGTTACACGATGATACGAGTGACGTAAATAGGCGCAATTAGAACTACATACATACTACGACATACTACGAAATGGAGACAATGCGAAACGGAATCGTCCCACTTGTAATACCCCGTACCCCCACCACTCAATGTTTTCTATGATCAGCACCAATCGTGATGTTCGTCGTATTCCGAGATACCTTCGGCTAAGACCTATTGTTGGTGAGTCAGGGAAATCAGAACACTGCGGCTGGACAGTATACCGATACTGTTACATATGGCTGCAACATTATAGACACAGCTTGGCTGAGAGGAGTGCATTGGGTAACCTTCCACCCTGTAAACCACATACCCGATGGGTATTCGCAACAAGAAACAAACCCATTCAGGGTTATGATTTGGCGTGGTGCGTGACATGCAGCTCAATGTGGACATATATTGCCTTACTACTGTGTACCCCATCGGCGTATTTTAGTGTTTCATACATCAAGACCTCGCTGTTGATAAGGACATGGGCTACCCACCCGTCCATTCGAATACCATATGCGCGAGCTCTAGCGGTAGGCGAACATCCATCTGTGCGGCCCTTCGTGCTGCCTTAGTCCATCAGTCATGCTGCCGCGGGGGTACATTGCATGTCCAGCACACGCGATGGTGCGTATCTGTGAGGTGGACTTGGACGAGTGTTAGATGCCCTGGATGGTGGGGATTTGCGAGGGTGAATGGCCTCTCTTTCGACCGGAAGTTATTTGGCCAGCTCATGATCCAGGCCATATCTGCACGGACAGAGCCAAAAGTGTGGTCGGCCCGATAATCTCCCTTGTATTAATCAAAGAAAGGGATGGCGAGAATTTTTCCATCACAAGCGGATTCGGGCAGACGTACTCGCTCGGATGTGTTTCATCTTCATATTGGAACGTGAACTGAACATCGGTGATGTTCTCGGCTTCGATGATGTGTGTGGCTGTTGCGACGATATGTTCATTCGCGAATCCTTCAACGTGAAAGTCTGGTTCTTTAGAGCAAGTGGGTTCCTTTGGTGTGAAATCGATGCGCGAGACCTCGAAAATAACCTGCAGGCCCGGATCACGAAATCGCTCCTCTAATCGGGAGTGGATGCATAATGGTTGTGCAATGGATTGGGGTGGTTTTCCAACATCTGGGGTATAATCGCTCATCTGGTATTGGGTCCTTGCTTCCAGTCCTCGTAGAAGGAGATCTCTGGTTCGGGATGATCATACCCGCAAAGACGCTGGTATTCCCTATAATACCGCTGCTCTCACTTCGCGGGCCTTCGTCCACATCGGTGCCATAGCGGAAAGGATATCGTCCACTTGGTTCCTTTGGGGAAGGTTTTCTCTCTACTGACCGATGGCTCAGGAAGAGCAAGGAATGTACGTGCGTGACTGTGGGTATCTTGCCGTTCATCCACCGACCACGGTTCCATGGAGTGCTGCATGGGACACATTTGAGTAGACCAGAGTGGTCTTGGGTTTTCCTCCAGGTGACAGCTGCATGTCCGAATGCGGGATGGAGTACGACCCTTAGCGTCCTGGATATGGATATCATTCCCGGCTGAGATAGAAAGGGAAGGCAATCTCTCCAGTGCTGTATGCAAGCCCTTATGGCGATCTGAGTGTACGTTGTTTATGTAGGAGGTGATGCGGACATCAAGGTAGTTCTCTTCGACCGAGGCGAACTCCACCTCGCACGGGAGTCATTGGAAGCGATTTGACCTGCGACACTCTTTCGCTCCACGCCTTCGTCTCAGATCGGGCTTATTAGTTTGTCCGATGGTGCTGCACCCCATCCCCTGTTGGCGCATTTCAGTATTAGGGTGGATAGGTTTTGAGGCCACACATGCCGGCGGTTGCTTCGAGCCCTAGCGATCGCCCAAGCCCACTGATCCACCATCCATATAGACCAATGTGCGACCCTAGACCGGAGGATGTACAAAGATGGATCTACAAGATAATTACGCTCTAGTGCAGGCGACTTCGATTTGACATTGAATGATTGCTATAACTAGCCTATCTTGCGATAAATGTCAAGTTGCAAAGACCGCGCATCCGCCAGGCAGACTCTAGATGAGCTGTTGAGAACGAGCAGCCGCCGCCCTGTCCTCTGCCAGGTTCGGGCTTTATCGTGCAATTCTGCTACACACCAGCCACATGGGGCTTGGCTTAGAAGGAACCCTTCGGTTACCTGGGCTTCCCGATGCCACTGTGCGACATGTACCTCGTCCCGCTGCAGTAGTGCTTCATCCTAACCCGGATGTTGGGTGATGCGGTTCATAACGCGCAGCATGGTAACTTCACGCGCGGTCAGGCGATGTGTGTGCTGGAAATTGACCAGTTAGTGCGCAAATCAGTCATCACGGGGCAATGCATAGTCGAGGCGGACTGACCCGAACCCAGCAACTCGGAGAGGCCCATGGCCGCTGTTATCAGGAGTTGCCATGCCAAGATACTGTGCCTTTGGTTTGAGTGATTTTGTGAGGTGGATCAAGCCAAGCAAAGTATCCCGGTGAAGCACCCAGGGGGAAACTTGAGGGTGATGAACGCCACAATTCATGCGGAAAAGATAGGTTCGATAAGAAAGGAACGCCTACTGGAGGTAAAGCTCGGGCATGGGTCTGATTAGTGCCTAGCCATCGCTTAGATTGCTGGAACCTGGACCATGAGTCCTCAGGACCTCGTGCACAATTTCCGTCCGACATGGAAAGTCCGAACGACTGATTTAGGTGCGACTATGGACCGAGTCCTCAGCTAATTGGCTCCTCCTCGAAACGATAGATCGTGCGTTGATATAGCGTTAGGAAGGCCTGGCATGCTATGCTGTCACAGAGAATGCGCTCGATAGTAGAAAGCCTCTTGATAGGTGGTTACAGATATTCCACTGCGTTACCCTCATTCTGTCACTTAGGCAGCTGAAATATACCATGCAAGGTGGATGACTAGCAGGGCATCTTTCAACCCAAACCCTAGAGGTGGTTGTGAGGCTGTACTTAATTTAGCAACAGGGAAGACCAATGATGCAAACCGACCTGTTCCTAGTCGGGCATAGTGGACATGAGCTCAGCCACAGCGAGGGGAAGATCGTGACACTCTGGCTTAACTCTTAGGGGGCAGCGGTGAGCGAGTATGCATCTAACATCCGAATAGGATAAATGTCCATGCGAACTACTGCACGACACCCCTGCTTAAGGTTACATCCACCACAGATACATGTTCACACCCTTGTCATCGCGAAAGGCCCCGAGGAGCGGCATAGCCTCTATAACGGAGTGCACCGCCCGGGGCTTAACATGCGATATTATGAATGATACGCGATCCCTGTCGCTTGCCTAGTTTTATAAGCCCCGGTGCGCCGTTGTTGGGGTGATACTCACCCGCATTGCGTGAAATCGACAAATGGCCTCCTCCATTGCCGCTACTGGCCTCCCCCAGTATATGGGGTCCCCACCTACTCCATGGCGCGATGGGGATGACCGATGCTCCAGCCCGTTTCCAGAAAAGATCGGAAACTTTCCCGATGACGAGTCGGACAGCCACTTTGAGTTCATGGAGGAGAGTCCAACACGACCAGCGTTGGTTAGACGACGAGCGGAACAGCTGTCGCAGCAAAGGCGCTTCATGAGTAAGTTCGTGGCTAAGGATCAGACATTGGGTGCCTTCCTCCGCGTAAACCGAGAAGGCTTGCACCGAATCCCGCAAAGATCATTCCTGGAGGTATACTCTCAAGGGGAGAAGCCATCTGATGCTTCACCTCCCAGGTCCGATGCTAGTCGCAGCTCCACTACGCGACCTGCATGGATTCCACCGGATGCGGCCTATGTGGAAATCTCCGATGATGAGTCCGATAAGGATCTCTGTCCTCCGGCATCAGATCTAGACCGCGGTATGACCGTCCCCCAAGTTCAGATGGACGACCAAGACGCCTCCATGCCATCCACAAATACGTCAGAGGATGAGCGAATGGATTCATCGGATGACGAGGCCGGCGGATCAGTGTCCCCCTTCTCTTCAGCAAGTCTGCAAGAAACCCCGAGGACCGAGGTCTCTGACGATGCATTAGCGGACTCACAGCGTTCGCCTAAATTTATCCCAAATAACAAGTCGACTGAGGATATTGTGTTCGCCGTCCGCGATGTGATCCGTGGAGCTAGCTCAAGGAAGCCTGAATCATCTTCTGGATACGTATATGTCCTCTACGATCCATCGGAGGAGAGCCCGTTCTACAAGATAGGACAGTCCAAAGATGTGGAGAGGCGAACTAAGCAACACAACGCAAATTGCAGACTCGGGACGTGGACAACAAGGAAAAGCCCGAAGTGTACTAATTTATATAAGACCCTTGAAAAGCTTGCTCTCGCCGAGCTGAAGAATTTGAAATACGAGCCCAACTGTTCCTGCCCAACTCAGCACAGGGAGTACTCTTGGGGCGAAGTGGCAGATGGCCTGAAGATCGTGCGCTCGTGGTCACGATGGCTGACTGAGGAAGAGCCATTTGACAACGAGAGCAATCTGAAGCCATTCTGGGCTGACCGTCTCGAGGCCTTTACATGTGGAAACTTGGGTTCCTTTAACTGTATGAAAGTCGGCTGTACCAAAGAAGCTGAGGAACCACAGGCATGCCAGGCGTGCCTGCGGGAAGGATGGATGACATTTACCGAACCGACCTCGGAAGATAGATTCGAGTACATCTGTAGGATAGCCACATCCTCTCGCTGGGTCTGTTGGGTATTACAGACCTGTCATAAGCGCTTTCCATCCTATGAAACTAGGCTGGCCTCCCTTGTCAACTGGATTATTCTTGGGCAACAGCTGTGGGACTCAGTTTCGAGTATTCAACTAATCTTGGTGACATTATTCATAAGAGGCATCTATGTCACAGCGTTGGCATGTTGGAACCACGGGATCGATAAATCTGAGTTTCTTGACTTATTCCTTGACCTATTCCTGGCAGTTATTGCTGCTTATCGTCTGTTTCTCGTCGGCACACCTACTGCTGTCCCTGGGGATGAGAAGCCAATACGGAGAGTCAACGGATCTAGATCGCCAAGCAGGCAATTTGAGCGTACGGCCTCAAAATCACCTGGTCAGCGTAACCCAGGTTCGAATCGACCACCGAAGAAGCCTCGTCCAAGCAAAGCTTCTGGCGCTGAGGGGGAGAATAAAGTAAACAGCCCGAACAAAGAACACAGCGACGAGATGAAGGAGCTCCCTGGAGAGATGCTTCCTGCGTCTCCCCTTACTCCAGACCGAAGCCTTACTCGCCAGACAAGGAAGAAGGGCGTACGAACGGGATGACCTGCGCTGAAGCTCACGACAAATATCCCAAAGCATATCTGATTTTCTTTACGCAGGCCGGGTTGCTGCTATTAAGACTGTTAAATTTCATATAGTCTTCACTTTGACAAGTATTGCCGGCTAGCATCAAGCGCCGGAGACATCTCAAACATGAGGCATCCGGACAGCTACCCTGCTGCTATAAATCGCCATACACGACCAGGATATCTGGGACTGCCAGGGCAGAGAATATGGGGTTCTATTGGACCCATCGCAATCGCTCAAATACCTAAGGAGACGCATACAGACTGCTAGAGCGGTTGGTATAGCCGACGGGACGGGGAGGAGCCAGTATGGGCGGAATCTACAGCAGCTTTACCAGACGAATAGTAATCTTTAGATCGTGTATTTTGTTTACCGGATAATAGAGTCCAAATTTCGTATGTTTCAATGCTATGGCTATTATAATGGAGTCCTCTCCTTCCACACCATTCCCTAGTTCTTTACAGTTAGATCACTAATGCACATGATGGGCATTTTCATGTTTCGAATAACATCCAACGATGGTCGATGATATGGTAGTATGTTAGTCCCTCACCGTATAGACTTTGATATCCCGCGCAGCTGTCTAAGGATTATCTAACTACATATATCTCTGTCGATCACTCGCGAAAAGCGAAGACATTTCTCATCCTGATGTCGAGGAGTAATGATTTGAAGAGCACATGGTGCTCCATCAACCACGTCAGGGTCATCTAGACTAGGTTAGCATTGTAGTATGGACTGTCCACTTGAAACTTACAGCTGGGTTGCACTCCATCATGTAGCGGCAGGGGCGCTGGGTCAAGGTTTCTCGAGGCCTTCCCAAACGGTATAATACATGCAGGGTACTGTGGGCAGTTAGAAGAAGACTCTAGTAAGCATGTAGGGGTCCAGCCTTACATCTAGGAGATTCCAAATGACGGTGTACGGCGGCCATCCATACGTATCATGTGGTGTAGCTGTATTCTGGGCTCCGGGTGCTAGAATGAGATCCATACCGTGCTCAACCCATGTCTTGCGCCACGCCTCAGCATAAGCCTTTCTTGCGTTGTGTAACGCGTCGATCTTCTCAAATATGTCGAGATCTTTGTCCACTGGGAAAGGGCCAGTGAACATCGGATTGGCCATCTTCGTCACCGATGTCACTGGGGGCTCTCCGCTTGCGGCCATATGGTCTACGTGTGGTCCATATGTGAAGTACTGAAACGCTAGGCGGCTTGCATAAGCTACCCCTCGTGCAGAATCGTGTTTCAGGCGTACAATTCGGTGGCCCTTCTTGGTTAATGCTTCGACGGCCGACTCCATTGCGCGACGGACAGGAGGATGAAGGCGGAAGTCAGGATCTTCTGCGAGAACACCGATTGTCAACAAAGAAGGTATTTTGAATGTTGTCTGCCATGGGGAACCTATGGTAGTCACGTCGTATTTCCAGGGCCCGACGTTGAGCACAGTTGACATAAATAGCTCCAAGTCGTCCAGCGATTGTGCGAGCGGCCCTGCTGATGGCTTTATGCCCGGGACTCCCTCAATCGCCCCCGACACTTGGCCACCAAATGGAATACGGTCTGCGGTTGGCTTGAAGCCATAAACACCACAACAGAGTGATGGGATTCGGATGGACCCTGCAATATCAGTTCCTACTCCAAGAATGGAGCCCCGGAAAGCAGTGAGAGCCCCTTCACCCCCGCTTGATCCTCCAGCTGTCAGATTCGTATTGTGTGGGTTCAGTGTGCGACCATAAATGTTATTCTCTGAGTCACCAGTCTACTCAGAAAGTGTCAGAAAACGAACACTATACTTGCTTGGTAACTGGAAGGTCACGAACCATCATGGTCTGCGGAATGTTGGTCTTGGCATAAAGCACCGCACCCAGGTCTAGGAGGAGATCTACCAGAGCAGAATTGGATTCGGCGGGTGGGTTGGCCAAGAACGATACATATCCCAGGGTGGTCTGAATCCCTTTGACGCAGAAACTATCCTTCAGGCTTATCGGAAGCCCGTGCAACGGCCCTATCACCCTTTTCTCTCGCTTTAGATAATCGTCGAGGTACTGAGCGCGCTCGAGGGCCCGGTAGAAGAAGTGTTCCGTTAGGCAGGATGTCTATGAAGGTCATTAGTGTCGTGGATGGTTGTAATGGATGTTAGTTCTGTCACGCATGCTTACTAGCTGTTGAGCTATAGCTGCCCGCTTGCAAAAGGCAGTCGTCACGACCAACGAGCTCAACTCGCCCCAGGCAATCTTTTGTAGCAGCTGTCCCGCGGAATAGTGTTCTGTGATATCCAGCTCTTCCTCAGTGAGGATGCCACTACGCCGCGGGATGTCCGCCTCTATGAGATGGCCATTTGATGGAAGCGAACTAAGAAATGTGGTGCTCAAGCGCCAATGCTCGGGAATTTGTCGCTCCAGTTGCTTGTGCTTCTCTGCCACGTGGGTCTCCCAGTGTGTTTCCATTGCAACAATTGCAGTCATTTCAGTTGTGGAATTTGTAGAATTAAGGGGTAGATCACCTGGGCACTGAGGAGCTATATAATGCAATTGGCCCGACGCTAAATTAATCGGAGCGTTTGTACAGATAAGCCGGAAAAGAAAGCCCGGTAAAAACTAGAATGTAAGCGCTTTGCTTGCCAAGGAGAACGGCAAGCGCAATACACTAAAATAATTACGAATATATTTTCTGTTGCGAGAAGCCGGTGTATTTTTGGGTCAGATAAGGTTGGCCATTATGACAATACAGGCTTCCTAAGAGACCCACTTTAATAACTTACGGTATTTGTCGAGACGGCAAAATCAACCTTACAGAGGCTGGCAGCCCTGCAGCCTCTATTTTACGACTAATACCGGCCTTGCGACCCATGCATCTTGCTTGCCCCGTCCCCGTTTGTGGTGGACGGTTTTACTAGTAATGTTCGGAAGAGGCCTGTGCAAGGTAATTCTGGTCGGTAACAATCAACAAAAATCTTGTCATATGGGGCTGGGGTATTGGACTTAGCTAGAAGGAGTTCTCGATCAACCAGCGGTATTCGAAAGGTCAAAGAGCCGTAAGGGGCCTGTTGGCGTATTTTTACGGTTTGCATATTGTGAGAGTGTTCGAACTATATAGATAAGTACTTGCGAGGAGAATGAAACTCACCCTGCATAAAGGACCGGAGTAGCCTTGTCCCCAAGTGGCGAGGCCAAGCGCTCTGTATCTGTCTGATATTCTACAACATCCATACAAGAGAAAGGCATCGTTGGATTTACAAGTGCTGGACTTTCGGACAATGGCATTTCATACAACGGCATCGGGGGAACTTCCAAGTGGACGAGTCCAGTCTCAGTGGGTAAGTGCACTGCCTCCTCATGTGCATGCTTCCGATAAAAGCTGATCTCCATGCTGCCTGAATAACCCGCCCAGCAAGGACTCTGGCAAAAAAGCACCAGCACTTTGCTCAAGGAAGCTGTCGACCTCCGACATTACCAGAGGGAACTGGAGACTCGTCTCCACGACGAGCATGCCCACCTTCTGCAAGAACAACACCATTCATGCCAGCTTGAGCAGAAGCTGGCCGACTCTCAGTGGGCACGCGAGCAGGTGGAATCGGCGTTGTGTCGCAGCACCGAGGAAGTCGCGTGGCTGCGTCAACAGCTGGATGGCCAAAAGAGAACGCTGGATTTGGATTCCCGTGTAGAGGCCCTAGCGAGTCTCAACGAGGCCTTGTTGAAGACAACATTCGGCACGACGACCATGGAGACGACATGTCAAAAACTTTCTTAGATATACTCTGACCTCCAGAGGCAGGAAGAATTGATCAGGAGTCTTCTGTTATCCGACCGGCATCACGAGGAGTTGATTCGATCCCTTCAGACGGCCTTTGACGCGGCTCTACTCACCAGTCCTTGCAGCTCCTCATGCGACTGCGAGAGAACGACGATTGTTGGGCCGCCAAGCGGGGACGGGGCTGGATATTTGCCGCCGCTACCACCACCAAGCGGCACAGGAGCAGTTTCTCGGTCCCAAGGCGTCGGGGAGGGAAGAAACCTGGATTGAAGAGTAACTAAGAGGGCTTGTAAGGCGTAGCCACCGAAACAGAGAATAAGAACAGTAACAGTGCTTTGATTATGGTACATCAGCGGCATAGCTTCTACAATATTGAGGCCAGATCTATGTATCCGTCATCGTTTCCTGTGTACCGCCGACGAAGACTTCGATAGTCGGGTTCGATATTGACATGTAAATTCTAACTACCAGCCACGGTCTCTAGACAAAGACCGCCCTGAACTCGCTTTCTGGACTTCGCAGGACATCCCACGAAGTGACGAACATGGGGATGTTGTCAGGGCGCCGATCATAGCATTAGATCGTGATTTCGACCTCGGCCTCTTCCTTTCGTTTGGGCGGGAAGAGCCTGAGACGCAACTTCTGACAGATACCCTTGATTCGATTTCCGGGACTGCCAACAGGCTTTCCCAGAGATGACGCATATTCCCGTCTGTAGCATAGCTCCAAGCTAAGTCTCAAGACTACATTGAACGTTTTAAATTCTCACAAATCGGATAGCAAAGTCCTGCAGTACGCATTGTTAGGATACCTCCATCTTCGGCTATATGGTCAGTACATTCTGCAGTTACCTGACATCCATGAGTACGGCAGTATAGTGCAAACCACCAAGTATTATCACCAGAACCAAATGGTATTATTAGTAGTCTAGATATCTTGTTCCTCGTCACGTTTTCATTGTGACCGCAGCTGGGGCCATCCTGACGAGCACTTGACGCTTCTTGCCGTCTGTATTCTATTTAACCATTCACCTCCTAAATATATTGCTCGATCACAAATCGTAAAATACGCTAGCAGAAAAGCCTACACTTCGTCTAGAATTTAGGCGCTGGTATCTTCATAGGGATAGTGTCTGTGTAGAAATGATTACTATTAATACTGGAGTGCATATAGTTAAAAATGAATTTGTCGAGAATTGTATTTTTCGGAGCCTTGAAATTTAAGAGGGACCAACCGTCATACCCCAACCTGTACCGTATTGAATACAACCATAGCCTTCAAAACAAGGCCATTCAGTCAGCTGGCTGCGTAGGTAAATCGAGTAATTTATTATAGCAGAATATAGGTATGTTACCCGTTTCGCGGGGGCGTAAAACTGGCCAACTTCAAAGAGGATGTACAGCAACAGGGTGTAATTATATAAGAATAATCTCCTAGCTGCGACCCAGAAGAAAATGGGGTTAGAAGGTGTCTCTCGCTTGTGTACAGAATGTGGGCTTTAACAGCTTTGCTTGTTGTCGGCAGTTGCGCGAGACTTTCCTTCGGTGATGGAGGAGGCTTCTCGCGGACCCGTTTCAACATTACCTCTGCCTACGCGCCATATGTACTTTCAGCGGAATATCGGCGGATGGATGGGAGTTTGTCGAGGACCACACTTAACTTAAATGAGTGTTATGCGGTGTCAGCCGATCCGTATAATCGGACTGTTTACCCAGCGAAAGGGTAAAGTGGGCTCGGTTGGAGTGATGAGTGGACGCCTAATTCACGTTATAGGGGGAACGCCTTCTATGGTAGTGACCGGGACATCATAGGAACTCAGGCATGCTATGGCTACTTCGGAGCCAATTATTTGCAGTACCGCCACGGATGTGTCGATCTTGGTCAATGTTCTTGCTTGTTTTATGGCATTCACTTGCTTACGCTTAGGAGCAGATGAGACAATGCACAACTGGGATGGGGTACTTGGATGCTAACTGCATTTAATTTTACGCTACTCAATATGTGCGGACTGGGATCTTTTTCATGCGAATAAGCTCTTTTCGGATAGCTTCATATGCTTCCAGATCAGGAAGTAAATGTCCCAGCTGTCACGGCAATGAATCTGTTTCTTTGCGCATGCTATACTTTTTCATACATAGTGTATGGAGTCTACGTAGACCTGGAATTTAAAGCGTTTTAACATTATCTTTCATCTCTCTGTTCTTGTTCCTGAGCCCAAGGGAGTCGACTCCTATCGTCAATGTAAGACAGGGTTATCCCAGGTGTTATGTCGGTTAGATGTGGTGGACCTATGCGTATGCATTGTAGTGATACTCAGCGTCATATTGTATTCGTACGAGGCATAAAACCCGTGGGTACAGTAACCGACGAGCGCCCTTCTTGTGTACCATGAAGCTGTTGGCAACTCTACAAGGGGATGGATTTCTGTGCGGATTATTAGTTCTAATTACACAGTCCATGGGTTTACATTACCGAATAATCCCAAGTAGAACATTCCTTAAATCATCCGCGCATACACCATGTCATCACCTGCACTAGCTCGAGAAATCCAATGTATTGCAACGTATTTATAGATCTGTACTTTACAGCCGCCAGATTAGTAAATTAACCTCTGGTACAGAGTACTAGTAAGCATAATATTAAATCGATCCTACTCTTTTAGAAAATGACGTTGATGTTGTAAGTTTCTCCCAGGAGCGAGGCACGGGCTGCTCATTACCAGGTGGTAAATACACGTCAAAATGCTCGGTATCATGAAAATTCGAAGAACGTATTAACATTTCATGCTATCAAATAACATCACGTGACTATAGTAGCCCTGATATTAAGTCAACCGCCACAGCCTGTGCTTCAAGGAATGAATCCCGGATTTGGGATAAGTTACTCCCCTGCCTCCCTGGTACTAGTTGAGTTGAGCTTCGCGACGGCTACTATTATATTGTACCCCGATTTCAGCGTATGGCTCGTCGTGGCGGCAGCCGCTATGCAAGTAAGTTGTTCGGTTGTAGTCTGCCAATATGAAGCTGACCAGGAAGAAGTCTCGGATATAGTTATTATAGACCCCTAAAGTAGAACATACTCACCTATACTAATAACGGGTGAAATTAGAGCCACTAAACCCTCTTTAGATGTAGGTTAATACTACCTGACAACATTATTCAGTAAGTGTTGTGTAGTAAATAACTAAATACTTACTTAGATAGTTTCTACATTAAACAATAACATCAGAGACACAGAGCAGAAAGTCTAGGGTTAAGCTTAAGTAGTAATCTAATAATTACTTTACGTCCCTCCACTCTACTAAGATAATAAGATTTTCTACGACTAGAGTTCCGGTTTTAAAGTAGTGCCTATCTTTTGTAAAAACTCAAATACACTAATAATATACTTAATATATACTAATGGTATATTAAGATTACATTCTTCATCACATTAGTATAATATTCCTAGAAGTGTCACCCACCTCCTTGCTCTGTCTTGCTCCTAGTATCCTAATTTATCATGTGCATATATCTTGTCCTGAAAGCGCAAGTGTAGTATGCTCAGTATAATCAAACTATAGGGGCGCTTCTTTAGTTAAACCAAGGGGCTATAATGAATATCTCCTATCGCCACTAATAGATATTATTAATCAGTTTTATTGGTTTACCGTAATAGCCGAATTTCATATTTCAAAATTCCCGAATGGCAGGCCTGAAACGTCCGACAGAACAATTGCCGATAAACAATTGCCGATACTGCAACGTCGAAAAGTAAAATAAAAGGTGATTCCCCTTTAACAACACCGCAAGGAGACTATTTGCAGAGATACCAAGCTAGGAAGTAGCAAAGTACATCACATCATTGCAGCTACAATATGAACCCCGTCAACACGAAACCCTACCAGCTCCCAGGTGACGCAACCTGGTTTGGTAAGCGAATAACATATCATCGTCAGGTAGACCTGAGCTAGAAAATCTGACTTCGCCGTTTTCGATATAGTTACTGGGTGCTCAAGTGGCATCGGCCGTGCTATCGCGACTCATGTTGCCTCTGTGCCAGGTCAGCGTCTGATTGCAACCGCGAGAGATATAGCTAGTCTTTCGTACCTCGACGACAATAACCCGGCCATCTTAAAGCTTTCCCTGGATGTTACGCAACCCCCGGCGGTCGATGCAGCCTTCAAGGCGGCCGCTGCGCATTTTGGAGACAGTTACTACATCGATGTCGTGGTGAACAATGCAGGCTATTCGCTTTCCGGCGATACAGAATCTGTCTCTGAGCATGACATGCATGACCAATTTGAAGTCAACTTCTTTGGTACTGTCCGTGTCACCTTGAAAGCCATTGAGGTGATGCGTCAATCTGAGTCTCGCCGCGGCGGCCTGATCTTCAATATATCATCGCTGGCGGGCATTTGCACCTTCCCTGGTCATGCGTTCTACCACGCGAGCAAGCACGCCGTCGAAGGATGGAGTGAGTCTGTCGCTCGAGAGATGCATCCGGACTGGAACAGTAAGCCACCTTTCACCTTGTATCGATATGAGCGATGACTGATATGTATTTGACCTTCCTAGTTCACTTTTGCATCGTCGAGCCCAGTGCTGTCAATACGAATTTTGAAACCTCCAGCAAGAAATACACCAAGCCCCATCCGGCATATACAACCGCTGATATGCCTGCCCGACAGCTTGAGATGTTCGTGAAGAAGGGGCTGGCGGCCGGTGTTGGCTTTGAGCCTAGTGCCGTTGCCAATGTCCTGTATAAGGTAGCCAGTCAGAATGACAAAGTTCCACTGCGTTTGCCTCTCAGCATCACGGCTATCAAGCTCATCAGGGTGAAGTTAGAGGGACAGCTTCAGGATCTTGAGACCCACAGCGAGCTGGGCGCTCTCGACGCCGATCGGGCACAGTTCAAGGTTTGAGCAATCGCTATACACCTGGTTGATGTATCTAGAATAAGGTAGCTCCTTAGCAATGATAGTCTCTATTTCTTCAATGCTAGCCCTATTTGATGCGTGGGCACCACTAGGCATAAATAGCTAAGCTGATGTAACAAGCATTCATGCACCAACAATAGAATCAAAAGTCATTACACAGTAGCCAACTAAAGCTATATATCCGCAAGTGATTTTATGTATGCCATTCTACTTTGCTCTCTACCACAGTCTCATCCATCGGATCATCATGTCCCGGTCTGGTGGGATCCCAACAGCTCCAATATGTGACTGGTCATTCTTAGGCGGCCGGTCGGACTTGGATCCGTCTGGATGCACCCCAGTCAATCATATCTATCTCAAATCTGGTTACCAGCGCAGCGATAGTCATTAGGGTTTCTTGCTTAGCGAACACCCGCCCGGGGCAGATTGAAGGCCCACCACCTAAACTTGTTAATAAAGCAACAATTTAATAAGACGTACAGTAGATACATACCGAAAGGGAAGAAGGAAGAAGTTTTACCAGCCATCATGCTTTAGATGGCGACCAGCCCAGAACTGCGATGTAGGATGCTCCGGAGTGTTCCAGACAGTTTCGTTGTACTGTCCAATCTGGCTTGGCGCTTGGATAAGAGACCCAGGACCATTCCATGTTGATTAACTGGGCCTAAGGCGGATTGTAGGTGTTGATTCATTAAATTTTGACATGTCACGGGCCTCGGAGACCTAGATTCGACAAGGCAGGCTAGATTCTACGTAAGTATCACCATAAAAGAAGGAAGAACTATAGAGATCCGCGAGATTAGTTCTGGACTAACCAATATGAGAAACCTCGAATGAGTTACGGGGCCTCATAACCTGTGAGAGAGAATGAGAGAATGAAGAAGTGATAAAAACATAATACTCAATACTATCTAAGAGAGAAGCTATCTACACGCTGAAGGTGAGGTGTGCGGCGCGAGATGCTAACTTGATTCGGTAGTAGTTGAGGCGAGCGAGTACCTCTAATAGACCTACAACTCTAGAACCCTCGCTCTCTTCTCCCTCAACGCGGCAATAACACCTAAACCACCTGCCCCACCAACAGCTTGCTCGGTCTCAACCAGCACCAAGGCCATGCAAAGAGCCTGCCCCCCTGCCCCGCTGAAGAGCCCATCCCTCTGCCCCTGCCCAAATCTTCCACCCGTCGGAGTCCCACCCACCTCCTTGACATCCGAAACCCGAAGTGAGTCAGGTAGCCCGAGAAAAGCCTCAATGGGCAGGAGCTGGTTGTTTAACAACACCAGCACCAGATGAGCCGGGAGATGCCGGGCGGGTGGGACAGCTAGCCCGCCGAGGGAGAGCACCGGGGCGGACTGGAGGGCTGTCTCCAAGGCCGCGGGGTTTGTCCTTACCTGGGCTAGGAGCTGCGCAAGAATGTAGTCGTAGATATGGATGAGATTGATGTAGCAGGAGAGGATGATGAGCAGGTCGGGGCTGCTTAAGTGAGGGTTAGGATGTGATGAACGGTGGGGATGGTCGTGCGGGCCAAGGGCCGACGGCACCAAGGCGGATAAGATGTCGACAAATTCAGCAGCTATGGTTGAGACGGTGGCGAGGGGGTTGGAGGGGGTGCGGCAGGGGTAGGTCGAGGTGGCACGACTGGTGGGGGACGATTCGCAAGACGTCATGTGGTGATGATGAACACAGGTGACGCGCAGCACCTCGGCCAGGTCGCAATGGATGGATTGGAGGCGAAACAGCTGTTTATATAGGGTCTGCTGGACGTGTGCCAGTTGCATGCGGTATTTGCGCAGCGGGCCGGCGTTGTCGGCGGAAGGGGAGAGCTCAAGGGCAGGTATGCTAGGTGAGCGGTCGTCGCCTATCCCTGAATCGGGGAAGCAGCCGTCGTCAGGGTAGAGGTTTGCGATACCCTTCGACCCCCAAAAGCTAGACGGGGTCTCAAAAGGCACGTCCAGTGCGGCGAAGTCGAATGTATCGGCCACATCCACATCCAAGTCCACGTCCAGGAGGCCTAATAAAGGAGCATAATCATTACGCTGCGGAGACGGCCCCGCACTGCTCATATTTCCGGCAGCGGCAGCCTTTGCGGGCCGGCCAGGCCTGCGGGACGAACTGGTAACGCATTCGACTTGGGAGCGCACACACCGCAAACAGGCGTCGGTGGGATGTCCATTGACGCGCATGCAGCCAAGCTTCTGCGTCCGACAGCGATCACATGCTGAGCGCTTGCCCACAGATGGTTGCGAAGAACGTATAGTGTCAGTATCAGTCATAGCTGCGTCTTTCCCCCGTGCATCCATGCACGACCTTAACTCAAAAGCTACGCTGCGTCAGAGTTTCTTAAGTATCTGCCTTTGACAGCCTTGCCAGACCGGAACCTTGCTGGGCCGCATTATGGCCCCGCCAATACAGGGACGTTATCATGACTCGGTCCTTGTCGAGCTGGCGGTTGGCTGCTAGTATACCCCTGCTTGTATGACGCCTTTACGCAATGTACCGTCAGTTAATAATTATTTCATGGCCCTATCGGTTTCTACTGTTGCCCGAATGGTTTGTGATGGGAGTGAAATCTCCAAGTAATCCAATCACTCTAATGCAGTTATCAACGGAGTATATCGACCTCCTGTCGTATATTGACCTCTGATTGCTTATCTCGCCCACCTTAACGGAGATATCGGTGGAGTATATCGACCATACATCCGATACTAATCCTAGACTGCATATATTTGTCTAAACTGGCTATAGTAGACGGCGGTTGCCATGGATGAGCCAATAGCCTGCTGTACCGCGCTCCATGTGTCAAGAGGAGGACCGCGCAAGAGCCGCTGATGTTTGTCTTGTCCAACGGGAACCAACACTTGGTTTCGGGCTTTATTGGCTAGACCTGTTGCAGCTAGTTCATCAGTTATGCATATTAATTATTAGTGGCGGTTCCGACCACCCACCACCTTTCGCCGGTGGGTGGTCAGCAGCGTAAAGGAAGAAAATGAAGCAATTCGCATTATCACCACTAAACGCCTGCAGAATCAATAAAATAAAGTTGATTGCCTGATTCCTCTGCCAATCCTGTATTTGAGGCTGCAGATTTATTTCCTGTATAGGACACTGGCGGGGGGTGACCGTACGCCTTTAAATACGCTTTATTCTCTGCTTTCTTATTCTTTTCATTATCTTTGGTCTTTCTGTCTGCAATAGACTGATTTGTATCCTTTACGCGTAGTATACCACTGTCCCCGAGGCGTTGAATCTCTTGTTTAGACTTTTGATGCCTTCGGGATGCCTGCGCGGCCTCAATTCGCTTAAGAGTTGAATTTATGATAGCAAGCTGTTCAGATTGAAGTTTCTGCTGATAAAATAAGCGCTTAAGATAGCATTTAACATGAGGATTGACTAGTATATCACTATTTAGGAGTTTAAATAGTTTTTTCTGATTCTTTTTAACTTGCTGAGCACTTTTTGGAGGTGTATTTTGATGGAGCTGGTGTAGCTCACGTGTAATGGGATTGATTGTCTTAAGGTCTAAATCTATCATACAGAGATTCCTTGGTGTTGTGGTCTGGTCACGTGGTTGCTGCCTTAGGCTCCCATAGGCTCTGACATATTTTTAATGCTTGAAGATAAAGGGTTCAGAGGAGATGTATTCTTACCATACGCGCGAAGATCAGGTATAGAGATCTCTAGTAATAGTAATAAAGTATTTTGAATAGCTTTAATAATTAAAGATCTATCTGTAGAAAAGATGCCGCGTTCTTTAAAAGAGTTATGAATAAGATATAGATTAAAGATCTTCTTATATACACTAATAATATTATATAGAAAATTTACTTTATCTTCTGGCACTCTATACTATTACAAGATAAGATTATTTTTGTTGGGTGCTTCTGATTATGGTGTAGAATGATTGATTCTCTTAAGCTGCAGGAGCAGGATGCTGCTAAGTTCTACATACAAAGCGGTGAAAGGGGCGGTACAGCAAGGTAGGCAGAAAGGAACGGGAGCGACAACGAACGGAAAGATATGTGGTGCATCCATAATAATAGTTACATGAGAGATTCTCTATCGGGATTTGTAAGAGATGTGGTTATCAAGTTATTTAATGCGCTCTCCAATAGACCACGCGCTCATAAAGAAGTGTAGGACCAACTTGCGCCAGTAATTGAAATAATTACCCGTCAATCTAACTAGCATATACTAAGTATAGGTGAAAATTAAAGACCATTTCAATTATGGACCTGTTGAATAAAAGCAGGAGACTTGTGCCCGATTGGCTAAACCAGATTCCTGAGAGGTGACCATCCACTTAATGATAGTAGTGCTTAACAATATATTGATGTGTGAGGCGGCCCAGCAACCGACACTCGCGAATGGCGGTTAACCATAGCTTCGAGATAGAAACTAGATCCACATAGGAATATATTTTTGTTGGCTAGCTTATGACCGTCATTTATTGCGAATATTTTGATACTGAACCTCGTTAAGTTTGTCATGCAACATAGGCGCCAGCTGACTGGAGGAATCGGGACCTAAATATGTCTTGCTCGCTGAACAAAATTCCCAGGTAGAGCACTCATGCTTACAGGGGACGGGATTTGCTCTAATGAGCATGCTTCGGAAAGGGAAAGATACTCATTGGTGTGACGTGAGTTGGTTTTCAGTCTCTGGGAAAACAAAAAGTTCTCTCTTTTCGTTGGCTATTTGTTCCATAGCTAGTGTGCATTTAAGTCTTATCATTGAAATGTACTTGCTCCAGGCGTTTCTGCGTTAGGGATGCATTCGATCAGGAGTTGACAGGAGGTACCCCTCCGAGCAAGAGCTCATTGTTGGCTAGTAATTGTTCTATGTTGGAGGCCTTTAGTCGGCGAAACGACCCAGGACAAAGGGCTACTGCTTTAATTCAGATCCGCACTTAGATCAGCCAATATCGGTCTATTGATTGCGGCGCAGTCATTATACATCGCTCATACAGGGATAGAATGTAACATTGGAGCACAACTTCTCGTCCGAGTGACCGGGGTCCAGGGCCCAAATTCTGTCCTGCCATGCTGGTGTTGCTTCGTGCTATTAATCGATCCGAAGAAAATAGCAGACCGGAATTTGTTCAGAAAGGCCTTTCCTTTACTTTTCCTATTTGTTGTTTGAGGATTTCGCCATAAATGAAGCCGTTCTAAGGGTTCAGATTCCGTATTTTAACACCAGCAACTTGGAAAAATTTAGCACCCTTTCGTTCTCGATATGTATTTCAGTTCGACTTATGATTGCTTGACCCCAAATGGTCTCACCGCAGGACGATGCCACCGAAGTCTATCCTGATCCCACTGACAGCTGTATGACACATCGATCCCGAACCATGACTACACCTGTTGCCCCCGTTCCTGAAGCGAGGCCCAACTGGGGGTTAAATAACAAGAAACTGGGGAATGGGTGTGAATGGCACGGAAGGCCAGTCGCAGGAGAGCGCAGAGGACTATACGTCTATTTACTTTAGACCTTTATATTCTGCCGAATTTAGAGCCTCGTTCAAGTCCTGTGGCGGCCTATGTGCCTGGGATTCTGTTCTGCAGCCTTTGTAGTGGTCGGTTTCAAACCTTCTGGGATACCTCAGCAATGTCCTCCCACGTTATCCGAAATCCTTTTGAAAGCGTTCTCATCCAAAGCGTCCTTGAAGTAGGGTAGGAAACGCCAATTATAACGGTTTGGGGCGACTAGTTTAGAACAGCGCAGATGGGCCAAGGATGTGATATTGTGTAGATATGTATCGGCCAGGTTTTGGCCTCCGAATTTCTTCAACCTCTGACTGCAGTAAAAGGAAAACAATGCAGAATTTCTGTCGTGATCAGGAGACACGTATGCGAGGGAAAATCAGTGATGCACCGTTTCATCAAGCCGAATTTTGACCGTTGGCCTGATCGAAAATTCGAGACCGTTGAATCTGGGAGTCTTCAGGTACTTGTGCGCGGTCGCAATCAATCCCAGTTCTTATATCCTTGGTCGGCTACAGAATGTTAGTTGGCGATCAACAAGTTTTAGAGGTTTGACTTACTATAAGGAGGGAATTTGAGAAGCTCATCCCAGTTTTCCTCTTGTAAAAGGTCGACAGCTTTTTAAATAAGTACCCTTGGGAAGATAAATCTCATGACGCTCGCCTGGGACATGGCGGAACCACTGCGTTTGATTCACGCAGCCGTTACAATCCGGAAAAGTGCAATCGAATAGTTCCATATCTTCACAAATGTGATCCCTCCACTGCGATGTTGTCCTGAATACTCGAGTCTGCAAACAGTATGGGCATTCGAAAATAGCGGGCAATTTTGCCAGGGATGACGAGAAAGAAGGTGCGTTAATAATTGCTTTACCTTGGGAGGCCTTGACGATCAGAGTGGGAAGGCTTTTCAGAAAACAACGATCCCCAGCCTGGCAATGATCAGGTCCAAGCGCTTGTGTATGCTCCTTCATATTTCCGATGACTCTCCCAAAATGACGAAGCTGGGCACGAGCTAAGCGGTGAATAAGCTTATGCGCAAGTCCAGGAAATTCCTGGTTGATTCGGGAAATAAAGGATCCCATGATGTTCTCAAGTGTACGACGTTGTGAATCCGAGGCAGTCCAATATGCTGAGTCTTGCATGTCTTCTCCCTCCATCGCGGTGCGGTTGGCTTCGTCCATGCAATGGTTGCTGAAGCACAGTAAGTACTCGTCCCGAGAACAAACCAACCGACCACAAACACAAGTTGGTGGCAACCGGTCGGGTAAATGGCCATTTTCAACATGCTTCTTGAGTATGTTGCGGTAGCGATATAGCTCGTAGCAAGTGATGCATATATAAATCGTGGAAACGGTTTCTGGTTTTGACTTAGGTGGAATTAGGAGCTTAATCAATTGACAGCAAATCCTTGAAAATGGCTTCTGAGGATGAGCCATTAGGTTTATCTTCGTTCCCTTGCGCAAAGTCTATGTGGTATGCTGAAGACGGGAGATATAGATGGCTCTTGTTCGGTACGTCGCATGTGTTGCTCGGCTGGTCGCCAGTAGGATTTAAAAGAATATCGAGCGTAGGCCATCTCGACTGATTGTCAGCTGGGGACTCCCGGAAAGTCCCTGTTTGACCATGTTCGTGACCGGCATGATCAAAGGCAACGTGTCTAAGTACGGCCCCTCAGTCTATGAACGTAGAAGAAGCGAACTCGCCATACCGGACTGCAGTAGTAGACTCGCTTGGCATCTGAGGAGTGGACGTAAATTGTTCTCGGTGTTAGGTTTCTCATACTCCTGAGTATAATACGGGGTGCGTGGAGGAGAGGCAGAAGATGAATTAATCATGGACTGTAGTGATGGTGTTCAGAATAGTTAGTTTGATTGATGGCTAACCTGGGTTAAGTACCTTTGCTTCACACGGCATGCTTGTGTTGTTGCTGTCTGACCCGTTGACGCGCCGTGGGAAGGCTTGGGTCTGTTCCTGCATTTGAAAAAGAGAGCGTAGTGAAGTAAAGCCGTTTAAAAGTGATTCAGAATGCCCAATCCGAAGATGCGTGGAAATGGAATTTGTCACGGACTTTGGGACGAGGATGGGTATATTTATACCTGACTAGCCTAAAACTCCATTGTTGCTCAGCTTTATCCCCCGACATTTTTCTTTTTATCTTTACTTTTCCCCATTCTTTTCTCTTATTAGGACAAGGATTCAGCTCCCTCGACCTCGACCTTGGTAACTCTGTTAAGCCCCCTATACTCTTGGTTGCAGCCAGTCAATGCTGCACCCTTGGCGATATTTAGGACCTAACTACCTCCTGAGATCCTGAAGATCACTATAGATCTTGTTTCGCTAGACTGCTTTATCAGAAGCAACTTGGTCACCGCTATGGATATTCGTGTTCAGGTCATGGGTATTCGCGTCATGGGTATTCGGGAATGATACTGTAGGTACCAAAATCAGTGCATCAACTTCCAGCGCTAGGTATGCTAATATATTGAAGTTTTTAGTAAAACTTGGAACTACTTTCATTTATCACACACATTGTTTTCTACACTCGTCAACCTGCGGGCTCTTCCTATCGAGGCATTTGGCTCAAATCACCCTTTTCTCATACTGAATGGTCTGGGAGTTGCCTGTCTAGCAATCCGTATTTTCAGACTGACTCAGTCTTGCCGTCAAGAACCACGTCTAGTTCACCCGGTGGATCTATGGCTCATGGCCGCAGGATATCTTTTATTCATCGCATCATTAACATGCGAAGAGAGGGTCAAAGCTTTTGTCCTCGGAGTCTTGGTGATGTGGCATGTGTTATCGTTGCTAAGGAGGACCTAAGCCGATTTTTGAGATTACCTGCCATGCCGACTGGGTCAATTGGTGTTTGAAAAGTCTTAAGCCAGCGGAAGTGCGCAGCTCGGCTGTACACGCAGCTTAGCTGCGGGTTAAATTGTAATGGTACTTTACACTACAAGAGATTTGCACTCCTTAAACTAGTCTGGCAGACACCGAACAACTTGGGATATCAATTTTTGCGTATGCTGTGCACTCCATAGATGACAGAGAAAAGAGACAGAGAAAGTTGATCCTACAAAGGCCTCAAATAGCTGAGATCCAGAAATGGACTTCAGAGCACCCCTTGCAATCATCGACTCTCCTAAAATAACTCTACCCTTTAAGCAAGCAAAAGTTATGATCATGACCATTCACTTTGTCGATTACGTCGGGATGTGCGAGCAAGCCGCTTCGCTACAACTGTGTGGTCTCGTATGACAGCCAGCATCAGCGGAGTAGACCCATCGATGTCCTCGGCATTCAACAGCACATCTTGTCTACTGAGAAGAAGGTTGACCATTTCTAAATTCCCGTTGCCCGCTGCCCAGTGAAGTGGGGTCCTTAGCAGATGGTCGGTAATACTTGGATCGAGTTGGTCGTTCGCTACCAGCAAACGTGCGATCAATAAACAGCCCCTTTGTACTGCATGGTGAAGGGATGTTGACCTCTCCCGGCCGACTCCGACTGCTGAACCCGAAGTTCCCGCAGCCTTGATGGCCATCTCGCTGCAGCTCTTCTGCAATTACTGCACTAGCCAAGAACCCACCAAATCCAATCCGATAGTTGAAATTGACGTATACGATGGGCATTCCGGTTTCAATGCTCTGCGTAACAAGGTTGACGCTATCGAAGATCGGTAGATTGGCACCACCATACGGTAAGGAACCTCCGTGGATGTACACCATGATGGGAAACTTCCGTGATCCGGGTGCAGAGGGCAAGACGATGTTCATCACCAGTCCGGAAAGCTCGTCCGTTTCAGGTGGAGGCCAGTGTGTCGCTGCTGGAACCGGTATGAGATCATCGGAGTCGTCTCCTTCGACCATCGATCGTGGACAGTCGCTCCTGGGTTATATATTCCGTTAGGCTCTATACCAGGATTTATGTTGATCTGGGGCTGCCAGGAAGCGTACCCTAGTTTTGTGCCATCGTGATGGTTATTGGGCTATCGCGTTTGCAAGGAGGATCGCGTCTAGCGTTTCTTGAGAACACCGTATGGTATCTTGCAATACAGTTGCACGCCATTTACATATTAGTAGCCCTCTAGTCTTCTGAGGGGTGGAAGGAACTTAGAGCATTTAGAGGGTGGCACTTTGAAAGACATGGCTCCAGGGTTATGGGTTAGATATATTAGGCGAATAGCAGGGTAGATACATTTATATATTTGTACAACATACCAAGGGGATGGTACGGACATTGGAAATAAGAGCTCTTATGGATTATAGTTACGGATTATATCTAGAAAGACCTATTGCGCCGATATTTACTCTCTCTCGAGTAGCATAGTGTACAAGGCTCAACGATATTCCATTTTGTAGGGTGTTATTGATCCTGTGACGATCTAGACCCAATGCGGCAGGTGGACGCAACCTCATCAAAAACCTCCACTTGAGAATCCAGCTCCACCATTTAATTAGCTATCGCCCCTTCCCCGCCCGACATGAGCGCGAAGGCTCTTGTGTAAAGTCTTTGCACTAATCTTAACTTCCCCGATCGGTATGTCGACCCCACGCAATCGGTCACATGATGGATGCTGGACTTGCAAACGTATCAGGAGAAAATGCGACCAAACCCACCCAGCATGTCTAGTCTGCCAACGGCGCGCTGTGAAATGTGAAGGTTACGAGATACGATTACGATGGGGATCCGGCATTGCTTCGCGTGGCCGTTTTATCGGTGCTTGTGAGCCCGTCGAGGCTTCCATTCCTCCTCGGGTAAAGGGCAGGCGACGCGATTTGAGTCGAGAGAGACGCCGAGCGTCTGGAACCCTATGTAGTGAAATCTACCAGTCATCAGGGTGGCTTACTTTGTCGCAAACCAATGAACCAGGTTACTGAGCCTCCTCTTCCTTGTTTGGTGTCCCAATATGTTACTAACAGGATAGCGACAGTGCCCGAAGTGAATCCGGACATTCAATCCTCCGCGGCAGACGAAAAGGAGCGATTATTCCGAGAATTTCTCTCATCAGGAATCAATGTTCTCCATTCCACGTCTGTGAATGATGCGCGAATCAACCTTAAACTCCGGCTTCCAACTTTGTGTGTGCAGTCAAGTTCCTTGTACGCGATTTGTGTGGCACTTCAGGCTTCAATGTCACCTAATCTCAGGTCTCAATTTTTCGAGCATTTTGATGTGGCATTAAATCTATTCCGCGCGGAGTTATCAAGGAACGTAACCTATCTGGAAGATGGTACCTTAACGGCAGGACTACTGCTCTGCAGCATTGGGGTATGTTGATTGTGCAAGAATAGAGGATTCCGTACGGAACTAATGGCAGATCCTCACAGCTTATGCATGCCATGCCGTGGACGATGCATCTTCATGGAATGTATGGAATCCTCCAGGCGCACGGACTCCATGGCCCCGGGGAACAAACAGAATTCCGAACACATCTGCTGGAGGTGATGGGAGTAATGGACCTCCCAACATTCACGGTTGGCAGAAGTACATCTCTCGGCTTTTGGCGACGGTATTGTCGCGGCAGGGTCCCTTCACAGCCCTCGTCTGGTGATGAAGAGGTTGAGGTTGTTAGTGGCCTACCTAGGTCATTGTTAGATATAATCTCCTGCATTGGTGAAGGGGCTACTGAGGAGCACTTTTGGGACTGGTCGGGGAGTCCGGGCAGTTTATCTCAGCATCAGCTTTGGGAAGCCTATCGGCTGGCCGGAATGCTGGCCGTAAGGCACAGTGAGCTGCTTTCGGTGCCACAACCACAAACAATGCAGACGGATAAAGAAACGAGCCGTGTAGTAGTTCTACCATCGACTGCTATCATAGTGTCGCGCGTTCTGGGCCATTTAGACGCTCTCCGGAGAGCATCACCGGAGGAAGAGGCAAAAGGCTCTTTGATTTTAAACGCAATTAAGTATCCAGCGTTCATCGCAGGCCTCCAGGCAGACATCTTCAATGCACACCCAGAGTTCAAGGTTGTTATCCGATGTTGCTTGTCGACATATCAACATCGTCATAGATTCGGAGAAGATTTTGATCTTTTGCTTGAGGTCCTGGAGGAGTGGTGGGTACACCATCATGAAATGACAAGCCCACACCAGCTTGCCCTAGGCCGTGAAATGGAGATCGGGCTTTTATAGTTGATCACGCACGAATCTGGCAACTAACGAGAACTATCCACTTTCTTTTGGGCTGCCTTCCTCAGCATAACCCAACAGTCGACGGCTTCACCTCCATCAGCCAGATTGACCTTCTCGATGACTTCAAACCCTAAGGCTGCGTAGAATCCTACATTCTGTTCAGCCGTACATTCTAGAACTATCGACTGATGATCTACATACTCTAGGATACCGTTCATCGCGATCTTGCCCAGCCCTCGCCCCTGAAGGGATGGATGGACAGCTATTACTTCCAAATACCATAGATCTTTGACGTGATACCTGTCATTTATCATATCCATCGACCTGTCGTGCGTGTCCAACAACATCTCTACACGCTATGGGGGACTTAGAGGGTCAATTGTCACAGGCTGGAATGGGAGTTACACACCTTTTCATCTGCCCCATTGTCGTTGACGGGGTCTCGCAAATCCAAAAACCACAACCGTAGCGCTAGGGAAATCCGTGGCAATGTCCATCTTTGTTGGCTCCTCGGTGGGATAGCAAGGCAGCTACACCCACTGCATCCTTATCGCCCTCAACGGTAACAGACTCTGGGAGGTGCTCTTGCTGTCCTCTCGGTGGAAATTGTTGGGCGAGTTCAGCTGCTGATGAAGATCGGAGGACGACTCCTTCCAATACTGCTCGTTGGATCCGTCGATATTGCCAATTATTGATATCTGATTGGCTCGGCGACCAGAGGGGCGCCTTCGGACGCAGCCATCGAATCAGGGGATCTTGGGCAAATGAGAGGCTTATTGTCTGGGCCACTGCTGATACATATGGAGGATGTAGATAGGGGAGTTGTGAGAACATTCTGCTTGAGCGCTATCGCCTTGGATCGAAGAGGGATGTATCACTGTCATGTATTACGAGTAGTCCCAAGGAGGAGTTCGTGTGGTTGTCATCCCAGGCCGCAGGATAAACACGATAGCCGTGGCACGGCTCTTTTGCCGTTCACTGATGCCGATACCAAACGTATTCGAACGGTGACCAGGGAATATCGAGAGCTTTATTGTACGGACTCCGGCTTTGCATAAAATGTAGATGCCGGAAGGGTGTGACCACCTGCTTTAATGAGTAAGGAGAGTTCCCTTGGGTCGACTACTGATAGTGCTCGGCGACACGAACAAATAGTATCGTGGTGAGACTTATCATATAGGGAAGCCTTTCCCCTTTCGGCAGGTCGACCCAATCTCGAGAATGACTTTGGAAGCCTAGTTAACCTTTTGGCTTTTGAAATGTGGTTGGTTCCCCCGCATTTGACTACATTCGCGTTTATCTCATCTTTATCAATCACATACTTGCTCGAGTATACTGAGTGGCGATCCGACGAGGTACCACTATGTGAAAGCGTTGCGGTAGATCCCTTTATCATGGAGGGTTGGCCTCGAGGTGGTTTCAATTAAAGCAAAAGTCAATAGATTGAACTCATTTTATACGCAGTAAAACACCTATCTAGCCGTGAATATTGATGGAGGACAGTGATATCTCAACCCCGCTTCTCAAATTGATAATGACCTTCCCCCAGGAACTGTTCTTCTTATCAGACGTAAGCGTTCTTCTACTGCCTGGTCGGTCCCCTTCTAATTAAGGTGCAGATGATCGAAATGAAGCTGAGGGACGGCGAGTGATTGTTCTCTGTCCTGTCCCATCCAGCGATCCGAACGAGCCGCTCAATTGGAGTCCCGCACGCAAGACCTGCCATTTTACCCTGGTGCTAGCTGTAACATGTCTCGTCTTCACAGCGTTTGTAGTCTCACAGTATCCTGCCACGAGGAAGCGAATGACTAACTGGCAGTGTCCCAATAGGCTCTCCATCCAGCAGATCTTCTGGCAGTTGATGGCGCAGGACTTGAACGTCACTTATACACAACTCAACTGTGCCATATCACTTAACTTCGTCGGGCTTGCGACGGGATGCGCCCTATTCACTCCATTCGCAAAGAAGTACGGCCGAAGGCCGGTGTATCTGATGTCAACAGCGCTGATGGTGGTTGCTTCATTTTGGTCAGGGGAGATCAAAACCCTTCCGGAGCTATATATTACAAACCTTCTGCAGGGCCTCGCTGGGGCAACCAACGAGGCTATCGTCCAAATTACCGTGGGCCATCCTGTCATTAAAAAAGCGACGCATGGGGGACCAAGTACTCATGATTCTAGATTGTAGATCTCTTTTTCGTGCATCACCGAGGAGGAATGAATACATTGTACATAACGATGATGATGATTGGGGTAAGCCTTCCTCTATTGCCGTTAGTACGTTTGATACCGACATCTTGCTAGAGCTTCCTCACCCCCATGGCAGCCGGGAGTCAGGCAACAAGGCAGGGTTGGCGGTGGTCCTACCGTACGATGGGGATCTCCAATGCACCCCTTCTTGTGCTTTTCGTTTTCTTTTATGAGGAGTCGAAGTATACTCCTACTATTGAAGGAATTAGCGCTGGGCTTGGGCCTCAAGATGATGCACACCAAGTTCCTTCAGATGGGACTGGTAACAAGTTAGACCTCAAGACTACATCGAGGGCTGAGGACTGTGGCTTGACTGATCCCATATTGGACTACAGTATCCCGATGAGGACATGGAGAGAGCGGCTGCCTATGGTGACATATACATCAGAGCCTATTTGGTCATATTTCTACCGTCCATTCGTGATCCTCTTTACATTTCCTGCAGTCCTTTGCTGCGCTCTGCAGTACACATGCGGTGTGGTCTGGCTCACAATTCTTGCAAGCATGATCGCGTTGGTATTCCCACCTCCACCGTATGAATTTACACCCAAGCAAATCGGGTACATGAGTATAGGGCCTTTTGTCGGTAATTTGATCGATTCGTTTTATGGTGGCTTTCTTGGGGATTGGTCAATCAAGGCTTTTTCCTGACGGAATTCTGGATACTATGAACCGGAAATGCGGCTTTACATTCTACACCTTCCCGCACTGGCAATGTGCGGAGGTTTGATTATGTTTGGTGCGACGATCGATCGGGTAAGTCTTCCTCAAGCTCGTAGGCTATCTCTCTATGCTATCCCTTCAGGCATTTCCATTCCCGAGTATCCATTGATGCGTAGCAGGGAATGCATTGGATTCTACCCAGCATCGGCGGAGCTCTATTTGGCTTCGGACTCGGCAGTATCAGCGGTGCATGTTTAACCTTGGTTACTGATAGCTATATGGACGTGAGTCACAGCTTCTATTTTGATCAAAAGTCATCACGCTAAAACAGCGACTAGATTACTGGGGATGCCTTCACCGGCGTAGCCTTCCTTCGGAATGCCTTCAGCATTGGGATCCCATTCGCTATAAGTCCTTGGATGGAACGGAGCGGATTGACGAATACGTTCATCGCATGTGGATTTATCAGTCTAGGAGTGACTTTGACCTTACTGGAGATGGTTATATATGGAAAGAGAATTCGGCAAGCTACGGCGAGACGATACCATGAGATGGCTGGGAAGGAATTGTAGGACAGGAGGTTACATTCTATGACCCGATATTGGACCGTCTTTACTCGGTAGTATTAACTTAACGATCAGAGCTTTTTGTGGCTATCGCATAGTGAATCAATCACCTTAGAATATCAAGGACAGGAGGTTAATTAAGATGGTAGTAACAGTTAAACATGGGATATCTGACTATTCTGTGATTTGTTGAACCGAAAGTAGGCCGCCTAGGGTCTAGCTTACTATAATTTCAATCTCAAGCGGCAGCTACTGATATCTAACTCCGGGGAGAGATCCGGGTAAAGAGGCTGGTGCGTGGTATTAGTAGTAGGACATGACTAAGAAACCGATATTCCTTCTACTTACATTGGAATGGATTGGTGCGATTATATATGGAACGAGGTATACTGGGACTGTTCCGTGAGGTGAAACTAGTTATGGAGGCGAAATCAAATTATATATGGCATGATATATGAGATCTTCAGTGATTGATATGGACGCCTGTGTATTTGTACTGTATATTGGAAGACTTTAGTCAAGGGAACATAGAAAGAAAGCTAAGTGTGTAATGAAATTGTAAAAGGACAGTGACCTACGAGATACTATGGCGCTTGGACATGGTGAGATGGTGACTATATGCGCAGGCTGTAAGATCGGACGAGGTTCTGCCCTAGTTACCGCACCGGGTTGGACGCGGTGATGCGTGGTTCTATTGCCATTCTCAAGATTCGGAAGGTATACTGAACGGATTGACTTTGACCAAATATGGCAGAGGAGGTGGGCTATACATATACTCAATTCGGTCTGAGGCTTGTGAGAACCGAATCTTTCCCTTGGCTGGATAGAGTCATCTAGCTGTGTCTCTGCGCAGGGCCAAGAATCTTCGTGGTTATGTCGCAGATATAGTGTTAGTGCAACATGCATGCAAATAGAAGACCATGTGTCATCCTAGTACCATCTAAGTTTTCAGAGCGTATCCAAGAGTACAAATGAGGCACTAGCTTTGTTGTGCGCAACCTTAAAAGGGTGACGCAGTCCACTTTTCACAAAGAGCTCTCTCAAGGATGGGTCTATCCACTCCTTGATGAGGCATTATCGTGCCAAACGTAGGGCTTAGGAGGCCTAGACATCCCCAGGAAGCTCGACTCCTAGTCCCTATTCCCAATGTAGGGATATATCACTGGAAATATTGAGAGACATTCGCGAAAGCCTTGATAGATTCAGGCTAACTGTGCATAAACGCACATGTCTCTGGAATACACAGGCTGCTGTCAGGATAGCGTCCTGCACTTCCTCCTCATACGGATGGATCCCGTCGGCATGCTCAATTTTTCCAATTATCCTCCCACGTGTAACATGGAGTTCGAGGACTGGCAAACATTAAGCTAACCGTGAGCCATGACCCTGGACAGGAGAGAGCCAGCTTTCCGATACCATGAAATAGGAGTTTCATACCAAGATATGCTCGATGAACTATTGCATTTGGATCTGATATGTAACTGATTATTGGCGCAAACGGCTCTCTTACAGTGGCAACAAGGACTCAATAACAGGCTATACGTTAATATGGAAGATTGTCGGTTATAACACTGCTGTGGCTTCATCTTATCCTCCTATGGAAACTTGGGAGGCCAAATGTCAATGTCAAATAAGTCGCTGAAAGCTAGATCTGGCCCAACATATTCCAAAGGTCTTGATACCGTCGCCGCACCTCTCCTAAGCAGATACCTAGCTATAGGAGTGGGCCTGGGTCTAGATTACGAAGCGCCATTTCCTTCGATCGCTTGGTGTACATAGGTCGGGTCTTTTTCTTGGAGGATTGCTGCCACCCTTGCGAGCCCTGTTTCAGAAAATGCGTGCCCCAAGCCAGATACGACTGGTGCATCTAATGAATATGTTGGAAGAGTCGCTCGTACAATCTGACAATCTGACTAGGTGCACTCGAATCAATTAGGTGCCGTACAAGAGCAATTCTAATCTCTAATATTAAGATCGTGATCCAAAAAGGAAAGGTTTCTTTAGTGGCTGGTATGCACAAGCGACATCAAATTGTTGGATATGGGAAGGACAAAGATTGTTCAGTCACTTACCGTGTGAATAAGGATTGATATTTGATGATGCCACTCCTCCACTTTGAACAATCCAGCAGTGATGCCAGAGTTTGACAGCGCCTCTTAGTAGGCCTGTGATGATCAGCGCGGGCCCATATAAGGGCCTGGGTGGATTGAAAGTCTATCACAAGCATACTGGGCCACAGCCCGGTGAAACAGCAAAAGGCAAATGGCACAGAATGAAAGCACAGCATACGATGAGCCCCCTGTAATGTCCATTGGCTTAAACCTTTGGTGACTTGTGGTGTTAGTGCAACATAAAATGGTCTTCCCTGCGGAAGTCCTTTTTTGCTCACCAGAGGATTTTCTAGCAGAAATCTCCCTATTGAATTGAAATCAAAGTCGTTCAGTCGTTGCTGGCTCACCGAAGAGTTTAGTTAAGGCCTTGCAAGACAAGTATTGAGTGAGATATGTGGATATCGGTCAGTTATAGACTTTGCTACCACCACCGATCACTTCGTACTTTGGCACCTTCAGCGAAGAAGGCCACCGCGCGTCTTCAGTAACAGGTGGGAGAATTTATTCAAAGCATATCGCGTAGATTCCTGGCCCTTTATTATCTTTGGAATGAGCTTCCCTGTGTTAGATGCTCCTCCTCTCGCCTTGATAGGTTGACTTGGAAACTGGCGAGACCCATGCTGGAGTGCGCCCAATTCTCAACTTCTTATTGCTGCTGCAGCCTGATTGTCGAAGGTACCACTGACACGTATAGAATATATCAGCCACCTACCCGTATACAATGAACAATACAACCTACACCTCCACTCCTTCCGACCAAGGGCTCCGTCTCTGACAACGACATTGAGAACCAAATGCCGTCTCTGGAGGATGATATACACATTGAAACAGACACTGTGGATATGATATGGGTCCTGCCAACCTAGAAAGGCGAAGCATTATCTACGGAGGCATTACAGGAAGGATGACCATACTTCGTAGATTCTTAGCGATTGACACCATGTAGCAATGATCACCTTAGCCTTTAGCTGTCCAGTCATCAATCCCCGTTGACAATGTAGTTGTCGTTTACTGTTCGAACGTAGAGCGTTACTCTAACATAACATAAATCATACACTTTGGTGGCTCTCGCTAGCTGTAGAGCGATATAGACCTTATGACAATGGATCTATTCTCGTACCTAATATGGAGCCATGGCAATCCAACAATTATCTTTTGGCTTTTCCTTGAATACGCATATTTTGGAAGAGTATATGCCATCCCAGGAAATAATGTAGAATGTGCAGGAAAATATAACTAAAACCATTAGCACTCCCGGGCCAGGGACGGGCCCCTTCTAGAGCCTGAGATATGCCAATCCCACTCGCCACAGCTCAACAGCCAAGAGTCAGGTATTTGCCGGTATAACCCATTACTGGATTCCATAGATGATACCCCTTTTTGTTGCTCTAGACCAGGCCGGTCCAAACCCGGTATTCTTCATGCTGATCGCAAGGCTGGGATGTAACGTTAGAATCCGTGTGAAACAAAGTGTGGCTTGGGCCCCATGGCGGATTTATGAGACATATAATCGTGGCGCTAGGCAACCTTACCTAGATATTCTTGGGCTGAAAAAAAAAGGTTTGTCTGATTTTTAGATTAGATTCACATTAAGCTATTCTGAGGGCGTCGCCGCTACTGCTGACAGTCTATCCGCGGAATAAACCCGCACCGGTAGACCCACTTGGAGATATTGGAGGGCTAAAGATCCTATTTATTTATGAAGAATTTGGACTACCTTTCTTCTCTATTCAATAGCCTGGAGCTAAGAATATGATTAGGTACTTTCATTTACCAAAATAGCCCAACATTACCGCACTAATTTGGGTAGCCGTTAACCGGCGGGACGGTTCTTTTGCGATGAAAGTCCTAGTGGAGGCACTTGTTTAACTATACGCTTAAGCAGGAAAGGGTTAACATGCTGAATAGGGTCTAGGCCAGCTATAATGTCTAGGTGCCTGTGCACTAAAACCCTGTCTCTCAAGAAAAGTCAAACAGTGTACACGTTGATGTAGCGGCATTCCTTTGGGATCGTTAATTCAACGCGATTAGGAAATGGCCAGGATGGAAATAATTCAACAAAGGAAGGTTGTTTCATATCACTGTAAGCGCTTATGAAGTGTTAAGGCTGGGCCTTGATCATATCTATAAGGCGACCGGTAATTGACACGCCAGATTTTGCTGTATCTGCCGGTAAGCTGAATTGTCATCGATGGAGAGTCTGGAGTAGCCAGTCTGGTTACAAAACGTCTTCCAAATTCCCAGAATAAGCAGAACATCAAGTTGCATGCACGGAGGACGTATGTGTAAGATATATGGGCGGATAGATCGACGGATTCTGGACTTCTCATGGGGACTACGTGGAATGGTGGTGCCTTCTAGAAGATAGGAACACATTTACGTTTCGGCACGCAAAGTATGTTCTAAAGTATTGTACAATGAGACTAGCCAAAGCCAAAATCAAGCTAACGAGAAGGTCTGGTATCATTGAGGCATGCCCAGCCCCAAGGTTCCAGTTGTAGCCTGTCTAGAGGCAGGTACAGCAGAGCTTCGGCCGAATCCGGCCAGCTAACATATGGGATGGTTTATCAAATTAAGTTGTTCTCAAACATCAGCCTAAGAGGGCCGGTTTAGTTTGGACTGGATCGACCCACTAAGGCAACGGCTGCATGCTGAGTACCATGATTCAGAGCCTCACAGCGCATAGTCACATAACTGGGTGGCATAATATGCGTTGGACTCCTAGCTATGGGTTGCATCTTGCCCCGATTTCGCTGCAGAGACTGTGTAATTTCATCATGGTGCTTTCACTAGTTCACTGAAGACAAAATATATTCGATAAATGCTTCTTTTCAACCTAACATGGTGGCGTCCTCTGCAACTCTATTCAGGGCTGGAGGGTTTAAAGAAAGGCTGCTGGTGTCCTCTTTAGCGAAGGATGCACTAGTTTGAACGTTCATATAGTTTGACCTTAATCCATCCCCTCCTAGTGATCGACGAATAGGGCGGTCACCCGTTGCCGAAATCCCAACATCGTGTTCCTTTCCACAATGGGCAAATAGTCACATCCGGACTCAGCAGCTCTCGCCATATTGCTCAATTTCTAATATATCCGACTTAGTGTCTACGTATCATGCAATATCAGCGTTCTAGACCATTTTGTAATGGCATACTCTATAGCGTCAGCCATTATTATCAATACTATATAAGAGTGATAGAATGCCGGGACCAAATCGCCGATGTCTACAGACATAATCATACGGGGAGACTAGCAAACCTGTTAGACTAACTACTTTGATTTATTCTCTTACTCACAATGCGTCCCTTGAATCTTGTTCTCTTTTCGCTTGCGGCGTCTGCTGCACCCATCGATGGCACCACGCCTGAATTCACCTGCAACGGCGATGTGTGCTATCTTCCTTCGCCCAAGCCTGTTGAGCCCACATACTTTCTAGAGAATGGGGAGCAAGTTCCCGACATCTCTCATTTCCCTCCACCACCTCGTCCCACCCCAACCGAGAATAAGGAGGAAGCAAAGCCCCCCACCGACCTGACCGGTAGCGGTGGCTCCGGAAGCTCTGTAGGCTCAGTCGTCGGCGGTGTTGTTGGAGCTGGCACTGCTCTCGGTGGTATCCTTGGAGCTGCTGGTAGTGCTGGCAGTGCTGCTAGCGGGGCCCTTGGCGCTGGTGGTGCGGCAGGGGCTGCAGGGACTGCAGGAAACCCTGGCGCACCAGGAAATGAGGGGAGCGCTGGAAATACAGCGTCTTCCGGTGCTGCCGGTGCTGCCGGTGCCGATGGAGCCAGCTACGGAACCTTCGAGGGCGATGTCAGCGAACTTCCTCCACCGAAGAAGCCCGTCGAAACCTATCTCGATGAGAATTTACAGGAAATCCCAGGCCCTAATGGTGATGAAAGAACATTTGAGTTGAACGTCCACGGAGAGGGCGAAGGCGCATTGAACGAAGGTGGCAATCCTAGAAGAGGACGACCTGGACCGTCCAGAGCTGGACCTTCTCAATCCCGTGGTATCAACTTAAATGAATTCCGGGACAGTGATAAGTCCATTGCGCGGCATTATCTGCAGTCCGAGAACTCACGTGAGTAATACAACCCTCTCTTCTTACCCTGGCGATATTCTATTAACGCGCTTTCTAGCTCATGTCAAGCCATTTGATGGAGGCAGGACAGCCGACGAAAAGAGCCTTTTTGCTAGTGTGAGGGAAAGATACACCAACCTCAAAGAGGTCAAGGCAACCAGTGATAAGGAGGGCAACTTTGCGGCCAGAGATAGAGGCCGTTATCGCTATATGTGAGTCTTATATACCCATCATTGGAGTAGCTATTGGAAACTAATTAGCCCTCAGTGCTGGAACGAAAGATGGGAAGGAAGTTCTGGTTGGAATTGCTGAACATGGCACCAACAGCAACAACTTCGTAAACTTCACACCCTTCCCTAAGCCACAATAGAGTGTTCGCTGCAGTAATGCGCCCGGTTGTGGATCTGCAGGCACCAGGTGCAGAAGATACCTTAAGTTATGCTAGGAAGGGAAGGGCCGGCTAGTTGTATCATCAGTGATTGTGTGAGGGTCAGGCTCAGACGACCATCCAAGGTTTGGTCCTCTGTGTTCCGAGATAGGGTTTTGCGAAATACTACATTTTATCGTCCTATAAGTCCTACTTAAGTATACAATTCGGTTCATCTAAGATTATTGCGTCTCATAGAGTTCTAGATTCGTCTTCTCCCTCCGTTAATTTACATGGTCAGCTTTGGTATCACTTCCGTATAGTTTCACTGTATAGTTATAATGACGGTAGCCTAGACGCAGCCACCAAATACTCGTGTCGTGGAGCACCCGGGAGGACTCAAAGAGCTAAATGCTTCCTAATATCGCTACCGATGTCGAACTTGCAGCTGAACTAGTCGGATAAGATATGGTACATGTCTGAAACGTGAATTCAAGATCACAAGGTGATATTGTCATATCGAGACTTTGCGCAGGGAAACGAACGAGGCTAACTCGGCGTAATTTCCGAACATTCTTCCTGTCATGATAAAGACTTACGGACTGTAGAGTCAGTTAGTCCAGGGATTTGGTGGATTACGACATGCCCACCGCTGTTCCACACCACTACTTCTTATACTTTCAGGAGCGAGTTATATATATAAAGTTGTATTTAATAGTACATATAGCTCTAACTATCCCTGTCTAAATAATGCCCCTCTCGACGCCACCACCACCCAATCTATCGCCCCAGTGCGAATTGCAAACATATGGCTGAACCTTGCACGAATTGGTTACACATCACGCCACCTTAGTTCCATTGCCGTGAGCCTTGAACCCAGAGTATGTAGGATAAGCTGGGAACTCCCAAGGCACGCTCCTCCTCAACAGCTCATACTCAAGCCCCTTACCCCCAGCATTCAAATACATGAATTTAGTATAGGGCACTGTAGCATAGTATGAAAATGGGGTCCCAGCCGGAACGAAAGCTACATCACCATGCAACAAATGTACCATCTCGTAACCCTGTACCTGGAAAGCAAGTTGTCCCTCCTCCATCTGGAGCGCGAAGTGATGCGGCAAGGTTGCCCTCGAGATAGACTCGTTCGCCACCCTGCTGGACATGATGATCGTTCCCATGGTGAAGTTCCCGTCGGTTTGTGCGGGTGTCGTCAGTGGCTGGATGACCTTGTATCCGATGTCAGTATTGAGGTATTTTGGACCGTAGTCCTTGGCGATGAAGTATGGCGTCGTTGAGTCGTCAGATAAGGTATTGGGTCCATCGTGCCAGGGGTGCTTGGCATCTCCGGCTGTACCGTTCACGAAGTCGCGCCTAGGGATATACTCTTCCTCTGGGGCGGCGTAGAGGTCGAGTGAGACGAGAAGGTTGTATTCCTTAGGTGTCATAGGCCCGAAGGGGGAAGGATCATCTGTTCTGGGGACATAGGGCGAACTGACGCCGTGAGTCTCGTGCTCTCCTTGGCTGAAGACGTTGAAAAGATTCTCGAACCCAGCGGGGTGGAAGGCGTGCGTTAGCTGCGAGTCAGGATCAACCAGTTGGAACGTGTGGATGGAACCTGGAGGGATATTCCCGTAGTCGCCTGGTGTTGCGACACGAGCCTCGTGGCTTGCATTTGTAGTGTTTTTCAGGCCCCAGAGCTGACAGCGACCTCGTGAGCAGTAGAGGTGCTCATGGGTCACTCCGTGGGTGTGTGGCCGCGCGGATAGCCAGCCTGACGCCTTCCCGTTGTGCTGGAGCAGAGAGAAGGCGCCGTCAGAAGAGTTGGCCGTAATGGAGAAGCGGATCGTTTGCGACGTTGTAAGCTTAATTGCATGACCCTTATATTTTGGGAGGACATAGGGGCGCACGAAGTTAGGAGCCTCGTTGACAATGATACCGCCGTTCGGCGGAAGACCGTCCGAGGCAGCTGGTGAGCTGAAGGCGATTGCGGATAACACCCACCCAATGATGCTTTTCTTCATCTTGGAAAAGACGTATAGTATGTATACAGTACAAATTAAAGTAGAAGAAAACTGTAGTTGGAAGAAAGAGGGAGGGAATTGCAACACTCCATCAAGGACACAGGGTTATATAAGAGTGAATATTGCGCATCACGAAGAGGGAAAACACTGGCCCACCATTATCATTGCAGGAGACAGTGCCCAGTCTGATGTAAATGAACTGATCCCATGCAATCCCATGTTTTCCAGTATTGCCTATGCCAAGCGTGTTCGGAATGATGTGGCCAGGCACCAACGGGAAGCAAAGACCATGGTCAAGGATACTTTGCCCAGCCCGGAACTACGGACATAAAATACAATAGTGACAAATTGAGCAAACTCGACGAGAGGCAGACTTGCTCCTCTCGCAATATCGGCCGTTGTTTACGGCCAGTGGTAGTGCACAGGAACAGGCGCCTACTACTAGCTACGTACGGATACAGGAAGGATGGGCAGGTACTGCCATATTCAGTGCATGCGAGTATTTCCCATCGTATGTTTCGCATGTATTTGGATTAGCTTCAAGGTATAGCATGAACATGGATCTGAAGTGATACGATTAGCCCATCACAGAGTGCTTACCAACAATTCCTGTCAATGGGGAATTTATTCCGCTCTATGATGGATCCAGTAGCCCTTAATTCGTTAGCCGAAAAGTCAACCTTATATCGAGGTGGATCATCCCATGTTTCCAATGCCGAACCTTATTATCAATCCTATTGTGGCTCAATATGTCCCAAATAAAGCATATAAAACCAGGGGGTGGCCAAGAAAAGATCGTGAATTCTAGAACCCTTAATATCCTTCACGGCATATCGACCGTAGCACTTTGGACTAACATTTGACTTGAAGAATTTTTGAGATTCTCTAACTGGCTAAGCTTTCAACTGTACTTGATCCTAGATAGTTCTGTTTTAAGCACACGAAAAGGCCATCCTTACAAAAGGTAACGTTGTAAAGGGGCATTGTGATGCTTCCTCCACGTAGTCAGTCTCTTGACTTCTGAACGTCGCATGGTAACAACAATAACTTTATTGCGATATTGTAGATACAACTCGAAGTGTGTCCGGATGAGTGAAAGTGCTGTTCTCTTCTCATTTGAGCGATGCGGGAGCTGAGCGCATCCTTATGAAATCAGCCTTGAGAGGCTTTTCAAAGTACTGGTAGACATCTGATATTTCACTATGCACACTGCGATATGCCAACTGTTGGTTTGGATAGGTGACCATCACGACATACAGAATGGCAGAATAATATTCCAAAACATCATTTAAAGCGCTCCAAGAATTGATAATATATTACTATCTATTATCACAACATACTGCAGCTAAGGCCGCATAGTGATCTATTAGGAAAGATGAATGCATGTAACCCAAGGGCAAATAAAGCAGGTGAAAGAGCACTTCAAAGACAAGAGCTTATACCTCCCAAAACCGACACATCGCACAGGGTGATATACTCCTTAAAGCCTCCAATTACTTCAGCAACGCGAGTACATCCTTTGTGATATCAACTATGGGGAACTGGGTTCTGTTTCCTGCCAGAGATCCAGGCATCTTGTCATCGAGGAACCATTCAATAACAGAGTACAGACTGCCGCCAATCTCCACATTGTCTACTGTGAAACCGTTCTGCGAGCCGTAGGCATTAGGAACCGTTCCAAGTACCTCTGCACTAGTCCACAATCCGTCGGATGAACGGAGGACAACGGTTCCATCTGTGTTGTCAGACACCAACAACACTGTACCGTTAAACTGGGATGGCAGAAGAATTCCATCAACTCCGCTACCGATACCAGCAGTCTGGTTGCCCTGGAGAGGCACGCGGACCTTATGCCCCATTTTGTCGGTCATGTTAAACCGGTAGAGCTGTCTGTCGGAGGCATCTGTGGCAAGCAGAGTGTTGCCGTTGACTGCAAGTCCTGTAAGACCATGGACGGTCTGATTAGGCTGGGGCTGCAGATACCACGGGATCGCGGTAGAGCCATTGGCGTCCACTTTGATAATGCTTGACGGGAAAGTGCCAACGACAAAAGTGTTGCCATGAGTGTCATGCGCAGCATCTTGGAAGCCGCCATACACACCATTGGTCACTTCAGTAAGGTTCTTGCGCCAGAGGACTTCACCACGGGCAGGATCCACTTTGACCAAAAAGTTATCACCTGAGATATCCTGGCCTTCAGTGTCGAAAGCAGCGCCGGCATCGACGATGATCGAGAGAAGGCCCTGAGGATCCACAACGACACCGCTCAAATGAAGGATAGGGTCTCCAGACATTCCCGGTAGATCGATAGTATCCACTACCTGGTTCTTGTAGGGATCATAAACAGCGACACTCGTGTTGTAGAGGGCACTAAAGGTGGGGGATACATAGTCAGCTCATGCTGTTTGCTATCTGTTCTTCCTTATAATTCTACATACCTCAGGTAGACCAGACAGTCATCCCGGTTGAAGTCGGCATGTTCGGGATACAGTTGGTAGGCATTCACCGTGATGTTGCCTGAGAAGGCAGGACATCCCAACTTGGAAGCACCTTTACCAATGTATGTTAGCTTATTTTTGTGGGACCACGGCGGTATATTGTAAGCTTTGATGGAATCGGAATGGGAATCGTGTTCCGTTCCAGCAACATCCTGACTTACCGGAAGATGGTGTAGATGCACTAGGCCCATCAAGCTTATTGGCATGGGAGGGGGATGCCGATGTTGATTCGCCCATCTCATCATGCAGCTTTCCATCATTCCAAGGCTTCCTCCACACCTCTCCGTTCGAGCCATGATGCGCACCTGGGGTATATCCCCAGGTATTATTGCGAGCACGTAATTTCCCACTTCTCAGCGCCGTAATGGGAATCTTCGCGTGTGCCGGAGTTATACTGCCCGCGAACAGAAGAGTTGGAAAGACGAATGTTTTAAGGAAGTCCCTCATTGTGGAAATTGATATTTGAAGACTTATGGAATGTTGTCCTTGTTATGAGAGATTTGAAGAGACGACAGGTCAGTCTGGCTATTTATATGTCTAACTCCCTAGGGCGAGGGCCTAACTCTAGATCCCAAGCGGATCCCCTACTCGGATGTTCTAAAATGCCAAGGAACTCGCTCTCTTGGTCCATCCTTCCTGAGACTCCACGAAAATCGCTCTCAGCATCGGGAATCTCCCGAAATCAGGCTCCTCAACCCGGTGACGGGCGGTTTACTTCCTAGCCCTACGGTGTTCTCTAGTTTACTGGTAGAACCATTCTACTGAAAATGAATCTCTTCACCTCTATGACGAACCTCCCAGACTAGATTTACTATCATGATTTAGCAGATAAGGCCGGGTTGATCTGCAAGAGGGCCGACTAGAATCTAGTGTCAGTTGGTAGATCCCAAGCTCCACTTCCGAGAACCTCTCGACTCTAATGTCGCTTCCCGTCCTAGGGGCTGTTCTAGCCTTACACAATTGATCAGACCCAGCATCATGGCGCAGTCACCAGAGGCTTGGTTCTTTACTAAGCTACGTTTTTAGGTAGCTCGTAGGCGTGAAGGTTACCCCCTTTAGTGGCTCAAAATTACACCTTTCCAAAGTTGGTATTCTTTACGCGCAGCAAAGTTGGATCGTAGTTTCGACCTCGTCAACCTAGACTTCTCTTGAAACCAAATGTAGCTGAGGTTTCATAGTGGGTCCACAAAACTCCCGGCCGTTAGAACTTTACATAAGGTTATTCTTTGCTTACTGAGCATGGCGCGGAACCAAACCGCTCTAGAAGACCCACTCAGTCATCATCGATACTAGGTTTTTTCTTTTGTTTGTCAGTTCTTAATAGTAGAAGTGCTTGATATTGATGAACACTGTTTAATGACACCGTGCCTCCTTGCAATTGGGAATTTACTTTGTAGTATAGGAAATCTACCCTTCATCTAAAAATAAATCGCCCGTGGTGTGCTTTTCTACATTCTATTTACTATATATATATATTCAGTGTAGGAGTGTAGTCTCATTTGCCAGGTCATAGTGTCACGACACGACGTACTTGCAAGATGCCTAGTAGACGAGTACCCAAATACTGTACTACAGACTTTGTTTTTAGCCACTATCTCTCTTTTTTTATTTTTTTAATTTTTTTAATTTTTTTAAATTTTTTTTTTCGTTCTGCTTATTCCCGTCTTGACCTCAAGCCGGGTGCACTATACAGCCACCTGCGGTTGTAGGGTAACACGTGATCTCACGTGCTACCCGCTTCTGTGAAAACTCTGCCGCACGTCCAGAGCTACAAGTGGAAGATCAACCTCTGCATATCGTAATCTAAGACCTAATCCGTATAATACCACCTGCTTTTATCGCCTGCAGCGCTTAAGCACTCTATTTCCGCATTATGTGCGGCTCTCTAAGCCGCCTCCAACAGTGAGCAAAAACTGATAGAGTGGATAGCTGAGCTAGCACTATTTAGGTCCCGTGCCAAGGGAGTCCAACGCAGAGTAATTAAAACGCTAGGTCAAGAAGTATTGCAACATCCAAAATTCCGCATCCGACCCCTTATTTCGAAACCTCAATATCTCCACGAATTCTGTATATTTTAAGCTCAAATCTAGTTCTATTGACTCTTTATTTCAGTATTTGATATTGTGCTTGGTATACTGCTCGAATCCTGTGTGGCTAGGATAGAACTAAACGATATATAACCTCCTGATCAAGGTCATTCCACGCCGCCTGAATACTCTGCGTAAATATTTCGATACCGGGCTTCGATATTCTCTCTAGGAAGAGCTCTGGATAGAGCTTCGTTAGCTTCCGCTTAAGTAGATTCCAGAGGTATTCAATAGGGTTAAGATGAGGTGAATGGGGTGGTCATTCAATCACCTAAATTCTATGACTTTCAAACCACGATTATGTCTTTTTAGATATATAAATACGCGCATTATCTGGCTGAAATCTAGTACCTGGATTATTGATTAGTATAAGGTCTTATTGAAGTATTCAATATAGGATTTGGATATCCCTGATTTGTGGCTATTCGTTCTGTTCTAATATTACCATTTCTGATCAGTCACTATTCTATAGAGTAGCTTAAATTACTATAAAATATATATATTATAGAGCTCTAGATTACCGAGACCCTGTTTATAGACTTTATTTATAAAATAGAGGATATATTAACCAGGATTATTAGGATTTTGTTAGACTGAATATTTGTCTAAAAACATGATATAGTTAACATCGCTAAAATAAAGCTATACACGCGTAAATCAATAGGATTTTTTTTTGTTATTCTAGCGGTTATAGAAGTTCCTTTTTAACGTTTCCATTTTTATATAATATTTGTACAAAATGCGCTTTAATGTTGACTTTGAGACGCCTTCAGGGTATTGGCAATAAGCGCCGCGAAGCTCATTTTAGACTTTAACGAACCATTGAAAATATATATCGTTTAACTGTAGACCTGAGCTTTCCAGGCCTACCAGAGTGAGTGCCCGATACTAAAGCTTTGCGTTGTTGAAGGCGTCCGCGTGTTCGGTACATAGTAGAGCGCGATATTGAATTTCCGAGCAAGTTTAGAGGTTTTTCTCCCTATATTTAGGCCTTTCAGTAGAGCAGAACGTTGCTTAGTAGGAAGCTTAGATCTAGGCCTTCTATTTCCACTAATTTTGGTTCCAGAACACCTCATTTTGGTTGAGTGGCAAGCGTTTGAAATTGTTGATATTTTTGAAGCAGTACGCGTTGCGGGTTGGTGGTGCAATACTTTTGACCCACTATTAATCATACAATTCGCACAGTATACTAGGATAAAAAACGAAGGCCTAGTGCTAATCTTCCCAAAATTTAGAATTGCAGTGTGGCTAATGTAGCATTAATTTTGGATGTTGAAGAGTCGGGAGACTCGGGATAGACGTCACTGGGGCCCATATATAAATCGGACATGCCGACTTGAGTCTACCGTGACATCATCGGGTTCCCGACAGGGCTATTTCCAGCATGAATGAACTTTTCCTGTATTAGCGTTATGCCCTTCCCTTGCTCCAGTATATTACAGCAGTTTGTTTCCCTCATAGTTCGTGGGCTCCTCCCACCTGGCGCTTCTAGAACACGAACTCTAGATATCTGCGACAAAGATAAGATGCCCTCGGCCCCAATTTCATCAAATAAGACCTCCCTTTCAAATGATGGCCCAAAGCGATGGATTGTGGGTGGGAGATTTCGCAAAGACTCGGACAAGGTGGAAAGGTACAGTGCCGACCGGGGATGTCCCGAAGAAGTCGACTTTGATTTCCCACCGACCGCCGTAGAGCCCAGGTATCTCGAAAAGACCGACGAAGACATCTTAGTTTTGGACTTCCTGGATGGCGATCGCGAGAACCCGTTCAATTGGAGCCCGAGCCGGAAGGGGTTTATTTCTGTCCTCCTCTGCCTCATGACATTGTTCGTCGGTCTCGCTACTACAGCCTATAGCTCGGGTATCGCACGCATGACGCGTGACTTGGGCGTCTCGACGGAGCTCGGCCAGCTAGGGTTGTTCACTTTCAATTTCGCCTGTGCCATCGCCCCGTTATTTCTGGCACCTTTCTGCGAGCTTGTTGGCAGAAGAGTTATATACGTGGGCGCATACATTTTGTTCGCGGTGATATTTATTGGGTTGGCGCTGGGCAAGAATATCGCTACAATCTTAGTATGTCGAGCGCTGTTAGGCTTGTTTGGATGTGTTGGGACAATCTTGGTTGGCGGAACATTCAGCGATATGTATACACCCGATAGTCGCGCGGTTCCTATGGCGAGCTTCTCCTACGTGGCTATCTTAGGAACGGTGGCTGCCCCGATATACGCCGGCTTTATCGATGAAACCATTGGCTGGAGATGGATTGAGGGAATTCAGGGTCTGGCGAATATACCTCTGATCCTTCTGGTTGCAATATTCTTACAGGAAACGCGGGGTGGTGCTATTATGGAAAAGAGGACAAAGTTGCTGCGCCAGGAGACTAGTGATGAGCGTTATAGAGCGCAGAACGAACTCGAAGCTCCAAGCTTGAAGCATATGCTTCACAATTCCTCTATAAAGGCAATTCATATGCTCGTGACAGAGCCAGCGGTGCTCGCATTTGGACTATGGATCGGGTTTGCCTGGTTTGTGACATTCCTCTTTCTGTCTGTGATCCCTATTACCTTCCAGGAGAAACGTGCTTGGAGCGAAGGGATTGCTGGCCTCCCGTACATCTCTCTCTGTGTGGGAACCACCATCGGCTTCGCAACCAATTTTATCCAAATCTACAAATATAAAGCTATCTCCGAAGCTCGGGATCGGAGAATTGTCCCAGAATCACGCCTGTATGGCGCTATGTTTGGCGCTATCTGGCTCCCAATCGGGCTTTTCATCTACAGCTTCACGCAGTATGCATACCTGCACTGGATCGGACCGACGATCGCCCTGGCGCCAATTGCAGTTGGTATCTTCTACATTTTCGAGTCAACTTATAGTTTCACGTCTGATTGTTATGGAGAGAACTCGTCTTCAGCCATTGCGGGCCAAGGCCTACTACGAAACACCTTGGGTGGAGTGGCGCCGCTATTTGCATCGCAGTTTTTTCATAATGTTGGGAGCCAGTATGCAGGCCTTATCCTGGCCTTAGCCGCCTCGGTGCTGGCCTTGATTCCATTTGTTTTCTTCAAGAAGGGGAAACAGATCCGAGCACGGTCCAAGCTGGCAGAATCGCAGCATGGAGACGAAGAACAAAAGCGAAAGACGGGACTGTATCTGTACAGATGAACATTATACCTTGAGTGGATGCGTGATCATATCAGCTCCTCTTGCCAGAACATGCCCTATAGAACGGACGGTGACACTGTTAAACACACCATAGATGCTCTGACATACGCAAAAAAGATTTATCCACACCTGACGCTATGCTACGCTATGCTACGCTATGCTACGCTATGCTACGCTATACTACGCTATAACATGGCGACCGAAAGTTCATTGCAGCTCTAACGGCGTAAGCCATTAATATAGATGGGATACAGTATTGCCCAACTGCACGAACCCATCATCCCCGAACCGAACACGTTCAACTTTCAAATTCAAAGGATGGGTCTTTGATCCGATCCCAGGCATTTCCATCTTGGCGCGATATGCATCCTTTCCAGTGATAGATAATGAGAATGTGCGCAGAAAAATATCAACCTCCAATTGTGAGCCGTCGGATCCATCGTAAAAAAAGTGTTAGACCTTTCACAGACACACTGGATCGTGTCCATGCCCTTAACACCTACCTGTCGTCCTTACGTTTGACTCGACCTTCCACCAACGGACCTGCGTTGGTTGTTCTGAAAAGATAAACCACGGTGGTTTATACGGCCCTCTAGCCTAGTAGTCGCTAGACGTAGGCTATGACGGATGGGAGTGGGCATGCAGTAACCCCCACACCAAGGCAGTCTCCCACAACGACATGAATGCGATGGATAAGAAGTTCCTTCGAGGGGCTTTGTTGGTCATCCTACGCTTTGATGCTGGAAGAGATAAGGAATCGCGTGTTATCTAGCATATGACCGCACCGGTATTGACAGGGCTCATTTGCACCAGGTTGTTGAGAACTAACCTATTTGACTACTGCTTTCTCTATCGTGAGTCCCCAACATGTGCGCATAATGGAAACCTTCCTTGACCGTTCGTATCTTATCCTGCGGTCGACCGAGCTATATAAGCTCTGTGAAGAGAATGTTCAGGGCTTAAAAGGCTTGGTAGGGTACTACCTAGGCCCAGCGATTGGGGATCCTGTCCAGGCATGACACTGCGTTTCCTCTTCATCTCTATCTGCTGGGGGCGTGATGATGGCGTCTGGGGGAAAGGGTTTATTTCTCACGGAACAGCTAATTTGTCTGGGCGTAACAGGTAGTTATATTCTTTGCACAGGGATTCGATTCCGAACCCGATCCCTCTGTGGAACTAAGATGGCGAAGAAACTCTAGAACGAGCTAGTTAGATATAAGCCTTAATATTACAGTCGTTTTCAGCACGGACTCTATCATGGAATGCTACGCCTGGCAGGATTGAAATCCACCGCGGTCTTGAGTGGGCGACGTGGAGTTTGATGAGAAAGTATTGTCTGTACTATACTCCATATTCGGCAGTAGTCTCTGATTACCATGTACACACAGCCTTAGGCGACTCAAGCTATCGCTTTTTCTTACTATGTAGTTAGCTGCTAGGGTGGCTGTGGCGATCTTGGGGGCAGGGATCCATGACCATCTAACAACATCCGTAGCCACCTAGGCTAGTGTGTGGATAATTATAGGGTGAGCTACGTATTGGATGTCTCAGCCACGCCACAATCCGTGGGGACTAGACAAGCTTTTCTCCAGAGCACTCTCACTGTTGCAAATGTGCCGAGGAATTTCTCAAGAGCCTTGAGCTAGACAGCGATAGCCCAATGATGGGACGCTAATGTACATGCTGAACTTCTTCGACCTAATGAAGGTCACCTTGGCGACATTAAGCAACCTGCTAATGTGCTAGTGCTAACGAGAGAGTATCATCCTGACCATTCCCCCTTTACATTCTGACGGTAGCTTCGTTGAAACTAGAGGACATTGGGCTCGTGCGACCGTGGTTTATTTTGCGTCTTGGAAGTACTGATTCATTTTCTTGTGGCCAGATGAGCCTGCTTCGATGTCAATGCCCTGGGAGCAAGTACCCCCGGTGACACAGCGAAGACTAGTCTGGTCCTCAACTGTTCGTTTCCATAAGTAACATGAAGTTTCGGTCGGAGAGCCTTTAGCGTACAGCCGGATTCGCCTAGTGAATCCTTCATCTTGCCTTAAACATCCTCGAACATTTAATTAGGACAAAGGATCTGAAAAACGATCCTTCTAGTGTGCTTTGACCCTCGTTGAAGTCCTATCTCCTATCCTATTACCCGCAGGGGTTCGGGACCTTTGCACGTGGCTTTATGAGACGAAAGGGACTTGGGTAGTTGGCAGTGTCTTCCTGAGACCGCCGATACTTACGTTCCTCCATTTCCTGCCACTGTATCCTGTTTCTTTGGCCTTGTTGTCGCAGGACGAATGCCAGGTCACGAGCACCTCTGTCCCCTAAACCCTGAAACCTGATGGAACTTCAACCTTTCCCCTATTTCTTCGGCCGTACCATACGGAGAGTTTCTTGGTGGTCGGGGTTCGTGTAGACCAAAAATGTGTAATTTATTTTTATCTTGGGTTTGTGTAGTTCCAAGTATTAGACCCCTTTCCCCATAAGCGTGTTTCACGTTGATTATAGTGGTTGGTTGGTTCGAGTGGCAATCATTGCTACAAGAGCGTTAGTGAGCGGGATTAAACAGAACGTCCTGTCCAGGCGCTCTTTCGGCTCGCGAAAATTGGCCAAACAATCAATTAAGTTTCCCCTAGAAATCCCCGGTTCCAAAGTTTCGAGGGTTAGAGTTATGGGTCGTCCCTTCGCTTATCACTCTAATAGCAGTCTACAGTAGCCTAACCATAATTTTACACTAATCCGCGGAACGCACTGTTGGCAACTCAAGGCCTCCAGTCCCCTTTGATGAAGTGAAATATCGACCGGAAGGAATGACACCAGTTGACATGATTGTTGACTGCACGCAGTCTTGGGCTACTAAAGGTATTCGATGTCTTCGCCTCGAGGGCAAATTAGGACAGCATTTTGGAGGAAACTGCGTGTACAAAGTTAACTGTCTTTGAGAAGGGAGAATACAGAGTAGGGAGGCTGTTGCGCTGCAGGAATGGGATGTTCTGATGGGAAAGAAACACATGAGCCGTGCACTAACAAACTCTGAGCCCCCTGAGCCGTGGATGAAGGCATGTCTTGGCTCCACGCGTAGTCCAGGGTCCTGGTCCGGCTAGCCAGTCAACGTAATGCCTCCGGGTCCATTGCTCGTATTCTCCATAACGGTGTACCTTTTGAAGTCAGTAAGGTTCGGAAGATAGGTGTCACTGTCAGCTCTAGATTACCTATCCACTGTTAAAGCTGCCGTTCTCTCTGTAACTTTCGCAGCTCTCATATATATACAGGGGGTATCAATGGGGATGGTCTGTGGGAGAGAGCATGATGAATGCTGAAAGGATTAGATTAGATACCACTACCTCGGTATTAGCGTCAAACGATGACGAGGATGGAAGGACAAGTGAAACTCGGGGCAAGATACCACCACACAACGGTTAAACATACCCTGATCGTCAAGCACTAGAAGAGTGGATCCAGACGCCAAGTCCACCAAAATGGCCAAAGGGGTCGTGATGTTACCACCAGATATGCTATTTCTTGGGAGAAAACTTAGGTCCTATACTCTTGAATTAGGTAATAAGCGCGAAATATGGTGTCGAAGGAGAGTAAACTTTCGATAGGGTTACATTTAAGAGAGCAAGAGATGCCGCCCAGCATATCTTCCCCGCTTAGAACTGGATGCGTGTTTCTCAGTCAACATCATAATGCATCCCTAATGTGGTGCCGCAGGATTAAATGGCGGTTGACCTAGCTGTGTCTATCCCAACAGTTGTTGGGAGCATCCTCTCGACCCTTGCCTCGGGCTTTGTCCTCAGTGTCTTTGCTATATCGCCAAAGAATCATTTCCGCCACTGGCTGATTTTCAACCTCACACTCGCTGGTACCCCATCTCGAATGCCGTCCTGTACAATCCCATGGCTGTGCTAATCCATGGGCCTCCCAATCGATAGATTTCATCAATGCCACTAATAATACCGTTTCCGGCTTGATAGTCCTGAGTCGAGGCCATGACCTATACCCTGGCCCCGGCTGCCGGTTCAATGGATGGATCGGTCAATTCTCCGTTCAGGTATATTTTATCAACTATCCCTACACAGGTCGTTCATTCTTATAAAGATATTACATAGGCCATCGACTTTTCAATTTTTGCCATAGCCATGGTCGCCTTGTGGATTGTCCAGCGGCCCACAATAGTGTCATCCTTGAGCTGGATCTCAAAGGTGACTTTATGTGCCTCCGTATGGATTGTGCCCTTGGTTACAAGTTAGTTTCATCTCTCTTTCCGCCTTAGCCTTGTCTGGCCTTTGGTAAATTGGACGGCCCAATGTTGACCCAAAACAGGTACTACCGCGTTGTGTCTAGACATCCTGGGGCCTGTGAGCGGGAATTGGTGTTGGATTGAACCTCGCTATCTGGGCTTACGATATGCCCTGGGACATGGTTGGCGAATTGGGATTGTCCTTATCACAGCAGTGACGTATATCGTGGTCTTCATCGTTGTCAAACGCCGCTACCAGCATCTACGCCTCTTTCCAAACGGTGATACAACTACATCCGGTCGTAATCAAACAAAATCCACCGAAGCAGATCAAGTAGAGTTAACTTCGATAAGACTTGACACGACAGTCACCGTTCAAAGCAGCGATATGGTCAATACCGTAGCAACTATAGACAGACAACCCGAGGTACCATCTAAGGATCGCCTGACATTCCAGGTCTCCTCATCCGCAGGTAAGCCGATGAATCCACCTGGTGAAAATGGGAGCTAATTGATGCGTTCTAGACCAAAGCCTCCCAAGTAGACACAACACCAGCACCACCGGTAGCAGAGGGGATGCGACCCAACAGCGAGATAAGAAGATCCGATACACAGAAGTGCGTCGTGTCATGTTGCTGAATGGTTACCCGGCATTCTATATACTTTTATGGATTCCCGGCCTGCTCAATCGGCTGTTTGAGTCCCTTGGCCATCACTACAGGTGGCTACAAATCCTACAAGCATCCACCCAGTTTATAGGTCTTGCGAATGCCCTGACCTACTCATATAATGAAGGCTTCCGCCGGCAAATCCGTTCATTATTGACGAGACAAAGACGGTCGTATCATGAGCAGTTGTGACAAGACGAAGATTAGGTTAATGTTGTTGTATAGTATCTTAATGACTTCTCGGATAATCAAAAGTGCATCACGCAATATGAAACGATACGAAACAATTCTGTTCCCTTCACCAAAGTAGACTTGACCTTAGCTGAAAATTATTGCAAACAATGTAGTATTGATATTCCTGGCTTGGATATAAAACCTTGCTACCCTCATATCAATCACGGACATTGGTATGTTCTAGCCTGCCCTTGTGGAATAAGGATTTAGGTAAGGTTCATTCATAACACCATGAGTTTTGTTATGCTCTTCCTGAAATACATAAGCACTAGCCAACAAGCAAAAGGTGTTTTAATTCCCTTGATATGCGAACAACATCCACTAGAAGTTCACTGTTTGGACCACATTTCATCCCAAGCTACTTGGCTTTTGCCTCCTAGAGCAATATCTGTTAACTACCATGGAATACCTGGGAATTCATAACACAAGCCTACACCCACCACCGAAAATATAAAGCAAAGAGCCATTCAACAACCAGAAGCTTTTCCCTCAAGACGCCTGCTTGCGTGATCCACCCTCTATTTTATCCGATCTCTCCTCCGCTTCTCCGACCACGTTATCTCGCTTGTCAAGATGCACATTCTTCAGGAAGAACATGACGATTAGCATCGGCGACACAGCACACAAACCTCCAATAGCCAAGAGCCGTTGTGTCTCCCGATAACTGCGATCAATAGCCTCCCTGGCTGGCGTTCCCCTGGCATACTTCTTAGCCGTGACAATAGACTGGAAGATAGCCGTGGCTTGGGGCTTTAGCTCATCGGGAAGGTACTTTCGTAGCTTTGTGGGAAGGTTGTTTCTCCATATTGCCCCCGATATGCTGCAGGTGGTCAGCGAGTGAGGAAAGGTAGAAGATTTAAACCAAGCGAAGGAAGGGTATTGATATCGTTTTGATATACGGACCTGGTACCAATTGCCCCGCCTACTCCCATCGATGCGAAGAATACAGCCGTCACAACCGAGATCTCCTGCTTGGATACTACAGCTTGGGCCGAGACTTGCGATGCAGTTTGATAGAATCCACGACCAATACCAATTAGTGCTTTTGCTGTTACGAATGACGCCTCGTTACCCATTCTACCGTCTCCCATGTCGATTAGATAAAGGAGGATGCCCATGCCAAGGACGCAGAGAGGAGCCCCGGTTAGCACCCAGATTTGCGACCGCTTGGTGTATTTCATGAAAAGACCAGCGAAGATGCCCGATACTTGGAAAGATACGCGAAGGGCGTTACTATATATGGAATACGGATTAGAGACTGAGGAAAGATGAAGAGCCTCCATAGCGAGATTAGGGATGATTGGAGGGTGCGTGGATGTGTACTTACTCGATCCTAGTCGCATGTCCGGGAGAATATCCACCCACCACCTGAAGATAGCTGCTGTAGAACACGGTGAACATGGAGTAGTGAAGAAAGTCCAACGCTCCTAATAGGCAAGCAGCCGCGACTGTCTTACTCCTAATCATCCTGTAAGGTATGAAGGGCTTCTCGGCAGCGAAAATATCCCAGAGAACAAAGAGAACGAGAAGCACAATACCCACGACGAGTAATGCAATGAATGTAGCACTCTGCCACCGATCACTTCGATTCGCTCCCGTCAACGAGATAGGTATTAATGTTAAAGCCAAACCTGCTAGGAGAAGGAGAGCACCTGGGAGATCGAGCTCAACCCATAATAGTTCATATGCCTGTTTCCACCATGGCAGGGAGGAGTGTAATCCGAGCTGAGCAGAGAGGCGCTTTTTTCTAAGGCCGTTTTTCATTGCTTGGTGTTGGTAGAAGAATAACGAACCCAGTAGGGGTAGACCACAAACAGGAAGTACGATAGCCCACATACCCCAGCCCCAGCGCCAGGTGGAGTAGTCCAACACGGATTGGCCAATCGTCGTCCCAAGGTATAGTGTCGGTATGGTGGATATTGAGTCGGGCAACGTTGACCACAGACCACGGTTGATTAAGTTTGTAACATCAGCAATAAAGACCTGCTGCGTGAGGCCGAAGCCCGTGGAACCGACGGAGTGGAAGACTGCAGCAACCTAGAGATAACCCGTTAACTTCACTATCGTTCGTGATGGCTACTGCGCCCTCTAAACTTTGAGCATTCGTGGAGCATCTTTATCACATACAGCATATTGCGATATATTAGTGCACGCAGCGTAGATGACATAACATAATGTGGTTATCAGGATGGAAAAGGTGAACATTTCGGCTCTCCCAAATACCTGGTCTTCAATGTTAGTATTAGAACCTATGGTTATTGTGATGACCTGGAAAGGTGGCAAAAGACAGGGTAACGAGAGCCGTACATCTCCAACTTTAGCAATAATAGGATATGCAGTAATACTTGCGATATTACTAGCAACTCTCGCTGCACTCATCGAAGAGTGGTTCTTGAAGGTACTTGTGGTGTACGGAATGTAAACTTGGCTGGAATAATCTCCAAAGTGCGTAGCGAGTGTATATAGGAAGATACTAGATGAGATTCTATTAGCTTGCAACCTTTCGTCACATATTTAAGATCTATCAGTACCCCGTGAATGTAAATATCATAGCTTTTTTAGACCACGTCTTTCGTAGTATTGCTGCTCGCTGTACTCCTGCCTGGGCACTGTCGGCAGTACGACCAGACTCAACATCGTGTTTTTCAGGTGAGACCTCGGTAATTCGATCATCTGTCTCTTTCTTGCTTGAAATTGTATCAGGGGGCCTGTGTGGCTGCGGTTGGGATATTATTTCCTGTTCCATTGGCGTACGTCCAACCTGGGGGAATATAGCAACCGAAAGGAATTATTGGGTACAGGTACGATTGTATGGCATGTAATTGATATCAGAAAACGGATAGAGAAGGGTGCAGGTAAAAAAGAAGAAAACACGGAAATGGTTCCGTTATAATATATCTAGTAAAGTGTTTGCAATTACGTTTTACCTCTAGAGTACACCGTACTGCCGTAGCAATTGCTAGAAAGATATTTCGGACCCTAAATGGCACCACTGTGAGAAACACCATCCTATCTACCATTACATGCTATCGCGTAACTCCTAACCTTCCCGAATATCGGTAACTATTGGTAGAAAGGAAATTTCGGCCTAAATCCGGATATAACGGCTTAATGTCGGATTCCTCGTATCTGATCATCTGATTAGATTGATTTCTCTCGCCTTGCCAAGCCATTCACTTTATAGTGGGTAGAGAGCCACGATTGCTGTTGGATAGAACAGCCGAGATACGAGAGCCAAGCACGTTTTACCTAATAGTGTAGCTAAGGCAGCGACCAAGGAGACCGGCCAAGAATATGCTAATCTCCAATTCAGTGAGCTAGAGGTTCCTTGTGGCATTTTGCACGTGGTAATCCTTCACGATATTTTCTGGTGTTGTGATTCAAGGGAGCTTGTTCTTATTCCACTTCTTCTATAAACCTAAAGGTTTATATACTAGTTAAATATCAGATTGACTGGATCAATCTGATCCTTATACGGAATTTATTCCATATCTGAAGCTCCATATTTTACATGGTCGAGCCTCGATTCACAACACCTGGTACCTATGCATACCTGGCTCACTTGTACCCCCTTATGAAGAACTGCTGTTTTTGAAGTGGCATTTGGAGATCACTTAAAGAGTTTGCAAGCTGCCAGCTAGTATTCTAGTGCTATATGGAGCACTGATGTCCTTTACTGAATCTTAAACATGTTCGCACATGCTCCCAATACTCTGCAGCTGGAGCTGAAGAGCTCTGATGAAGATATCTACCGGATTCAGGTGGCATGGCCTTTAGCCTGGGACCACCCTAAGGGCCCTGACTATAGTGCCTCGATCATGTAAGTTAACCACAAAGTCACGACCATTATTAGAAAGATGCATTCGCTCCTAACGCTTATTCTAGTTACGTGCTTGATGGCAATGCGCTCTTCTTTACAACAACAGAAGCGTCCCGCCGTAGTGCAATGCTGCCCACAAGTGATAATGCGATTGTGGTAGGGATTGGGTATCCAGTTGAAGACAGTCCATACAGCTCCCGAAGGCATTATGATTTCACACCACCATGCGATAGCTACGTAGCGCCATGCGGGATTGATGGCCGGCAACAAACTTCACCGCACGGCGGTGCAACGCGGTTTCTTGAATTCATAGTCGATGTTGTGCGACCCACATTGTTGTCAGATGTTTTCTCTGGCCTATGTGTGCAGAAAGAGATCCTCATGGGTCATTCGCTGGGCGGGCTATGCACACTACATGCGCTGTTCGAGAGCACAACACCTTTTGATACCTTCATTGCCCTTAGTCCTTCAATATGGTGGAACAATGAGTTTATCCTAAAAGATGCAGAGCGTTTCTTGAAGCAGCGTCTGGATGGTGTAGAGTCTAAGCCACATACGATATCGCCTACTCTGATGATTATCTATGGGAGCCTGGAGCAAGACCGACGGTGCCACCCAAGCTGGAGCGAGGATAAATGCCGGAAAGTGAAAGCTTTGTCGCATGAAAGAAAAATGAAAGACAATGCCGATGCACTAGCAAGTCATCTGCGAGAAAGTGGCCAGTTGAGAAAGGTACGGGTAAAGGAATATCAAGATGAGGACCATGGGAGTGTGGTTGGTGGTGGTATTAGTTGGGCAGTCGGCGCTATCTTGGACGATGGCAGATTCTTTTCTGATGGGGATAATTAAGTGTCTCAACTTCCTGGCTTCAACTCGTTCTGGGATCATGATGCCCTACCTAGATCTAAACAGCCACAGAGTACCAGAGAGGAAGTCGTGCCCCCTCACACGTACGCCCCCATGACGGAGAACGGAACTTGTCACTCCGTTCGTCCTGCCCGACAACGGTTTACGGCTTGGACTTTGACGATGACACGCTGGGCTCGGGGCAGAGATGGATGTATGGTTCATGGGCTCAACATATGGACATGGCAATAACAACGACACCAACAACACCACCAAAAACACCACTAACAGCTCAGAGCGTCAATTCAATTCTTATGATATTTTGCAGCTTCACAGTTGACTTGCGTCCCAACAGATGCTCATGCCAAGAGGCGCGTCCCAGGCGTGTCTTTTTGTCACGAAACATCTACGTGGCGACAAGTCAACATGGACCTAAAACTTATCAACGAGCAAGCCACAACACTTCCACTGCCACACGCATACGGTAACATCGGCACTCAAAGTAGCGTACCTCCCAACACACAGAACGACCCACCATAGTCTCTACAGGAGGGGCCCTGCCAGGAGCCGTCCACGGTGCTCAATTTACCACAGACGAGTGATTATTGTCAAACAGAAGCAGAGGAGGGCCAGGAAAGCCAGGAAAGGCCTAACAAGCCAAAGATATAGAACGACTATTATAACTATGAGTATTGTGTCACTGCCGGAATCGGGAGAAAGAGGTCATTCTGGTCGGAGCGAACTCATATTCGAATGCAGGAAGCAGGAAGACATGTATTGATAGTTGAACACGCTGCATAGCTGCCGATAGGGGCGGCTGGGACAGTCTATGAATCAATCAATCAATCAATTAATCAATCAATCGATGACTCTATTCCCAGGGACGGCTTTGCTGTGGTCTTACCAAGCGAGGAACGCCTTGCAAACTCTACATAACAGGAGACGTCCACAAGGCGGGCGTCAAGAAGTTGGATACTCTTGCATGCGACCGCTTTAATCTTCCCATCCTGCAAGACAGGCTGCTTGATATTGTTCCCCACTTCCTCTGCGCGCGGTGGCATCGTCGATCTCAGGTTATGGATGTCCTTAAGCGGTGATCTCTAGAACACTCTTTAAACTCTTTAAGACGTACGATGTGGCTTTCTTTCTTTCCGCTGGATCCGCTTAGCAGAAACAGATCCATGACAGCAGAGTGGTCGCTCATTAGTATTTGGAACGCAGCACTTCCGCCTACGAGTAGTGGGATACGTAGTATATTCCAAATACGAATAAACGCTGAATGTAGTGAGTTTTCCGTCACTATCATTCGGAAGAACATAATCCAGGTCAGCACTGCCACCTAAAAGCTCCGCTGATCCAGGGATGCCGATCAACGGAACGCGGCTCTCCACAGCCTCCTCCCCCAGCCAAAGAGAAGAATGCATCTGCCCAACACACGGCCAAAGGCCATCGGCAATCCAAATTTGAACCATGTCAACGGTTTCGCGAGGACAACACCCGGCACGATTATCGCCCTTTCAGCTCTATTGACAGCCATTCTGGACCGGGCGCTCCTGGAATTGGTAAATGCATCAACAGCCTCCAAAATAATTTCCACAGTCAATCCAGGTTGACTCAGGAAAGGCGAATGGCTCGTTTGCAGCTCTCGATGCTCCACACTAGCCCCCATTTCTCTCGCCATACCAACTGACATTCGCTGAGCCAGCACTGGTATTCCCCGATCCTCCACGGTCCCAATGTACCAAGACGGCACGTCTTTCCACCCGGCATAAGTGTACTCGCCGCCTTCGAACAACGCCTTCAAGCTCTGGCTCGTAAGCTGAGAAACCCAGTAGTTTGCTTCTTCCTCTGGCAGGTCGTGGTAAAATAGTTCCCGTGGGGAAGTGACAAGCTCAGCGTAGCCGGTCTTGTGATTCACACGCCAGGCAGGCGGCGGACGACCGAAAAATGGATCCATGAAGGACAGCCCAGTCAAGGTGAAACCAGAGGCTATAAGTATTAGTCCAATCACGTATCCCGATCGACTGTCAGCGGCGTCCCTTGGCTTTGTGAAGCCTTTGATAGCACTATTGCCCACAATGCCGCCATATGAGTGCGCAATGACAACGACATCGCGCCCATTAGTTGTCTCGGCCGAAATTGCATCTCGGGCTGAACTGAGATCATCCTTGAAGGTCGCTTGGGGATCATATTCTGTCGAAGGAAGAGACACCGCGAGGCATCTCAAATGGGGCTCCAGGAGTTTAATAATTGGGTCGTAGCATGTGGGTCTGTGCCAGGAGCCTGGTATGAAGATAAGGGTCGGTCGACTCGACATGACAATGGTTTGCGAGTTCAATATTTTTCAATGGCCTTAAGAATGATGCGGGAATGCGATAAGTTTTCCCATGCAGAAGGTTGAAAAGAAGGTAACTCGCAAAGTAGGGCCCTAAGTGCAGCGGCTCCGACGAACAAAACCAAGTGGAGTCAGACCGGCACATCTTAACACGTGACTGTAGGCCTCTATTCAAGTGTGTAGCTAGTATATCACGAAGGCTGCTCATTGTACTCGCCTCCTTCACATTTATCCAACCGCAGAAAGCTAAGCTAATTCGGCTTTGACTGAACCGTGGCACGATATGTATACCCGAAACAGTGCCAGACCCTCCTGCAGGCAACTGAAAAACCTGAGAAACGAAGGGGAGGAGTTGACAGATTGCCAACAATCGAACAGTTTGCTCGGTTTGTACGAAAGCTTCCGGTCTGGTTTTTGAGCCTAGTATTCAACCTGGTACATACAACGCTCTAGTTCATGAGAATCCATTATAACATATCAGTGGCGGTTCCGCCGGTGGGTGGTCGGAACCGCCACTGATATGACCCATCACTCGCTAATGGTAAGTTACTGTTCTATCCGCTGACATTCTACTTTGTACGAAACAGTACACGCCGATCGACAGGCATACTCTGGATAAATCCCTAAATATACTTGCGTCTCTTGGCAGGTAGGGTTGGAGAAAGAATCGAAACGTGTAGGTGGCGACGCCAGTTACGGAACAAACTGTAGAAAGCTAGTCCACGAGTCCTTACTAAATTACTGGCAAACCCGCGGACTAACTCCCTATCACCGATCAAATCTAGGATATTTCTTAATATAACCGTTCGGACAAAGAGGAGGAATTGATAACCGTATGCTTTGTGTATGTGATTTCATGAGGGAAAGGCAATATAGACGATTCGAAAGATAACAGTAAAAGATAAAGAAACTAGCCCTCGTTAGTTATTCCGGAGCCTTCTTTATCGCTCAATTTCAATCTGCACATCAGCGGAGGCTTCTCCCATACCAGGTAGGAGCGTTGTAGATCCCAATTTTTGCTATCCTCAAGCAGTTCCAAGTCGAAAGTCCAAAGTACCCGTGCCAGAATAACACGTAACTCGCTATATGCTAGTTCTCTCCCTATGCAATTCCTTGCTCCCGTTGAGAATGGCTGGAGCACGTCCCGATTATCATTGTAAAAAGGCGAAGATTCGTCGTCTTTAGCATTTGCCAGCTAGCGCCCGGGCGTGAATTTGTCCGGAGCATAGAAGTTTTTTGGTGAACGATAGGCGGCATATTGATGGACTGAAACCTTTGTCTGTTTAATATTAGCCGCGCTGCCCGAGGAGGACCCATTGGCGGTTATGACACACATTTGGGGGTATGAGATGGCCGGATATATGAGAAGGCCCAGGGCTTGTCATGCGTTGTTGCCCAGAGGGTGCCGGCGGGTACACCCGAAGGCCTTCTTTCAGGCATGCGAGCAGATATGGTAAGCTGGCCGTGCTGGTTACTGTGATGTCGTGCTTCGTTTTTAATGTAGATCTTATTTCTTGTGCGAGGTTTCTCATGGCATGGGGTGTTCGAAGTAGCCAATAGGTAATTCCAGAAAGTAAAGCGGCTGTCGTTTAGCTGCCAGCAATAACCAAGACGTTAGAATCCGCTTCTAGTTCTTGTGTCGTGATCTCCCTGTCTGGTTCTCCACGGTGCCTCAGCACGCTGTCAATGAAGTCCGCACACTCTCTCTGAACACCATTCCGTAGGCGCTTCTGAATAGTGGCTCTGCTATATTCGATTTGTCTTTGGCGGGCCTTCATCAGACGTTTCGATGTCACGAAAAGGGATAACGCTCTGAACAAGAGCGGATAGGCATCTTTGAACTGCACAAGGGCCACACCCCGGATTGCCAGAAAAATGGTCGATACCCAATAGTGATACTGGGAAGATTCTAAGCCCCCAAATGGTTCTCCAAAAGCAAGATCCCCAATTATATCAATGTAGTCAAGTTGTACCACTTTACCATGTCGACTTCTGGTACCGTTGAGGTGGCAGCAATCTTCAGTTTTTCTATCAAAAGGTCGGCATATTTTTGAATAATGGGTTCTTGAGATTGCAGGCCATTTGCAGAGAATGCGTAAGCCAAGGACCGGCGGAAACGGCTATGATCCGCATTATTGGCGCTAATAATGTCAGACGGGTTACTTGTTGAATGCAACACCTTCGGGAGTTGTTGGTGACCATGGCCGTATATGTCTTTCCATGCCTGAGCAGTGATGAAAGAGACTTCATTTGGGCCAAAGCGAACAACTTCGCCATATTGGTTGTGGAAATGTCTCATTTTAGCCTCTAGTTGGCCCCTGGAAAGAGCGAAAAAACGAAGAACGGGAAATGCGATCCACATTTTAGGCCCGGGAAGGTTGCGAAGAGGATGAAAGTAGACCATCCAGATGATCTTCAAAGTAAAATATAAGACAACAAGCTGTACGACGAGAACCAATGAAGACATCATGATCAAGGGGCTCCTTTCAGGATTTGCTTCTTGTTCATCAAAGCCAAGCTTGGGTTTAACAGGGCGTTTCAAGCCTAGAGATATAGTGGATATGGCTGGGTGGAGAATGGAAGTTCAGGATAGGAAGAAGATGATGTGAATTGTCAAGATTGAAAGAGCTTCAGTCAGTTTATGTGAAGTTTCTAGCTATCTATGCCGTCGAATTTACCGCCGATGCTGTGTTTGATTTTCTTCCGACTAGCTTATTGGCCGCTTGATGCGGAGCCTATCCAAACATCGGAGCCGACGCGCATCGGAGCCGCAGGGCATTGAAATCATGAAAGTCGCGCATAAAAGCTAAAGATACCTATGTTTTTACCACACAAAAACATTTCGTACAGAGATGTCCCCAAACAGCATCGGTCTGCGTATGGGTGGCGCTTCGAGAGCGGTATTCGCCGCCCAAGGCGTTTTCCTCTTGGGGAATGCCTTCTACACCATTCTCTATCCCTCCTCCGCAGCAAATTTCCCAGGCTCTTCGCTGAGCGGGACCCCTAACGGGACTGTTCAGTGCATTGGGTAAGTCTTTGTATTGATCCTTCATTAGAAGTTGATTCCTGATTCCTAACTTCACAGTTTAACTTCCCTTGCTTTGGGAACATACTACCTAATTTCGACCTACCAGCGGGATAGTGTCATTATGGCTTCTTCTGTGCCTTCTCGCCTCGTGGCAGCGTTCGTGATGTACCGGGCTGGAGGAGGTTGGGTCCAAGTTGCGGCTTTCGAAATCTCAATGGCAATGGCGGCTGGTGTAGCACTTTTTTGGGATCGGTGCATATAGCAGGGATTGTATAGAAGGGGACCTTAATCCCTCAGCAGCCGCAAGAGGGCTATGGTGGTGCTAGATGCGGCGGTATTTCTGGAGAAAAGCATCACACGTTGTATATAGTAAGGGCTGCCAAGGCCGCATGCTGGACGAGGATTGCAAGGAACTTCTAGGCAAGGAATTTCCGCAGAAGAGAGTTAAACTAGACAATACAACTACCGCTGTGTTGGTGAATCACTGAATCACGTAATCACCGGACCTCGCTCTTCCCTGTGACAAAACTGAGATGGATCGGGCTTTTTCCTCTTTGCCCCTATAGGGAAGGTTGTTGTTGCAGGTGGTGGATTTGAACGCACCGGCTCGTTCAACAATTCCCTATGGCCGCGCTAAGTGATGAACCCCTGCCTGGAATATCTCCAAAGTGCGATTGGAAGAACCGCACGAACTCGGAGATATTCGGCCGACCGGCTGCACAGTGCGATCTACTATTTTAGACAAGCACGGTCATCCTGCGAATTCGAGTCGCTGCGATGGATGTCCAGCGGAATGGGAAGAGACAATAAGTAAACGCGAGTAAACGCGAGTTTAGTAATCCGCAAACTCACTACCGTATCATCGCGCCTGGAAATTCTGTTATCGAACATGGGGAGATAAGTGAGCAGCTGAGGGTAAAAACAGGAGCATTATGCTTCGAGATGGAGGCAGCCGGTTAGATGTTGGCCGTCCCCTGAGTAGTGGTTGCGCGTATTTGCGATATGCCGATTCGAATAGAAGTAAGCGGTGGCAAGGATACGCAGCCTTAACAGCAACATCATATGCAAAAGAGCTGCTGGGATACGTTCCCACGGGCCATGTTTCACAAGAGGCATTGGTGGTGGATGTGTGTAATAAGGGCAGTGTCTACTAACTTCAGGTTTCAAGGAGCGTCATTGGCTAACGCGGCATTGTAGCTATATTGAAAGAAGAAATCAGAGGCAGCAATCAGCGTTTAGATGGAATTAAAAGTCAACAAGACCAGCACCATCATGAGCCGATTGAAATTGTCTTGACAGGGCCGGAACGAAGTTGTCATCAAACTTTAGGTGACATCCGGAGCGTCTAACCAGATGCCAGGACATCCAGTTTCCCAAAGCTCCCATTGGTCCCCTTTAAGCCGATAGGTGTAGAGATGTGCCACGAGCATGTGATCATAGAAGATAATTGGTTAATCGGTAGGATCCCCATGGTACCGAACTAGGAGACATATAAAAGCATCCTGTTCGCGTGTAACAGTACTCGGGCACGTAAGCTCCACGCTCAGTACTGGTGCACTAGGGCTACATTCGTATGAGTATGGGGTATATAGATCCGGTCATGCAACGCAGGAATCTACTTACACCAGCGCAGAAAGGGAAACCGGCGGCGGAGATATACGATGAGTGGAAATCGGAGTCTCAATATTCTTATAGGTGAATGTAACACTCGCACCCCCTGGGATGATAAGATCCGGACGTTCGAGGTCCGGGCGTAATTCGACCCCAAAATAGTCGCTCGGCGTGCCCCAGTTCCGTAAGGGTAATTTAGCCCCTAACCATAGAAGCTCATACTTGCCACGAGGCACTAAATGCTGTCTATACCAACCGGGAAGACCTCAGTAAAACGAGACGGATCCTCCCGGTTTCAGCTCTATGACATCGAATGGAAACCTGATATCGACTGTGCCTTGCAGCACTCCGGCATCGTCAAGTCGTCAAATACATCCGGTACAGGGGCCTTTTCCAGGGCTCCCGACACGGTGTACCGCAGCAACAGGAAGGCGTTCTGTCGATAACCGTCGTCAAGTGGAGACCATTTAAATATGAATGGCCTCAACTGATTATCTTCCGTCGATCGACGAAGGACGCACGACAGGAGCGGCGTGAGTTCCAGTTTGAGGCCTACACGTGGTGCCTCGGGGCTGGGAGCAGTAAGCGTCTTAGTTCCATCATATCCAGAGATTTCACACCGAAAGGCGTAATGAAGAAAGCAATACATTACGTACTTTCGATCATTCTCTGTAAATTTGATATGGGGTGCGTGGCGTTGGACCATTTTGCCTTTTTCTCTTTCTGTCTTCCTTTTTTTGGGTTTTCTGTGGGAGAAGAACGATGCTAAGTATGTATCTTTAAATAGCTTGACTTCTTAGTGAGGGGACGATGTAACGTCCGCAATGGCAGTCCTGATGTAGTTAAGTAGCTTAATATTTAGTGTATGCACGATGTGACAGTAGAACTTGACCCGGAGTCCGGATGCAGTTAAGTATATATTAGATACAAGAGCAAAGTCACTAAGAGCTCTGATATTAGAATCATTCTAGCTAGCTCCAAAAGTACCATAAATCTATATTATGGTGGAACATAGCGTTAAATGAGGTTCTCTTCCGATTCCCTTCCATGGACAATGCTCCAGTTGGAGCTAAACAAGGTGTACTACTTAGTGATGGTCCCTCCACTATTGCGTAGGATAGTGTTTCTTCTCAGTGTTTGCATTACGAATAGTGGCCATGCAAGGTCGCAGTACACAGATGACTCATCCTAACTAACGCAACTTGCCAGGCTCTAGACCTTGGTCTGAAGTGATGGTTGTCACTGTGCACGGTTTCCGTATTCGAAAAGCGCAAGGCTTTGTCTGGCCGGCAGCGTAGTCGCTCAGTAGAGGAATGGTTGCGGGACGCTCTCCAACCTGCATTACTTTGTGCTTTGGTCCAGCATCGGGATGATGATCCAAAGCGATGTATCCATCCCTATCCCGACAAACTGCAAGCGGAATGCGAATATCAGTTGGAATAGCGAATGTGAATAGTGGGTATAGTAAAAAGTAATACTTAACCTGGAGTGTTTAATTGGTACACAGATCTATGTATGCTGATTTGTAGACGTGGATGTACAATAGATGCAAAGGGCAAACTCTATTAGGGACTGTCTGCTTTTTGCTTATTGATACGTGACCACGGCTTGGCTTCAGCACTGGGGATTGAGGGCTACGGATCCAAGGGATTGAAACAGCATCAGTATCCATATTGGCTATTCAATACTGTCTAAGCACAGTCGAGAGCATAGATCTAGTAGCATGAATGTGCTTGGCCATATTACTATAGTGGAAAGTACGAGATCGCCAAACAGCTGCTTCGCCATAACCCTACCGATCCAATAGCAAGCGACCACGAAGGTTGCACAGCCCTGAATAAGGTAGGATAAGCAGGTAGACGATCAGTTACCAAGCTGCTACTTAGAAATCCCAAGATCAATATTAACGCTAAGGACGTAGAACGTCAGACGCTGTTGTGGTGGGCGACTGCCGATACGTATTAATCGGTGACTATATGACGATTGGATAAAGACAATATCAATATTTGTATAATTAGTTAGAATCGGATAATACCTTTCTATCATGCAATATAAACAGGAAACACGAGCGTCACTCGTGTTCTTAAGTGATATGACCTGAACCGTGATATTCCGTATCAATCCACGCGCACACAGTTCAGTATTACGGTTTGTACGGAGGATACTTCCCTGGTGAAGTCTCTACTCACTAGGAGATCTCCTAATCGAGATATTCTTATACCCAAAGTATAGATGTATCGCAGAATCGGGTCCCGTAGAAAAGTAAATATATTGCAGATATCGCTTATAATCGCAGTTCGGGAGAGCTATTGTAATACTATAGAGCTCCTATGACGAAAAATAGGACCGCGAAATAACTTTTATAGCCAGAGAGGGGAGACAGTGCTTTTGCTTGCCGCCCATGGGACTGCTGCGATATCATGAGGCACATCCTTCGGAACGCTGCAGCTGACATTAACCTGACCGATAACTCGGGGCGGAGCGCACTATGGTAGGCGGCGTACAAAAGACAATTGCCCGTGGTGGAATGTTTTGTCCAGGTTTCTCGCCTGAGTGTTGAGGCAGGAGAGGCGTGATACGCTACGCTTATAACCAATAAAGACAGGCCCTATTCCGCGTTGCTGCCAGAATTCTAACACCAGCCACCCCAAGGTCGAATGGCGAGTGGTGTTTTGCATGTTTTTCTTTTCTCCATAATGTAGGATTGTGATTCAATCAATAGAATATGCTCGCAGCGGGTGGGAGGAAGAAGAGGGTTAGCCTCATTTGCGGGCCAAGTAGCCCTATGTACGAAGTGAGATTTGCCATAAATAGTACGGATATAATATATTACTCCAAGTAGAGACGAGGGAGGCTACTTTGGAAGGCATCCTTATAAAGACTTTCCCTTAGTTCGTTCTTGAATAAGTGGTCTATTCCATAGCCTTTTTTACAGCCTCGAGTGTCAACTCAAGGGTCTTGCCACTCATAATGAAAATATAGGCCGAAGAAGAATATAAATACTAACATGTCGCTCCTTTGACGCGATTATCAATGGGGAATTTAAATTTGGGAACTTAATTGCAATAATTAGCGACGGATGTGTGGCTCAGAAGGACCTCTGATCCTAATAGCAATGTTAGAATTGTTGACTTTCTCTGCCCAAACCAGTGCGACATTCGAACATCATGGATATCACATCCTGTCTGTAACCGGCGGAGTTGTACGGTAGTTGTTCAGACGCGGTCACTTGACTGTCGTACACTCTTAGAATGAGTGCTCTGGAATCTTGATGGTGCTAACAGTCCATGTCTTTCCACTGTCGCTGGTGGTCATCTCGCCAGTGACGCCCTCGCCCTTTCCCACGGTGTTGATAAAGTTAGGGTCGGCGACATCTAGAATAATCTTGGTATCTGTCCAGGCTAGAGTGATATTAGTCTAGATAGCCCCAGGAGGCATGAGTACTTTCAATCAACTTACAGTGAGCTCCGACGGTACCACAGTTAGTCTCAGCGCACTCCACAGAACTGCCCCAGCCCTGGGCCTTTCCATCACTGGTGGAGAGCGTCGATATAGGTTTTCCGTTGACAGATACGGTTTGGGTGTAGTTTCCCGTGGTGTCATCGAACTTATCTGGGGTAGATGGTTAGCCAATTCGGTCACCGGCCAGGCGATATGAGATATGTGGTTGTTCTTACAGTGCATCGTCACACGATCGCCTGCTTTGGCAGTGGAGGACTCTCCCTGCACAGGCACCTGAGAGGCATCTATCCCCGGATCTGTCAGCGCTATTCTTAAGGGGATTTGGATACCTCATGGCCTGAAGACTAACCTCCAGTCTTCAACAGGGTATAGGCATAAATGCTCCAATCGTTGGAGTTCCAGTTATCAGCAATAGATTGAATCAAGTCACCGTTAGAAGTACCCATACCAACCCACAGAGAGGCATCTCCGGAAGATCCGCTGGGTGTGTCGGGCAAGACGAGCGTGGACGTTGCCTCACGGATGAAGGAGTTATCAGCGACCGGACCTGTGCTGAAGGCTGGGCCCATGGCTGCATTCACGGATGTCACGGCCAATGCAGCCAACGTAGACATAACTTGAGGGACGGATGGCATCGTGGGGGAATTCAAATCTTCTGCAAGGTGACAGTTTCTTGAAGTGTGATTAAGGAAATCTGGTAAATTCTTTTCTGGTCAAGACAGGCCCATAAGAAAGCCTACTGTCTTATACATATTCTAGCCGTCCGCGTCCGCGTACCGAGTTCATTAATTGATTAGTGGGTTCTATCCCTGAGGACTACTCCTTCATTGGGCATTTTCCACCATTGAGGGCCCCGAATGAAAAACATTTCCTGAACCAGACGGAAATATCCACGCGGCTGTTCGCAATCCGGAAGGTGATCCGCGGTAATGATCGTTTAGCTGGTCATTAGGGTTAATCTATCTGCGATGATCATACAATAACTACCGTGGATGATCGACATACGATAGCCGTACTGGGAAGCCGTTGTCTTACATATCCTCCACTGCCCATTTATGTTAAACCAAAGGATCGGTGCGCCTGAAACAGACCTCAAATGTACCGTCTTCAAACTCCACTATTTAATCCGGGTTCCACACTGCCATATCTACCCTATTAAACATATTCAAGATTCCGTTAAAGTTTCAGTCAAGTTCCTCCTCACTCCTCACATCCGTCGTACCTCCTAAAAGTAGTACAAGGGTGGTTACTAAGTATATGGGTATTGGCTACCTCAAGGACCCATTGGCCATCACTTATTCCATATAGAGCCAGTTTCATTCTTGATAACAGAACAAATAATTAAAATTCAAACGGAAAGTTGCTCCAGTTTTCTTTCGATCACTCTAGTAGGCCAAGGATCTACGCTTTCTACCATATCAACTTCTCTACAGATATGATGGGAAGGGCTAAGCTCCCGTGAAGATTGACTCCGTTCCGGAGATTATCGTATGTCTTGGAAGTGTGTTTCAGGCTCTCAAGGACAAGCTAGGGCGCCTAGTAGTCTGAACATCCCCAGGAGCAAGCAATCCGTTCAAAAATGCTAAGGCAGTATAGTCAAGACCTCCAAGGCTTACTGCGTATGATAGCAGCAGTCAAGCATCCTCTGTTGACAATATGTTATAAAAACAACACTGCACCTCGGCCGTCTACCGAACATGGCATTATTTTGTCTTCATCATTAGCCTTATTGTACCCCAAATTTTACATTCTATATTAAGCCTATGAGCAATCATTGACTCCTCTATCTAAGTTATCTTTAACGTTGACACAACAGTATATCAGCGTCTAAGACTTGCAATGACCTTATTACCTGTTTTGCTGCTGTACCTGAACCTCGCAGTAGGGAGGCCGCCTTCAAGCTAGCAGCTCTACAAAATTGTTATACGTGAGGAACTTCACGAAATATTCTACCTTTCCATGGTGGCACTGGACACAGCTCTTTATATTAAATCTACGGCTTCATCGTGTCACAGTTTCTGTTTCCTTCACCCCCTTCACAATGTAGACCGAACAATGCGGAGTTTCAAGCTTTGGGCTCGTGATGAGGGTCAAATACTAATACCGGGGCCTGGCACCAGATTACCGCATCGGATGATTCAGGAACCTGACCCATACTATACGAGAAGAGGCCACCACGCTAGTCCACTGGGAGTAAAGAGATGTTTCTAGGAATCCTAACAGTAAGCGCTTTCCAGCTGATTCTAGATCTCCAGTGTACTATCGGATAGATATAGCGCTTAGTTGAGTGGCTTAACTATTCTAGGCCTACCAGGCCTAGAATATAGTTTTAAAAGGTGGTCCTTTTGAAAGCGTTCCTTAGTTCAGTAAACAGTGGAACAATCCACCTTAAATTCTTAAGCAATTTTGGTAGGCTGCTGACTATCCTCTAATGCTTGAAGAATAGCAGTGCGTTGCTCACTGCATAGCCAGATCTAGGCCTTCTATTTACACTGACTTCTGTGCCCAAAGACCTCATTTTGATTGAATTGTATGTAGTTGAAAATAGTGCAATTTCTGACACAGTGCGTGACGCGGGAAAGTGCCGCGATATTATTGTTACATGATTGTAGCGAGTGTAGGGGTCTTGTATACGCGTGATCCAGCTCGAATTTACTGGATACTTGCAAGGCGACACGAAACGCGATGGCCATACAACCTAGCCGGTCCAGTTTCCGGTTGACGACATTACCAAAGTAGTCGGCGATTCTAACCAGCGGCAAGATAGCGGGGTTACAGGTGCAAAGACAGAGGAAATACACCCAGAAAGTAAAGGAAGCATCGAATGTGTATGAGAAAATCAACGATATCCGTAGGTTGGTTGAGCAAGACAAGGACAGGGAAAATAAGAGGGACATCCTGTGTATAGAGAAACGGAAAGACCGCTATATCTATGACCTGTTTCTTGTAATGTATCCAAACATGGCTCCTTAGTATGCTTATACATCTATCTGCTTTATATTGACTTTTATGATAATTTCAAATGCCGAATCTTTATCAACTGTGCCAATCTTCTATAATTCAATTTGTACTATGAGTTGGTCGTATACGAAGATATTTGTTTAAATATCACTAGTCTTCAAACTAAAAATTGCACCGGATGCACTTCGAGCAGAGACATTGCTAGATAACCGTGTCTAGTTGCAATGAATCTTCAGCTTTTTACATGAGAAAAATCTTTTATGCCTCTATATATCCTGACTTGACATGAACCCTTCACCATCTTAGGAATTCGCGTATATATTCTTGACTTGGTAGGAAAAGTCAAGTATTTTTCAGAATCTTAGCTAATGTCCAAGGTAGACAGAGCTTTCTCTCTGCAACTGAGAGTTTCTAGCTAGAGCAGATATTGGTCACCAAGCCAACAAAAGAGCTCAAACATTATCAGCTTACCTTCTATCCGCTCTTTTCAGCTTCCTTTTTGGCCGCCCTGACTGCTAGCATCAAGTCATCTGCTGCAGTGACAATCTGTTCTCTGTACTTTTGGACGGTATTCTTGGTATCTGTGGGATCCTGGATTGCCTCTTCGAGCTTATGATACTTATTCTCGGCAGCTATGGCATCTATAATAGCAGTAACGAACAGACCAGCGGCAGCACCCAAGAAACCACCCCCAACGGTGCCCCAGAAAGCACTAAAGCTTTTGATGAGAATCGGGATCATTGTGCTAGCCGCGACTGATGCAGCGGCGATACCAGCAGTATTAGCAGACATTCCCCAGACTTTAAACTCGGCTACTATCTTGTCGATGTCTTCGAACGAACGACCCTCCCACTTTTCGACAACGGTATCCAGCGGCTCCTTTTTAACTGAAGCATCAATCTTCTCGTAATGCAGCTTTGCGAGGCGCTCGACCTCGAGCAGTTTGGCACGAACATCTGCAACCAGCTTCTCGGGGGCCTTCTCATCAAACTTGACAGCCTCGACTTTCTCGTCTAGGAGGCTATTAAAGACCGTAATGGATGATTTTGTCTTCAGCACATATCCGACGTCGTTGTTTGCCGACGGACATAAAATCAATCACCTTCGTGTACGAGCCTCGGACAAGAGGCCCATGTTAACAACGGATCTCACCGACGAGGCGTATGGAATACTGAATCGAATACGTGTCTTCTCACCAGGGCAATGGGCTGGGTACAAGTCGGCGCCGAACGAAGAATGGGTATTCCTGGGAAACATGCAACAGACATCCATAACTTTGTACTGCATTAGTTCGCTTCAGAACCTGTCGGTTCTGCCTTCAATTAGATTTCTGACGGATGTGCGTATGGCAAATGCCAAGCTTTTGCGGGTATTTCTCGGCGACAGCCTGCTTTCCCCAAGAATCAACAGGTTCATGGTCTGGGCACTCGTTGTACTCGGCGTGTAAGCTACAGATGACGCAGTGCTACGTGTATTTGTCCAGGAGAAACTGCAGAGCTTGAAATACTCTACAGGCACATACGTGCCACCCATGGCGAAAGGTCTCTTAGAGATCTTCTGGCCATCGGGAGAGACGCGTTGGAAGGCTTGCTTCAACAGACCGTACACATTCGTGATGTATATGGTGGTGGATGTCAACAAGTTGCGCTAGGCAGGAACCTCACTTAGTACCTAATCGATCCACAAATTATGGCCTTGTTGTTTCGGACAGTTATAGCTGTCGTAATGGAAATGATTACAGCTCGTGCAGTTCACTCTATATGACCAGGCAGAATCGGTAGTAAGGATGTGGAGGCCACTGACTTATTCAAATGAGAGGTAATCTACACTTATTACGCCATTGACCACAGCATATAAGATTAGCGCAAGAACACTAGGTAAACAAAGGCGATCGCCAAGCACATAAACGAGAGAGAAAAAGTCTTCACAATCCCAACAAACATTTTTTTTTCCCGGACGATTCCCGAGCGTCGCATCTGGTGACTTGTGCCAAGGCTGGTCCACTTCAACCCCCAACCTCGTAGCAGAATTCATAAATGATAGATCCTTTATAAACCATGAGCAGGTGAGTAGTACTTGGTGTCACCTAATAGCCTAGGGGGACAAGGAGCAGTGGCAACTCAAGTTAAAAGTCCATGATCTATTATGGTGGGAAAGGCCAGATGTGCGAGGCGCCGCGTATAATGATCACCTCACCTCAACCCCTTTCCAGCCAAGAAGCCGAGAAAAGCCCTTTGTGGGCCGAGAACATGTAAACACGGAACCCGAGAGCCTCCAAGCGACATAAATCCCGCCAGTCTCTGCATCCCCACCCCATGGGGAATCGGAATAGGTTCTCAGCATTGCACCCCCACGTCGGAAGTATCTTGGCAGCTCACCAGAGGTAACCCTATGTCAAAATTTTCTCCGTCTCACCCCACACAACGTGGATTGTTTTTCTCCAGGATTATGCATGGAATGATTGACAAGACTTTGCGGGGTAGGATATAGTCGCAAGTTTTAACCTTCTATTAGGTTATTACCTCATTCAGTCTATCTTTTTTCTGCTTCGCCTTACTTGGCAGGACCGGTATCGTAGGACGCCTGCCGCTATGCAGCTACTAATGCCTATCGGTCCGGGTGGCGGTTAACCTTGGTCCTATAAAAGATCCGGGGCCTCTCCCCGTCTAGATATTGACTTCTAGGCCCTTTTACCGTTCGTCCCCACTCAATCCTCCCACAATGTTTGGCAAGGAGAAGAACAACGAGAAGAAAGATGTCCTCGAGGTTGAATGCATAGATGAGAAGGCCGTTCCAACTCATGGCAGCCATCAACCTACAATGCCCGCCTCACTGGCGGCTCTGTCGGAATCAGAATACCACAGGGTCGGCCGTAAGGCCATCCTTAAGTTGGATTCCCGTGTGATGCCCTGCCTGGTTATTATGTTCATCATGAACTTTTTGGACCGGCAGAATATCGCTTCGGCTAAGTTGGCAGGTGTCGAGGAAGATTTGGGAATGAACGACGTCCAGTACCAGACAAGCATCAGTATCTTGTTTATCGGCTACAGTATGTGATTTTGCTGGGTTTCCCTTTTTGTCCCTTTTTTGCTTTCATGCCATGCCTGCGGTCCATAATTCGCTGACCTAGATCATGGTCGCAGTCCTGATGCAAGTCCCTTCCAACATCGTTGTTGGGAAGATTCGGATGCCTGGGACCTACATCTGTGCCTCGATGGCGTTGTGGGGCGCCATCTCGGCCTGTATGGCTTCGGTCCACAATTATTCGGGCATCTTGGTTTGCCGATTCTTTCTGGGATTTGTCGAGGCCATCTTCTTCCCCGGTGCGCTGTTCTACCTATCACTCTTCTACAACAGAAAGCAATATGCTCTACGAACAGCGATATTGTACTCCGGATCTCAGATAGGAAACGCAATCGGAGGGATTTTTGCGATCGGCATTCTCGAATTAGATGGATCGCATGGATTGGAGGGTTGGCGATGGGTAAGTGGCAGCCCAGGCGTCGTTTATGGTTCTCTTAACTGAATGGAACTCTATACTCATGTAGCTCTTTCTCGTCGAGGGGGTCATTACTGTGGGCTTGGCTATTATCCTCGCTTTCATTCTGCCCAATTCTCTCAAGACCTTGCTGGGCTTCACGGAGGTTGAGAAGGAGTACCTGCAATGGAATTTCGAATCGGATCAAGGGCAACAGGACAATGCCGATGAGGTCAGCGCGTGGAAGGGCGTCATGATGGCCGTGACGGACCCCAAGACGTGGCTCCTTATGGCGACTCTGTATTGTGTAAGTCATACCCCTGTAGAGGTCGAATAAAATGCTGATCATTGCCGATAGATCTACATCTGCTCTGCTGTCACCAACTTCTTCCCCTCTGTAGTCGCTACATTGGGTTACTCGAGAAATACCACATACGGACTTACAGCAGTACGCTTCCATACTCATCACTCCTATGTTGGTTTCAGTTCACTAATCCTTAATCGTTGATTCAGCCCCCCTACATACTCTCAGTAGTCGCCATGATTACCAATGGATTCCATTCTGATAAGGTATGCGCGATCAACATACGAACGTTCTCACCGGCCCTAATCACTGCAATAGAAACAAGAGCGGTATTTACATATCGTGTGTCCAATGGCAGTCTGTCTGGTGGCCAATATTATTGCCGTATCTTCACTAAACACAGCGGCGCGATGTAAGTTGCGAGTCCGCTCTAAGAAAACGAGGATCGAGAGTCAAGCTAAGCATGCTATACCGCAGATGTCGCGATGATGCTCATGCCGGGATCATTTTACTCGGCCTCGACCATCCTCATGTCATGGGTTGCCGGTTCAGTCTCGCAGCCCGCGATCAAACGTGCTTCCGCCATTGCGCTGATCAATGCCATCTGCAATACCCCCAACGGTGAGCCCCTGTCGTGCAAGCAAGCACTTTCTTAGACGGTTACAACAGAAGCTGACCATCGGCATCCTTCTAGTCTGGACATCCTATCTGTACTTCTCAGCGCCTCGATATCTCGTTGCGTTTTTGGTTAACCTTGCCGCGGCCGCTGGAGCCATTGTGCTAGCTACAGTTACGAAAATGTACCTCCGTCGACAGAATCACAAATTGGCCAACGGAATGGATACTGGTCGGAGTGGGCCAACGGAGGCGCAGAAGGTGGCCGGGTTTAGATATACTTTGTAAACATCTTCCCATCGCACAGCCTTGCTCCTTTCACTCGAATTACAACACAAGCCATATATAGAATAGATTTGCTCCTATCGTAATAATACAGAAATGGATGATGGGTAGATTCCCTACAAAAGTCTACTTAATGGACTTATATTACCCAATGAACGTGAAAGAAAATGTCCGCTATCAGGGGTTCACCAATTAGACACATAGCATACCCGACGGATTACTGTGAGATAGCCCAACGGGCTAATTTAATCAGGCCCAAGGACCTACAAACCGTACCTAGTATGAGTTGCAAGTACCGGATTAGTTTGCCCATCATAACCCAAGCCCGATAGGCGACCCTTGACATTCAGTCTTATGCGGGGCCGCCAAGCACGTAAGTTACCAATGTCTTCTGCGCGAGAAACCCTTCTAATTGCATTATAATGATAGTCCATGCTTACGGTAGGAAATTTGTGTCTTACGAAGAAGGGATTGAGGTCATTCTAGTTTCTTGTTCTCTTCCCCATGTATATAGATGCCGCTCACTAACAGTACTCCTTAAATATATATATACCGCAGATTATATCCAAATATGTATAAAGGATCTAAACCAGCATGAATGGAATAGAGATTAGGTAACATTGTTCCATAGTATCATTCACGCAGGCCTCAATGAGAGGTAAACCCTAGCTTTACTCTCTATACATGCCTCACTTCGAATCTCAGCGGGGTACTAATTACAGAAGTTTCCGACCGGGAGAACTGACATTCCTGCCCGCATTAGTTCAAATCTCATTGGTCATGTATGGAGCAGATCAGATCCAAAGAAGAGTATTACGCCGCAGATCCCACTGGTGAATGGGCGGCTGGGGCCGCACGATAAGCATTAGCCAAGGGTTTGTTTAAATTAGCAAGATTCATTGTCCTACCGGAGGACAAGCCTAGATTATTGGATACCCACCCGAGTCACACTCTAATATATCCTAGATTAACGGCTGGATGTCGGAGGTTACATCTGTTATGACGATCGGGGGGGGAGGTTAGAAGTCCCTCAAATGAGATGCCGGTAAAAGTAAGCACTAGAGTTCAGGCCAGAGCAGGGGTTGTGCCTCAGCCAGTGCTGCTCGTAACTATTATATTGGCTCAGCACACCTGATCTCATGGCATGGTTGGTACGGCTCGACTGCCACGTACAAACGCTGTTCAAGCTGGAAGAGTGACAATCGAAGGGCGAAATGAATGGAAGAGACATTATTGTGGTAGTGATGCCAGTTCTAGTGGAAATATGGCGCAAAGCGTTTCAACAAATGGAAGAAGTAGAGGGGCGTTTATTCTAATCCGACGTCACCTTGATCCTGGGACCCTGCCAATGTCTGTGGCCCCGAACAAACCAATCAATAATGGCAAACAGGACAGCTGCGAGAAAGACAGGAGCAGAGTAGTTCATGTTTTGCGCCGTCACTGGATAGTTGGGAGGAAACGGGAGGAAAATGATAACATATATCCCATAGATGATGACGAAAATATTGAGAGGGATTCCCCATACACCCAACCGGAATGATCCCCAGCGCACCTCATGCGGCGCACGAATGCGTTTAATCAGCAGGAAAATGAGAGGGATCAGGTAAGAAATGTATTGGCCGAGAGTGGTGAGGGATAGAAGCGCGTTGAAGGCCGTGGTGGAGCCGATGTTGATCAAGGCAAGCAGCACGATAATGAGTGAGACCAAAAAGAGTGCACGTAGGGGAACCTTGTACCTGGGGGAGATATGCACAAAGTAAGCTGAAAAGGGAAGGCCTTCATCGCGCGCAAACGCCCAAGTCAACCGGGTCACCGAGGCTAGCCCATTGAACAAGGCCACAAAGCCCGGCAACATGAACATCATCATCATGACTGAGGCAGCTGCATTGGACTTTGTCGCCGCGTATAAGATCGCAAGGATTGGGTAGCCCGTCGGTGTGTTGAGCGCGTCCTCAAAGCTACCCATGGTGTACATCAGTCCGATGGTGAATCCCAACGCGACTACGCCGTTGATCAGGACACTGTATACCATGGATCGGGGAACGGTGCGACGGGCGTCCTTAACCTCCTCCGCCATGTGAACCACGCCGTCGAATCCTGTTGCAACAGACGAGTTAGCCCTTGTTCCTCCTCTCCTTACGGACTGTACGACTAGTTATGGGAGAAAATCAGAGTTGGACTGTACCGCCCAATGTGTAGACCGCAGTCAAAAGGCCCACAGACCAAATGACCCCGTCATTGTGCCACCCGCTCATTTGGTTCTCAAAGTAAGTCCATACGAACTCTGAAGAGTTCCGGGAGCCCAGGACGATCAAGGTAACGAGCACGGCGGGGAAAAACACAATATGAATGATGCCGCCCATCACCTCCACGGCAGACAACAGGCGACGAGCGTAGATATTGACAGCCAATGGGATCACCAAGACGGCCCAAATAATCAGCGTGGCATGCCACGACTTCGGGACATAGGTAGGGTTGTTCTGGATCGCAAGGGCCGTAATTTGGGTACCAATCAAGAAAGGCGAGGTGGCGACATTGGCCCACCAGGAAAACATCTGCCATCATCCTTGTTAGAAACGGAGCTACGCAAAAGCTTCGTTGGGGTGTCAGACTGTAATCCATCCTGTCCCATTGTTAGTGAGATATCACGGAACGTAGGAAAATCGATCTCACCTTGAATAAAACTTAGAAATCGTGGAGCGAACGGAGCAAGATCATATGTCCAATGGTATTGGGCTCCTGCCACGGGGGTTCTATCTCGTCCACGAGTAAGTCGGAGCGCCTTCTTAGGAAGTCTAGTGAATTGGGAGATCCACCAACATTGATGCCAACTCGGCGAGTGAAAGGGCCATTCCCAATGAACCGATAGTTGCCAATATCAACCCATAGATAAGGGCCACAGGGCCCCCATTCTCCATACCTGCATACATACTAGCCCCGATCGCTTCCCAGGAGGCTTGTAAAGTCGCGGCAAATGCTAGCATGGGAAGGAAACCGAGATATCTCTGTGATGGGATTAGAAACGTCAGAATTACTAACATTCCCAACAATCTTTGATAGAGTTCTCTGTCTTATGTTACATACCTCCAGGTTTTGTTTCGAGGGTGACCCTTGTCTCCGAGAAGGAGAACAACTTTGAATGCTGTCACGAGGTATCTTGTGTTCTCCGTCACCACTGGCCATTTCAATCTCATTATAGTCCATAGCTGTCGCCATTGAAACGCCCTTACTGGAACAAGAAATGATATGGGGGTATGTTTTAGGTTCCAAGAACTAGAAAAAACCATAATCTCTGGAGCGAGGGACAGAAGGAAAAACAAACACAAAGAAAAAGATAGAACCCCTCCTGGTCCTTTTATCCATGCAGGGGGTGCAGGTTGTGACAAGGATTGAAGGGAAAAAAGACCCCCTGGTCAAACAACCACGCCATCTATCTAGTGTTGTAACCCTGGGTCCCATAACGTAACCGAGGCCAAATCAAATAGCCCATACACATGAGGTATTGCCATTCCGAAGCCTTGTGAGCAACTCAGGACCAAGTAGAAAATATAACAAATTAGCCCATAGTGTCATAACCTTGCTTAGCGGCTATGCGGTACCTCTCTGTTCGAATACGCTCCAGGGGCCTTTTATCCCGGCTGCGAGCCAGGGATTGAAGCCGATGCAACTTCATCTTTCTCTCCAGCGGTTGGTCGTTCTCCCCCATCCGCATATAAATACCTCTGTACTACCATGTTGCACCTTCGTCATTATATACCTGAACTCGGTTGTTTGTCAATTCGTGGTCCACAGGAATGCCTATTCCGTCTGCTCCTCTGCGCCCGCTCGCTGAGGTAACTACTGACAACCATGGTGCGGTTGTATCAGTTACTGCATTTGTTCTCCTTTCCATCACAGTTATCATAGTGTTGATCAAGTCTTTGTCAATGATTTACCTGAAGCGAGTAGTACTCTCGGTTGACGTTCCAATATGGACTAGCACAGTGCGATTTTCACCCAGGCCTCATGCTCTGTACACCACCGGCTGGCGATCTCTTCGCAAAGGCCCTACTAATATTAACATAGATAATAGCGCTGGTCCAAAGCATTTTGATACAATTTGCCGTCGACCATGGCCTGGGAATGCATCGCGATGTCCTTTCCAGTAGCATATTTGATACTTATAACCAGGTAAGTCTGGCTCCGTTCATTCCTTCTCTAGAATTGATTGTTCTTCACAAAGCAACTAAATCCATTTTACAGCTTATTTACGTGGCGGAACTTCTCACTTTTTCGGTTCTTTCTCTGACCAAAATATCAACGAGCAATCTGATCCGCCTGATCAATGCAAACCAGTCTATCGATCGATCAAATAAAGTGACGCAGATCGTGATTTTGGGATGGACAGTACTGGCACACCTTGGATACGCGTTCCAATGTCAAACACCGCATTGGCGGTATATACGTAGTCAGTGCGTTGGAGAGGTGAGAGCCAGAGTCAGGGAAACTAAAGCTAAATTCGAATGCTATGCTAAGGTCTGCCAGGGTGCCATCATGTATTGGATTATGACAATCAATATGTTGATCGACGTGGTACTTGTGGTTCTGCCAACCATCATGTTGTGGAATGTACAAATATCGTTCGCTCGTCGCCTGAAGGTGATGGCCGCATTTGCGTCTCGCACGGCGTGAGTCCTACCACCATTCCAATGCAAAATGGTAGTGAGATGGTGGCTAACGATGCCTAGAGTCATTGTTGCTGATGCCTTTCAGCTATCCTATCTAGGACAGTATTTACATTCTACTGATCCCACATGTTGGTCATCCGCGCATATTGAAATCAGGCACTGAGCTAAGACATTCATGTTTAGGGACGGTTCTTGGCGTCATCGTTTGCAATCAGTAAGGAGGTTTCCTTGACATTATCTCGGTCCTAGAAATGCACTGAGTCCGTTTCCCCTACGCGGTACTAATCTTTAGTTCTATTTGGTAGAGTGATGATGAATGCCGGCATTATTACTACATGTATCCCAACCTTGTACCGTTTCATAGACAGCCTGGCCCTTGGAATGAACAATGTCCAAATACCGGAAGAGCTTGAACTGAGCTCGGCCAAGAAGTCCGATCGGGCTGTGTCTAATCCCAGCAGTGCTGCTCACGCACAGTCTAGCTCCCAGGCTAAGAGAGGCATATTTAAGGTACTCCATGGCCCCCAACCTGCCAACGAGAGGGAGGACGGTTTGCTTTTATCCACACGGAGTACCACCGGGAACGCCGACGACACTAATAAGCCTAAGAGTGTGGTGAGTAGCATCTGATTGTAAGATATATCTGCCTGGTGTACCAAAAGGACAGGGCACCGAGATGGATGCGGAGGGGGACAATGAATGACGATATTAAGTCCCCATTTTCCAACCTCACTTTCCTATACTTGTCTATATATGCCCCCCGCTGGTGGCTCAGTCCAAATCTCTTCTAGACCTCTGGGCTAGGTCTCACAGATAAGATCGTCCTTAGATGGGGAACACGTAACATTTGCAAAGGTTGTGGCAAAGATATACAGCATCCCAGAAGCAATCTATCATCACAAGGACGATGGAACCGCAATACATAGTACACTATGACATCACCTCATGAGTTGCATGACTAACTAGCTATGAGATGCCTTCTGTTCATGCTTTCCTTGTCGATTATTAAACTTCAGGTTAGGTTTCAAATAGAACAGATTGCGCGCTCCACTGCAATAAGCTCTGTAGAGGACTTTTACAACGTCCGTTTACTGGGCGAGGGCCTTGAGATAAAACGTTCTAAGGGATTGATTAAAAGGCTCTCATTGGTACCGCTCAGCAGGCATGCATATTGCCGAAGCTACACCTATGATGGCCTCCCCCGATGCTCTCGTGCTATGAACACTTTTCTCATGCGTCTTATAAGCCAACAACTTCGGAATATTCGCAAGGCGTCCACCATCAAGTATCAGTAACTGTTGTTTTAAATACGGTCTTCTGCGGCAATGGGAGCTCACGAGTGGCTAGCCCTATCGTCACAAATCTGTTAATATCAGTACTAAAGGCTATGGAAAGTGTCGTGTATCTGTTCTCAACCTGTCAACACTCCTAGTCGCATGCTCCATGGGGTGATAGAGATTTAGTATATTTTTTCCTAGCTAGTCTGCTAAGACCTGACACTCTGAGTCGCATTACAAATGGCATCTTCCGAGTTCCCAAGTATTTGTCTATACTCTAGACCCAGAAGCACCAGGGCTCCCATGTAGATAGAGTGGATTCTTCTAGCACCTCGACCAAGAAAACCTTGGGCCCATCATAAAGGATCATTGAACAGGAGCCAGGATACTGTCACTATCTGTCTGAAAAGTGAAGCAAGTAATGACACCATGGACTCCGGGCTGTATCGACATGTAGTATCCGCAAGGGCTAGACATTCAAAGAACGACTCGGCACTTCCTGTTTCATTGGAACCCGCTAAAGAGAGCCTTTCGAATCCCATGGGTTCAGTCAATGTTACGTGCTCAGCGTCTGAAATATCCGCCAACTGTGGGGTACTGGTACATATCGCACTGGATAAACCAAACACCCTCGCCGTTTTCGGTCAGATGTACATTTGACAGCACCAAATGCGACACCTGATCGTTGAGCCATACCACAGAAGACATGCAGAGGTCGCTATGTGAAGATCAAGTATCCACTTAGGACCCAAGGGCTATCATATCACCACCCCAACAGGATGACGATGGCACAGTTAGTCAGGATACCCTCCATAGTTGAGTAGGAGTCAAGATCATACGCAAGGTAGTCTGTATGCTACCTTGCGTCAACGTTCGACGATTCTAGAGCCGTGTGTATGACTTCATTGACTCGTTTCAAAGCATTCCGACCACTCTGATTAGCACATTGTATGATCTAGTCAGTGGATGGAAGCATGTTCACCAGAGCGGTAGCATTTTAGACCATTCAACAGTGCGCCCTGTGCCATAGATTCAGACGTCCAGTGTCCTAGCCGGCGAAGTCGTGATGCAATAATACAGTTGCAGAAACATATCAACGAGAAAGTATGAGTAGAAAGTGGATATATATAGTGTACATCGACCATTTATACCAGATATTGCAAGTTCGTTAATCCAATGTGGAGTTTCCAAGATGTCCTTCATCGCTACTATACTGTGTGCTGCCTCTCTAGCATTCACAGTTCCTGCCCTACCATCAAGAGCCCAGGGCGAGGTACCTGCAATACATGGATTCAATGATCAGGAAATCCTCAGAGTACCTGTCCGGGTGCCTAAGCGCGGTGCTGTTGCTAGTCAGAGCAAAAAATGCAGCGACATTGGAGTGGAGATGTTGAAGATTGACGGCACTGCGGCCGATGCGGTAGGCTTATTGATTTTCCAATCTCTCCTCTTTAGTTCCCACCTGCCCCCAAACTACTGGATGGCATACATTAATACCTACATATCTTCAAACTATACCACTTCCTGCCTAACTCACTCATAATCCTTGTTGACAGATGATTGCCACTGTTCTTTGCGATGGAGTCGTGTGTGAGTACTGCTCTTTACCCCGTTGGTCCAGTAGGCTTACAACAGTTGATTGGCTGATATGAGAATAGCCATGTACCATAGTGGTATTGGGGGGGGTGGGTTCATGCTAGTGCATGCCCCGAATGGCACATCCGAGTTCATTGACTTCCGTGAAACTGCACCCAGGGCCGTTGACGAAGAGGCTTACCTAAACGACCCTAATGCCTCCAAGATAGGTGGAAGTGCCAGGTGAGCTGTCCCCCAAATCCATATCCCTTCTCCAAAGGTACGATGCAGATTATAACGAGCTGTAGTGGCGTCCCCGGTGAGATTCGAGGCCTGGAGCACCTGCATAAGAATTACGGAAGGCTACCATGGAAGTACATTGTTGACCGTGTCGCACTGGTTGCGGAAGAAGGATTTACCGTCACAGAGGATATGGTTCACTATATGGAGATGAGTATTAACAGTACAGGATACAACTTTTTAGTCAGGGATCCATCCTGGGCCATAGACTTTGCTCCCAATGGGATTCTAGTAAAACAGGGTGATACCATGACTCGCAAGCGATACGCAGCAACATTGAGAGAGATTGCGGACTATGGCCCGGACGCATTCTACAAGGGCAAAATCGCACGGTCAATAGTAAGAAATGTTCGATCCACAAATGGTAATATGACCGAAAGTGATCTCTTGGAATACGGAATCATTCGAAGAGATACGTCGGAGATTACATACCGAGGCTACAATCTCACCAGCACCACCGCACCTACAAGTGGCGCGGTAGGTCTTAGCATATTAAAGATATTGGAGAGGTATACTGATTTCTTTCAATCTGGGAACGAGCCACTGAGCACTCATCGGATGAATGAGGCAATCCGGTATGGTTACGCACGGGTATGCTACACTGGAGAAGCTACTTATTGTTCGATACTTACATGCATATAGAGGAGTTTACTTGGAGATCCTGACTTCAGCACACATGACTTGAAGGAGTATCAACAATGGATGCTGGCTGACAGCACAGCGAGCCTAACGAAGATTGATGACTGCCGAACACATCACAATTCATCCTACTATATCCCCGGTGGGCTTGGGCATGGTGCTAGGTATATTCGATCCCTTTCCCTTTCCCTTTCCCTAGAATATGTAGCATAGTTAATCACCAAGTATGTAGTCATGGGACATCTCATATGTCAGCCGTGGACAAAGATGGCTTAGCCATTGCTTTAACAACCACTGTCAATCTCTGGTTTGGGAGCCGAGTCATGACCGATGATACGGGGATTGTCTTGAACGACGAGATGGATGACTTTTATATACCCCACGGTTCAGATGATCCCACGCTATTTCCTCAAAATCGCATACAGCCAGGCAAACGGCCTCTGTCTACTATTTCACCTACAATCGTCACGCGGAACGGCGAATTATACTTTGTCACCGGGGCTGCCGGCGGGACGCAGATTGCAACAACCACACTCCAGGGGATCATCAATGTGCTCGACCGGGATATGAATACGTTCGATGCGCTTGCTGAGCCACGACTACATGACCAATTATTCCCTGATACAACTAACGTGGAAAACCCATATCAGTCCCGGAAGGCCGTCGAGGGTGGGTACAATACTACGATCGTGGATTATCTGCGTCGAAAAGGACATGATATAACTTGGTTCGACTCCATTGGCATGTCTCAATCGATTCGACTCCTTCCTGATGGAAGCATCGAGGCTGTGGGAGAGCCACGACAAGTCAATTCTGGAGGAGCTGTGTGGCCTGAACAGGAGCGATCTCTCTATGGAGGTTACAGTATAGGGTGAGAGCATAGGGCTTACTTCCTATCAGTACTGCCTATTGATTCCGATTATCTTGACACTAAGTATTTTGGTTTGTTGAGCTTGGTATATTCCTGTGTTCCTGTTGTCGATTGTGCTATTTATCTGTGTAGTATGTTTTTATCTTTTCATCAGAAAAAAAGAAAAAAAGAAAAAGCCGTTAGCGGCGTCTACGAGTTGTGATTTCGTAGATAGACTAAAGTATAGTAAGACCTGTTCTTCTAGTAGAGACAGTATTGCTAGTATTGTTAGGCCAAGAGAGGTTCAATAAGTCTAGCAATGTGTTCGATGGGCTCTGAACCATGGGGTTGGGTTGACCATGCTTAGAGGGGGGTATAGCGGTCACTATCTATGGCCAAATGTCGTCTCAATCGACGTGAGCGCCTTTGACCAAGTATACATTATCACGGTCACGTACGATGGAGGAGAAATAAGTTCTTATTCTAGTCCTTTGGTTATCGCCGAGGCCGGCTGCAAGATGGGGGATACCATCAGTAGGACCAGGCCCGCGGGTCTGACTGTACCATTAGGCGCTCACCCAAGCGTAGGTGCGGGGCTGTGGCTACAAGGGGGCATCGGGCACCTGGTTAGGCTGCATGGACTCGCATGCGACGCGATCGTCGGCGCCGTGGTGATCAGTGTCGAGTCGAGCTAGGCTTTCTGTATCGGCAAGGTACCAAGTCAATACCAAGCCGGCCGGTGCTGTGCGCCCAGAAACGAAAGTGAGCTGTTATGGGCGATAAAAGGCGCCGGAGCTAACATTGGCATCGTTTTTAGCGTTACCTTCAAGGCATACATGGCTTCAACCTACTTGGCTCGAAACTGGGATGCTTCCTTGAGTGGTGGTCTCGAGGCACGGTTTAGACTAAGCGATTTTGCTCAATTCATCGCCAGGGAGCTGCCACTAAACTATTCTGCAGATGTATATCTGTACTGGGACATTGGCGAGCTTCATCTTAGCGTAGCCATGTTTGAATGTTCCATGACTGGGCTCACCTCCAAATCACCGAAACTCGCGATCACACCTGGAGACACATTTTTTGCACCACAACATGAGGTTAGAGTTTAGACGGCGTCGGTTTGATCGAGGCCGACATGTACATGTCTGGAACGCATGGAGGGCACGGTGGCAGAAAAACCTCCTTGTTCAAGCAATGTGTATTTCTAAACTGCATCGGAGCAGTGAATGTCGCCGACATCTTGACTCAAGCCACGGAGACTTGTCCCTCGCCACTCTGTTACCATCTACTGTAAGGTGGTGGAGCGGTGGGCGACGTGGCGCCCGGTGCCACTGCTTCAGTTGTCGAGACTGGGACTTTGCCTGCGTGATAGCCGGTGTATGGCCCCGTGACCAAGACGGAACCGACGTCGCTCGAACCGCCGTGTGGTGGGTTTACACCGTCATGGTCTTGTTGTCCATGAGTAGCGGGAGTTACGGCGCAGATCTTAGGCCGGACCCCAGAGACGCTGGGCAGGCGACCCTGGCTTTTGGACCGAACCGGCCACGCCTGGCCCGTCCCAAGCATAGCTTCGACCCGAAGAATGTAGTGCCGTATGCTTGCCCGCTTCGAAAGCCGCCAATGGAGTAGAAACTTATCATCCTCGTGGCGGGCGGAGCTGCACCGGTACCTGGGCCTCTGTTTTTCAACACAGGCACCCATAACAGCCTTACGGCGCGCGCAGTCAGCATTAGCGATGCGACCAATCGAGAACTATGCGGCGGCTACAGATGCCAATCCGAACCGCCAGCTTTGGGACTGTGCCTACAACGCGCAACACAGGCCCACCTTGACAAAATTCTTCCACGACTAGGTACGAAACGACCTCGGCTGCCCAAAGAGGAATGAGAGATGAGGCCCCCGTCGCAGACTTCTCTCATCTTGTACCAGAGAACAGACGGCTCGGAATTCATGTCCAGGCGAGCGAAGAGACGCGGCGGGCCTGGCGAGAGGTACCACGGCGGCGATGATGATAGGGGCGATAGCAGAGACAACAATAATGGTAGACCGACTCCCACGGCTTTGAACCACCGTTCCAGCCTCCTCGTCTTCAACAATGACACGACCGAACATGCATCTGCGAAAAGCCTTGCCGAACAGTATCTGCTTCCCTTTTTCCACGAGGACCTCCAACAACTCGCCACCCACCATGGTGCGCCTGGGTACCCGAATTTCCACGGCCGGACATTGAGTTCCACCATGTGCTGGGTATTTCCCAGCAGCCGGGTGGACTAGCCCTGTGCATATCTCTGCTGCAATGGCACTTAACACCGGTGACTGAGTTCATGTCGATGTGATCGTGTGTTAAGAGGCTGGCGGCTTTGTCTACGCTTCTGCTTTGGCCTCATGCGTCGATTTACCCCTGGCCCTGATTTGCGAAGCCGGTAATCTCCCCCCCCTCTCATGGCTTCCGTCCTCAAATCTACATCGCATATCTCGTCTTCGACATCCAGAATCTCGAAGGAGGCTTGGATCGAGATAGGCAGGGATGTGATCCCTAGAGGCGCGTCAGCGGTGGTGATGGACAATGTGTTTGCTACGGGGGCGAGCCTTTGTGCGGTGCTACAGCTATGAGAAGAAGCTAAGATCGATGCTAGGGATATTAGCATCTTGGTCACGGCCGAGTTCCCTGTTCACCGTGGCAGGGAAGCTTTGCGCCTCCGTAGCTTTGGCAGAGTCGATATCCAAAGCCTTTTGGTCTTCATTAGTGCTTAGGAAACGAAGGGATTTTGAAATACTTAGTATGGGATCGAGTCCAGCTTCTTTCATGTCCTTCGTCTTGGAGGTTAGTATGTCTTATAAACAAACCTGCCACCAAGATATCGACAAGGTGCTCTTTACTACGGCTCAAAAACATAAGTGCTCCCATCTAATCACTTATCCGCTAGTTATTACAGTGCCGCGCATCGTTAGTAGTAGTCAACCTATCGAAGATTATTACCTAGGTTTCAAGCGTGCTTTCCGCCTTGTTAGCCAAGGTCCCTTTAGAGATACCGTTGAAGTTTCGAGGCTCTGATATATGGTGATTATATAATCACCAGATCCACTTCTGTGAAATCACGCGGTGGGTGGCTTGAGCTCCACTTTTCCGGACCGGCCTGCAGATTGGAATTTTTTGGGAAGACGATGATGTACTTTAAAAGTAGATTATGGTAGACTAGCTCTTCCACGATTGATATGAGGTCTGTTTAGGTTCTGGCATCCTTCTACACAAGCTAGCAAGTTATGTCCAAAACGGTAATACTGAGGATATATGACGCTGGCTCAGCCACTTCATCACGAGCTTTAAGCTTTTAGGCGAGCACACTGCCACACGTAAGGCGACAGAAATTCATATTTTATTTCCGCCATCGCCAGCGCAGCTTCACGACGACTGATGAATATCTCCACCTCTCCCTTATGACGGGAATCGTCGCCTTCTACGACTTCCCACTCAGATGAATCATGTACAAACGAAGCGTGTTTACCAATATCACTCCGCTTCCGTCGTATATTACGCGGGAGACGGTCGTGGATGCCCTCCACAATCATAGCGAAATGATTGAGCTGAACCCTTTGGTGATCCGGCATCAGCCCTGTCGCCCACCACCCTTTGCACCTGCAGATGAATTCCACTGTACATGGTACGAGTTGACCGATCGCATCTCGTATTTACCCGGCGGGCTCATCCAGGGTAATGTGTCGTATGCCGCGTGCTTTCACGACCTCCCGCGAGGCCTTCAAACGCACGTCTACGCTCCAACCGGCTTGGATATCCGGGAGAAGTGGTCGGTCTGTGGGAATATGCCCGGAGAGCCGCGAGAGCCCGTCGAACTGGGCATCCCCGATGCACCCCGCGAAGGGCTATACCTTCGGGAAGATGTCAACATGCGGTCGCAGATCTGGGCCACGTCATTTGTGAAGCGGACACTGAAAAAGGCCCACTCAGTGCTAGTAGACCGGCTAGTCATTAAGGCGGACCTAGAAAAGCAGAAGAGGGAGTCAATATCCGGATGCGTGTCCGAATCATCGATGCAACAACAATATATTCTGTCGCCTACTCAGAAACCATTGCGTGATGGGTATCAAGGAGAGGAGGACTCGTTGTCGCTGGCGCAGAGCCGTTGGTCAAGGACCAGCGATATTGTTGAGGTTCCTGGATCGTTGCAGGCGGGACAGAGACGTGGTCAGCGAGCAGGTCCTTCGGTATATGAACTCGAATAAAGAGAGGTGTATAATTGTGGACTTTTCCATTCTCTGGGTTTTTTCTTTTCTTTTTTTTTTTTTTAATTTTTTTTCCTTGTGTCTTAGCGCATGTGCTTTCTGTGGCAAGCGGTTGATGGATTATCCTTGGAACTTGGGTTTTCATGTCTTCTTCATCCATGTTGGTGATGCTGCAATATATTGATGGAGCAATGGTACTCACCATATAAGAACAGAATTGTTTCTTGACATTTGTTCACGACGCGAAACGATAACTCTGAGATAAACTATATAAGATGAATCTTATGTGAAAAATGAAACATGAGTCGTGGTATATTGATTTCAACAGGCATGTTATTGAGGTTATACTGAACCATTCTTCATATGGTCGACTCCTGCTGTCTGCTTCGCCACGAAGCCATAATCCCCCGACAACAGACTATTGGTCATTTTATCTATTACCTACATTGAAGAAATGAGGGTGAGGTACGGGGTTCCTCCAACGCGGTCGCAGCACAAAGACAAACGTCGCTTTTCTCTGCTCACAGGCGACCGGATATTGGCACCATTCTCTAGAAAGCGAAGGTCAGCACGGCACGACAGAATTGATTTTTTAGCACTTCGCCACTCCAGGGCTCAAAGATAAGCATCAAAATCCTTCCAATAGCAGAATCAATGGAAGCGAATACCCGAGAGACCTTATACAACCTAAATAGAGGGCAGCTTCAGCTGGATGCGAAGTTTGCTAGCCTTGAGACAGACACATACATGCTCTAGTGGACGCCCTGCGAGCGGGCCTTATCATTACAATACTCATGGTGGAGAGCGATACTGTCTCTATCTGCCAGGATGTCCTATTGCTGGAACTTATTGAAGCACGGTCCGGAGGGAGCATTGTTCATAGCAAGCATATACCTATCACTGTTCAGGTTGTCACGGTGAGATTGACGGCTGCAAAACGTCTGAAGCAGGTGAAAAGTACGTGCGCGTCAACTACAACATATCGACAAAACAACATGAGTGATATACTGAAGTGGAGGGAACAGCATCGCAATGGTGTGTGGGCGAGTCATGGTGTTCGCCTTAGTTGCATGGGACAACAAGTGCTAGAGATGACGCCTTCCTTAGATCCGATTAGCTCAACAATCACACAAGGAGACTATTCCAACATCAGTATAGCTCTATCGACATCGTTGATGCCAGACCTAAGAGGACCACGGGATTCTAGTGTCATTATTTGAAAGCGGGAGATGGCAGCCCTACTAGTAACCCAGGTTGTTGCCTTCCATAGGCCACTGGTAGATAATGATGCGAGGCTAATCTGGCATATTCATGGGGGAACAGTCTTACAATGGAGAATCCTATCTATGACATCCTGGTTCGAGATATCCTCGCTTTCAGGCCATCCGCCCCTATTACCTGGTAAGAATTATATATAAATGACATGGGTAATTGGCGAGTTGAACCTTTACTTACACCTCACGGTTCAGTCTCAGTCAATACAGGTTATCTTTCTCTTAAGATAAGACAAGACCGTCTAGACCATCGTTCCGAAGTCCAGTGGCAACGAATTACAAGAAGATCGTGTCTTTCGTTTTTCTCCGAAATCCGCCAAGAAAACGGCCCTGCTCCACGAAGACTAGCATTGAACAAAAATAAACTGCGCAAATATAAGCCTCCAACACTCGATGTAGAAAAATTTTCTTTTTCTTTTTATCTTGAAAATATTTACAAGAACCTACTCGGTAGGTGTTCGAAGTCGACGGCAATACTTGTCGTAGATTTATCCCACATTGATACCTTAGCTAGATAACCGATCGGGGAGTAACTCGGATAAAATGTTATTAATAAGGTAGCAATATATCCCTGAAGATTACGGGACTACTGCAGTGTATCCTTGTTGTTTCCGCCTGGACCTTCCCATCCTCCCAAGGGAACCCTATATCTCCATTGGACCTTGACGGGAAAATATGGGGAAAATGACCCACCTCTTGATCTATCAATGCAATGCGTGAGGGGCTTCGGAGATAAGAGAGACCGTGAACGATAGATAACTCTGAGATAGAGAAGATAAAATTGCCAGTTACCGGTGAGTAATTCAAGGAATTACTCACAGTGCTATGAAGAATTCCAATGTCACGATATCTGTCAGCCTATTATCTAGGAATCCAGAAAGGCCACGGGAGTACTTATCTCGCGTGGACCTTCTACGTTCCTAGACCCCATGGGGAAGAGAGCCAGTCTCCACCGGGACACGAAGAACTCCAGAACCGAGCTTAGCGTGTAGATATGAACCGACTAAGTTCTGGAACTAATGCCCTCACACATATATAAAGACTCTCGCATACACCGGGTTTCTGGTCTTTTTTCCCCCATCATCAGTCAAGACACCGTACGTGTGGTGATCGCACAACCTTGTTATAATGACTGACGCAAAGAAGACGCCTGTACCTAGCTCGCCTCATAGCCCCCCTACCTTACCGGACAATGCAACCGATCGCGCTCAGAGCATAGCGGTGTGCGAGGAGATTGTCCCACGATGGAAGCAGGTATGGCGGCACAGTTTGACACAGATGATGCTTCTAAGCGTCCAGGCATTCTGTGGGCCAGCCATGTCGGATGCAATTACAGGTGAGAAGGTCACATCCTCCCATCATGAGTTAGAATGTCCAGCTAACGCTTTGCAGGCCTCGGTGGCGGTGGGCTTGCAACTCCACAGGTGTCAAACATTTCGAACGCGATCAGATATGCGATGCTTGCGATCTGTGTGTATTTCGGGCATCCCCGGCAATGAGTACCTGTTTGCGCTAACTGATGCATGTACCTATCAGTCTGCTTCTTCGGCGGCCCCATAGTGAACAAGATTGGTGTCAAGTGGGCTCTGGTCATCGGCTCAATGTCATTTCCGATCCAAGGGTCCGCATACTACTGCAATAGCAAGTTTGGAAACCAATGGGTGAGTCATAGGCCCTCCTCAGCCCGCTAAAGTGGGCTTGACCTGTCACTCGAAAGTACAGGATGGTTGACCCAAAGCATCTTGTTCGCGCAGTACCTCATTCTCAGTGGTGCTATAGGCGGAATAGGGACCGCTTGCTGGTATGTCGCCGAGGCCGGAGCCATAATGACGCTGGCCCCTTCCGGCGCGCGCGGGAAGTACCTGGCACTGTGGATTGTGTCGCGGAACCTCGGACAGCTGGTGGGAGGTGCAATCAAGTAAGCTGACCGAAAGCGTACAGCGACAGCCAATGCAATGGATAAGTTTTGACTGAAGATCTGCTGTTAAGCCTAGCCAAGAACCATGAAAAAGGTGTCAGTGGTGGAGTCACACCTGATACCTTTGTTGCCTTTGTGATTATTGAGTGCATCGCGTGAGTGTATCCATCTTGCCGTGACCTTGAGTGGGACCTAGAAAACTCATACTAACTTCATTCATAAGTCTCCCATTTGCACTATTGATCACCCCTTTCGAACGCGTTATCCGATCGGATGGCACCAAAATTGTCACCTCAGAGACACTTTCTACCAAACGGGAAATCAAATACATTGCGAAAACCGTAACTTCAAGGCTCATTGTGCTCTCTGCCCTTTGGGCACTGTGGTCGTTCTTCTACACGTAGGGCACATCATACCCATATCATAAAAAAGGATGATAGGGGATTGACAGATATACCAGTGGTACCTGGTCCACCTACTTAGGAATCTACTTCTCCGTCCGCGCCCGCGCCCTCTCATCGCTGATCTCGCCTTTCTTTTGCATGTAAGTCCAAGCGTGTCCCATTTGTAATGACTACTCGCGTTAACCAGCCTCATCTCTTGCCAGTATCGGCTGCTTCGGTCTCGGGTATATTCTTGACATGAGGGGTCTCAATCAACGCCGCCGCGCCCAGATTGGCCTTTATACCGTTGTTATCCTCAACGTCGGGGTGTACATCTGGTCCATCATTATGCAGACAAAATTCAATCGGAATGATCCGGGACACATCGATTGGGACGACCGGCTCTACGCGTCCTCCTTCCTGCCGTACTTCTTTATCCAGACCACAGGTCCCTTGTCACAGTCGTACATGTATTGGCTGCTGTCGTCCTTTGCAACGGATGCGCAGGGTATGTTTTCCCGCAAGATCTGCAATGTAGCGAACATCAAGTCGCTAGTGATGCTAATTGAACTTTTAGAAAACGTGCGCAATGGTGCTGCATTCCGATGCATCGAGGCTGTTGGGCAGGCAGTTGCCTACGGCATGAACTCTCAAACCACGAGCAGCCCTCTTGTTGGATTGTATGTTTTCCCGTTCCGCCTGTGGGATGGCTTACCAAAAGACTTACTCACTGATCCCTTAGCTGCGTGACGTTCGCCCTGCTCGGCGCTTCTTTATTGCCCATGATCATGCTCGTTAATACAACACCAGATCGCATCCCCGCCGATGTCATTGCCGAGCAGCAAAATGTCGCTCATGAAAAGCTTGAGGGTGTCTAACCCATGGTCCTTTGACAACCTGGTTAGGGATAAAGGGCTAATTATGCACTTTAAGTCCCAACCATGGGGATCCTGTACGTAGAGCTTGAGAAGCGAAATATAGATATATATTCTAGGATGATACAATAATATATTATGACATTCCTCGCGATAGGGGCGGATGAAGAAAATAGAAAACCATTTACATAAGTGAATGGACCTGTCCCCCGTAGTAAATTTTAACAATTTGAGTTGCATCAAGTCTCGTCAATGCATACCTAGCTAAAAACGGGGAGACTTTTGCCAAATATTACTCTGGTATAGCAGTATACAAAACAGGATAGATAAGCGAAACGATCGCTATTCGGAGTGTAAATAGATTTATCCTCTGCATACTCAAGTGCAGTCTGTCTATGCTGATCAAGATTGGAGGAATCTGTACCTGCATGAAGTACCACCCTTGCACCTTTTACATAGCCATTTATAGGCGCATAGTGAGGTACAGTCTTCCCTTCATCATCCTACGCATCCACGTCTGCATTTTCAAGTAGATATTCTGTGACCTCATTATCTCGCCCGTACTCGGCGGCAGCGATCAGGACAGGTTTATGATCTGGAAAAACTTCACTGACCAACACAGGGTGGGGTGGGGTACAGCTGGCCCCGGAAATCGTACAGGTCCCTCATTTCCCACAAGACACTTCCATTGATTAGTATTGGGTAAATATCGCTTACAGCTTAAGAGTTAACATGCTCTTTTTCTATAGAATGGAGAAGGAGACTCCGAGGTGTAAGACAGTAGCACTGTGAAATCGACATTGCCGTCCAGACCTACTGTTTCCAGTGTGAGTCTGATGAGGGAGATTCCACTGTCTTCCGGACTATACACTGGTAGCTCCAGGAGGCGTATTGAGGTCGATGTAGTAAAGGTTATGTAATGGAAGTTCAGTCACGAAATATCTGATATGTTGCAACCTATGCAATAGGAAGCGATGCAACCTGGTCATGCCTTAAACTAGACGGGGCTGTAGTCCGATGCGAGGTAAAATAATGGTACACCTTTCCACACTCCTTGCCTAGGTAGCAGAATGACTGAGTTTATCATGTTTGGACTTTATGTTGCGCTAGTGTCTGACCTTATATTAGCTTTGATAATGGTGGGTTACTCCCGGATTGCTCGGCAGTAGCCCAAACCAAACACCAATACGCTTACATTCCCTGCGTGATCGGGCCAGCCACAAGCCTGAAACTGCGAGGCTGAAGGTCCGGAACAAAGCACGTTGGGCGCAAGGAGACTGCGCGTAACGTGAGGACCGATTAGTCTGCTCTAGATTGGCACGTTAACTCACAGGGCGGGGTTCTGAGCACCCTTCTCCTGAGTGCCAGTGATTTTAGCATGGCATGTTCATTTCAATTTGGCATATGGTTCTCCTGCTGACCATCCTTAACAATGCCTGAGTGCGCTCAGAGACAAGACGTGGATCGTTGATGAGCGAAGTTACAATGCAACTGTCTTCCCAACTATCTCGGCACCCAACTACTTGGCGGATCTCTATGCCGGCACTCAAACTTCACTTTTGCCATACATGAGTATTCCATAGATGACGAATACATCACGGTAGATATGACTGAAAGATCAGAAATGCTAATGCAGCAAGACAGCATTTCTACTTTTGATACAGCGTGTCAAACATAATACGGCGGCGGAGTAGTGTTGATCGGTGAAAACTTCAATAATTCAAAACCTCTGCTCCACCATGTAGGAGGCCTGGAGTTGGGTGGAGACAGTTACTCATGAATATGTGCCAGGACTACACAAGCTCCACAATACCCCAGCAATCTTGTAACTCAGTTTTTCCTATCCTTCATTCGCAGGGCAACTGGACTGTCCAGGGATAAAAGATCAAGCATTGTCTTACAGTAGGAGGACCAGGGAGGTGTACGCTTGAATACAGCCTGTCTTTATCTTTAAACGTCATTGTGGCCAACTCTACGAAGATTATCTTGATTTTCCAGGTGGAATTCCGCCTGAGCTCTCCGCTCTTGTCAGTAGGGGATGCGGTGGCTTCGTTCCTTCGGGCACCAGATGCAGGTACTGTCGGTAAATGTCTTCTTACCCGGGGTATAGTCTCCTCCGAGAGCAGAAAATTCTCTATCGAATATGGATTATTGCATTACACGGTGACACCGAAGCGGCCGTTTTCGTCTTTGTCGAAGAGGCCCTGGGTCACTTATCTGTTTACGTACGTTACACGCCTTCACGAAACGAACCTATAATGACATTGCCAGGTGTACCTCCTGCCTGTTCCTATGCTTCAGCTTGCTAATAGTTGGGATACGACAAGTTCGCCATGTATCAGAGAAAATCTGGAAGGCACGTGGCTAACCGGACTTATTCCGAATATACTCATTGTAAACCAACCGCAGCAGGTTTTTTCAGTCCTCTACTTCACGTCTAACGGTACCCTCTGATGGGCTTCAAAGCTTCTGGTCCTGTCTAGGCTCCCTATATTAATGTCTTAAACCCTGTTGTAGAGGCGTAAATCCAGGATGCCAAGACACCTTGCTCGATTAGATCACACGGCCGCCATGTCAAAGGCCGCCAACATCGCGCTTTCTCATATTCGCTACCGTGCCACTGAGTGACTGAGTTTGTCGACCAATCCTACGTGCATGGATTTGGTGAATAGTGTACATACTAAAACTCCATTGTCTCACCACAATCACTACGTTGTATTTCATTGCCATATTACTACTCCCTAGTATTATTACATCGCCTTCACAGGCGAATCACGAACTATGCCTTGCACACACAAAACAGGATCAGTCCTTAAATTCGGCTTCCTTTCCACTTCTCATACCAATTAAACAGTAGGTGGCAGGGTCTGCAGTTCTGGTTAATATATCGCTCTCCATTCCTTATCCAAAGCCAAGGAGGACCTAGCTCACCAATCTGCTGTAGGATAACCTGTTCGTCTGGTCCGAAGTCAACATCTGCCATACATCGAAGATCAACGTTGGAACCCGCTGAACGATAAATGGTGATGTGGTCCACGTCTCCGGTGACAAATTCCGCCGAGTCGGGCTCGATTAATTTGTCACCGACTTGCGCGGCGATATGCCTTCCCTCTTGCAGGGTGACGGCGTCGTGGTCGAGAAGTACCCGCGGCATGGTTAGGTGTCACAGACTAATTGATATATAAATTCGTTTGAGAGCGATTTCACTGACAAACTGTGCGTTTACAGAGATCTTTATACGAATAAATCAAATATTTGGGCCTTTCGGCTCTTTATATAGCAAACAGGCTAATGTGCATGGATCACATCGGTCATCATGGTGTCGTCATAGACCGTTACTATCCTAGATTATTCGAATGTCCAAGAGCGGAAGTTGAATTAATACTAAGGAGCCAGAGGAAATATTATATTTGGATGAACCGTGTTTTGGCATTGGCTGGAACATGGTCGTCGATATAGAGGACTGTGATTTTGTCAAAAATACCACATGAACGATAGCTTTGATTCATTTCATTGGTGTCAGTATAAGGTGATATAAGATTTGGTTGGTTAGGGTTAAATCTAGAGTCCAAGTATTGGAAGTGTGTGTTAAGTTTCTGGTTTGGCTTATGTTGCCATGGTTAATACGTGCGAATGTGGACAGCCCAAAGATAACTGTACATCGTTCAGCCTCGCCCTGGAGACATGGACGACGACTTTAAATAGCATTTTACACGCAGCACAATTTACCCATGTAAGCTTACGATATGGAAGAGATCCAGATGTCTGTGGAAGGGAAGGGGACATGTCTCTGGATCATGGCGGGAGGAACGAACCATGGATCGCATTTGAATTGAGTTACCCTCGTATATCGAGTATATCATACCACTTGAACCTTCGGCATCATTATGACATTTGCGCAATCCCTTTTCTGGGCTGACCTTTCGCACTGTAGTCTTGCTCGTTTTCCTTGCGGTAAACGAACGTCTTGAATATTATGGAGTCTTATAGGGATTTCGTCCAATCACTTATACTAGCCAACGTGAGTCTTGTTCGTGCTAATAAACAAGGTCTTCCGAGAAGTAATTATTACTTTAGTGTCTTCACCTCGGGGCGCTAAGAAAGTACTCGAACAAGGCTTACACGGACTATGGCTGAACAAAGGACACAGGAGGCGAAGACGGAGGTATATCAGCTACACACTATCGACGTATCTAGATATCATTATTGGTATATTAATTCGTAGAGAAAAAGTATATACCGGGGCAATCAACAAGCTAGGCGTTGCTGAGTCGTCTGAATCTAGGAGCACGTCGAGTACCATCCGAATGATATGCATCCTCACTAGGTTTGAGATTTGTATCAAAAGGTAAGAGAAGCTTTGCGTTAAGTCTTCGTAGATATAGTAGATCGGCATTCTGACGTTTATTTTGGAACAAGTTGAGGACACTGTGTGGCGGCCCAGATAGCCATAGATCATATGAAACTGGTAACTTTGGAAACTGTGGAGAGTATGTCGTCTAAAGAACAGATCAATCTTGAAGTATACTTATCATCTGGACTTTAGCTTATATCCTATTGACATTCGGTATAAAATTAGACAGGTTATCCCTAACTAGCGTCGATAAGCAGTCACGTGCTTTATTTATGGCAGCCAGAGCTTTTAGATCGTGATTCTACTGGACTGCTAAAGCATGCTAAACCGAATAGGTTTTCAGCATGTCTAAGACGGGGATGACTACAAAATGCAATATCTTGCGAGATTGATTTACACCATGACGTTTGAGGCGTACTAAAGTTGTTCTTTAGGCAGAACCAGTGTGAGACCGTCAGACACTGAAACTTGGAGCCACGAACTTCCCTTAACATCTCATTCTTTCGCCGATGATGGTTTGCTCATTGAAGCCTATGACTATATGTAGGTTATAAACACCATTTATATCCCCACGCGCGCTGTTAACTTTAGCCGCTACTATAGATTCTTTGCCCTCACAATGGTGATATGGAGCCTCCAGAAGTTGTTAGTGGCCTGATCATCTAATAATCCATCATCAGAACATCTAACAAGGAGAAAAGTCTTTTTAGGGAGGCGAGGCGGCTCGCAATATTCATGCTAATGGATATGCAATACGTGTTGCTAGTCCCGTGCCCCCCCTTTCTGGGAGATGTATTAGTTTTGAAGATGTGCTTGACCGGTGGCAGAAATTGTCATTCTAGTTATGCAGAAACTTTGATGTAAGTCTGGGGATTGATCCCCCGAGAGCCTGAACCTGAAGATTGAAATCATTGTACGCGTTCGATTCATTTATCGTTGATAATTTTAGAGGGCGGCCTGGCTGGCATATAGTGCGTTGAAGAGGCTACCTTATCGGAAGTGGAAGGCTTTGGGGTACAGTCATCACATCGCAGGAGCGGCCATACTCAATCCAACCTAGAGATCTACTAACAATGGTAATGCGTGCTAATCTCGAGGATAAGAAATGCCCCATGTTCTAGAAGGACCTACTTTTGCCAAGAGCACAGTGCCACTCTTGGTCAATATCACCTCTAAAACCACTATTATTATCCACCGTATGAAGGTTAGCTGATAAAGAGTAGTGTCCAACATTGTAGACCTGTTGGCCACCAGCAGCATGGGAATTTCGAGAAATTCGATCAAACCTCGCTGTTCATCTGGACCTCGCTGGATAGAGCCACTACCGAAGAATATCCTGAAACAGAAATGTCGTATTTCAAATATATTACTATGTAAGGCCATTGAAATCAAGAACTCACTTCATTTGGGTTGGGGAATACTGCTATCAAGAGTTTACTAACGCCAGAAACTCATTTGATCTTCCAGACTGTCCACACATATATCGCAGTTCCTGGATACACAACACTCTGACTCAGTAAGGGTATCTGAAACGTTATGGCCCCGGTGGGGAACCCACCATTGGAATGTCGAACGCAACTGATGGATAGTAAATTTGAACGCTTGGGAGTGAATTTTGACGTGGACCGGGATTTGCTATATGTTGTCTCATACATGGCTTGCACAGAGGTAGAAACTTCAATAAGGGCCATTCCCGCGCATTTGAGGGCAGCATTGCGGGAAGGTGGTAGTGGGCGTCGTGACAAGTCTTAGATTAATAGAGACAGACCAGTGTATACACGTGGATCGAGATAACTATCACCAAGATATCCGAACTCTTCAAGGGTATTCCAAGTCACTAAGTCTTTACTTACTCAGTGATGTTTTTCGCTACATAGATCAAGGCTTTTGAAATCAGGAAGTACCGGTCAGCATGTCAAATAATCCTTGTGCTGTTGATAATTCCGGCCTAGACGGCACAGTGGGGCCTGAGTTAGATCTTGATAATCTACCTGAGGCAGTTGGGGGACATTCCTCACTTGGGTACTAGATAATTTAGAGGGGGTGATTTTTCATAACAAATAGAAGATCACGATTGTGTGGTGGGGTTAATAATCTTCATAGTATGTGAGAGTATTTTAGATTGATATGCGTGAAGTAAATTATCCAGCGGACTCCTCGCCGTTTTCCCTTATAAGGTGGAACTTACTCTCCACTAATACTCATTTTGGGGAAGTCTCGATTGTTGAAGCTTGGACAAATTCTAGCAGCTAGACGAGTTTACCGAGCGATAACAGAGATGTAAACCTAAGATGATAACTCGAGGTCGCTCAAGAGATTCGCATATATTCCGTAGTCTTAGTCGTAACCTTGCCAGGAACTATACAGCATCTATTGATGGTGGAAAGTCAATAAGCTTACTACAGCCCCTAATGTATATGTCCCTTTGATTTAAGCCAAAAGAGAAGTATAAATGTTAAGGCCATGTGTTGTCCATCCTTCGAAAGAATTATCGTTATAATTGCCAAAGCTTCCAGACCCTTCCTCATTTTATCTTACGATTTTCAAATATTACTAATCTGGATATCGTCAGCTAACAAGGTCAAGGGTTGCATAGATGTCGGCGAAGTTCGCCGAGTGAGGGGCTCGGCCATCGTGAGGCGTTCAGGTATAAGTACTCTCCATTATATCGTTACTAGGCTTGAGATAACTTGGTCGGTGCTGTCGAACTTCTTACCTCGACAGAACAGAATGCTGCCCGCCTGTCAGTCACTGGAGGTGGAGCCCAAGGACAGCAATGGCTGCAAAACCGAGATCTCGATCGCACACCGCAATGATTCCGAAAAGCCGAACGAACATGGCTTTCAGAGTGAAGATACAGGTGCCGGCCGGGTGGAAGCCTATCACAAGGTGTTTTACCATACCGGGTTATCTGGGCGACTTTTTCTCCTCACAATCATTACCTCTCTTGGCCTGACTATGTTCGCGTATGCGCTTGACCAAGGTATCACACCACAGTTTAACCTTATCGCGGCATCATCATTTAGCAGGCATGCTCAGCTGGGAGTTGTCACGACGGCTGGTACTCTCGTCAGTGGCATCACCAAGCCTCTCATCGGCAAGCTGGCCGACCTCACCTCCCGGCCTACTACATACATCGTCTCTCTGGTATTCTATATGATTGGAATTGCCCTCGCAGCCAGCTGCACGAATTTTATATCATACGTTGTCGGGATCGCCTTCACCTCCGTCGGCAAGGCGGGCCTTAACCTACTTGGTCAGATCGTAGTGGGCGATCTAACCACTTTGCAATGGCGTGGTTTCTGGACCAGTTTGACTATTGCTCCATATCTCGTGACCACCTTCGTTAATGGGTTCATCTCCGACGCATTTGTGCCCCATAAGTGGCGGTGGGGTCTAGGCATGTTTGCTATCATGGTTCCTGGGGTCCTTATTCCCGCCGTCGTAACACTATACGCGGTGCAGCATAGAGCTAGAAGGATGGGAATGGCCGGACACTGCTACTCAGGCAGTGGCAAGGGCAGCACGTTACACGATGCACGGCATATGGTTGTCGCAGTCGATATTCCCGGACTCGTTCTATTGGGGCTCTCTTTCTCGCTGATCCTCCTTCCTTTATCGTTGGCCGAGTCTGCTGAGAACGGCTGGAATAATCCGAGCATGATAGCGATGGAGGTGGCTGGCTTCGTGGTTCTCGCGCTGTTCATTTATTATGAGATCTATGTAGCCACCAACCCCATCATGCCGAAGCGTATTATTCAGAACAAGGTCTTTCTTGCAGGATTAGGCGCCAACCTTTTCGACCAAATGACCACTGCACTGGCAAGCAACTATTTCCCCTCCTACATATATGTCATTAAAGACTGGAACAATTACACTTGGACGATCTTTACCGGGGTCAGTAATCTCGCTATTACCGTCTGCAGCCTACTAGCCGGTTACATTCAAGCACGACAACATCGCTACCGAAACCAGATGATCCTCGGCGCTGTGCTCAAAATCATTGGCTACGCTATTTGTCTCACCAGTGGGATTCAAAGCACCCGGAACACGGCTGCCCTTGCTCTCTCCCAAATCCTCCTTGGAGCGAGTGCCCTGACAGCGCTTGGGTCCCGGGTGGGGGCAATGGCGTCCGTTCCCCACGAAGACATGGCTTCCCTCATTGCCGCTTATTTTCTATGGACTTATCTTGGTAGTGCAGCAGGGTATGCCATTGCCTCTTCCATCTGGACGAACAAGATGCTGGGCTTCATGCGTAAAGAATTGCCTCATGCTTCCGAAAACACTCTGCGTGAAATTTATGGATCTGTTGAGATCCTTCGCACTAAGTATGGGCCTGGAGACCCAATCCGCGAAGGTGGGATTCGGGCTTATGCTCGCACGAACGGAATTATCTTTATTGTGTCAGCTGTGATATCGGTGTCGTCCCTAGTGTGTTCTTTGCTGATGCCGAGTAAGGCCTATTTCTCCTTATTAGATTGACATAGGGTATCAAATGCTCTTCACTGACTGTCCGTTTCTTTGGCAGATTACTATTTGGGGAAGCAGCAGAATGTGGTGACGAACACGGGTCTTGATGGTCAGGTGGTCGAGAATCCCATCATGAGCGAAGAGAAGCCAGCATTCTGCAGATCTTGGAGAAAGAAAATTCGCCAATGTATGGGCTAACTTGTTAGACAATGGATGGGTGCTTTTTCATTAAGAGTGCGAATCCCCGGTCTACTGCGAATCTCCGGTCTACTGCGAATGTTGTTATCCGCTGGGATCGGGTTCGGATTCAAAAGCAACCCTTCCGTTTCCTCTACGCTAGTCTGTGGTCTTACTAATGTACACCAGAATTCCCTGCTTCCTGATCAGCAGGCTTTTGCTATCTGTGTGTATAACCGTTTTACGCTACCAGGAGTGCCGTATGTAGCGACTCTCTCGCTATACCTCTCGGATTTCCAATTGGTCGTTGCAGTCTGGGGACCCATAGCCGGACTTTGGCAAGATATTCGGGAGGAGATGGAAACTGTCATAGTACTTAAGATACTGGAAGAATATACAAGAGAAATTCCCAGAGAGCAGTAAACTCTACTATCGAGTGCCGGGTCGCCCTGTGAAGCTTGACATCTCTACTAAGAAGTATAGTTGTTTCACTAAGTTAGGTCATCATACCTTCACAAGCATTGAAAGAAATACATAAACGAGAATATCTGTATCTCTTAGTATTGCTGAAAGGTTAACCTTGTCAACATCGAAGGGTATACGATATGAAAAACGGAGCGGACTCAGGATATTGCTCTAGCCAAGCGAAGCGTTAGGTCTTGCCATGAGATTTATGGAACTATCAATATAAGATATAGATTGCACACTTTTCCCTCGTTTTCCCAGGAGGGAACAAAGTTGAAGACACATCAAATAAACCTATCACTCCTATAATTTCTTTTGAAAAGCAACATTGAAAAGGATATTCTACATACTAGGAAACAACCCTTCTCCAATTTGAAAACAAGAACACAAGTCTAAGAGAAGGAAAGTGCAGGAAACAAGCTTGCAAAAAGTCTCTATATATATGATCAAATTGGGTAGAGTGGATAGCTGACAGGCAGGTACACCAACCTTTTTGATTACAGTTCCCCTTTACTTTCGAATTTATCTTCCATTCTTTGCTCCTCTTGCTTGTACCTTAAACTTCCTGTCATACAGGATCCTGAGACCATATATCAGACGGGATTGCAGGCGGATTTGAGCAAACCGTATCAAAATGGGCCGGATCCCGGAACCGGGCAGATGGAGAGTTATTGGCGAAAAGTTCGACCAGGGTAGCGTCTGCAGGGTCATATATCAATACCAGGGGTACTCATCGAATTCAGAGTCAGAAATCATGGTAAGGTTCGTACTGTTTGGGTTATAGAGCGGCCAGCCCATCTTTCTCGACAATCCATCGCTCGGAGACTCAATGAATGCTGCCCACGCAGCTTGAAGGTAATCACTGGCTGCCACTTCGTTCCATTGCGGCTCCTTGTGAGGCTTCAGATGCCTGTACGAGCCTAGCGCAAGTGCGATATCCGCTAGGACAAGTCTTGAGGTGAGTCAATCGCGCTCCGTTACTAAGTAGAAAGCTCGACTAACCTTGATGGTAAGACCCTAACCATGGAAAGAAAGTCACGGTTGGGAAGACAGCCATGTAGCGATAGCGCCATACTGGAACCTGATGCTTTGTCCGGAATCTGTACTCATTCTTCATTAGAGCATGTATGTAGTTAGAGAAAGAATTTGGTCTCACAGGGCTTCCTGGGCCATAGGGCAGTTGAAATATGTGGTTGTGAGGATGTTCGAAAGGGTCTTGTTGATCCCTTTGTTAGACCAATTCAGGGCCCCATCGCCTTCATTGTCAGTGATGCCCATCAAAACAGGCTGCGGCAAAGCCTAATTAGTAACTGTTGACGGCCATCGTGACGACAGGATAACGAGTCACTCACCACCTTTGCAAACGACCCAGTCGATCCAAGTCGTACGTATTCTTCGGCTGAGTGGAGGGTTATATTGTCGACCATCGGGGCGCCTCCGGTCGTACCGAATGGATTTAACGTTACATTTGAGAGTGCATTGTGCAAGTCTTTTGCTGGAACCAATTTCATGCAATCCAATTCGTTGGCTCTATTTGCAGCATCCCTGCAGCCCACGCTCTCTGCCACACGGATGAGCACAGTATCGTCCTGGGGGCCGATGTACTCAGGAATGCCGCTCTGCAAGATGAGACCTTGTACGATGGGATCGTGCTTGAAGGCGTAAGTCAGTAGTGCGGCAGAGTCTGCGCCTGCAGATTGACCCCCGAGTGTTATTCTTGTTGGATCTCCACCAAATGAAGCAAGGTTCTCTCGCAACCATTCCAATGCAGCTCGCTGGTCTCGAATACCGAGATTCTGCTGGTTGATGGGTATTGCAGGTGAGTTTGGAAACCCGAACACGTTAAGACGATAACTGCCAGCAATGTAAATAATCTGAATACGCCCAAGGGAGAAACACCATGCTAGGGAGAGGAGTACAGACTTTAAGGTAACAACGATAAGTCCAGGCTGGTTCGCAACGAGACCCGTGGGGTCAAATACTTCCAAGCATAAGTTATAACCGAGATCATACCATCATATGAGGTAAACGACTTACATGGGGCACTCGTGCCTCCTTCATTAAATGCACCCCCATATAACCAGACCAAGACTGGCAGCAATTTCGAGGGGGAGCGTGGTCGCGGCGTAAAGATATTCAGCGTCAAACAGTCCTCCGACTCGGGGGTAGTCGGCGCGACGTTATCTCCCAACACATTCCGATACCGAAACTGATAACAAACGGGCCCGAACTGGGTAGCGTTGCGGACAGCGGACAAATCATGGGTGTCCTCTAGCGGCTCGGGTGGTCGAAACCTAAGGTCCCCTATAGGTGGCTTGGCGTATGGTATTCCAAGGAACGCATCTACCTTGTCATGTACTTCGACGCCGTATATCGTCCCTTGCCGGGTTTGGGCTGTAACTCCCGCCAATGCGCCGAGAACAGCATGGAAGAGACCGAGAACTGTTAAACAATGTATAGTCTTCATATCGCACCGAGGGCTCGCAATGTTGTCAATGTTTTGACAGGCATCAGAAGTGGCCTAGCATGCGGTATTTAAAGGCTGTAAAGACGAAACCCTTCGTTTGAGTCTCTGGTCAACACGGAGATCATTCAGTTAGCATGTCGATATAGACTGAAGTGCGAATACGAAGTAAGTTGCAATATCCAATCAAAGGTGGTACACCGCTCGTGGATCTCGTGTTTGTGGAGGCAACGAGCTGCTCCCGTTTTCGACCCACACTAGAACGAATGATGCGAACACGAGATCGACAGTCTATAGATCACTCCTGCATCATTGGGTGTCCTACAGGTTCAATTGATCTGTTACATCATGCCACATATTACCTTTATTGTGTATAAATGAGAATAAACAGTATAGGGATATGAGTGGATATCTAAGATGCATATTGCGTATCCTCAGTGCAACGGTGTCACCGTGGGGCTTGAGGACCTCAATGCGTTTAGCTAATGCCATTATGTCTTTCAAGCCGCTGGGACTTGATGTTATTGTTCTACCGGTGCGCGGAAAGAGCGCTGTTTGGTGTGCCTGTTGCAAGGGGAACTTCACTATCGTTCTGAGTCTTAATCGAAGAGACATCCTTATGATTGAGCCCGAGAGCAATCACGGAATGACATCATTTGCAGTAGCTTCCAGTAAGAGCTATGCCAACGTTGCTTCGTTGCTCCTACGAAAGAGCGGAATCTATAGCAACTCCCGTGATGGAAAGGGCAGGGCACCACCGTTAGCGCTATTCTTAGGCGCAGCAAGGCACTTGTTGAACTTTCTTTTGTCGGAAGAGAACTCCGTAACCCCAGTCGAGTAACGGAGAAAGAAACCATTATCAGAGGAAGGGTGTTTGGCTATTGTTTCTTCTGCTGTGCCGGACAAAATATGGGAGCGGTCACACTATTTCAGGCCCTGGCATCTGGGATGAAAGCCTTTCTATGGTCTGTGACAACCTAGGTTTTCACATATGCGGCCATCAAGCAAGCAATCCACAGGATCGGGGGGTTCAGAGGCAGCACCATCTCCCAACCGTTCACGCGTAAAACTACGTCAAGTTAAAATCCTAGATAAAACTATAGAAAAGGCTTCAAAAACAACCATCTTCAAAGTATATACTTGTCTATGCTGCCAATTAACAAGGTAGAGCTTTCCCAAACCTTTTCTCGTTATGGGATTGGCTCACTAGTTACGGTAGAACTCAGGGCTTGGATATTCTCAGAGCTAGACACGACTGTGTCTCTTTTTAGAAATATTGGCCAATGGTGCCATGAGCTCTTCCGCGAAAAACGTGGCTATAAAATTCAAGCTCCTGAAATTGTAAGGGGCAACGGGGATGTATGGGCTAACAAAGCATCTTGCTCTTCTCTTGTGTTGAGTTGACTTTTAGGTACGGTCAACTTTCCTCCGAGGGATTTTAATTTTCATGCATGCAGATCTGTACGTTCGTACTATTATTAAGGAACAAAAATGTTCATACTCTTTGTTAATTTAAGGCTCATCATTTTCCGCGGATATGCTATGATAGAGATATAAGCCTCAGTTGGTTATTATTGAATATGCCCAATAAATTACCTCGTACCACAGGCACCCAATATATGCCTGGTAGATAAGTGCTTTATGACACCATATAGATTATTAAATACTGTGATAATCAAGCCACATATAAAGATGTTCATGATTCCCACCTTGATAGGCCTTCTCCATAGTTCTTCAGGATCATCAATCGGATCGTTTTGACATCGTATCTTACGATTACTTTGTCCGATATTCTATGGTTATGGAAACCATGGAACGTTTTGATCTCGTTTGGTTTTGTGTACGCACAATAGTAGAGCCCAAAGTTGGGTTCGAATAGAATAAGAAGGGTATATCTATATATATGTATACAAGGTCGAAGCTGGAGGCCAAGTTGATTGAGAGCCGCACCACATAGCTCCAGCTCCGATGATATTAACCAGAGCTCTAATCAAGTTAAAGACAAAGAATATGAATAACTGACAAAAGACGGATTCTATTGCCCAACAGACAACGCTTCAAAATAAGATGTCATCACATGACATTAGCAAGATCGCGGCTGTCTTGGCGCATTCAAGTCAGCCCTAAAAGGCAACTCTGCTTTTTCCTGGCCCCACGTTACGCCGGGGTTTCTTTCGCAAAGGGGTTCGTTCACCTTATTGACAATGAGGAGAAGGAGTGAACAGAAGGGGAATCCTAGCAGACAGAGAGCATCTGGTTGGCCTAGTTAGCATCGTTACATCGTGCGCCAAGAAAACGCCTAAGGATTCGCGCATCTGCCTTGAGCTTCTAGGTCGCAATGGGCCTCGCGATCATTTCGTTGGCACAATGTTATGAGCCAATCTTCGAAAACAGCTCTTGTGGGATTCTTTATCTGTAGATTACGAATTTTGTATACAAGATAGTCAATATATCGCTTGAAAATGAAACTGATATTATACGGAATTTATTCCGCCTCTGATTTTCTTTTGTGCGTACAAACTCGATAAGAGCATGTGGTATATGCTTTGCCTGATATCTACAGCCATTGGTTTCACTTTAAAGTGGCATACATTGGCCAAATGCTCAGAGGCCCTAGCCAGCAGCAACTAGCCCTATGAAGCGTCGTGAGTGTGAATTGGGCTTATCATCATCCACCGGGCAGCAATTCGGTAGAAGGTACAGCGCAGCCTCGCGGTAAATGCTTAACTACACCATCACATATGATGTCAGAGCCTATGGGAGCCTAAGGCAGCAACCACGTGACCTGACTACAACACCAAGGAATCTCTGTATGATAGATTTAGACCTTAAGAGCTATAAGCTGGGGCTGCAACAAACCTTGGGAGCGACGGAGTTTCACAACCACTACATGTTTTAAATAACCAGGAGTTGTGGTACTTTCGAAACAAGTTCAGACACGTGATGTCCTGACCTATTATGGAGATAATGTTAATTATCTCTGCCTTCCATGAGCAGTTAGAGGTTTATAGAGAAGGGATGTCGGCCCTTGCTCGCCAGCTTCGAATTGCCTCTTGAAGCGATAGGACTGACTGTGAACCGCCAGAGCCCACTATCAGCCGCTTTAAAACCTCTGCAGATTAATTGTTGTAGACATTCTGGAAGTCTCTCTCAATCGCTGGGTTAAAGTACGATTCCCGCGGAGTTCGATGACTTTCTTCACATTTTGTGGTTTCTTTCGCGAGAAAGGCTACCACCGGATCATTTGACGTCGACCATGCTTTGCCTTTCCTTGATTACTCTCGCTCTCTGCTAATGAGGTGTCCACAGTTTGCCTGCGTTGGCTCTGTTAGACCGTATTTGGCAGACCACCCTTAGTTTTGACCCTGCTGAAAGCAGAGGGTATCGGATGACCATTTGTGCACACAAGCTCGCGCATATTTGTATTGGAATAACGTTCCACGTCCATAAATTCGAGAATACCTGACGACGTAGCCCTCCTGTCCCCCGTTTCAGGGACTGCTACGAGAAGATACGCATTGCTATTGGCCCTGGCCTCTAGCTGTGAAGGACCCACCCTGTTTTCCTCTGGAGCGAAGAACTTAACACACCCTTTCGTCAGTCAAAGTTGAAGCAAGGTGTGTAAATAGCTTCTCACCCTATATGCTCCAACATCTCCCACGTACGCGGATAATTTCTCCCGCAGTCGAGGTGTGCAGCTGCTATGATAGCTGCCAAGGCCTTTCCAGCAATAATGGGATTCTCTTCAACGGACCGTGAATTGTATATAATCACTCTGTAAATAGCCGTGCGTTGGGCAACTGAGACAAGGTGATCGTAGCTACACAAAATTTTGCTTTATTGCGGCAATATGACCTTCTTTCCATGAGATAGGCTCAATCTTCAGGGGCTCCGAGGTCCTTCCTTGGTTTAATCTTATTTTCATAAGCATGGAAAGGCATGAGCGAATCACGCCGATACCAAAATCTCCCACCACAGACTTCCCTGCGAGTCCTCCCCATCAGCCCAAGGTGCTGTAAAAGCTTCAGAGAGGTGAGACTTTGACTTAAATTGATAGCCTAGAATATATGCGGCCTGTATAATTTCTGTGAGCTCACCTGTATAGTTGTCGACCCAGAATGAGAAAGATTTTCAATACTAGTAATGCTCGAATAACTTTGCTGGAAGTGATCGATGTAAAAATACTTTCACTACACCAATAGGATACATCACTACTAGCGTAAGTCGAGTAGCCTTAGTTCTCTACTATGCATACATCATCCAAACTATTATATATCTCAAGAGCCTTGAACCAGGGTTTATAATAATCCGAATAAGATCACGCACTGCGCATTGGCTATAACGCGTTGATTCGGATTGATTTTTCATATTCATAGTGTATTGACAGTTTATAGGCTAGCCCCAATTGGCAACGCGGCCAACTAAGTGTCCCATTCTTAGGTGTTATTATGCGGTTTCACTAGTCTTCCCTACTCAAATCTCCAATTCGCTCCTTGCTGATAAGATTAATGGTCCTGGCGGGCATTAGAAATTGTCTGTCTGACATTTGTTTGCCAATGTGCCTGAGCCTATGCCTATGTACTTCGAAAACAATACCTTTTACTCTCTCTAGATCTAGTTGTCACGATTGAGAGAATCGGACCCATACGCAGAGATATTTGCTTTTGCTCAGTAATCCTTGACCACCATCTGCTGTGGTAACTCTCTAACAGAACATTTGAGGGCCATTTCAGTTTCACACAGATACTCAGAGGATTTAGCTATTTTAATCATCATAACCGTTGAAGGAAATATACAAACATATTAGGATGCTGAAAATAACTGACTTCTCGAGCCTCAACAGCTTGGTACTGTACCATAGTCGAGGAGCAAAAGAGACTAGAGAACAGGTGAACGGGATTAGATCGACCGCAAAACATATACACTAGGAGAAGACTGCCCTAGTAACATGCAAGAATCAAGAATTCTTGAAAACAAAGAAAATCGAATGAGGCGAGTCTGCACACTACTGGAGCTGGACACAAAATAGACAACTAGGCTGTTCGGGTCAGATACACTCGACATCTTATCATACACACCTAGCCGTGTGGAGCTGGAAAGGCTGCAGGTAAAGCCTTACGGGACAGTGCCTTACGAAGCCTGTAAAATTCCTCAATAAGTAGACCACCAAATATTGGAGCTATAACTAATTAGAGAGATTGTGGAGGGCAGTTACACCCAGGGCTTCGTCCAAGAGCTTAGCGGCCATTTAGCTGGCTTGGGTAGCATAAGGATAAACCTGATAGCAGAATCTACTGGCAAAAATTATCGGGGTCCCAGGCAAAGTACCATCGCTAAGTATAATCCCCCACTCGACATCTTGCGCTGGCTGATAGATGACAAGGAGTGTCTTGCGGGGATTCGGCCAGAGACTAGATACTGTCCAGATAAGGAAGACTAGCCTCATGGAGCCTTATTACGAAGTAGTAGGAACTCCGCGAAAACAGCCAGGACACCAATAGAGAAGCCCAGCTTTATAAAATGACAAAGGACATAAGGCCTAGTGATTCAACCACTATCCTACAACAATATTCGCATATCTAGACCACTCTCAATTTTCTCATCATTCAAACCCATATGAATCCTTAGTCTCTGTACTGTCTCCTTTTATTCCATGTTAATACCTCTCAAGGAAATTCCTAAAAGACCACTTAACCACGTTGCAGTATTCCTGACCAACATAGAACTACTTATGAACTGGTAAATTCGCTTCGGTCGCCTGCAGGGCCAGTTCCTTGGCCTGCCGCACTTGTGCAATGCTCGAATTGCGTGATCTGTCCACAAGCATGGATTCATGGGCTGCCAATTTTCAGCAGTAGAGACCTGAAATAAAGACATTTAGGTTTTTCATCACGGAATGTTTATTGCGGTGCTTTTGCCCAGTATTTCATGGTCAGAGGGCTGGTGGACTTTGCGCTGAATGACTGCCCCTTTCCTTTTTCTTGTACAAAGGCATACTTAGGTTATAGTAATAGTTGAATGCATCTTTGATCCTCCCCCATAATTATTGATGTAGGTATCTCAGTCTCATGCAGTTAGTTCACTGAGACTGAGAGGTGGGCCATCGATTCTTTGACTTCACTCGCACTTGTAGGCCTCTTAAAAACGATCAAGCTTCTCATTATCATCAACTATGAGTGGCTGGACCGTAGATATGATAGCAGATACACCAGATACACCAGCAGTGAGGTGTACATCGGCTGGGTGGGGACGAATAGCAGAATGGGGGGATTCTGAATTATACGGCCTTCTCCGATATTCCCATTCGTTTCCCTTCTCCTGTCTCCTGTCAGGCGCCGCAAACATCCTTTCTCTACTGGGGCACCAGAGATTTAAAAGTGGATCTTGCCCAGACCTACTGTTTCCTAGCCAGGCGGGCTACTATATCATATCCAGTCCCTCGTAGTGTTCCGACGTCCACCAAGCACGAAGGGGGCTGGGTGCCTCCCTTTTCCAACCCTCCGGTTACGTGTAGAATAGAAACACACATAATTCGCTCACCTGGTTGTTTGGTCAGACTGGGGATTGTCTAAATGGCTTTCTCATACATTTAGTGTAATCGCTGCAACCATCAACCGTGCCCGGATACATGAATAACTGCAGCGGAGAATTGAAGAGAGCCTTTAGGCAATAGCCTAAGCGGGTAAATTGTGGATCGAAGCTCTATCAAGTAAACCGAATCAGAGTAGTTTCCTGTCTCTGATATTCACCTGGTATTTAAATACTCAATTTTACACAATAAGAATCGGCCTGTTTTTGGATTACTACAGCCGGACGCTAGTATAGAACAGCTTATGCGTGGGATCCCGTGTCCATTCATACATCTCGCGAAGTGAGTACTCAAATCATCCAATTTGACGGTACTAGGTGCTCGTCCTGCAATTTGGTTGCACACCCCGGCCGTGGTACACGGTATTCGAATCGTTTCCCGGGACTGGCAGGTGGCCATCTGGTAGCGCATATGGGAAGGGAAGATATTCCAGCAGGAGGCCCAATTGGACTAGCACGGTTGCTTGATCACCAGCAATATGTTCACGGTACAGTCGGTCGCCACGGATATTGACGACAGCTGTGAATAGGATACGGCGGGATCTCCCGATCGGAGGAACACCGGAGATCCTACAGATCAGTCAGATGACATTCAATTAAGTCCGTGGACCTTGGACGCGAAGCACATACAGCCAGTCGATTCCCTTATTATGCGTGAAACAGAAGATGAGTTCGTCCACAACACGATTAATCCGACTGTACGACTGGAGTTCCATGGCCGAGTTGTCAGGATTGCTGAAAATGAAGTGTTTCAAGTAGAAGTTCGTCAGGTTTGCACGTCCAATAACTGCCCGTCAACTAGTCAAATTAGATACACATTGAGAATCCAACCTGTGCACAGGAATTGGAGATGACTCACTGTCGGTACACCATTCACATACGGTTCCTGTACCATTGTTGCCATGGTCCTTCCACTGGGTGGTCATCAGACTCAAAAGATGTGTGTTCCTCCCAAATCGCTTCAAGGTCAAAATACGGTCCATCCAGACACTTCTTCAGAAAGGTCAGGGATCGTAAATGCGCGATCGTTGCCTCAGAGCTCCGAAAAACATCATGTCCAGGTACAATAAAGGTAGCTGACACGGCCACCGGGTACGAATAAAACTTCTGACTATCACTAGAAGCACCCCGTTCTCTTGTTCCGCCAGCTGGAGTAGCAGAGCAGGACCTTGAATGTCCCCTTCCGCGAGGAAAACCTCCCCCGCGAATGTCCGTGCGACACGGCGGAGAGCCTCTCCAAAGCTAGAGGGATAGTTCATCGTTGAACCGTACACTAAGAAATGCTTAACAAGAGCAATCTGGAGATAAACTACCCTGCTGGCATACCTAATAGGTTGAACTTACCTTTATTGTCGCACTCGGACAAATATGCCAACGTCACTACCCCCGTCCGTACCAAAACTGGCAACATCTCAGAAGCTGTCTCCTCATCTATAGTGATCTGCACAACCGCATAGCTCTCCTCTACCCACTTCTGCATTGGAGTTGGATCTAGGCTGGTATTGTAACCTTCGCAGGGTGTAAGGCTGCTTGGTCGCACGAGTGCTAGACCCGGTCCACAGCCGCATCGTGAACGTGGAGGTTGTAGAATGATAATATCCTTGAGCAGGGTTGCAGGCGTGGATTGGATAGACTTTGGGGATGTGACCATGTCGTTGTAGGGTATTTCATGTTCTGCACAGCCTGTCGAGATGAGAAGTAAGTGTAGTAAAGCCCTCTTGCTGAGTGCGGTGCTTGGGTGTATATTTAGGAGTTACCACGAGTGAATCTAAGCGAGGTCTCCCAAGTAGTATATGAAGGATGACGACAGCACTGGCTGTTTTATTAAAACTGCTTTGTACTGGATGTTGAATTTTGATCAATGATGCTGTCAAGATCTTGAAATGGCTCTTTACTATATGTATATTCACTAAAGTAAGGCATGGGGTTGAGATTTAGGGTTTTACACTCTAGACCGTAGTAACAGACCCTAGAGCTCACCGAGGGGTCGCAGTTGTGTTTCAGCCTTGGCTTTTTACTGTGCCACCAGAATTCCGTATAGTAATTCACCTGTCATACATAAACGTTGGATACTTTTGTACCGACAATTTAGGCCCAGGATGGTCCATCGATAGTCTCGAGTGGTCATGTGATGACATGTCATGTGATTTTTCCGGTTTCAATAATGTGACACATCCAGCCTTTTCACGAGAGATTGACAGATGGTACTATATCCATCGTTACCTTTCCCCTTCCCCTCAAAGAAAAACTCAAAATTCGATACTGTATATTTCCAAAAGGACTATCATAGAGACGCCTTCCCATATCTCGGTGGGCTTGAGGCCGAAATGTAGAATTCAACCAGACTAACCTTGGAAACCCGGCAGTTCAAGCCCTAGCTTTCTGTGTGATCCTGGCTCTATCCCTGATAGGCAACGAGGCACATTGTGAGCATTGCCTTACAACTGGTGAAAAATCCACATTCATCAGGACTATCGAGATGCGGTGAAGTGTCAAGGGATCTGTATATGGTGTTGAAGACCATAAAATTGATAATTGGACATCGACCTCGCCATGTTGCCTTTTCGGGTATGTGTCAACGGCGGTATTGAGAACAATAGGGTGCTACGGCGCCGCAGATGATACGAGCAGGTCTGGATTCTATATTCCACTATCTTTTACAGAGAGTAATCACTGATCCCCTAAAATTTACGATGTGCGACAGAGTTTTCACTACAGTGGGTAACACGTGACCCCATGTGCTACCCCACAAACTGTGGGTGTTGTAAAAAGTGCGTCTAACAGTACTATGTATGGGTTGATCTTAAACTTCTCCACTTACTACCTCGATTGACGTTAGCTTTTGAAGGTGGTTCCTGCAAGACTGATTATCATACACGATAAAGCTGATCACGAGGCCCTATGAATAGTTTGAGAGTAGTATTAGTTGCGTCATATGCGCTATTGGCAACGTCTACGAGCGGATTATCCCCTTCAGCGGACGAGGCACTGGTCCGCAGTCCTGGCGAATACCTCCCTGGCTGCAGAAGTAGACGATTGCGTGGGTTGTGATGCAACCAGCGCATCCTTCTCCACGGAGTCCGTATTCAAGATCGCTAGGATACACTACTACAGGGAGAAACCGAGTCGGTACTTCAGTGAAGTTCGTTGGAAATACTTTCGACTGCCTGAGAGGCCATTTGATAAATTCGGAAGAGAAAGGTACTGTTAAGATAGCTAGTAATTGATTTCAACCCATTCGGGTAATGGGTCAGATGGGAGCCTAAATACACTCTGGGAGAGGGTAATCATGGACATAGCAGACAAGCCAAGATCACTTCCCCTAGAAGACCGTCGTATGTCAAGCCGAGTATAGGTTAATGGATTAGTAGGAATATTCGCAGGATCGGCTCCAAGGTAACCGTGTGTATTTATGGCAATTGTAATTTCCTAGACTATTTCTATTTGTCATGGAATCTTATGGATCTACCCGTTCTCAAATTTGAGGCGCCAATAAAAGTATGCATATGTTAGCACAGCCTTATGGAATTTAAGATTCCGTCATATTCGTTATAAGATGGCTCAGGGGCTAAATTTGTCTTCCCAATCCTTATGGCGTGCCCAATCTAATCATTTATAGGATTTACGTGACTTAGAGGGGGAAAATATTAGCCTAGCGTTAATGCCTGCGGATGGGGTCTGCTGAAACGGACTTGGCTACTGTACTGCACTCATTACATGATATTATAAGAGAGAATGTAGATTACAGTAGCCGTGGAATGCAATTGAAGATGTGAAAAGATGTTCTCTGAATCGAGAAGAAACAATAAACTACAGCCTAGCGGATGTAATGTTCTAATCCTCGCCAATATGTGCATTGTCATTAGGTATACAGCCGGAAATAGCTCTATGGCTCAGAGTTCAATAGTTTATAAGTTGTGGAGCTGTGACCAAAGTTGCACACATTTTAGGCCTGCAACAAATGCACATGTCGATCGAGTGGGTCAGGGCTGATATTGCAACCTCGATTGATGCCTCTTTAGTCCAAATACATAACCGATCAAGTCCCACTGCATTCTGTTCACACTTTTTGCAAACACAAAGCAACCCTTACCGATGATAGCTCATGGTTAGACATCTTAAGCATGGCGTCTATATCGCACGTTGTCTATACTCTTTTATTGATGTGGCTTGTTGGCCTCAATTTCACTACAGCTTCACCAACGAACGTGGCTCGACCTGAGACTTCAGATAACACCTATGTAAAGCTGCTGGACGCTGTTGACTCCGATGAACACCCTATTGAAACAAAATATACTACCAATTCCCCGGCTGAACTTGTTGATGATGACTTTGTTGTTGAGGCTCCTGCTGACTCTTCCGGAAATGATTTCATTGTCGATTACCCGCAGAGTATAGAGCCTGGTGATAGACGGAAGCCAATCTATGCAATTGCCCACAGGGTTCTTACCGTCAAGGGAGTTAGCCATGCTATATCCCACGGCGCCAACGCCATTGAAATTGACATGGTCGCATGGAGAAAAGGATGGTGGGCGGACCATGATGGTACCCCAACGAGTTACGGCGATACAGCAAAAGAGATGTTTATGGAGATTGGCCGGCAGCGAGACGCCAGAAAGACAATCAATTTTGTTTGGCTGGATATCAAGAATCCAGACTACTGCCCACCTAACGACAAATGGCGCCACTGCTCTGTGGAACTACTGCGTGACTTAGTCCGGCAGATTCTAGAGCCCAAGGGCGTCCGCGTACTTTATGGGTTCTACAGCGCTAATTCCCGTGCATATGACCTTATCAGTCAATCGCTGAATACAAACGAGGCTATCAACTTGAACGGCAGAGTGAGAAAAGTCTTGGACGAATTCGAAAAGCATGGGCCTCCCCAGGTTGCGAAGAGAGTTATGTCGTACGGGTACTTCAACCTTCCATTCCAATTTGGCAATTGCCAGGAAGATCGATACTATACCTGTACGGAGCTGCGTCAATTAACTCAAAGCAAAGGATCTGGAGCTGTCTTTGGCTGGACTTCGGCAATGGGTGAAGATCAGTATGTTGACAAGCTCCTGGGTACTGCTGGAGTTGATGGCCTCATTTATGGCTTCAAGATGACCCACTATTATGATCATAGCCGTACTCGTGCTGCTGCGCAAGATCTTATCAGATGGGTTAGGGACCACCCTGACACCCACCGTATGGGTACTCAGGATGACAATCCCTGGTGAATTCTTATGTAACGAAAGGATTTTCAGAGCAGGGAGGCAAAGTAAAGAAGAACCGGCCGGCCGTATTGATTTTAAGTTGTTTCTAATTTTTCTAATTTTTCTCTTTCTTTTTTCATTTAGAGAGTTAGGATTATAAAGTGTCCTTGAGGAAGTAGAATGAAGAAGTGGGAAGAATGTGATCACATCCAGGCTAGCCGGAAATAATACGAGGATTTCAGTAAGCTGTGTTACCATCCCATATGGTAGGTTGTCAAGTCTACCAAAGCCGCCCAATAATAACCAAATTTTCCGCGTTTGTGCCTCTATTCAGCTAACTGGACGATGGGACAGCTTGAGAAATAGCTTTACACCCTGTTCAGGTGGTTTTACTTCCAATGACATTAGCAGATCAGCCGTACCCCCTAGCATATCCCAAGGAAGCTGCGGACATCCATATTTACACTAGAACGTACCAACTGCAACAATATTCAGTGCTTAAGGTTGAGGACGGAGGGTTGCATACAGTTGGTGTCAATACCAACCTACCACGCAGGTCATGCTGTAAGAGCCTTGTTTGGTACACCAAAAACAAGGCCGTGGCAATTCCAGAGCAACGACAAATAGTACAGTAACGACGGAGGAGATAGCAACCATGAAGCCACTTAGGCTGGGTAGACCGTTGCAGCAGATAACAGGAACCTAATACCAACAAGATCTTCTGCGCAGAATGGCTAGTATTAAGCAAAACCTAAGTAACTCACAAAACTCCGAAGGCTAGAAAGCCGAAGTACTTGGTAATGTGATATAGTATTTGCCTAGAGCCAAACCTTTAGGTGGCGAACTATATTGATGTGATCTAGCACCACTTAAGCGGACAAACAGAGCTATTTAAATACGTAACAAAGATAGCTATGTTGTCGAGGACATGCCTTTTTAGATAATTAAAAAATCGACTACATCTTTCTACACGGAGAATAAGTATACACCAAATAAATCTGTGGAGTTACTAGGCGCTGTCAATACTAAGTAATCTGGTAACAAGTCTAAATTGAGCAAGGTATAATATCTCAGCAGACCATCATCTAGAAGCCCAGGTCCTTTCAAGGTATATATGAAGCTAGGAGATCTTCAACGCATTCCATAGCGGATGGGATAAACATATAAGGGTAGCGCCCTTGCCAAATGACAGCTCTGTAACATTGCTTTGCGGTAGGCAAGGGGTAAAAATTATGTGATACCAAGACACCAAGAGTAGACCGAAAAACGAATAAACTGCAAACCACAGTATGAGGGAGGACGCTCATATCTTATATACATATGCTGCATCTTAGCCTGTTCAGATTTATCAACCTTTTACTTAGAGTTGGCTGGCAAACTTTGTAGCTATTCGCAAATGGTAGGACTTCAATAAATTAGTGTCAGTTCTCAATAATTATTTTGAAGGTTCCCAGTATCTTTTCATCGAGGGATGGCCCATATTTGAATGCTCGACTACGATATGATCGTGAGAACGAAGGGAACTAACGCTGTAATACTCCTTACCTTAGCCTATTGGGAGAGAGCAAACCATGACCCTTCCATGAGTCCAATGCGGGACACGGGAACACTCGATTACTAATTTTGGTATGTGTCCCTGCACCAGACTTCATTACGATTATGGGAATCTACCCTGGCCTCGCAATGCTTTATCCCTTTGGCTCCATGAGCATTGTCACTCCCGCCACACCAAGCCACGCACCCAAGTAGCCGAACCAAGACGTGGACAAATTCTGACTCCCAAAACCATCTGGTTTCGCGCCTGGAGCAATTTTATCTTAGTCATTGTTAGAGCCCATTTACAAACTATCGGGGAAATGATCGCAGTTTGGCCCTGGAGTCTTACTGAGTCACTAGATAAGGCCAGGTTCCAGCTCTTGGCGCTCTCTGTCAGTGACCGCTGGCCTAGAACATACTAAATCCTTAGCCCGAGCCTAGAGGAAGGGGTAGTTAAAATGGTTCTAGCTGTATTTCCATTATCCATTGTACAAGGATGAAGATCATTCGATGATCGTCCCAACGGGCATTAGCCCTTTCAATAGATTACTGTTTGTTAACCGCCGCAACTTAGTCTTCGGACACATTTACTTTGACTTGGTATTCAATATAATGGGTGTTATATTATTTATCGATCTAGTCTATCTATTTAGATTGAGCAACATTGTCAGGCCTCTGGCGCCTACTTCCGTTCTCCAAGAGTTGGCGTATCATTACCATAGCAGCCCTAGAGGCAGGACACCAAAAGACAGGCAGACGTAGTATGCTTGTAAGGGCCCTATATTGCAAGTGAATTTCGACATTCAGCTTACTGATATACTGACCGGGAAGGAGAGTATGCAAGCACTATAAAGTGCTGATAGTAATTCGATAAGACTTACTGACTCTGAAGGTTATTGAAGCAAGGACTAACCTGATCAACCATTCCTATATACTAGCCCTAGATATCTGGAATCTAGATAGGGGCAGGAACCGTGTACGAAGAACAAGGATAGTTAATTACTATAACAATTGGCTAAGAGAAGGATATTACTGGCAGGGCGCTAGCTTAAGACACCGATGAACTATTGACGACGCAGAATGGGGACAACTAGCAGACCGAAGATGCTATATAATAGCTGATTTCAATACCCGTAGCCCTCTACAAAACCATTAAACTAGTAAACGGATCAATACAGTATCGTTAAAAAGTCTAATTAAGAGATTTCACTTCTATATTAATAATAAGCCTGGTATTCCTACCGGACTTAAGCGTACATCAGGTGTCTTAATTAATAATCTAGTAATACCTAACGTAGTTCCCAACCGAGCGCCGCACCCGACCGAGCGCCGCACCTCACGCGTTTCTCGCGCGGTTGAAACTCTTGCTCAGTTCAACCACTCACCATGCCACCAAAAGCGCGTACAAGTTCAAATAATTCAGCTGAGAAGGAGGGAAGGATCTTGCTTGCAGTTTCCGCTATTAAAAAGCAAGAAATAAAGTCAATTCGTGAGGCTGCACGCATCTTTAATGTCTCTGATAGAACAATACGTCGACGTTTAAATGGCACTCTATCACGCACTGAAAAACGCGCAAATTGCCATAGATTGACTGAAATACAAGAGAATTCGCTTGTACAATGGATATTATCTATGGATCAACGTGGAGCAGCTCCCCG